GGCTGCGTGCCAGCGTATGCATAGAAGTGCCCTGGATCATCCGGTTATGTTTCTTTCTATGGTCTGCAATGCCTCCAGCAGCACCTCAAACTTTTTTCTTCCGCCATTCGCCACAAGAACAGCCTCCATGCCCTGCATAAGCTCAACTTTTTTGGTCAACTACGCTGCAACCCAAAACTTGCGAAGTTCTTCAATGTCTCTCGAAGTGGGCTGGCTCAACAATATGGTAAATTTGGATAACAGCCGCGTGGCCCATGGTCTGGCCCATGGTCAGCATATAGATGAACCAGCTAAGAGTGAGCTTCCGCACCAGCGCCAAAGCCTTTTCTGGGACTTGGCCCGCATGCTCTGCCAGAACAAGTCTGACAATTTCCTGCAGAGTTTCCAAGGGGCTTTCTATAAACAGAAAATGGGACCTTAAAAGCAAATCCATATAGGTGCGTAGCAGCTTGCACTCGAAGAGAGGCTCTGCTGTTTTCTCTGCATACATCCGGAAGTGGTCTATGATCAGCTGTCCTGTGAGCATGTTTGATTTTCTGGGAGAAAACAAGCCTGCGTATTTTGCAAGCATTCGCGATTTGAAAATTGTTACATGCTGGGCTGCAGACAGCTGCACGGTCGGGCACAGCGCGTGCAGCGCGCCAATGGCTATGGGCACGCACAGAAATGTTTTCTGCAGATGTGGGTCTGTGAGCTGGACGCTTCCTATCAGGTTCGTAACCAGGCGCGCCATCGGATGGGCCGGAGCCAGCACGCCAAATCTTTCGCGTGCGTATAGGAGAAAACAGTAAACAAGAGTTCGCCTGCTGTCTATGTTGAAAGTAGGCAGCTTCAGAAACAAGCGGTTCGGCTTGTTCGGGCTGTAATCCACTATTTCTTTTGCAGCCGCTCGCACGTATGGGATGCTTTCCACATCAACCCTTTGATCCGTGATTTTCATGGGCATCCGGTCTATGCACTCGGCAAGAAAAAGCCCCGAAGCGCAGGCCTGCTGCCTGTACTGCGCAGATGCTTTGCACAGTCTCTCATACAGCTCTGCAGGGGTTTTCAAGCACTCTGAATTTTCTGCTTCTGCCTGCGCGTCAAAAAACGGGCTCGGAAACGCTCTGGCCTCTGACAGACGGCTGGCAGACATAAACATCCGCCCGACCACGCTGCCTGGGTCTTTTAAGCTTTCTGCCAGACCCATTCCCTCCAGAAGGTTAAACATGCACTCCATCACAGACATGAGCTCTTCCGCGCTCTTCACGTACTCGCCTACATACGTGAGGATCAGGAGCTGCGGGCTCTCCAGAAAGCCGCCCATTTTAAACTCTTCGTACGTGCTTGGTAGCATGTGTGTGCCTCTGTGCCGCTTGAAGAAGTTTACCACCTGCCACGTCTCGGAAAGCTGCCTTTCTCCACTCTCCACAGCCGGCACGTTTATATGCGCGTCCACCAGTGCCTCCTCGCTGCCTTTTCTTTTTTTTATAATCACTCGGTTTCCAGCGGTCTCAATCGGCACGTCAACGCCCTCGCTTAGCAGGACCAGCGCAGCCAGCACATAGTGCGCCTCTTTTTTTGTTCTGCAGCTCTCCCGAAGAAACTCTGTGAAAGAGCACGGCCGTCCAGTTTCAACCGCCAGCTTGCCGTCCCTCTGCAGCCCGAACATATGCACCAGCGCGCGGTGGAACTTCACGCTGTATCCTCTATCTCTTAAAAGTACTACAGCGCTGGCAATGTCCTCGGGTTGGTGTGCCCTGTCCTTCTCCGGCTCTCGCGTGTACGTATACACCTCTTTTCCGTTTTCTTTCCTCGGCACTAGACTGAAGCTCGTGGCTAGCCCGCACGAGTACGCCCGCATGTTGTACACGTACCCCAGCCACCCTAGCTTCGCTATGCACAGCGGGTGCCCCGCCCACCACGGGCTGATAAGCACGTCCTCCCCACGCACGCAGCCCACAACCGCCCTCACGCAGCTCATCGCATCCTTATTCGTAAAATACACGCACCCTGCGTGCCTCAGCGCGGCAGCCAGCGCCCATATAAGTCCAACCTGCAATCTAATATATGCTTTGGGCATGAAAAATTGTTTTTGTATAAATTACATAAGATTTATGTATAAGCGCAAGCCACTTTTTGATTTGTGCTTTTATTAAACGATCAAATTGTTTTCGCACAGGAAAATATTCCTGCATGGTTTGCGGCGGGCCTCTGCTCTGCGCCCATCCAGCTCCAGCCTTCTGTTGAATCTGCGTATAAGCCTCCGCAGAACTCCGAACACAGCCACAGACTTTGCCTCTCTACTGCACTAATTCAAAGCAGCATGCCATTCTTGTACGATCGCTGCGGGGCTGGAAACTCTTTTGTCTGCCCCATCTTCGCTGCATCCCGCGCCCTCTCTGCTTCCAACTTCCCAATGCGACTTGGCAATGCCTCATCTCCTGCCCTTTTCCGCGCTCAAGCCTCCTGCGAGCTCTTTATGGCGGCCTCCATCCGCCCTATGGCTTGCACTATCTCTGCGCTGGGCCTTTCTGCCGGCTCTTCTAAGGCTGCCTTTTCCGAAGCATCTTCTCTGCGCGCCCTTGTCTGTCTCCTTGCGCACAAACATGCTCCCACGCGCAGCGCACGCCGTCATCAGCAACACCCCGCGCTAATGCGCCCTTCCAGCTCTGTTCTCGCCGTCTCCTCCTGCGCGTGTGTGCTCCTTCCCTCTTTTCCCGCCTTCAAAAATAAAAACAAGTCGGTCTCTCTGCCTCCCTACATAGCATAGAGAGAAAGAATGCCTGCATACGCGTAAAAACAACCCTCCCACACTCTACAGAGCCTCCAATCCTGAGAACACACCTCCCTGCGCCAAACTGTCCTTTCCTGCCTTCTCCTGCGCATTCTCTCTGCTTCTGTCTTTCTTCTCGTTTCTCTACTATACCATCATAACACTCCAAAAATAAATTCTTCATTCTAGTTTTTTCCTTCCAACCTCTCCATAATACTACATTTTGTTTACTTTATTTTTCTTCTTTTTCCTGCAGTACGACTACCGAAACAGCCTGCAGCTGCGCATGAGAAGACCCTGCCAATGGGCGCTGCCAACACGCAAATACAAAAGCCACAGCTGCAATACTGGAAGTGCTGGGTGAAACTTTGTTCTTTATTCTTTTCGACCTGCTCAAACCTATGCATTTTCTAGCCGGTCCCATATGTCTAAATTGCAAGCCCTTTCACTGTGCCTGCCTTGGAAATAGCCAAGCACAAGCAACTAGCTTTCAGCATGCAGTGATCCGTTTTTGGAGATGCCGGCTGTAGACTTTAATTTGGCTTGCATTCGCGCATCTTGAACGCCTGTGCATGCTCAGAACTTGCCCAGGTGGGTATGCTGTAATTTAAGCAAAAATAAGCCCCCTTCCAGTTCTGATGGTGTGGAACACAGTAGACCTCGCCGCACGTTATTCTCAATTTTGCAAACATTGCAAAAGGCTCTGGAAACGCCTGCAACCCAACAGGCATGCTGCCATGCAGGAGTGTCCATGTGAAGCACGGCCCTTTTTTCGCATGCTTGACCCATGCTCAATTCGCGCTGTGTGTCCACCAACTATAAATTCGTTTCTCATTTTTCTAAACAGCACCCGGCTTTATTCGGGCAAAGTGCACACTTTTCAGAGGAATCTGCACGGTTGTCATGCCATCATCTTGATAATCTGGCCAGATACATGCAGACGCCGCCCTGCGCGATGCGCCTCCTCTGATAGGCCGGCCTGCCCGGAGCAGGGCCTGTCGTATGCTGAAAGCACAGTTGCTCCTAATTGGTTATTGCCAAGACAGGCGCAATCAAGGGGCTACATAATCCGAGCTAAGGGATAGATTATACAGTGTCTATATAAGTAGGCCGAGAAATAGTAAAGGACGATATTTCACATGGCTAATTCTCGTATCACAACTACCCTGCTCGTGCACGCAAAGTTTTATGCACTTATGCTTGCAGCGCTGGCGCACTGCGCGTACGCGCGAGTGTCGTTTAACGAGGTTATAGAGATGCAAAGCACTGAAATAGGAGAGAGTAACGCCTTCATAAACCCAAGGGGGCCGCCCTGCCTGCTGCGCGGGTTCGTGTACTCCGAACTGGCGTACACGCACAACAAGCGCTTCTTTGCTCCTGAAATAGAAACCGACTACAAAGTGGAGCCCGTTGGGGACGATGAAACCACAGAAGAGCACAAATACACAAGAAACGCGCAGAAGGACAAGCTCTATCCGTCTGCAGAGGGGTCCGCTTTGGGCTCCAAGCCTGCTGGCAAAAACTACACTGTGACGTACCACCGCACCCTCATCGAGATGTTTCCGTCTGTCGACGGGCACACCCTGTCGGTCGCTGTTGCCCGAGAGGACTCCTTCTTCCAGTTTCTGCAGAGAATGCCCACCAAGAAGCATGTGCACTACGTGCTGGCTGCGCTTCTACTGCTGAGCGAGGGCGTGGACGTGCCCATCAAGGCCACGCAGAAAACAATCACACTGGAGATAGGCAGCATAGCATTTGAGACAGGCCGGTGCAAAAAGGCCGCACAGGTCATAAACTTCTTCAAAGACAATAAAGGCAAAGGAAAGCTGCCGTGCACGCAGAACGACTTCTGCACCGGCGAATTTCTAAACACGCCGCAGTTCCTCATCCAGGCGTACGTCTTTGAGTACATCACGAGCAAGAGCGACGCCCTGGACTTCGCAGCGTGCATGCACAGCATCCTCAAAAGCCTGCCGGAAGACAGCTGCAAAGATCTATACAGCGCGTGCTTTGTGGAGAGCAAGGCGGAGGCCGAGGAAGACGAGCTTCTACGCCAGCTTAGGATGGTTCAAGAAAGAATGAAGATTCTGGACTCGTTTCCGTTCGCCAGCCCAAGCATGCTGCCGGCGTACACAAGCGTGCATGCCTTCCAGAGGAGCAGCTCCGAGTTTTTGAAGGAAACATTCAGCAACTGCGTGGAGACAGGCCTGCTTGCGCTCTTCTGCTGCCTTGCACACGACCCAGCCCAGAAAAAGTACGACGTAGGCGCCATGCTCGGCAAGAAAAAAGAGGGTGATAAAACAGAGGCCCTGCGCACTTTCTTCCAGTTGAAGGGCGTCACCCCAGAGGTGTGCGCCACCAAAAAAACGATGCAGGAGTGGAACCGCGTTGTGTCTGACCTGCAGAGCGAGCACATCGCATATGTAAGGCCCAGCCGAAACGAGGTGCGCTCCGGAATTTCTAATGTTCTTTACGTTGTGACAGAAATAACAGGCAAACGAAAGGAGGAAGAGCCAAGGATACGCAAGCTTGCGCAGATGCTAGAAGACTCTGAGATTGGCAAAGCCTCTGAGGACGTGTTTGAAAAAACACAGGAGTACGTGGCAGAGCTTTTCGCATCGCTCTCTGTGGATAAGAGCTTAAAAGTCGAATTCTCCGGCTTGAAGGTCGGCGCCCGGGGCGACGGGCAGAAAGACCTCTACGGGGACATCACCCTGAAGTACACAGACAAGGACAGCGTGATACAGCAGGGCATATGCATTGCTTTTAGGCCCGGACACCTTACGGTTACTTTGTGCGCGTGGACTTTTCTTTCTTCTGCGAGTGGTAGAAAGGAGGCCTTCTTTGCGGTGGACGGCTGTTCAGAGCCCAAGACCTTTGCCGAGTGTCTGTTTGCCGGCTACGCGGACGCATGGAGGGCCAGAGGCACGAACCTGCAAGAAGAAGACAAGCTTTCCGAATACATACGGGAGCCCACAACCTCACTGGTTTCCCCCGGGGCCTCGGCGCACCCAAACCAGCTTTTCTTGCTCGGGAGCGCCTTGAGAAGCAAACAGATAAAAGATATCGCCGAGCACTTCATCCTGCATGCAGCAGCAAAAGGCATCGAGCTCGCCCAGGAGCATCTGGGCGTGCGCCTCCTTTCGAACCTGCTCGGCAGCCTTCCGCTGGATGACCATGCAACGCAAATGGATGGGATGCAGCACATAGTCTCTCTGAGCTTGCTGGGCAAGCTATTTCCAAGAATCGCCCTGTCAAAGACAAGAACTTCTATAATCTATAAAAACACATCCGCTATCACCAAAATAGGGAGATACACCGGAGACAACTGCACGCCCGCAGCAAACGCCATCTTAAAATACTTTAGAGAGTACAAAGAGCAGGTGCGCGTGCCTCTTTTCCGGTTCTACGCTTTGGAAAACTTTCCTATCATCTCTAGAATGTTTCCCATTTTGCTTGCAGACAAGTCAACGCGCTACACAGACGAAATTGGCGCGCTTATTATAGATGTGAAGGAGAAAGACCGGGAGAAGGCACTGGATGCCAAGGCGCTCTTTGACCTTCTCCTGTTCCTCGCCAGCTTGAAACACAATGGCACCCCGCCCGAGCTGGTGCTTGCTCTGGGCAGCAGGCTTGAGCCAAGGTCGATCCAGGCATGCAAAAAAGCCAAATGCATGACTCTTGTCAGCAGACAAACAGCCCCTGCGATTCTGGAGGGTCTGAACGCCCACCAGAGCGCCCTGCAGAAGACGTCCAGCGGAGCAGAGATGTTCAGAGACGTGGTGGACATACTCCAGTCCAAAATAGACTAGGAAAGTTGCCCGCTGCACCTATGCACTATTCTGTTAATTGCTTGCTCTTAGCAGTATATATGCATGCGCTGCATTTTTATACAACTTATGCCAAAAAAATAGAATCGCCCGAATTCTAACTTTCCTTCCGGCCCTGCAAAGAAAAATAAAACTTCTCTAGACTGGATTTCAGCCTTCAGCCTCTTCCACGCGGCCCACCTCTTCCCATGCCCAGACATCCGCACTCTCGCATTCCACCAGACATTTGGTTGCAACACCCAAAGTGCTAGTGAACCATTGTCTTTTATTTTTTTCGGCCTTCTTAAATACATATGCACTTAATTTGTCATGGTCTTGTATGGCGTCTGCCAAGCCAGCATGTTGTATGCTGAAAGCATATTTACTCGTAAATTGGTTGTTGGTCTGGCATGGGTTGATATTGTTTTGGCAGCCGTCATAAACAATGACAAGCTAAACACATAAGTTTTTAAGAAGGTCGAAAAAAAAATAAAGGACAATGGTTCACATGGCTACTTCCAGCAGCACAGCTCTGCCAGCTATTGAAAACCCGGCAGCTTCCTGCGGCCTTCTTCTCCCGCGCCCACTAAACAAACTTGGCAGCTGCCTGCTCCAAAACGCACATGTTTTTGCTGCTTTATTTTCCATAGGGGGTCGGCCAAAGAACAGCACGCAGTGCATGCACTTCTGTCCTGCCTGCGAGTGCGAGAGCCCGCACTTGTCTATTTGTGGCGTGGAATGGTTGACAGCAGCCACACCACACTCAAAGCTTCGTCACTTGGGCACTGCGCAGCCCGAAAGCAGACAAGGGAAGAGCTTCAGCCAATGCTTTCGAGTCAACCCCGGAATCTAATGCATACTTGGCGGTAGAGTTCATACAGCGTTTCAAACTTTGCGCGGCCCACTTCCCCTACAAGAACATTCCTTGCTTCGTTCAGGCTGTCTAGTGTAGAGCTTAGATTTACGCGCCGCCAAAAATCGCAAAGCTGTTCAAGCTCTTTTTCAAGATGCCCCGGCTTAACAGTCTTGTAAATCTCGACAATTGCACCTTTCTGCCTCTGCAGGCCCCTCCCCAAAAGAACCGCCAGCCAGGACATCCGCAGCGCATTGGCCAGGGCCTTGGCCGTCACCAGGTCTTCTCCCGCGTTATCCGCTAGAACAAGCGCACACACCTCTTCTAGGGATGCCACCGGGTCCGTCGAAAACAGACACGCGCCACGCCTTGCTATAATCGCATGCATATGCAGCAGCTTACACCTGAACAGCGGCTCGTTTTGTTTCTCTGCGTACGCTCGAAAATACCACATAAGGTTTTCCCGTGCAAGCAGATCGGCCTTTTCGAAGGGATACAGCCCGCAATACATATTATGCATGTGTGAGTTCCAAAGTTCCCGTCGCGACTTTTCGGACAGCTGCAGCGCTGGACACAGCACCCGCAGAATGCCGGCAACTGCAGGCACTTTCAGGACACAGCGCCGGGATATCGAGTCTCTAAGGTCAATGCTCCCTATCATGTTCGCAACCAGCCGGCCCACCGGGTGTGCCAGAGTCAGCTCAATCTTCTTCTGCTCGGCATACAGCACCAGCGCAGAGACAAGGTCCTCCCTGAAGCGCGTCCCCACCACCGGCAGCGCCATCAGCACGCTGGTTGGCCTGGCCGGGCTGCACTCAACTGCCCACCGCGCAGCTTCATGCACATCTTCGATTTTTGTGCTTGGAAAGTTTAAAGTGATATTCGCAGCCGCGATTCGGTGCATGCACTCCGCAAGCACAAAGCCCGAAAACAGCGCTTCCTTCCTGTACTGCGCGACCGCCACGCCCAACACACTATCCTCTCTGCTAGAGAGAGTTCGGCGTGACAGATCTAGAATTGTCACCCAAGTGTTTTCTTGTGCGAACACCGCTATCATTTCACATCTGTTGGTGCGTTCGGGCACACGAATTATTGTAAGCGTGTATTCTCCGCCTCTAAAGGAATCGTAGTTCTCTCTAATCTTCACCTCCACACCTTTGTCCACTGCTATCGAGCGCAGCAGCGCCCGAACGCTCTCGATCGCCTCAGAGGTCAGCTCTGTGCTTCCTTCAGCATCCATTGCCGCTTGGTGCGCCGCCAGCTCGTCCACCACAGCCTGCAGCCGCCCGGTCATCTTCGCAAGCGCACGTATTTGGTTTAGAAACGTCGGCTCTAAATTCCCCAGCGCCTCCATGAACTGCACATGCACCATGAGCCACAGGTCTCTTTGTTTTTGCGCATGCCCTTCCTTCAGCCAGCCCAAAGGAAAACCCTCTTCTATGTGTGTCTGCACTGCCTCAAAAAACGCCCTGGTTTTGGCCACCTCCTCCGTGTTTTCGGCCCCGGCCAGCAGGCCCTCCAGGCTGTATGCATTCTTCTCCGGGTCGAATGCCAGGCGTGTCAATAGCAGACACGCTCCAAGAAACCTGCAGTTTGTGCCATGCTTGTCAAAGTACTCCTTCTCCTCGTCTGAGGCTCTGGCAATTAGGACCGCATATTTGGCTTCTCTTTGAAGGCAGTCAAACTGTTCCAAGTGCTCCAAGGCCGCTAGAGCGGAATGCCCCTCTAGAAACGGCGCGAGATGCGCCTGGGCCTCAGGCAGCCGGCTCGCAGGCACAAACATCCGCCCGACCACGCTGCCTGGGTCTCCCACACTCTCGGCCAGGCCCATGCCCTCCAGAAGGTTAAATATGCATTCCAGCACAGACATAAGCTCTTCCGCGCTCTTCACGTACTCGCCTATGTATGTGAGAATCAGAAGCTGCGGGCTCTCCAGAAAGTCTCCCGTTTTAAACTCTTCGTACGTGCTTGGTAGCATGTGTGTGCCTCTGTACCGCTTGAAGAAGTTTACCACCTGCCACGTCTCGGATGGCTGCCTTTCTCCACTCTTCACAGCTGGCACGCACGCGTTCACCAGCACGTCATTGCTGTCTTTTCTTTTTTTTAGAATCACTCCGTTTCCAGCGGTCCGAATCGGCACGTCAACGCCCTCGCTCAGCAGAACCAGCGCTGCCAGCACGTAGTGCGCCTCTTCTGTGGTTTTGCAGCTCTTCCGAAGAAACTCTGTGAAAGAGCACGGCCGTCCAGTTTTAACTGCCAGGCCTCCCTTCTTCTGCAGACCAAACATATGCACCAGCGCTTGGTGGAACTTCACGCAGTACCCTTCGTCTCCTGTAAACGCTGCCGCGCTCGCAATGTCATCGGGAAGGTGTGCCCTGTCCTTCTCCGGCTCTCGCACATATGTGTACGCATCTCCTCCGTATTTGTCCACTCGCCCGCTCGGCAGCAGGCTGAAGCTCGTGTCCAGCCCGCACGAGTACCTCCGCATGTTGTACACGTACTCCAGCCAGACAAGCCTGGACACACATACCGGGTGCCCCACCCACTCCGGGCTCACATACACGTCCTCCCCGCGCACGCGGCCCACAGGCCTGCTTTTGTACGCCAGCATCTCATTGTAAGTCATGTCTATACACGCTGCCACCTGCCCTGCCGCAAGCAGCACACATAGAAAACCAAAGAGCAATCCCATCTTTGGTAAAGTTGTTTTTTCGTTTAAATGCTGTCCAGAAATCAGCTGATCATGGAAAAAATAAAAAAGCTGTCAAACTCCCAAGCGGGCAAAAGTCGCTTCTTAGAGCCAGAAAAGCGCCGCGCGCTTTGGGCCCAAGCCTGCGCCTGCTGCCAACAAAAACAAAAACAAAACGCAGGCATGTGCACGGGCAGCTTATACAAAGTTGGCACTTTGCATGCGTAGTTTGTTTTTGTCATAAACACGGGGCAGGCCCGAGCCTGGTCTAGAGCCAGTTCCGCTAAAGATTTGTTGGCCTTTGGAGAACCCCAGCGGCCGGCTTTAGATTGACTTGTTTTTATGCTCTTCGAATTTCTGTGCGTTTTTTTTTGAAATTTCTCTCGTAACTATGCTTATAAGCGATCACTACTGTTTTCAGTTCTTACGCATCTATATCAAAAACACCAACCATGATCTTGGCCGTCTCCGATAGTGTGGAAATTCAGAGAATTCGCCACATTTATATAATTTATACTAGCATGCAATATGCACGCACACTCTGCACATGATTAAAGCCCGGACTCACAAGCCAGGCCCTCTTTGCACTTCTCTAATCCGCCCTTTGCTTTCTCTGTTTCCAGCCTCTCTTCCAATGCCTCTACAGCCCACTCCTTGCCCTCTTTCCCAACAAGACTTGCTGTGTGATCTGCCGCGCCCGAAAGTGCTGTCTGACCCACCCGCACACGTCTGCTCTATTTACAACGCCGTTGTATGCCTTCGGTCTCCCCTCTGTCTGCGCGTGTGTGCTCCTTCTCCCTTTGCTCGCGCACAAAAATAAAAACAAGTCTGTTTCTCTGCCTCTCTGTACTTAGTCAAGAGAAAAAACACGCATACGCACAACAACAAAGCCTCCTATACTCTAAAGAGCCTCCAAACATGAGAACACACCTCTCTGCGCCAAACTGTTCTTTTCTGTCTTCTCTTGCACCTTCTCTCTACCATATGCCTTTCTGTCTTTTCTACTATACTACACCACCATAACACTCCAAAAAATAAATTCTTCATTCTAGTTTTTTCCTTCCAACCCGTACAGACACACTGCTTTTGTTCACTTTATTTTTCTTTTTTTCCCGCAGAAAGACTGCCCACGCACCCTGCCACGCCAAAGCGCCCTGAACGGCAAGGATGCCCAAGTATACCCCCCCGCCACATCTATCGGCTGCCAAAACACCGTACCGCAGGAAGCTGTTTAGTGCGCCAGACCATTCTCTCCGCCCACTGGAAGCAGCGCTCGCACAGGAAATTAAGCAACAAACAAAGACGACTATACTGCCAGCTTTTCTGGCTCTGAACACACAAGGCCAGACAGGACTCCGGCTTTCTTATGCAGATGCACACTTTGCAGAGACATCTGTGCAGTTAACACACCATCATTTTGATGATCAACTAGCCAGTTACATGCAGACCCTGTGCTGCGCACTTCTTTTTCTAATAGGCCAGCCCGCCCGGGATAGGGACCCGTATGTAATGCATATAAAAAGCGTTTTTTTGCCCTTGATTATGCACGCAAAATTTTATGCACTTATGCTTGCAGCCCTGGCGCACTGCGCGCACGCGCGAGTGTCGTTTGACGAGGTCATGGAGATGCAAAGCACTGAAATAGGAAAGAGCCGCGCCTTCATCAACCCAAGAGGGCCGCTCTGCCTGCTGCGCGGGTTCGTGTACTCAGAACTGGCGTACACGCACAACAAGCGCTTCTTTTCGCCTGAAATAGAAACTGACTACAAAGTGGAGCCCGTTGGGGATGTTGAAACCACAGAAGAGCACAAATACACAAGAAACGCGCAGAATGACAAGCCCTATCCGTCTGCAGAGGAGCCCGCTGTGAGCTCCAAGCCTGCTGGCAAAAACTACGCCGAGGAGTACCACCGCACCCTCATCGAGATGTTTCCGTCCGTCGACGGGCACACTCTGTCGGTTGCTGTCGCCCGAGAGGACTCCTTCTTCCAGTTTCTGCAGGGGATGCCCACCAAACAGCACGCGCACTACGTGCTGGCTGCGCTCCTCCTGCTGAGCGAGGGCGTCGACGTGCCCATCAAGGCCACACAGAAAAAGATCACACTGGGAACAAGCATTCTTGGCAACTTGCCGCCAGAGCACAGAACAACTGTGGGAAAGGAAAGCAGCACAGTAGTGTTTAAAACAAAAAAAGACTTGTGCAAAAAGGCTGCCCAGGTCATAAACTTCTTCAATGACAACAAAGGCAAAGGAAAGCTGCCGTGCACGCAGAACGACTTCTGCACCGGCGACTTTCTAAACACGCCGCAGTTCCTCATACAGGCGTACCTCTTTGAGTACATCACGAGCAAGAGCAACGCCCTGGACTTCGCAGCGTGCGTCCACGCCATCCTCACAAGCCCGTTGAAAAAAGACTGCAAAGACGTATACAACACGTGCTTTGTGGAGAGTAAGGCTGAGGCCGAGGGAGACGAGCTTCTGCACCCGCTTGTGCAGATTCAGAAAGCCATGAAGAATCAGAACCCGTTCCCGTTCACCAGCCCGAGCATGCTGCCGGCGTACACAAGCGTGCATGCCTGCAAGAGAGGCCAAACAGAGTTTCTGGACGAAACATTCAGCAACTGCGTGGAGGCCGGCCTGCTTGCGCTCTTCTGCTGCCTTGCACACGACCCAGCCCAGAAAAAGTACGACGCAGACGCCATGCTCGGCGAGGAAAAGGAGGGTGAGAAAACAGAGGCCCTGCGTGCCTTCTTCCAATTGGAAAGTGTCACCCCAAAGACGTGCGCCACTAAAGACACAATGCAGGAGTGGAACCGCGTCGTGTCAGGCCTGCAGAGCGAGCACATTGCGTACAGAAGGGAGAGCCGAAACGAGGTGCGCTCCGGAATTTTCAACGCTCTCTACGTTGTGGCAGAGGTGACGGGCAGGCGAGAGAAGGAGGAGCCGAGAATACGCGAGCTTGAGCTGATGCTAGACGGCCAGGCTGGAAGAACCTCTGGGGGCGTGTTTGAAAAAACAAAAAAGTATGTGGCAGAGCTTTTCGCGTCCCTCTCTGTGGATAAGAGCTTAAAAGTCAGCTTTTCCGGCTTGAAGGTCGACGTCCGAAGCGACGGGCAGAAAGACCTCTATGGAGAGATCACCCTGAAGTACACAGACAAGGACAGCGTGATAGAGCAGAGCATATGTCTTGCCTTTCAGCCCAGGCATCTAATAGTCACCCTGTGCCCGTGGATGTTTCTTTCTTCTGCGAGTGGTAGAAAAGAGGCGTTTTTCTCGGTGGACGGCTGTCCAGAGCCCGAGGCCTTTGCCGAATGTCTGTTTGCCAAGTACGCGGACGCGTGGAGGGCCAGGAGCATAGGCCTTGGCAGAAATAGCAGTGCTGAAAATATTCTGAAGATCGCAGGCTGCCTACCGGAAAGCAGGACCTCTGCGCACCCAAACCAGCTTTTTGTGCTAGGACTCGCTCTGAGATACGAACAGGCACAAAAAATCATCGAGCACTTCACCCTGCATGCAGCAGCAAAGGGCATCGAGCTCACCCAGGAGCACCCGGGCGTGCGCCTTCTCTCGAACCTGCTCGGCAGCCTTCCGCTGGATGACTTCACAACGCAATACAATGTGCTGCAGTATAAAATCTCTCTGAATATGATGCGTGACCTATTTCCAAATATTATTCTGTCGAAGGAAGGGTTTTCTATAATCTATAAAAACACACCCGCTATCACCAGAATCGGGAGATACACCGGAGACAACTGCGCGCCCGCAGCAAACGCCATCTTAAAATACTTTAGAGAGTACAACGACAAAGCAGGCCAGCCTCTTTTCCAGTACAGTCAATTAAAAACCTGTACCGCCGTCTCTGAAATGTTTCCTGTTTTGCTTGCAGACAAGTCAACGCGCCACATAGACGAAATCAGCACGCTCCTTCTCAACGTGGAGAAGAAAAACCGGGAGAAGGCGCTGGACACCAAGGCAATATTTGACCTCCTCCTGTTTCTCGTCAGCTTGAAAAAAGATAACACCCCGCCTGAGCTGGTGCTTGCTCTGGGCATTCGGGTTGGGCCAAGGCTGGTCCAGATGTACAACAGTGACCCCGAATTCAGCCTTTATATAAGCAGGTACGAAGCCTATGCATTCCTGCAGGCTCTGAGCGCGCACAAGAGCGCTCTGCAGCAGATTCCCGGCGGAGAAGAGGCGTTCAACTGCGCGAAGAGCATGCTCCAGTTCACCATAAACGATAGCTATTAGCCTCTGCGCATGTGCGAATCTGGCCAAATTGCAAGGCATGCGATAACAGAGCTTCCTGAGAACAGCGTGTGCCAAGATAAACTTTTTAAAACGGCGAATGCGCCTTCATTTTGTGCCAGATCCAAAACCAGTTTTGGAGCGCTTTGCTTTTGCTATGCTGCAGACCTTTGTTTGGAAGGGGCTTTTCTTGCGCATTTGCATCGGAACTGCAGTCGCGATCGGTGTTTGCACCTTTTGCCTGCCAGAACGGGCCGGCAGCCCGCTGGCACTTCTCGCTTGCATGCTCGGCCCAGCAGGCCTTCTTCTCCAGGCTCTCTGTGTCCTCGCCATATCCACATTGCCCCGAGCTGCCTCCAGCTTTCTGTGTTCGATTGCTTGCACCTCTTTCTGAAAGCACACTTGTTGAGACGCTTAAAATTCCTCACGCCCGAAAACAGCCAAAAACGGCACGAGACACTCCCGGATCTTCCTACAAATGCTGCTGCGCTCGCAATCCTGGCAGGAAGGCGCGGCATATCCTTCTCGGGTTCTCGCGGGTGTGCACCCACTTCTCTGTGTTTCCGTTTCTCCACCCGGCACCATGCTATGTCTAAGCGCATGCTGCTTTTTGTTTTGCACTTCCCGCTGCCAACAAGTAAGTTAAATCAAGATGAAACTTGGTTTATACACCATAAACAGTCCTCTGGCAGCAAAAAAGAATCAATGGAGAAATAAAAAAGAAGCTACTTAGACTTGGAGAGTCCGAGCCTATCTTTCTTGGGGCTCTTCGCACCCGAATAGCCTTGCAAAGCTTATACATATTTTCTGTAATTCGCCCATCTCCACATCTTTAAACAAGGTCATACAAGGCACTCCCTTTTTGTACAGACGCTTGCTCTCTGCCCCAAAAGAGGCCTCCACCGTGCCTTCGCCTCCAGACACAGGCTGGGCTTTGTCTAGCTCCAAGCGCGCATCTAGTTTTTGCAGCTCTGCCAAAAGCTTCTTGTGATTTCCCATTGCAGCGCGCAAATCCGCACTATGCTCTTACAAGTCACCCAAAAGCCTTGCATGCTTTCTCTTCCAAGGCCGCCGCCAAGCCGAAAAGACTTTTTCTATTTACCTCTATCTGCACTGCGCCCTGCACACCCACCCCAGCGCCCAGGTGGAGTTCACAGTCTTTTCGGGACTTGCAGACATAGCGCACGAAAGGAAATGAAACACACCTCCACACATTCCCTTCCGAAAGCTTGCAAGAACGAAAACCAAAGCTCTCACAACAGCAGGGGAGATTTCGCAACTCCGGCACGAAAGGCTACGCCAAGACACGCCGCCAGGCGCACATAAGAGATCTACCAAAGACTTCTGCCTGAACGCAGGCTTCTTTCTGCGCTAGGCAGAAAAAGCACAAAAAGAATTTGCCGAAAATAGGCGAGACGCACAGAAAACACGCAAGGCAGCCAAAGCTTTGAAAAGCCCTGCCTATTCCCCGCGCTGCACGCTGAAAGGTCGTCCAATGAATCATGTTTATTAGCTGCGCACCGTCATGTTTTAGATAGTGAGCGCTTCTGCAGAGTGGGCGCAGAAAAGAGCACTCTTTGCGTTAGAGACTTTCCCGGCCTACTCATTTCTGGCTCAACACACTGCTGGCAGAAGCCTTACACTGTATTTGCGGCAGCCCCTTCTTACACGGGATGCACTCCTCCCAGGCCTGCTGCAGCTGCGCAATCAGATCCTCGGCCCTCTGCAAATCCTCCCCCGTGTGCTCTGCCCGCAAAAGAACGCAGATCTCTTTCAGCACTTCCCGCGGATTGGCCGCAGATAGCCACGTGCGATTACTTTTGTATTCAGAAGTACATTTCAGCATCTCGCACATGTACAGCGGCTCGCCTGTTCTCACAGCTTATTCCCGGAAATACTGCATTATGCTTTTGCATGTAAGCACGCGCGCCTCTTCGATGGAATACAGCCCGTCATATTTGGCAAATTTCTGCGAACTCCAAATATCCTGATGCAGCTGTTTGGCAAGCTGCACCGTCGGACACAATTTCTGCAGAGTCCCGGTGACCACAGGCACTCCAAAGACCCTACACTGCGCTGCCATGTCGCCAAGGTCGATGCTCCCTATCACGTTTGCAGCCAGCCGGCTTATTGGGTGTTCTGGAGTCAGCGCAATCTTGTTCTGTTCGGCATACAGCACAAGCGCAGAGACAAGATCCTCCCTGATGTCCTTGCCCGAAACCGGAAGCGCCAAAAGCACCTTATTCGGCCTGTCCGCGCTGTACTCAACAGCCTTTCTCGCGGCCTCCCGCAGCTCTTTGGTTATTGCGTATGAAAGGCTCTGCGCGGCTATCCCTATCGCCATCTGGTGCATGCACTCTGCAAGCACAAAACTCGAAAACCGCTCATGCTGCCTGTATTCTGCGGGCGCCACGTCCAGCTCATTCTGCAAGCTGTCAAAAGCGTTAAGCCATGGCAGCGAAATAGATATCTTCGAGGAGCCATTCTCATGGAACGACAGATCCAGAATTTGCTTGGTACGCGCGCAGAATTTCGCATACTTTATTATAAAAAAATAGCCTTTGTGCTCAGAGCCCTTCGAATGCTTCTGAATGGTCACCTCCACATCTTTGTCTACTGAGATTGACCACAGCAGCACCCGAACGCACTCGATCGCCTCGGGGGTCAGCTCTGTGCTTCTTTTGGCGTCCATGGCCGCTTGGTATGCTGCCAGCTTGTCCACCACGGCCTGCGGCCGCCCAGCCATCTGCGCAAGCACGCGCATCTGGTTTAAAAGCGTTGGCGCGGCATTCCCCAGCGCCTCCTTAAACTGCGTGTTCATCTTGACCCACAGGTCCCTGTACCTCTGCTGTTGTGTGACATTGGGAAGCCCGAAAGAGGAGCACTTTTTTTCAATGCACGCGTGCAGCTCACGCAAAAGCGCCCTGGTTTTCTCCACCTCCTCCGTGTTCTCGGCCCCGCCAGGAAGGCCCTCCAGGCTGTACGCGCGTTTTTCGGGGTCAAACGCAAGAAACCGCAATAGCAGGCACGCCCCAATAAACCTGCAGTTCGTGTCGCGGGCGTCAAAGTACTCCTCCTCCCCGTCTGAGACATCTTTTTTTTGGACTGCCATCCTTACTTCGTTTTGAAAGCGCTTAAACTCTTCCAAATACTCCAAGGCCGCTAAAGCAGGAAACGTCTCTAGAAACGGCGCGAGATACGCCTGGGCCTCGGGCAGACGGCTCGCAGGCACAAACATCCGCCCGGCCACGCTGTTCGCGTCTTTTAAGCTTTCTGCCAGCCCCATGCCCTCCACAAGCTTGAACGCACACTCCATCACAGACATGAGCTCCTCAGCGTTTTTCACGTACTCGCCTACGTATGTGAGAATAAGGAGCTGCGGGCTCTCCAGAAAGTCGCCCGACTGGAAGCCCTCATACCTGCTTGGCATCTTGTGTGTATCTCTGTACCGCTTGAAGAAGTTTATCACCTGCCAAGCCTCGGAAAGCTGCCCTTCCACACCGTCTAAAGCTGCCCCTCCTATGCGGGCATCAACCAGCACGTCATTGCTGCCTTTTCTTTTTCTTATAGTCACCCTGTCTTTGGCCAGCTCAATCGGCATGTCGACGCACTCGCTCAGGAGCAGCAGCGCTGCCAGCACATAGTGCGCCTCTGTTTGCGTCTTGCAGCCCTCCCGGAGGAACTGAATAAAAGAGCCTGCGCGCGCGCACTCAACCGTCAGGCAGTTGTACTCCGGCCCGCTAGATTTCCGCAGCCCAAACATCTGCAGAAGCGCCCTGTGAAACTCCACGCTGTATCCACCATCGCTAGCAGCCATTCCCGAATGCACCCAGTCCTTCTCCGGCTCTCTCGTATACGTATGCTTGTCTAAGTGCCTGTCCGGCACCAGACTGAAGCTTGTGTTCACCTTGCACGAGTACGCCCGCATTTTGTACGCATGCCCTAGCCGGCAAATCTGCGCTATGCACACCGGGTGCCCGCCCCAGCACGTGTTCACATACACGGGCTCTCCGCCCACGTGGCCCACCTCCTTGTTCTGGCACTCCAGCATCTCCTTGTGCGTCATGTATATGCATTTTGCTATCTGCGCTGCTGCAAGCAGTCCGCATAATAATCCTCCAAAACGCAATCTCATTTCTGAATAAAAATTCCTTTCTATTTATGCGTTTTGCTGTGATCAATTGATCGTGCCTTTTGATCATCACAAAACACATTAACATGTATATTGCGCGCAGGCTCTGCTTCCGCAGCCAAATCGGGTGCTGCTGTGCGCCTCTGCTCTCTTGGATTGCTCAGGCAAAGAAGCTGCAGCACAGAAACAGCCCGCACAGAGCAGAAAGGCTTCCAGAAGAGAGCGCTGCCGCATTCGGCAGCACCAAACTTCCCTGTGCTGCATTTATCCACCCGAACACGCATCTGCCCTTCCATTTCTTCCAACCCGGCAGCATCTCAGCCTCGCCCCCCCTTCACACATTCCTGCTTCTGCTGCCCAGTTCCTCTTGGATTTCTTTTTTAGCGTAAAGCCCCCCGACAAAAAGTACTACATCCGGGCACAAACCACAGCAGCCTGCATCTTTTATGCCCGCAGAAGCACAGTGTGTTTTTGAATAGCGCAAAGGCTTGTTTTCAGCTTGTCAGGAGTCGGGTCGTGCCGCATGGGCATCCATTCTGCGCAAGTGCCCGGCTTTTCGGGAGAGGCTGCCCAATCGCATTGTCTTGTACTCGCGGGAAAAGCCTGCCGTGCACACCCGAACAAGCTGCTCCCGAAATCGCAGCCAGCTTACAGCCAAAAAGCCACCCGAGCACACACTTTGTTTCTGCACGATCTGGAGATGCGCCGGAGCGCTCTGTCGCAGGTGCCCAGCGGAGAAGAGGTGTTCAACGGCATGGTGAAGACACTCCAGTCCATAGTAGACCAGAAAAACTAGCCGCTGCGCATGCGCGCACCAGAGGAAAGGCACAAGGCCTGCGGCCTTCCTACGCCCTCTGGGCTGTAGACAAATAAAAGCCTTTGCAAACTGCTTTGTTATGCCCGCGCTGCTCCCGGCCAGAGGAATGCGCCTGTGCATCGGGGTTATAATTTCTTTGGGCATTATGCATGTGCTGCGTTTTTATATAATTTGTGCCAAAAAAAAGAAAGAACTTCTAAAAGATTCGATGCGTTCACTGGCGTCCCAAGGCCTCCCTGCGGCAGCCGCGCTTTGCCCTCAGCCCTGCTCTCCGCCTTTAATTGAAACTTGCTTTTTTCTGCATGGAGAACAACCTAGCAAACTTTCTTTTCCTCTTTTTCTGCTAACTAGCTGCCATGTGCGGATACCCACGCGAAACACTGCCTTCTACTCACTCTCGGCCTGCTCAAACAGGCACAGCACCATTTGCCACTGTTTTGTCGCGCAGCCAACCCTGCCCCAGACACCAGCATGAATCTTGAAAAGGCGTTTATTTTTTTACTAGTTCGATTTATTGAATAATTTCCTACGCACACAGCTGTTTCTAGCATGCAATGGCGCTTTTGGGGAGGCGTTTATTTCGCAAAACACTAATCGCCCACAAAAATAAAAACAAGTCGGTCTCTCTGCCTCCCTACATAGCATAGAGAGAAAGAATGCCTCTGCACGCGCACCAGCAAAGCCCCCACACTCCACAGAGCCTCCAAACGTGAGCACACGCCGTCCTGCGCCAAACTGTCCTTTCCTGCCTTCTCTTGCCTCTTCTCTCTACCATATGCCTTTGTGTCTTTTCTATACTATACTACCAACATACTCCAAAAAATAAATTCTTCATTCTAGTTTTTTTGTCTCCAGCCTCTCCAGAACACTACATTTTGTTTACTTTATTTTTCTTTCTTTTCCTCTTCCTGACTTCGTGCATAAACAGCACTAAACAAGCAGTATCCCACAACAAGGTGCAGGTTGATAAGACACTCGCCCTTTCCTGACCCACTGCACCCACAAAGAACAACAGACAAATAGCCACTTGATTTATTGATTGTTTCCCTGTGCACACCCACCCAGCGCCCAGGCGGAAATTACGGTCTTTTCGGGGCTTACAGACATAGCGCACAAAAGGAAACGAAACGCACCTCCACGTGTTTCCTTCCAAATCGAATGGTTTCTTCCGAAAGCTGCAAGAAGGGAAATAAAACAAAGTTTTGGAAAGTGTGGTGGACATCACGCATCCACACAAGCCCATAACGGAAACATGTACTTTAATTTTATTTAAGGCAAATGTATAAATATCCGCTAGCTTTACAAAAGAAAGGAAAACTGCTTCAGCCATGAGCTCTAGCAGCCACTCGGCGTGCTGAAAGCACAGTTGCTCCTAAACTGGCTATTGCTTGGGTGGACCTAATTAAGGGGATTCATACTTAAACATTAGGGCACAAAGCAAACAAAGTCTATTTAAGCGGATTGAGAAACAATACAGGACAATTTCGCACGACTGCTTCCAGCATTACAGCACTGGCCGTGGCATAGGGCTGTTGCGCCCCGCTTTGCCAACAGCTGCTAGCACTGTTACACCTGATGAGTAGGACGCTGCACCTAGACGGCCTTTCGTATTTCCAGACTCCTTGGCTCTTGTGACAGAGAAACTCTAGGCATGCGCGCAAACCCAAGCACGTGAAGAGTGCATGCAGAGACATTGCGGCATACATCAGTAAGAAGCCCGGCTCCAGCAAAGTGCCCCTTTGTTTGAGAAGGCAGCCGAGGATACATCCAGGCCTAGGCCAGAACTGCCAAGCCTATTAGCGAATAATTGGCTATTTGTGAACGCGATTCTGTAGGTGCAAATAGCCGAATGATCAGCCATATGCGAGCCGGCGCTAGCATTGTGGCCTTCCCGAAAACAAAACACGCTATAACTGTCCCTCTGTCCACCCGCGCATTTAAGGCCGAATCCGCCGCCAGCTTGGAACAGCAGCACAGCTCTGCCACCCGTTGAAAACTCGGCAGCTTCCTGCGGCCTTTTTCTCCCGCGCCCACTAAACAAACTTGGCAGTTGCCTGCTCCAAAGCGCACATTTTTTGCTTCTTTATTTTCCATGGGGAGTCGGCCAAAGAACAGCACGCAGTGCACAATACACTTTTTTGGCATAAAACGAATGGTTGGCAGCAGCCACACCACACCCGCGGCTTCGCCGCTTGGGCACTGCGCAGCCCGAAAGCAGACAAAGGAAGGGCGCCAAACAATGCTTCCAAGTCAACCCCGGAATCTAATGCATACTTGGCAGTAGAGTTCATACAGCGCTTCAAACTTTGCGTAACCGCCTTCCCTCACAAGAACATTCCTTGCTCTATCCAGGCTGCCTAGTGTATATTCTAGATTTACGTTAAGCCAAAAATCGCAAAGCCTTCTAAGCTCTTTTTCAAGATGCCCTGGCTTAACAGTCTTGTAAATCTCAATAATTGCGTCTCGATTCTCCTCAAAGCCTCTCTTCAAAAGAAGCGCCAGCCAGGACAGCCGCAGCGCATTGGCCAGGGCCTTGGCCGTCACCAGGTCTTCTCCCGCGTTATCCGCTAGAACAAGCGCACACACTTCTTCTAGGAATGCCAGCGGGTCCGTTGCAAACAGGCCCACACTATTCTTTTCTATATTTGCATGCCCATGCAGCAGCTTACACTTGAACAGCGGCTCATTTTGTTTCTCTGCGTACGCTCGAAAATACCACATAAGGATTTCTCGTATAACCCGATCGGCCTTTTCGAAGGGATATAGCCCGAAATGCATATTATGCAGGTGTGAGTTCCAAAGTTCCCGTCGCGACTGTTCGGACAGCTGCAGCGCAGGGCACAGCGCCCGCAGAGTGCTGACGACTGCAGGCACTTTCAGGATATAACGCCGGTTCATCAAGTTGCCAAGGTCAATGCTCCCTATCATGTTCGCAACCAGCCGGCCTACTGGGTGTGCCAGCGTCAGCGCACTCTTCTTCTGCTCTGCATACAGCACCAGCGCTGTGACAAGCCCCTCCCTGAAGCACATGCCCACCACTGGCAGCACCATAAGCACGCCGGTCGGCCGGGCCGGGCTGCACTCAACTGCCCACCGCGCAGCTTCCTGCACATCTTCGATTGTTGTGCTTGGAAAGTTTAAAGTGTTCTTCGCAGCCGCCATTCGGTGCATGCACTCCGCAAGCACAAAACCCGAAAACAGCGCTTCCTTCCTGTACTGTGCGATCGCCATGCCTAATACATTCTTCTCTCTGCTAGAGAGAGTTCGGCGTGGCAGATTTAGATTTGTCACCCAAGACTCTTCTTGTGTGAACACCACCGTCATTTCACATACGTTGGTGCATTCAGGCACATGATTTATTGTAAGCATGCGTTTTTCGCTTATAAAGGAACCGCAGCTCTCTCTAACCCACACCTCCACACCTTTGTTTACCGCTATCGAGTGCAGCAGCGCCCGAACGCACTCGATCGCCTTAGGCTTCAACCCTGTGCTTCCTTCAGCATTCATGGCTGCCAGGTGCGCTGCCAGCTCGTCCACCACGGCCTGCGGCCGCCCGGTCATCTGCGCAAGCACGCGCATCTGGTTTAGAAACGTTGGCTTCAAACTCCCCAGCGCCTCTACAAACTGCGCATGCACCATGAGCCACAGCCTCCTGTATTTTTGCGCTTGGTCTTCACTGGACCAGCCCAAAAAACAGCTCTCTTCTATGCTCTTCTGCACCGCCTCAAAAAACGCCCTGGTTTTGGCCACCTCTTTTGTTTCCTCGGCCCCGGCCAGCAGGCCCTCCAGGCGGTACGCGCTCTTCTCCGGGTCGTATGCCAGGCACGGCAATAGCAGACACGCGCCAAGAAACCTGCAGTTTGTGCCGCAGTCGTCAAAGTACTCCTTCTTCCCGTCTGAGGCTCTGTCAATTCGGGTCGCATATTTGGCTTCTCTTTGAAGGCAGTCAAACTCTTCCAAGTGCTCCAAGGCTGCTAGAGCAGAAAGCCCCTCTAGAAACGGCGCGAGATGCGCCTGGGCCTCGGGCAGACGACTCGCAGGCACAAACAGCCGCCCGGCCATGCTGTTCGCGTCTTTTAGGCTTTCTGCCAGGCCCATGCCCTCCACAAGCGCAAACATGCACTCCATCACAGACATAAGCTCCTCCGCATTGCCTACGTACTCGCCTATGTACGTGAGAATAAGGAGCTGCGGGCTCTCCAGAAAGTCTCCCGTTTTAAACTCTTCGTATGTGCGTGGCAGTCTGTATATGCCTCTGTACCGCTTGAAGAAGCTCACCACATGCCACGTCTCGGATGGCTGCCTTTCTCCACTCTCCACGGCTGGCACGCACGCGTTCACCAGCACGTCCTCGCTGTCTTTTCTTTTTTTTATAATCACTCGGTTCCCAGAAGTCCGAATCGGCGCGTCAACGCCTTCGCTCAGCAGAACCAGCGCAGCCAGCACATAGTGTGCCTCTTTTTTTGTTCTGCAGCTCTCTCGAAGAAACTCTGTAAACGAGCACGGCCGCCCAGTTTCAACCGACAACTGTTCATCCGCGGTCAGCCCGAACATATACACAAGCGCTTGATGGAACTTCACGCTGTATTCTTCGTCTCCTGCAAGTAATACAGTGCTGGCAATGCCATCAGGAAGGTGTGCCCTGTCCTTCTCCGGCTCTCGGGTGTACGTATGCACCTCTTCTCTGTATTTGTCCACTTGCCCGCTCGGCACCAGGCTGAAGCTCGTGTCCAGCCCGCACGAGTACCTCCGCATGTTGTGCACGTATCCCAGCCACCCTAGCTTCGCTACACACACCGGGTGCCCCACCCACTCTGGGCTCACATACACGTCTTCCCCACGCACGCGGCCCACAGCCTTGCTCAGACCCTCCAGCATCTCTTCGTTCCCCACATCTATACATCTTGCCATCTGTCCTGCCGCAAGCAGCACACATAGAAAACCAAAGAGCAATCTCATCTTTGGAAAACTTTTTTTCGTTTAAATGCTGCCCAGCAACTAGCTGATCATGGGAAGAAAATAGAAAAACTGGCAAGCCCCCAAACCCGAAAACAACGCTTCTTAGAGCTAGAAAAGCGCCGCGCCTGCAGCCAACAAAAATAAAATGCATGCATTGTGCACGGGAAGCTTATACAATATGCACGCACACTCTGCGTATGAAAATAGCGCGAGCCAATTGCATGGCTTTCTGTTTTGTGCAAGCTGCACCCGAAAAACAAAAAACCGTGGCACAAGCTTGCAGCATGCCTGCAGAAAACAGCAAGGGAACACTCTGCTTTGTTTTGTGTTTTTTCGTTGCTACACGCATGCTTGCGCCAAGGCCAAATGTGCACAGAAACAGCATCAGGCATAGGCTCTTTATTCGCTATAGCGCACCAAAGCGCTTGCACACTTAAACAAAAGTCGTTTGCGCGAGCTTCGAGAGGCGGCCTGAAAGGGGCTAGCCGCTGTTTACATGCCAACAGAAGCCATGCACAGAGCAGACTCTGCGCCAGAATGCTTCGGGTGTTTATGCACAAAAGGAGGGCGCTGCCCTGAGAAAACTCTAGCTTTTCACGCAGAAAGCAGCAGCTTGTAAACTAAAGGCGCGAAAACATATTCCCACCCCAGTGTTTGGGCAAAGCTAAGAGGAAAGGGCGGTGAAGGAAGCCGCACAAAGCCACAGGCAGCTCGCCTGGGCAAGCTGCAGCAAATTGTGTTCTTCGCGCGCAGCAAGGAGCCCTTTGCAAGCTTACTCGGAGCAGTCCGAATCCGAGCAAGCCATTTCGTCTTGCTGCATCCTAGACCTCTGGCTCCAATACTTGGCTATGTCGGTGAAAATTTGGTGCACTTTCTTGAACTTGTCCAAGCCGCCGCTTGCTATGAGGGCTTCCCTCTCCCTTTCCATGCACACGAGGGAATAGGGCATGTCTGGGTAATCCCAGAAGTAGTAAAAGTCACTGCGGCTTGCTACATACGCAGGGCTTGGCTCGATAAGCATGTACACGCTGAGGAGCATGTCGTGATAGTGCGCAAAACCGCGCGACAGCACAATGCCAAACCAGGCAAGGGACAGCATGGCTACCAACTTTCTGGCCTTCTTCTGGCGCTCTGCAAGGACCTCGTCCAGAATAAGCGCAGAAAGCGCGGCCGCGTTGTCTGTATTTCTGTTTGCAAACAGGCATTCAAATATATTTTCCAGCCTACAGTAGCTAATCAGCTCTTTGCAGTTAAAGAGTGGGTTTCCAGACTCTTTCCGGTATTGCCTGAAATAGTCCATAAGGGCTGTGGTGTAGTCTTTGTGGATGCAGCTGTCGGCGTGCACGATAAAGCGCGCTGCAAAGTATACGTCGTCAAAAAGATATGCACGCCGGCCTTCGGATAGCTGTAGCATGGGAAACAGGCTCCGTATCGTGCCGGTAATGCACGGCATGCTGCAGGTGGTATTTGTCGAGCGAAGCACTTCCTATGACGTTGGAGACAAGGCGCACAATTGGATGGCTCCGGGTCAACGGAACCCCATACACCACCGAGTTCAAAATAAGCCCATCAACAACCAACTTTTTGCACATCAGAGTTTGTATAGGGTGCAGCAAAAGAACCCGATTCGGGTTATTCGGGCTGCTCCTTGCGATGGCTCTTGTAGCATCCCACAGCTTTTGGGACAAATCCAAAGGGGGCTCGGAAAATCTTCTCTGCGCAGCCGTTCTGCTCAGATACTCAGCAAACACGCAGCTCGCAAACGATCCGTGCATTCGGTAGGAGGCACACTCCACAGACGCCAGTCTTTTCATGTGCACAGAAAACCCCCGGACGGGTAGGCTCATTTCAACCTTCATGTGGCCTCTGTTGAACTCTATTTCTACCTTATAATGGTGCGCCCCGTCTGTGCTCTGGTGGGCTATCAAAAGCGTTCCTTCCTCAGAGCTGCCGCGTCTTACATAATTATAGACACACACGCCTATGTTTTTACTTACCGCCAGCGCCGAAAAAACCTCGAAAACACATGCATTTACCTTCTGGGCTGCTTCTTCAGCGCAGTTCAAGGCCTGTCCTATCTCCTCCTTACACTTCTGTATCGCCGGAAGAAGCTCTGCGGCTCTGCCAGATATTTGGACAAGCACGCACATAAGGTCCAGTATCCCAGAACCCTTCCCGCGAAGGCTTTCCTTAAGATGCCTGTTTTTTCCAAACCACCGGGTTATCTTTGGCCACGTCCACTCCAAGTGTGATGTCAAAGCAGAGCACACGATCATTTGGTTCTGCTCTTCACTAAGAAGTTTTCGTGTGCGCTCTGTCTCCCCCGAGCTTTCGCTTTTGCACAAAAACCCGTTTATGTCGTACAGCATCTTGTCGGGGTTGTATGCAAGGCATAGAAGAAGCGCGCGCAGGCCTTTTTCTGTGCAGAAAACCGGCTCCTCTTCCAAAGAGCCCGCATGTCTTTGGCAGCCGTATTCTCCACACACAGGCAAGTCCGGCTGGCTTGGTGTATTTTGCCGCCTCTGCGCCTGTGCAGCAAGGCCCAGGCACTCCAATAGCTCTGCGTGCGCATGGGTTTCTATAAGCGGTAAAAAATGCTGCAGCTTCGTGCGCAGATCCTCACTTGGCATGAACAGCCTGCTAAACACGCTTTCTGCCGAGCTGCTGGCTGCGGGAAGCTCGGGAAGCAGCCCCAGACCCTCCAGAAGCTCTAGCACGCACTCGAAAAACCTCACCATGTCTTTGGTACTGCCTATGTACTCGTATATGTATGTGCTGATCAGAAACTGCGGACACTCCAGAAAGCCGCCCGTCTGAAACTCGAAAAATGTGTTTGGCATGCTTCTAGTGTTCTTGTGCTTCTTAAAAAAGCCCACGACCTGGCACACATTCTGCGAAACCCTTTCGGCATCCAGACCCTTGCCTATTGTAAAGATGTCATGCAATGGCGCATTCGGGCCTTTTCTGCACGCCAGAACAACTTTGTCGCCAGCCGCCTCGATGGGCACATCCACGCCCTCGCTCAGCAAAAGCAGCGCCGCCAATATGTAGAGCGGCTGGTCTTTCCTGCAGCACCTGCGCAGGAAGCCTGTGAAAGAGTCCGTCTGCGTGGATTCAATGGAAAGGCGCTCATCGGTTCCTAATGGAAACATCAGTATCATTGCGGTGCAGTACTCGCTTGCATATTCACTGTCTTCGCTTTCTGCTAAGACATTTGGAGTCGCCATAAACAGATGCGCCGTGTCGTGGCACGGAGTTCGCGTGTACTTGTAATAATCCAGCCCATTGCTAGATCCATTCAGAGATAGCCCAAAGCTCGCCCGCATGCTGGACAGAAACATCCGCGCGTTTTGCATAAAGCCCAGATGCCTGCTTATGTAGGCGCACATAGGGCTTCCGTGCCAGTAGCAGTTCAAGCCCACAGAAACCCCCCCTACACTGCCCAGCATGCGCATGTGGAGGTCTAGCATGTCGTCAAAAGACATCTCCATGCACCGCACAGCGCCTGCGGGCGCCTGCTGGAGCCACAGCAGGAAACACACATTTATTATGCGCCAAATCTGTTTTCTTTTGTGTCTTAGTTTCATTTTTAAATCAGCGCTTTTTAATTTTATATTTGCGTCTAGTTTGAAGAAGCAGCCATCAAAGCATAAACGGGCTGCAGCAATTTACTGCACCTTCTGTGCCGCCTCTTTCCCCGCGTGCTCAGGCTATTGTTAACGAAAACCCGAAAAATGCCGAAAACATTTATTTAAGCGCCACCACTCGGGAAGTAAAGGCATGCCAGAAAGCCTCTACAAAGAAGGCAGGCTGGAGTGGCGCTGGCAATGCAGAAATAAAAACCACACGCCGCACTTTCCAGATACCAGCTGCCCGCGCCGCGGAGTGCATCATCTTCGGCCGGTACGCAAGGAGTTTTCGGGCCTTCAGTGCTTTTTTTGTAAATCCGCCCTGCTTGCAGAAGGCTTTTCCTTGGCATGAAAGCAGCGCGTTTCGCACGCTTCACTCGCCAGCACACCCTTATAGGCCTTTGGGGCCTTGCTTTTCACAACTGTGCCAAAGAAATACGTTAGAGTTCCGGCGCCACAGATTGCGCCTATGCAGAATCCAGAAAGTGCCCAAACACATCTGCAGCCCATATGTCTTGGCATCTAGAGGAAATAAAATTCAAAGCAATAGCCAAAAATGCAATGTGGCATCAGAATGATTACGCAATGAATGTGCAGGCCTGCATATATTTGGCACAGAAAATTTAGCCAAAGAGCCCACCCTCATGTTCTTGAGCGGCTATCCAAGCTTCTTGCACGGGCGCACCTTAAATGAACAGGCTGCGCCAAGCAGAAAACACAGTGCGCTTGCATTTTTAGGATAGACTAGCAGCCGCATGCCACGCTCTCTACACGCCCCTGCCTCTGCTCTACATCGCCCGATTGTGGAAAAAAAACCTAACCAGCTGGTTGTGTATTCGAAGCTCGGGCTTGAATTTCCGCACGCTTCGAATAGCCAAATATGTGTGCTCGGGCACACAGAGGCTGCGCGAAGGCTGCTCTGCAGACACCACGCCGGCGTGAATGTCGCTTACTTTCCTGAGCTGCCCGCCCGCCTCCATGTTTAGTGTATACCCGCACACCATTGCATCCTCTGCAGCATAATGACTGATGATTTTGCCAATCATGCTTTCTATGAAGTTGTGCTTTTCTATAGCACTGCCTCCAGGCACGTATTTGAACCTGTAGTGCGTGTATATCTCCAGGTTTTCGTGGACTCTTGTGTACCAGCACGCTGTTGTGCTGTTGAGAAGCCTAAAGCAATACTCCCAGCACCGGGGCGCGCCCGCAGGGCTTCCGATGTAAAAGTCGCTGTACATTGCTTCCTGGTACTTGTACAGCATGCTCGGGCTTTTCATAAAAAAGCTGTGTAGTGGATTTTCAGTATACACATACACGCTCGGCTTCACCCCCTTGTGCACAAGCTCGTGAAAAGACACCAGCGGGTGCCCTTCAAGGTTATGCTCTGTGTAGGGAGATAAAAACAGCGCGCTCCGGAAAAAGGGCGGCATAAACAGCGGAATCTGTATTTTTCCGGCGGGGCTCATTGGACTCCTGAACACCGCCAGCGTGAAATAGCCACTCGCCAGAGGCTCTGAAATGTAGTAGAACACAACAGTGAGATCCTTCACGCTTTTGAAAAGATCCTGGCCCGTAAGCATGATCCACTCTCCTGTTGCGTGCTGGAACTTTAGCGCGCGCACCTTGTATATGTTTATCTCGAAAACCATGGAGATGTGCCTGATAATGTCTGATATTCTGTGGATGTGCACCATGCTTTCGCCAATTTTGCACAAAGGCATGCACATCTGTCTATATGTCTGGGCATTGTTGTCCACAAAGTGGATGTGGTAGTGCTCCGGCCAGCCCTCTGCACTCAGAGGGCCTTCTATGTATTGGAGACTTGTTTGCTCCTCCAGGCACACGATGGTTTCGTTGGTGCAAGAAAAAGACACGGTGCTTTTTGCATACAGCTGGCCTGTAACCGCAGCCTTTCCTAGCATTCTACAAAAGCTGCGCACTGAGCTGCGCGCCACTATTCTGTATTCCGCTGCGCAGTTTTTGTAGAACAGCTTGAGCGCATGCTGTATGATCGGATACATTGCCTGTGCAGCTTTCTTGCCCTTTTGTGGCATCTTCTCTATAAGGCGCTGGTAGTTCTTCTCTTTTTCTTTAGATAGGTATGGATAGTTCGCCGCTTGTTTGTTTATGGACACCCACAGAAACTCCAACACTATTATAGCCTTTTCTGTGCAGGCTATCTCTTCCTGTTTGGAATTCGGGTTATTCCGCATGCAATATATGGCGCCAGTAAACACTTTTCTGCTCATATACATAAAGTCTCTAGAAACCTCTGGCATAAATATGACAAAGGCAAAGCTGTTCCAGAAAAGAGGATGGGGGTTGGGCATAAAGTCTTTCCAGTGCGCCGGGTGCTCTAAATAAATCGGGTCGTATGCAAAGATGTCCCTGCACAGCCTTTTTTTTCTGCAGCAGACTCTTTGAGCCATCTTCAAGGGGCTCTCCTGCGGGCTGTTTTGGCGCACATAGGCCAAGCAGTCAATGAAAAAGTCCGGATAGTAGTGTGCAAACCCCTTTTTCTGCAAATCAGCACTGTTGCGCAAAGAAGCCAGGACACCAAAGGCCTTCTCCAGCTCCTGGGCGTCGCTTAAAAACACGAGAAGAAAAGACCATATGCTGCACCCAGGCTCCTGAGCAGCAAGAATCTGGCTAAAAGCCGGCAAGCACGGGGGTTTCGGCCTCCTGCTAGATTCAAACCCAAAGCCGTTGGCATCGTGCATGTTTTTCGGGTGCCCCTGCACCAAAAGATAGCTATCCATCAAAAAAAGGCTTTTGTAGACGTATAGCAGAGTGTTTTTGTTCAGAAGTGCAGTCATTTTCTCACCAAAAGCAGAATTTTCGCACCTTGCACTCTCTGGAGAGGGCCTGCGCACAATAAAGCTGGGCAGCCTCCCGCCGCGCCCGGTTGGCTGCGCTGCATCAGGCATGGGGGTGCAAGAAGCTGCGCGTTCTTCGGACGCAGCATTGTCTTGCGCGGGCTTCTGTTTTTTACTAGCTGGCTCCGAGAAGCCCTCGATTGCTCTTTTTTCTTTTTCCACGCAAACACCCGCCTGCGTGGCAGAGGAAAAAGGGACCCCCGGGGTTTGCGTGTTTGGCGCGCTCCCTCCAGGCAAGAACCCATTTTTGAGCAAGGCGGGCACCTCGCCAAGGCCTCCCCAGGGAAACTCACTGCAAAGTCTTTTGCTCATGCGGATAATCTGCTCTGCTGCTTCTCTCTTCTCTAGTTCCTCGAAGCTTAGGTCTCTAGAAGAAGGGCCGCACTGTGCATTTCTTTCTTCGCCGCGCCTCTGAAAAGAGCCAGCTGCGCTCTGGATGCGCAGACAGCCCAGAAACAGCGCATACGCGGCTATCTGTTTTGTCTTTCTTACTTTCATACGCATTTGAGATAAAAATAAATGATATTTTTAACTAGTTAGATTTATTGAACAATTTCTGTCCTAATTCCGGGCCGTGCTCGCATTGCTGTCTAAGATAAGTTCCAGTAAAGATTTGCTGTCCTTTGCAGAATTATGGCTTTCGACAATCGATTGGCGTAATATTATGGTGTTCTTATATTGTGGGATCTGGCATTGAACTTGCTCGCGTGTTTGTGCTTTGCGCAATCACTAATGATCTCAAATTCTTCGCATCCATATCAGACACGTCTTGTCAGGATCTCGCCGTCTCCGATCTTGTGGGAATTCCAACAACTCACCACAATGTCCTACGCACACAGCTGTTTCCAGCATGCAATGGCGCTTTTGGAAAAAATAAATGATGTGCCGCCGGGTTTTTAAAGTTTTCCGAAAAGAGGGGGGCGCTGCCGCAGGGCCCGGGCCCAAAGCTTGGAACAATGCCGCGGAAAGGCGCACCCGCCCTAGAAACAGGATATGCAAGCGCCGGCTGCTTTCTGCCGGCATTCGGCGCCTTTAGGGCCGCAGAAACGCTTATACAAGGCCAGGCCGCAGGTTGGTCAAATATGCACAGGGCTCTTAAAATGCAGAAAATGCCATTTATTGCACAGGCTCTTCGTTTGTCAAAGCCTCCAGAATATCCGCGGCCACGCCCAGCTGGCTTCGCATGCTGCTCCACGCAGGATAGAATATGGCGTATCGAAGCTCCCAGCCGTGCAGCGCATAAGGCATGCCTGCGGTGTTTCCAGCCATGCGGCGCGGATAGGCTGCTTTCCCGTCAATGGCCCAGTACGCTGTAGAGTTGCCGCACAAAGAGCTCTGGACGCACACAACAAACTCCTTTCTATACTGCGGCGCCATGTGCACATTTGAGTCGCGAATCACCATCGTTTTTATCTCCGGGCACCGCGGGTCTTTTGCTCTGTATGCAGCCTGCGCCGCTTCTGTGCCCTCCTTCGCGCGCATGCTGTAATACCACCCGGGGCCAGCTGTTCTACTGCAGTAGGTGTACAGGGTCTGGCCGGTCTCTTTGCCGTGCACCTCCTCTCTTTCTACCTTTAGAGACGAGTTTGCAATCCCCAGATCCAAGTCCAGCGAGCTCGTCAGCTCGTCTATGTGGATGGCGTTGTTGATGTAGTAGTCTTTTTCACTTTTCGGGTTAGCCATGTACACATACGGCGCCATGTTGACCACCTCGCTTAAGGCGCGTATGGCTGCAATCTCCTTGCTGTCTTGCGCTCTGCAAAGCGTGTGCCCAAAGCCAAAACAGTCCAGCGACTCCACAAACAGCTCGTTGAAGAACAGCGGAAAGCGCAGCATGCTTTGGTCCAAGGGTGTGCTGCTGCTTGAAGACGGCCCAAACACCACAAACCGCAGCAGCACCTGGCTGTGCCCGGACTCCGTCCCTTCTATGTAGTAAAACACCTGGATGTCGGTGCTTTCGCTTTTTGGCTCTGTATACTCTGCAACCTCCCGGTCTATGTATGTCCACCTGCGTGTTTGCAGATTCATTCCAAAAACGTGCAGGCTTTCCTCGGGCTTTTTGTACATGCCCGAGATGTACGCTATGATCTGCTTGCAGCTTAGCTTGTTGCTTCCCAGGACCGGAATTATCACCATCTCTCGCCTCTGCTTTTCGTTGTCTACATAGTACACGTGCTGCACGCGCATGTTGCTGAAGCAGGCCACGTCTTGCCTGCTTTTAAACGTTTTCTCTACAGACCTCAAACGCATCTGCCCGGTTTCCCCGTCTAGCTCAAAGACGCTTGTGTGGTGCGCCCTCGGAAACACGGTTTTTCGCCCCTGCAGAACCATGCCATTCACGCGTCGTGGGCAGACCTCATAGAAAACCGCCACGTGCTGGTATAGCGCCTCAAACAAGCTTTCAGAGGTTGCGCCGAGCTGGTTGGCGCCGCCGGGGGCGCCCGCGCTGTCAAGCAACAGCTGCGCTATTTCGCTACATGCGCTTTCCATTCTCTCGACATAGCTCGCCATGCTTGTTTTTTGGTCTTTGTGCAGCGCCATAGTGCTTGCGGCTTTGCGCAGCAAATCCAAAATCCGGATAAAGCGCTCTTGGCTGCACCCAAGCCCGTGCATTTCCAAATACCCGCGAAGAGTGTCCTGCCTCTCCTTGCTGCTTTCATACTCTTTTTGCATTTGCACAAAAAACAGCTCCTCCAGGCAGCTGAAATCCGTGTATATTTCGGGTATGGCAAAAAGAACTTGCATTGCTATGTTCAAGCCGTGCAATTTCGGGTTTTCCGGCACCACAGGATAGGCCGCAACTTCGTGCTGATGGGCCTCGAGCCTCTCCAAGAACAGAAGAAGGTCCCCCGTGGTGACGGTGTGTTCTCGACGGGCGCCTGGGAGGCTTTCCATCACCATGCTGTTACTCCCCGTGGTTGGCGCATGCATTTCTATAAAGGCAGCTGCCTGGCGAAACATTGCGGCAGTCCAGCCCTGCTCTTTGTGCAAGTCTAAATGCTTCTTGGAAGAGCGCACCATTTCCAAAAGGGTGGCGTGCTTAATGCACAGGCTTGACCCAAGCCGGGCTATAAGCCACAGCAGCGGCTTCTTTTTTTGCAGCCTGGCTACTTTAGGAGAGAGCTCTTCAACAGGGCCTATGCTTTCTTTGGGAAAAGAAAGAGGAGCGCCCTCTTTTTTCTGGTCTTCCTCCATGTGCTCTGCTTTGCTGCAGCACACACTCCCCGCAAAGCTTCTCCCGGTCCAACGTAAATAAAGCGTGAGCAAAATCGCTGAGAAAAGCACAACTGGGCTCCTGTAGGCTCCAAACGCCTCTAGTCTTCGGCTTCTTTGATTGTATTCTTTCATCTTATATTTTTATTTTCCTGGAATTATATGCTGTAAAAGAAATATATGCAGCATATATTAATATTGTACTATCACAAAATATTTTGCCATGCCTGTGCGCAAAAGCTCTGCTCAGCAGCTTTTCTGCGTGAAAAAACAGCCGCCTGGAAGACCAGCGCCCGGCCCTGAGGCGCCTTGCTGCTGTTTTCGCCTTCCCTACGCACCTGCCCAAAATAAAACAGCTGTCCACTTCGCATCTGGGCCTGGATGGTGTGTAGATTCCCAAGACTGCGCAGACACTGCACTGTTTCTGCTGCGCACCCGTGCCTTGCCAATCTGCACAGCCCTGGCGTTTGCAGACTTTCTCTGTATATGCATTTTACTACTGCCTTTCTTCTCTACCGTAGCCTCGAGCCAGACTAAAAATAAAAGTATACACATTTTGTTTTAAACTAAGCAGCAGGCCGCGCTGGGCATGGCCCGCTCGCACAAATTAAAACCCAAAGAAAAAGACAGCAAAATTCCACCAATGTACAGGCTGTAGTTTTCAAGACGCAAATCATATTAGGCCTGCTGCAAAATGTTGCGTGTTTATTTTGTTAGCCTGCACAGAGCACTCTTTCCAGAAAGAGTCCATTGGCCGTGCCCAAAGCGCAAGTTCGAGCCCCCGAATGTACACGGGCCCGGAGCACAGACAAAAAACGTGCGGCCATATGCTCGCGTTCACACCAGAACCCGTTCGATCTCTGAAGTTAAGCGCGTGACAGCTTTGATAGTACTGCGATGGGAGACCGCGTGGGAACACAGAGTGCTGCACTTTTTGTTTTGGGCGTGCGCCCGCGCCTTCTCTTTGGATTGCCAGAGCCATAGCGGGTGTGCTCTCCGATGGCCTTAGTATTGGCTCTGGTGCCGGTCTGTTGCCTGCCCGACGCTGTGTGGCTTCTTTCAGAGTTTGCCGCGCAGGCAAAAACAAAAATGCCCGGAGTGCATCAAAGACGCCGCAGAGCTGCAAAAACAGCGCGGAACCGCCCCGCACGGGGCCACACAAGCAGGACAGAGCGCCTGGCCTGCTGATAAAACCCGACAGAGGCATGCAGGCGCGAAAGTCTTTGCTTTTGGCAGTAGTAGACAACAAGCACATGCGATCATTTAGATCATTTAGCCCAAGCAGCCGAACAACTTGATTGAACAAAAACACATAAAAGCGCGTGGGTTTTCACATTTTAAAAATGAGCAGAGCTTTATACAAAACCACACAGGTTCTTTGCGCGCTGGCCTTTGCGCTGCATTGCACAAGATGCATGAACACGTCTAGCATACAAGAAGAGAACACATCAATGTCTAGAACAACTGTATCTGACGGCACGACGCAGAAGAGCTCCATGCAGAAAACATATATGCATAAAAGCTCAAAAACAGGCAGAACAGAGGTTGTTACAGAGGCACAAGAAACTATAAGCCCGGCCTCCAGGCAGGATTCTATTTTCAGATTACTGGAAGACCGCATGGACGATCTGAATCAGCTAAAAAGAACCACTTTGGAGGTTCCCATGGCCAACCCATACACAGCGGTCTCCTCGCATGTAGAGATCTACGAGGAAAACACATTAAAATCCACCCGCGAGCAGGTCATTTATTTGGTGCACCTGCTCATGAGCATTGACGAGCTGCGCTCTGAATTAACGCGCCCCAAACTTTTGGAAAAGTATCTGGAGCAGATCCGCCATGCACACCAAAAGCACGCGGATACTGGCACATGCACTGGAAACATTGTAAGCCACCTTTGCTCGGCTTTCAAGGCATTTATGGCAGCCAACGGAGAAAATGGAATCAAAGGCGAATGCCCGGTGATGGACAAGGACTGCATGGATTCGATTGACGCATTGGCTGCAGATATAATCGAAGTGCATCGATCCATGGTAGCAGAAAAGATGTCTCTGGCTTACCCTATCTTTGACACAATCCGGCTTGCGCTAATGGACTTTTACCAAGTAATTGGCTCGTATTTCCCGAGCGACCAAGTAAAAGGTAGGGCTATTTCCCAAGAATTGAAATGCGTATGGAACAAGAAGGAGCAAATGGGCAAAAACCCGTACACTCTTTTCTACGCATGCGGCATCACAGAAAGCATGAACTCCGAAGGGAAAGTGCAGCGGTCAAAAAGCGTGCGAAAGATTGGCAGCGGCTACCAATCTATGTCCCTGCAGTTTGAATAGCAAGGTGGGCTTGCTTACTGCGCAGGCCCTGCGGTGCAGTGCTAAGGTTTAAAGCAAAGCAATCAAAGCAGGGATGCATCTTTTTGTGCTAGTATAGGCGTGCAGTGGGTTTTAAATTTCCAAAACCCACGCAGCCTGGTGGAGCCAAGGCCTGGGCACAGCTCTACGACGCTAAGACTCTGACGCCTCTGAACGTATGGCACGCAAGAGGCTATGTGGAAAGCTAACCAATAAATCAAACTAGTTCCAAAAAAGCTTTTGTGCACGTATGTGCAGGAATAAAGCCGTGCCGAAGCACTGTACAACCCAGCAGCAAATGTTTTTCACTGAAGCAGGGCTAGACCTCTGGGCGCAGCGCGGGCTATGGCCGCTTCTATATATTTCGGCGCGCCAAAAGGCGCAGTAGGCCAGGGTTTTCTGACAGGCCTTTGGCAGGGGTGTTTGCATGGCGTGCGTTTATCGAGCTGGCCTCCAGCACGCTTCAGGAGCCCTGGTGGCACATGCCAAGCCTTTCGGCACTGTAAAGACCTAAAGTAAAAAGAGAGCGCATACACGCAGCACAGGAAAACAGGCGGTTTCAAGACGTGTTTATTCAACTAACTTTGGGCGCGTTTAGCTTCTTAGCTTGGGCTGCATAGATCTATATGCAAAATACGCAGAAGCACACATAAGACACATAGGGAGGCACCAGAATCGAAGCATACTCCATGCTATATGTATGAGGGAAATACTCTTAAGTTTTGATTCGGGGCTAAGCACTTCGCACATCGAGGGCTTCTTTTTAGCTATAAGGTCCAAGTACTGAACTGCAGTGTCTATATCCAGGCATTGCGCGGAGGATTTTTCTATATGAGCTATCAGACTTTCAGAATGAGACTCTACAAGCATTCTAACATTCGAAACCGCATCTACTTCTTTTCCAGAGGACAGAGTCAGCTTGTTTCTGTACAGCAAAATCTTTGTCAGAATCTGGGAAACATATTGACCCGGGGACATTAGCACCAGATACTGCATGACGACTGTCTTGGCGGTTGATAACCAAGCCATGCTCTTGGCTAAAAGCGACGGAGAGTCGCTTGCACTTGATAAGTCCCCCAAATAGTCTGGAATCTTATACGATGCCAATATGGGAAGATCTTTCATATAGAAGCCTGTGCGCTCCAAAGCAGCAACTTCTGCTGCCAATGGAAGGTGCCCAATAACAATAAGGTAGACGGCTGCTACAATGGGGAAAAACTTTATAGAAACCGGAATAAGGTTTAAAAGCACAGCGTGCAGCCCTAAAATACCCGAATACCCCAGCAGCAAAGCCGTAGGCAACGCCCAGCCAACAGTGATGTAGGGCTTGAGCGGAGCGTCTACTACAAAGCACATGCTCCAAAACACAAGCATATTCATAAGCCATATAATTGCCCCTTTCCGCACAAAGACGTCGAAAAACAGCGCAGTGATGTAATCTGCCGGCTTGATGCGTCCTTCATACGTGTTGGTTTTGCACAGCCTCTGGAACTTTTGGGTTTTAAAGTTGCTGGACACAAAGATGATCAGCAAAGTGTAGAAGTTCAAAACTCTGGAAAACATGAAGACTATCCGATCGAGCATTGCACCGTGGCCCATGATCGTCAGAACCCTGTTTATGGCATTTATGTGCGCTTCTTTGTTCGCTATCTCTATGGAGCTGAAATATTTTTTTATCTCGACAAAAAATCGCATGGTTATGTTGGTGTTTCCAAAAAGACTGAACTGTCTGTTATTGTACTCAATGACTTGGATAATAACCCCCATAAAGCCTATAAATACCCCGGGGACTAGAAAATCAGCGATCAGAGAGGATCCTCTAAACCACCTGTCAAAGTATGACAGCCATCTAAACAGCTCTCTTATGTTCACCCACGACACCTTTAGCATGTCTTTGTTGTGTACAAGGTTTCCTGCTGCAGGCGCTCCCTGCGGCCTCTGAAGGATAGCGTCTGCAATCCTGTTCAAAGCCGCTATGTTTTTTTTGTCCACCTCATTCTCGCTGTTTTCAGCAGAAAGCTTCATAATGTAGTTTATGTAGAAGGTGTCATCCGGAAACTCAACCCCTGCGCTGGTAAAGTATGCCTTTATTTCGCGGGTGGGCCCTGAGTAAACAATTGTGGAGCGGTGCATTATAACAGTGTTGTCAAACTTTTTCATCAGATCCTCCGAGACTTGGTGCACGGTGACAAGGTTTGTGGTCTGGGTGTTTGCCATTGTTGAAAGAATAACTCTTGCAATTTCAGAGTCCAGGCCCGATAAAGGCTCATCCCAAATGTTGAACTGCTTGTTCGACAGAAGCCCAATAATAACCATTGCTCTTTTCTGCTCTCCCCCAGAGAGCTTCACGAATCTTGTTTTTGCCGACTTTGAAAGCCTAAAGAGGTCCATGTACCCGTCCACATCCTCAATGGACCGGCCCTCGCATCTGGCAACTGAGCACAGTCCTTCGCGCAGTGGAATGTTTTCGTAGCTCACCACGTCCTGCTGTGAATAGTTTACTGTTGGAAACCACTCTTTGACATTTCTTTTCTCAAGCCCCCCGCTCTGGCTTTTGGTCCATATTTCGCCATATGTCTTGTGAGAGGGCGTGCAGTGGCCTGCAAGCCCGTTCATAAGCGTTGACTTGCCGTCTCCGCTAAGGCCTATCAGGGCAGTCAGTTTTCCCTCCGGAATGGAGAGTGAAGCTCTTTTTAGTAGCGAAATTCCACTTGCTGTTTCTATTTCATAGTCTTTCACCAACACAAGCGTGCCTTCCTGCGCCTGCGCATACTCAGGTTTAACATCCATCTTGTTGTCTTCGCGAGTAGGCTGCACATTCGCATTAGAAACCCCGCTCTGGTTCTCTTTTGTGGCTAACCTGTTTTCATTTGGCATATTTTCCATAAAACAATTTTTTTCATTCACATTTATACTTGAATATCTATAGTTGGCCTATCAATCAAATCAAAGACGATCAATCAACAGATAAAACATCCCCGATTAATTTTCTCCTTCTCAAACAACCTATCAAAAAGTTGTGGCAGTCCCACGCTAGAAACGTTCTGCATCAGTATATTTCATTGCGCATTTTCTGTGGTTGGTGTCTGTGCTTGCCTCTTCCCCATAGAAGTGGTGTGCGCTGTTTGCCCACCTGTGCCCAGGACCCGCGTTCATTCTGGCGCGTGCGTTGGACACAGGCAGCACATTTAGAGCATATTGTAACGCAGAAAATGCCCATGCAAAACGTTACCCTTTGTCGGTTTCCGGCCTGCTTAAATAGGCCTTGTTTTATTTGTTCTTGCTTTTTCTAATTATAGTGCCTCCTTTGCAGGGCCCTCTAAGCAGTGGCCAAACACAGGCAGCTGCGTTTTCGGCACAAAGCGCGCCTTGACGGCAGCAAGGGCGCTGCAGCACAGCAATCGCCTTGGCAAAGGCTCAAAGTGCGGCTTCTTTCGCGCAGAAGCATGCTGCTGCATTTCTTTTGCGCGCCACCATCTTCATGCACAACACAGCGCATGCGCGTTCATTCACCCGCAGCACCTAAGCCCTCTTTCGGCATACTTTGAGCTAGTGTGCGCACAGCCCCGCGCCAAGCAGAGAGATTAAACCCAGCCAAGCATCAGCACAGAAGAGGCATCCAAGCCCAAGAAAACGGCTTCCCGCGTAGTGTGTTTGAAGCCTGAGTTTAAGCATGCCGAATTGCCGGTTTCCCGGGCCAGAGCTTGCCCACGGCTTTTTGCGTTTTTATTTTTCAGCTGGTGCTTGCACTCTTGTCAGCCAAAATAGACAGGACTTTGTTTCTAGAGAAAAAACGTGATGCAAATAAAAACTGGCATATAGAAGAGTGACAGATGACGCGCTGATCACGCCCAGCCACTATATAAGAGACGTTTTGCGCCAGCAGAATGAAAAGAGAACTAAGCAAGATAGCATGTGCATGCGCACTTATTTACTACTGCGCATGCGCCATGATGCATGAACGCGCGGAGCACGGCAGCATGCAGCGCAGTCAAGATGCAGCATACAGTGATTTCATTGAGATGAAAGACCCCGGAAATTTCTATACGGTTACGCCCATGCGCGACAGCCCAAAGCCGTGCTGTTTTAGACGGCTCTTCAGAAACAAAAAGCGCGTGTGCGGGCTTATAGTTGTTGTTTGCATCGCCTTGGCCTCGCTTCTGGCTCTAACCTGCTTGAACATAAAAAACACGCAGAGAGAGCTAGCCCTCAATAAGTGCAACGAAATTCTAATAAGCAACGCAAAGACGTGCTATTCCATGTCCAAAGACGGAAGCATTCTGGAGCGCCTGCAGCTCGTGCGCTCAGACAAAATATTTTCTGGAAGCCTGCATGCCTCAAGCATGAAAAACAAGCCGATCTGCACAACAACCGTCAGCGGCTTCAACGAGACATTGAGCAACACAGAAAAGCACCTCAGCGTGCTGCACTCTCTCTGTCAGCTAGCTGTTGAGAAATCAATGGCCCCGATAACCCGCTTTGTGGAAAATGGCTACGCTTTATCAGGGAAGGCCATGCCCTCTGAGGAAGAGCTTAAATACTTTACCAAGCTTTTTGCTCGCTCTATAAGGACCCAGAAGCCGCACATTATTTACACGTTGGTAAACCTCTACAGCCCCGATGCGATAGCGCCCAGCATGCTTAAAAGTCTGAAAAACGCGGGCGGATACTGCAAGCCGCCCAAATAGGTTGGCGTAGATGCATGCAAGGCCCAAGGCCTGAAGAGCTTGCGCCGGCGGGCTGAGAACCCTGCTGGAAAGAGAGCAGCTTGGCGCACTTCCGATCTTCTGGCGCAGCCAAGCCCTTTGCATACGCCTGTGTATTTGCTCCTTGCCCGGCTCTGGCCCAGCTGCCAAAATGCAAAACAAAAGCGCCCCAGGCTTTTGCACAGCAGGGCAAAGTTCCAAATAAATTTATCTTGGTTTTAATTAGCGCCATTGAAAGCATGCTTGAAAGAAGAACACTGGAGGAGGCAATCCAGCAAATCATACTGAAAAAACTACACAGAAGAAGCATATACGAAAAGAGAGGAGCCCTTCTCAGTTGCGAGGACGCAGGCCTTCCCGTGAACGCCAAGGCGCTTGCCTTCTTTTTCTGTGTGGGGTTTGCAGGCATGTACTTAGCGCTCAGCTACGCCCCCCGAGGCGCCCAGCCATACTGACCCCGGCTTGGCTGGCTTGGGCAAAGACCCACGTGAAAGAGTGCCAACTTTATTATTAATATTACATTCCAAGCGCCCTTGTTGATGCGGGCCTACACCGAGAACAGAAAGTTGCACAGCAGATAGACAGACTCGGGAAGCATCTCGCAGGCCAGCACGTCCACAACCCATTGGCTGTCCTGCATGCACATGATCTCCTGAATTTCCCGGCACACGCCAGCATCAACAAAGTGCTTAAGCAGGTATGCCGACAGGCTGTCCAAAGATGCCTGCACAGTCTGCTCGACGTGCTCCAAAGAGTTTGCAAAAAAACCCTCGCACACGAGAAGCAGCAGATACCTCCATATTTCGGAAAGCCTCTTTGCCTGGCTCTGCGCATGCATAATAAATTCCTCTTGCGTGCTTGCTATCTTTAAAACAATCTCTAGCTGCCCGTTGGACAGTATTGACATAATGTCTCTTTTTGAAAGCACGCACGAAGCTAGAAGCCTCTCCACTTCGCTGGAAATCCTCAAAAAGCAAGGCGCCTGCAGATGCCCGTCCAGGCGCAGAGCCGACCCAGGCCGTTTGCTCTCTCTCAGAATGTTCCAAAGCGCCAGAAGCCCCTTGTATATGTATCTATGTGTAAAGGTGAGTAGCTCAGGCGGAAGCCGTTCCAGAACCGCCACAAGAAGAGGCATGCTTGTGTCTGACACATGGAGAAACGTGGATTTGGCTAAAAACAGGAGCGCACTATAGCACATTTCTGCGCGGGTGTCCAGCTTCAGAACGCTTTCGCCACAGTCGCAGCGTACGGCTCTGTATATCTTGCAGTGCTCGTGCTCTGTGCACTTGCTTTCGCACGGCTCGGGCGCATGTACTGTTTCGGGCAATAGAGATGCATGCGCTGCGCTAAGATTTTGGTGCCGGTATTTGCACACCCGCGGGCTTGCGCGCTGGCTTGCACACTCGCCTTTTTTGTGTGCGCGTTGGGCGTCTGTGTTTCTGTTGGTCTGTGCGCCTTCGTCTGCAGCTCCGCGCTCGGCGCTTTGCCTGTCCCTGCTTCTTTCCAAAGAGTCAGCCAGCATCTCCTCATACGCCTCTATGACTTCCTGCTCTATCTTTTCTCCGCAGCCTGTCGCCTCCTTGACCCGGTTGGCCGCCCACTCCACCATGATATCGCGCAGCTGCACCCCGAAAAGCGCAAGCTCCAGGCACGAAAACACGCGCCGAGCCTCGGAAAACCTGCAAGAAACGCTCCTCATGCAGAAAAGCATGCTCTTCAAACTCTGCTCGGATTGCACGCCGTTTGCATACATTTCGTTCAGGGCCGCGCAGACCTCCAAAACCCCGCTTGTCTCCACCAGCTCGATGCGCCTATGCGTTTTTGCCTCTATTTTCTTCTTTTTTGCCAGCAAGCCCACAATCTCTGGAAACATGTCTGACTTTTTCGGCTCAATGTACACTATCACAATTTCGCTGCCCTCCTTGCTCTGTGCGCTATGCGCGCACAGAACTTGCTCGTACGGGTAGCACACAATAATGTAGTACATGCGCAGCCTCTGGGTTTCATCGGGCTTCTGCCCCAGCTCCTTCGACACCACGCCCCACAGGTTTTTTTCGTCAATCGCCTGCAGGCCCCCGTTTGACACGACCATGCCAACAATGCTTTTTGTGAGCGCTGCATGGTTTGGCTGCACTCTGGGCAGCCCCAGGACCTCATTCACCTGGGCGTGCTGTTTTTCCGGGTCCACAGAAAAGTCAATAAGCGGAAGGACCGCAGAAGAGTGCACCCGTGTATGCCGCAGCTGCGGGTTGTTCAAAGTCTCAATGCCGCTGGCGTCTGTCAGCGGGTTGTACACCGTCCGAGGTGCATGGTCCGCCCACACCCCGCCAAAGCTGCCTCCCAGCTGCCCGCCCACGCCTGCGCCGGCAGCTCTCCCCACATGCAGCTCTGGGCCCGCAGCGCACGAGCCCCCATATGCAGACGAAGGCCCGGGAGCGCGCAGAGGCTCCGCGGACAAAAATGCGCTAAACTCAGACGCCCCAGAACCGGCCAGGCTTGCAGGGCTTTTCCGAGCAATCAGCGTCTTGCTGGCCCGCGGGCTTGCCTGCTGCGCCTTTTCTTCTCTGCCCATGGGCTCGCCTGGGTGCGCCGAAACGCCCTGCGCGCGCCCCGGAGTCCCTGCACCGCGCCCCAGCGGAAGCCCAGAGCCCAAAACAACCCCTAGAAGCCCAGAGCCCTGCCCAAAGCCCCGCGGGGTGCTGCGCGCTCCAACTGTGCTTTCCTCCGCATTTGCCACATGGGTCAGGCCCGTGCGCTTTGCGCTTTCCCAAAGCCTCCCCTCTGCGTCTCCGCCAAAGGAAAACGTCGTGGTTTCTGCCCCAGACTTCTTCTTTGGAGTCTCGCCAAGGCCTGGGCGCCCGCTGCTTGGGCTTGTTTGCTTTGCACAGTACAAAAACTCCGCAGGGGGCCGTGGGCTACTTGCGCCCAGGGAGGCGTTGGGGGCCGCCCCCGCCTCTGGAAAGTGTCCGTTCTCCTCCACTGACGAAATAAAAGACTCTACCGAGTGCCTGGGCTTTATGTGCGAGAAGCCTCCCGCCGCAGAGCTTGCGGAAGATGCCTCGGAAAAGCGGGAGGCGGAGGCGCACTGCACTCTGCCCCCGCCCCCCCTGTCCAGATACATGTTTGTGTAGTACGTCGGGCTTTTTGTGTAGATGGCCTTTGACAGAAAAGCCTCGCTTATGCTTATTTTTTTGCTTGCGCCTTTTTCCTGGCACACACTGCATCCCTTGCAGCCTTTTTTGCATTGCTCCTCTTCATGCATTTGCTTTTTACTAATTTGCTTTTCATTTATATCATTAAATGCCGCGCCCGCCTCGCATTGCCCTGCTGCTTTCACGTTTGGTGGCTCTTTAGCTCAGTGGTAGAGCGTTGCTCTCGTAAAGCAAAGGTCAGTGGTTCGAATCTGCTAAGAGCCTTTTTTTTTCTATCCCCATGCAAATTCTTTTCCAGCTTCCAAAGAGCCTTTCCGCCGCAGACATCCCCCCAAACGCCTCGCTTGGGACAGAGTTCTCCGTCGACGGGGTGGAGTACGTGATTTCCCTGGGCACGCCTCCGGACGCGGGCGTGCTGGTGAAGGGCACGCTCCAGAAAATAGATGCGCTTTACATCGTAAAGCCTAAATAAACGCGCTTTCAGCTTTTTTCCGCGAGCTTGCCCAACAGCTTGCCCGCACATATTAATATTAAATTGCTTTTTAATTTTTTCCATGGAGGACCTACGGCAGTACAGAGTCGAAAAGGACTACTTTGCAAGCAAAGACGCAATGAGGAGATTCCTGTTTACGTTTGAGAGCAGCGGGGCCCTTAAGTACATGGCGCAAATCAAAGCGCTTTGCACCACAAAAACAATCAACATAAACGCGGCAGACATCCTTGAGGACGGAAACACCGAGCTGTACTCCGACGTGCTGAGCAACACGATGCGGTACAGAGAAATGGTGTACGAAATCATAGACGAAATGATAAAAAACGAAGAAATAGAAATGCCGAAAGAAGACTTGTTTTTTGAGCACAGAAAAGCGCGCATTATGGAGCGGTACCCAAGCAAGTCTGTGTACGAGGTGCTTACCCGAAACATTCTCCGGTACTACGGCGTGAACATCTTCCGGACAGACGCGCTGACGTTCAACGAGGTGACGCCAAACATCATCGGGTCGCTTGTGTGCGTGCAGGGAATCGTGAGCAAAGCCTCGGAGGTGCACCCGTCCATAACGGTTGCAGTTTTTATGTGCGACTCCTGCACGTCCGAAGTGTTCCAGGAGGTGGACGGAGAAACGTTCCTCCCCCTCACCGAGTGCCCCTCAGAAAGATGCAGGACGGGGCGGACAAAGGGAACTCTGCACCTGCAGACGCGCTCGTCCAAGTTCCGGTCCAAGCAGGTGCTTCGCGTGCAGGAGATGGCGTCCGAGGTGGAGCCCGGCCGAGTTCCTCGGTCGATTAGCGTGGAGGTGTACGACGATCTGGTGAGAGCTGCGGCCCCCGGGACAGAGGTGGTCGTTTCGGGCATTTTTCTGCCAAAGCCAAACGAAGGCATCCAGAAGATGCGCATGGGCCTGCTTAGCGAAACCTACATCCTGGGGTCAAGCGTGCGCCCGATAAAGAAGGCGGCCCCTCTCAGAATTAAAGGCGCAAGCCCGGACGCCAGCGCAGAGCAAGGCGCCGAGGAAAACCACGAAAGCGCCGCACCCCCGGAGGAGAAAATGGCTTCATTGGATCTGATGATCCGCTCGATTGCGCCGGAAATATCAGGCATGGAAGACATAAAAAAGCTGCTTCTGCTGATGCTTATTGGAGGAGACACGTGCTCGGAGGGCGGCATGCGCATCCGGGGAGAAATAAACATTCTTCTTGTCGGGGACCCGGGGGTGGCAAAAAGTCAGCTGCTGAAGGCAGTGTGCAGGCTGTCGCCTCGCGGCATATTCACGACGGGGAAGGGAGCAAGCGGAGCTGGGCTAACCGCGTGCGTGTCCCGGGACCCTGAGACGGGAGAGCATATTCTGGAGGGCGGCGCGCTGGTCATGAGCGACGGCGGTGTTTGCTGCATTGACGAGTTTGACAAAATGCACGAAAGCGACCGGTCGTGCGTGCACGAGGCCATGGAGCAGCACCGAATCAGCATATCCAAGGCGGGAATAAACACAACACTGAACGCGCGGTGCTCGGTTCTGGCCGCAGCAAACCCCATCAGAGGGCGCTATGTTGAGAAGAAGGGGATTGCCTGGAACGCAGGCCTGCCCACCGCGCTTATTTCTCGGTTCGACGCGGTGAAGGTCATTCGAGACGTCGCGGGAAAGGGCGACGCTGAAATATGCAAGCACATTTTGAGCGTGCATCAGAGGAAAGGCGCCATACCTGGCGTGATGCCAACAGAGCTGCTTGCAAAGGAGATAAACAAGTGCAAGCTGATTGAGCCCACGCTTGGGCCAGATGTAGAGGAAAGAATAGTTTCTGCGTACGCGTCGGAGAGGGCCAGAGACGCAAGAATGCCTGGGAAAGGGCTTCCGGGCACTGCCCGCCGGGTTCTTTCGGTCCTCAGATTTTCCCAAGCCTTGGCCAAGGCTGAAAGAAGAAACACTGTGACAGTCGAGCACGTTGAAGAGGTGCTTCGGCTTCTGGGGTGCGACTCCACCGGGGTGTACGATATCATCATGTCGATTCCCGGCGAAGACCGAGGAGCATACCGAGTGGTGGAGCTTGAGGCTGTTTACAGAGAGGCAGGCCGTTTTGGCGCTTCGGAGATAGACGCGTGCATAAAGGAAAACCTTGTAAGCGGCGCATGGTCGCTGAGCGAGGACAAGCTAACAATTTTCAAATAGAGCAGGCGCGGCTTTGGTGCTGCTGCATGCTAGACACACATTTGGATAGGGTGTGGCAGCCCGGAGAAGCAACCCTCTGGGCTTTGCACGGGCCATTGGCCTTTGGGCAAGGGGCGCGGATGTTATGTCTTAGGCGAATAGCGAGCGTCAAGCACGCTCTTGTTTCCGAGAGAAGCGCCAGAAGACCAATCACATCCAGGCGGTCCGCAGGAGGTTTTTGGAATGCTCGACAGAGCGCACACAGAAAAAGATAGGCGCACGCTGCTCGTGCAAAAAAACAGGCATTGATGGAATGGAGTCTATTTCTGCCACAAAAAAGAATAAATAGCAAATGCTTCTGTGAACATATAACACATGGCACAAAAAAACATTTCATTACTATTCATAGCTCTTACACTCACCATCTTTGCCTCACAGATAGCAGCTGGCCTCTTTGGGTCTATAAGCGGCAGCTCCTCAAGCGAGGAAGTTTCTGCGTCAAGCGAGGAGGTTTCTATGTCAAGCGAGGAAGTTTCTATGTCAAGCGAGGAAGCTTCTGAGGCAAGCGCGAGTGCTTCTGAGGCAAGTATGAGTGCTGCTGGATCAAGTGCGAGTGCCGCTGGGTCAAGTCAGAGCGCGGGTGCTGCCGGGTCAAGCCAGAGTGCGATTGCTGCCGGATCAAGCAAGAGCGCGGGTGCCGCTGGGTCAAGCAAGAGCGCGGGCGCTGCCGGATCAAGCAAGAGTGCAGGCGCGGCCAAAAGCGCTGCGATTAACTCGTGAATAAGCGGCGCTGCGTTCAGGTTGCATGCGCACAGCTTGCTCTGTGGCCTGGATAGAGAAATAAAAATCTTGTAAGTACGGCTCTTTGTTTTTATGTGCATGTCTCTATGCTGTTTGTGCCGCACTTTTCTTTGCATATAAAAAGCCTGCAAACCCATGCTTTCCAGAGCGTGCCCAAAGAAGGCGCGCCCGCACACTCCTGCAATGCCCGGCTGAATGATCTGCAAAAATAGCAAACAACCGCAAACGTTTCCATCGCAAGCCTGCGCACCGCAAATCATGTGTAGGCCAAAGGGAGAGAATAGCCCCGAAACTTTATTTTTGGAATATAAATAGCCGTCGATAGCCCGGAGGCTTGAAGTTGCCATGCAAGATCTTCGGCCTCCAGCTGCAGAAAGCCACATCTGCAATTGAGCGGGCCCGCTCTACACAAGAAGCAAATTGGCATTGGCAGCGCTGCAGGGCAGCAGCGAGCCCGCGTGGGCTTCCCGCATGCCACCCGCATGCGCAGCTTCGTGAATCTTTTCTTACTTTGCTGCAGGTATAAAGTCGTCTATTCTGATAATTGTAGACGCACCATCGAGCGCGCCCGAGATTCCAGAAATAGAGACGTCCAGAGGCTGCACCACGTTCTCCTTCTTCATGTCTCCTTCGCCAACCGCCTTGATCGACACTCCATATGTTTTTTTTCCTTGGCTGTGCAGCTTTATCAGGCTCTCCACGGTTGAGATTGAGTTTGCTCCCGTGTTTATTGCCAGCATCTCGGGCACAGCCAGCAGGCCCTTGGCCAGCTCCTGCACGCAGTAGTTTATCTTTTGGTTTTCCGAGCCACTGTACTTGGCCAGCTCTGTGTAGCAAATCATCTCGGGCACCCCCCCTCCGTATATCATAAGAGGCTTGCTCACAGCCAGCCGGCCCACGTTGATTGCGTCGTTGAAGCTTCTGTCAACCTCCTCCAGTATCACGTCGTCGGTCGCCCGCAGAACAACCGTGCACACGCCCTTTCCTGCAGACAGCTTCACATGCCCCTCCAGCTCGTCCACGTGGCACTTCCCTATCATGCTGTCCTTTATGTCCGTTATGTCGACAACCGGGGAAATCCCCATCTGCTCGACACACAGCTCGACCTCCTTTCTTTCCACGCCGTCCACCACCATAATGCCCATTCTCTCCAGGAAGTGCATGCCCAGCTCGGACAGCGACTCCCGAATAATGCTCTTCTGGAGAATTATAAGGTCTATTCCCTTGTCCTTTATGTGCTTGCACAGCGAAAGCACATGCGCCTTTTCCTCCCGAATCACCTGCTCCATTGACTCGTAGTTGCTGACCGTTATTTTTGCGTCAAGCGACGGCTTGGACTGCCCAATTGTGCACTGGAAAATAGCCACCTTCATCTCTCTGGGCACAAACTTGGTCTTTCTCTTTAAAGGCGTCGGCAGAACTATTCCTGGAACCATTTCAGTGTCCTCCATGTTTCCCCGTATTTTCACCCTTCGCACGTTGCTAAGATTCAAGCTCTGCGTTTCCTTGTCCGTGCTGTTTTCTATCACCTGCATGGTCACCTCTGTTATCTTGCCTATATACGCATTCACTATCTTAGAGTTCAGGGAAATGCGGATGCAGTCCTTCATGTCCACGCTGCCCTTCATCTCCAGCGCGTTTTCCGTCAGCGCCGCCTTGCACAGGTTCTTTGCGACCTCCATGGCCTCCGCAACAATGACAGGGTGGATTTTCTTGCTGACAAGCTCCAAGGCCTGCTCCACCAGCGCGCACAGAAGCAGAGTTACGCTGGTTGTTCCGTCTCCGCTTTGCTCGTCCTGCGAGTGCGATATGTTGCATATCAGCTGCGCAATTGGATGCTTCATTTTCATTGTTTTCAGGATTGTGCTTCCGTCGTTTGTTATTGTGGTGTTCATCCCCTGCGTGATCATTTTGTCCATTCCCTTGGGCCCCAGGCTTGTCCCCATCGTTGACCGAATGGACTGCACCACCGCGCTCACCCGCCTTTTCACTTCCTCGGCTCTACTTCCTTGCTCCTTCATATTCTTAGAAAAGAAATTTTTGCTTATGAATTTCTCCCGCATACAGAACTTGCAAAATTGCAGCTCTTCTGCGCTTTCCGAAATGGAGCACTGCGAAAAGCTCACCTGTGTTTCGGACGACGAAAAAGTCTATGGCGGATTCCTTGGGGGCCTATACAAAACAGCAGGCCTGTCTCCGCAGAGGGTCGCAAAAATAAACAGCCCGGTCTCTTTTATCGCGCGAGGGCCGCGGGCTCCAGACGAGCTCTCCCCGCCAGGAAAGCCTCTGCACGCAGCCTGCGCCCAAAAGGAAAACAGCAAGATGAAGGAAGAATCTGCTTTCTTCTCTAAGTACATCATAGGAGACTGGGATGGAAACATCCACATTGGAGGCCAGAAGATAAAAGTGTCCGAGGGGGCATACCCCATCAAGTGCATACTCCCTATAGAGCACGGGGTGGTGGCCTGCGACCCAGCCAATGTGTACGTCTGGCAGAATGGCGCAGTTTTTTCTGCGCGCATTGGAGCATGGCCGCTGGCCCTTGAGGTCCTGCGCGGCGAAATAGTGGCTACAACAGGATACACCGTCCACTACCTGCGCATACAGGCCAGCCAGATAAAAGAAATTGCGAGGGTAGAGCTGCAGCGGGACTCTGGGCACACCGAGACGCTTACCTGCATAGACCGCGCGCAGAAGACCATTGGAGGAAGCATAGGCGGATGGATAATGCGCATCGAGGACAAGGAGGACCAAGCGCGCTGCAGGCTGTCCAAGGTCATGAAGCTATCCGAAGAGAAGCTCACGGGAATATCTGCATACGAGCACAGAGGATCCCTGTATTACATATGCAGCACAGGAAACAGCGTGTTCATTGTGGACGCCAAGCAAAAAAGAGTCCTAGAGACGTTCTGCATTGCAAAGGACCACGGAGTGTTTTACTCGGGCTGCATACGCGACGAAAAGCTGGCCTTGCTAGCATTTAATAGAAACTTCACAGTATACAGGCTGCAGCCCTCTGTGTTTGCTGCCTGCGTTCCTGGAGAGCCAGCAGCCGCCGCCCGCCCGGAAAGCCCAGCAAAGAGCGGAGGAGATGCGTACGAGGAGCTTCTTAAAGAGCTGAACGAAGGGGCCTTTGACTAGAAGCCGCGCATTTTCAGAAACATGCTGCGCCGTGCCTTTTTCTGTCCAGAGCGCATGCTCTTTTCTTTTTTAAACAAAAACAGGATAGCATTTCATCACGCTTTTTCGGGTTATTAATGCAGAGAGCATCTTTTTGATGCATGTTAAAAACATAAAACGCGAGATAATTTTTGAGGAATGCGATTGTCGACTTTCATTATACTGCTGCTTGCACTTTTCGGGTGCGTGCCTAATGCTTCCTGCACTTCACAGTATTATAAAAACTCAGAAATCATGTATACAGAGGACTTGGCCGGAGAGGGCCCGTCCTCCTCTCATCCAGAAACGCAAGCCTACAATATAATGCCAAACGAAAACCCAAAAAACCTATCGAGTTTTAATTTGTCGGCTTCTGATGCGACCGAACAACCCCAAAACACGCAGAAATGCTCTTGCTGTACATTCAAACTGTGCTTTTTCCTTTGCTGCTTCTGCCTGGTGTTCGTTGCCGGGGCCATGTATCTTGTGTGCTACAAGTATTTCTCTTAAGAAGGCATGCCTCTGCATTGGGCCAGCCAGTGCAGACTCTTCCAATAAAAACTCGCAGTTCTACTGTGGCACTTATTTGGGTCAGCTGCAGCCAAGTGCAGGATGCCTAGGCCTTCTGCATGCTTCCAAGACAGACGCCTTGGAAAAAGAATAAAGCATATGTGCTTGAAGACAAATATATATGTATTTTAAAACAAAATGGGCACTTGCTTGGCCAGATCCTGCGGCAGCAATGGGATTTTGCATAAGCACGCCGCCCAGCCTAGTTTTTCTGGCAGCTTTCTCCACGCTTTACTTTGAGGCGCGCGCCGCGCCCAGAATGCCCATTTTGGCAGGCTACTGCGCATTATAGAAGCTTTGTGCTGGAAAGCCCTGCCCTGGTGTGCTACCGGGCCCCAACATGGCACACCGTCAAACCGCGCAATTTGCGTAAGAAGGGCGGTCTTGCGCGGCCCAGCTTGTGATGTCTTTTCGGGTTTTGCATAGCGGCGCTTGCGTTGGCTCCACGCGCTCGCCCCCGCCCTCTAGCAACTTTGCATGCGATTCTATTAAAGACGCAAATTTTATTTTTCCTATGAATGGAGGACAGCAAGGCCAAGGAGGATACTCCTCTGGCCTATTCAACACAAGTCCTATGCAAAGACAGAGCCAAGATATGTACAGAGGATCTTATGCATCAAACAACATGTATTCCATGTCCCAGCCCCATGGAGCATTTGCAAATCAAATGCCAAGCAACTCACCAATTAAAGTGTGCCCATCCACGCCGCACACCTTACTTGAGCCGTACAAAATGGAAACAAAAAACGAAAACGGAATTATGGTGAGCAGCAGGTGCATTACTACAATGGACAGATATTGTTCTTTTTCTATGGAGGAGCTTCGATGCGCAGACTATCTAAAGGGCCACAAGGGCACAATTGTGCAGAGGCCGTACAGCGCATACGGCGCGCAAAGCTACCAACAGAAGCCGTCTGAAATGATGGGGTCAAGCCTGTTCCACAAAGTGCCAGAGCCCACAAGCTCGTTTGGATCTCTTTCGCAGCCGGGGTTTCAATCGCAGCCACGGCCCACAAGCATGTTTTCGTCCTCACCAAGCATGTCCAACAGCATGTTTTCTCAGACACAGCAGCCCCATTCTCCGTACTCCCAGCAAAGCAGCTCATTTATGAACCACACACAAAGCACTGCGTTTCCTGCACAGAACAGCACGAGCTCGCTGGGGTACAGCAACCCATACGCGCCGCAGACTCCAGCAGCACACACGCCCAGCACAAGCATGTTTTCCTCGCTGGGACAGCAGCCTGCGCCCTACGCACACAGCCTGGGTAGCCAGCCGCAACAGCCGCAAACCACCTCCTCTTTTTCTTCGCTAGGGGGTATAGGGACCCAGCAGAGCTCGCTTGGCTCGCTGGGAAGCAGCTCTGCGCCACAAGGCAGCTCTCTTTTTGGATTTGGCAGCTCGCCTTCCACCAACGTGCTTGGCACTTCCACCCAGAGCAGCACCGGGTTTGGACAGCCAGGCGGGGCCTTTGGGCTCGGAAGCACAACGCCGGCCGTCCAAACACTGCAGACGCCACAGACGGGGCAGGCATCGCAAGCCCCGCAGACATTGCAAAACTCTACGTTTGGATCGCTCTCTGGGCAGGGCTCGTCTGCTTTCTCTCAAATAGGCACAGCGCCGGCGCCTGCAGCAAGCTCGCCATTTGGAGGGCTCGGCACTGCCGGGAGCTCGTCTTCGCAGGCGCCTGCAAGCTCTCTGGGGGCTTTTGGAAGCAGCTCGGCGCAGGGCGGGCTTTCCTCGGGCGGCCTTGGAGGAGCACAGAGCCAGCCCTTTGGAAGCACGCAAAGCACAGCGTCTCCGCTTGGCCTAGGCCTGTCCTCGGGCGGCCTTGGAGGAGCCGCGCAGGGCAGCACTGGAGGGCTGTTTGGGGCCTCCAGCAAGCTGTCGGAGCCGGCGGCACCGCTGTCGTTGGGGCTGGGCGCCAGCACGGCAAAGCCTCTTTTCTCCACAAGCACGCTAGACAGCGCGCCTTTGTCAAAGGGGCTGGACATGGGGAGCAAACCGACAGCGCTTTCTTCGTTTGGGGGCACGGGAGGCAGCGGCTTACTGGGCGGAATAGGCAGCTCGCTGGGGACAGGCATGTTTGGCGGGGTCTCTGCTGCTGCAAGCACAGGGAAGGCCGCGGCGGCAGAGGACCCGTACCTGATCAAGGCGCTGGACTTCAAAGAGTGCGAAGACTATAAGAAAAAAAACAGCATGGAAATACCGGCGCCGCTGTTCAAAAAGAACACATCGAGCAAAATCAAGTTCAAGGCGGTTTCTGGGTTCAAGGAGTATGCAGACATAAGCAGGCTGCGGGAGAAGGAACAGATTAAAGCACACAACAACCTGATTGCAGAGGTGGAAGACGACGAGTACTACTGCATTCCCTCCGTGGCGCAGATAAAAAAAATGCCCAGCAGGAAAATCACAGGGTTTGTTTTGGGAAGAAAAAACCAAGGGCGGATTGAGTTTCAGGAGGAGGTTGACCTGACCGGCATAAATCTGGACACTATGCTGAGCATGGTGCACATAGAGGAGTCGTATGTGTTTTTTGACTTTGACCACTCCCTCATGCCGCCAGGACAGGGAATCAACAAGGCGGCTCGAATCATTCTGGAAAACATATCAATATACAGCCATGCAACAGGAAGCATGAAGCCCATCACAGAAGACGACCCGGAGTACGCAAACATGCAGTCCAGGGCGCTGGCAAATCTGCCAAAGGGGCCGGATATAGAAGACGCCAAGTTTGACGCCACAACAGGGATTATGACAATCATATGCCGCTTCCTATGGGTGTGAGGAGCCTTAGTATTATCGGCCTAGGCGCGCGGGAGCGAAAGAAGACAGATGTTTGTGCGTTTGGGCTTGGGCCCTGAAGAAAGTTGAATGCAAGCCGCCTGCCGTGCTGTAAACCCGGCCAGCCTGCCTCACAGCGGCAGCAAAATGTTGGATGGTGCAGGCCCATCCCTTGCGCCGCCCAGAAGCGCCGGTTCTTAGTGCAGCTTTTATGTAGCGGCGCCTGAAAATAAATACAGCTTGGATGACATATACAGTTCCAGTTAGCAGCTAGCTTAGCACGCCCAGAACACGCTTTCTGGGCCTGCTTTCTCTGCAGCCTTTTCTATGGGGGCCCTGCAGGCCGCCGCAGCCGAAAATACACATGAGTTCAGAAACAAAAATACGCGCAGGCTTCAGCATACAAAATATTTAGTTTATTCGGCCGGGCCAGAGACGCCAGCTTCCTTTGCGATGTTTTGAAGAAGCGCGCTGTTTTTGTACATGTATGCCAGTTTTGGCTGTCTGAGAATAGAGGCAAAGTCTGCAAGCATCTCTTCTATGGTGAACCTCATTACATAGTCTACATGCAGGAGAATCGCCTGGTTTACTTTCTGAAAAGAGGCGCGCCTCTGCTGCACTATGCTTTGTGCTGCAGGCTGCGAAAATATAACAGAGGCCACAAGGGCCTCCAGCTCCTCCATACTCTCTGGGTTTTCCAGCACAATCGGCGAAAGCTCGCTTTCTATTCTGGACAAAGCCTTCTCCTCCGTGTCGCTTCTCACGTGCAGCCCCTCGAGAATGTCCGACCGGAGCATCAAAAACAGAATGTCTGGCCTGTCTGCAAACAGGCACGGAATAACCTGCTCTATCAATGATATTGCCTGTTTGATTTTTCCATCCAATAAAAATGATTTGATTTGGTCCCTTTCCTTCAAAAGAGGCGCGGCCGTGTACTCTATTCCTGTTTCTTTTTGGAACATATGGAAGGCTTTGTAGTACCCGTGCTCGGACAGATACTCTATAACGCGTGCCTGCATGTCTTTTTTTTCGACCGGCATCGAAAACAGCCGCATGCTTTGCGTGGCTGTTTCTGATGGCGCTTGGGAGGCTTCTTTTTTCTCAGCGTCAGCCACCACTCCGTACATAAATAAACAATTCAAAGACTTTTTTTATGCAGAAAGAGAAAAGATGCAGAGACGTTCCCGCGCATGAAAGTGGAGACATGATTCTGAGAGAGGACTTTTTGGTGGGAGAAAAGCTCCTGCGGGAAATAGAAATCGGCCGCTCTGTAATTGTGGTGGACCGGCCGTGCAAAGACTACTTGAACGACATAGCGGCGGAAATTTCTGCTGTGTACCCAAGCCAAGAAGTGGCGGTTGTCTGCGGACGCTCGGAGCCAGAAAAATTCAAAGGAACCGTGGTCTGCCCGTACAGTGTGTACACGAGTAGGCCCTGGATAAGCGAGGGGAAAGTGTGCTTTGTCTTTGTAAATATCAGAAAAACCCAGGACAAGCGAGCGATTATGCTGCAGAAAGCCGAAGCCGGCGAAGCATTCTACTTCGTAAGCAACGTGTACAAGATAGAGAGCATGAAGGAGCTGGAGAAAGCCGGCATTCCGCGGGTTCTTCCTGTGAAGACCGGGTTTGGCCTGGCCAGAAGCCCTGTCGCGTTTGCTCGGCGGCACGAGATAATATTTTCAGGCGCGTCGCATCTTAAAAGAAGCGCGTTTATCATCGCCTTGGAAAGAGACATCACCGTGCCGTGCATTGTGGTGGCAGACAGCGCGAGCGAAATGGAAGAAGTGGAGGAGTGCATAGAAAGAGTCCCGGCGCTCCGAGGAAAGTGCTCGCAAAGCATGTGCGAGTATGCGGAAAAAAAGAAGTGGGTGTGGATCACAACGCATGCAGACTTGAAGAAAAAAATAGAGCAGGGCGGCCTGAAGCGGCTCAAAGAAATAACCAGCTCGGTGATAGCGTATGCAGCAACAGACCGCACGCCGTACTTGCTAGACATGCACAAAGTGTCGCAGAGTGTTTTTTCGGTGACCACAACAAAAGACAGGGGAAAATCAAAAAAGATCGTAGAAGTGCTTCCCCGGTACGGAATCATTTTGGAGGAGACTGCAGAGCACATGAAAAACGCATACAACGCAGAAAAAGAAAAGCGGGCTGCAGAAAACATTGAGGAAAAGGCGCAATAGAACAAGTATTAAAGGAAATAAGTTTACTTTTTTATTTATAGATGGAGAGACTCTTCCACATAGAAGACATCCTTGCATACATAGACGAGCAGAAGAAGGACCATGCAAGCGCAACGCGGCAGCTGTCAATGTACTACGAAGCCACCCAGAAGAATCTTGAGCCAAACGAAAAGACGTATTCTTTATGGGAGGGCTATATACACACGCTGGAGAAAAATGGATACGGGCACTCGGAAATACGAGAGGTATACAAAATGCTGAAAAGCAAATTTTGGAAATTTGCGCGGTTTTGGCAGGGATGGTTTGACTATGAAAGCCGCCTCCCCATCGACCAGAGCAAAAGAGCGAGGGTTTTGGAGCTGGCAAATGACATACTGCAGTACAAAGAGTGTGCGCAGAAGGAGAAAATTATGCTTTGGGTGCGGGAGAAGTCGTTTTCTGGCGGAGAAGACATAACCCGCACAGTGTACATGTATCCAGAGACGCCGAGGAGCCAGCTGTTTTCCGATGCACATGGGGCATCCTCCAGCAGCTCCAACATAGAGCATGCAAAGGGCGCCCACGAGGAGTGGCCCAGCTTGAGCGTGGCTGCGCACACAACTAACCCCGCAGCGTCGCCGAAAAAAGCCCGCGCAAGCTTTGCTTCTTTGCATCCGGCCGGACACTTGGGCGCGGAAAGGCAAAGCGCGCAAAAAGACGCAGACAGCGATGCCGGCGATAGCCCAGACCGTGCAAACCCTTCAAGCGCGCCCGACTTCATCCCGATGGATATCGACATAGAGTCTGTCCGGTCCGGAGATTCTGGCTACATTATGTGCCCGATGGGCACCCCTCTGCATGCTTCTGGGCAAGCGCCCGGAGCTGGGCACTATGAGCTCTCCGAGAGAAGGAGCAGCTTGCAGGAGAACACAAGCACAAACCTAGACAGAGCTCCGCAGCAGAAGCTGCATCCGAAGAATCACACAAAAGGCGGAGAGATAACCCAGACCGGAGGCGTTTTTGACCTGGAAATCGGCCAGGGCGTGGCAGAAACCGAGTGTGAAAAGCCCTCAAGCGCGCTGGCAACAGACAAGTATTTCAACTCAACCGCGTCAAAGAAGATCACGCTCAACGGAAAACGGCTTCGCATACTCAGGACCATAGGAAAGGGCGGAAGCGCAAAGGTGTACCAGGTGCTCTCGGACAAAAACGAGGTCTTCGCCTTAAAGAAGATAAAGATAGCGCAGGAGTCCGAGGACAGCGAAATATACAAGAGCTATGTGAATGAAATATCGCTCCTAAAACGGCTGAAGAATCGGCACGAGATAGTCACCATGAAGGACAGCTATGTAAACAGAGACAAAATAGCAATTCTTATGGAGCACGGGGACATTGACCTGTGCAGGTTTCTAGAGATAGAAAAAAACCGATTTCCCGGCGGCTACCGAAAGAGCGACGAAAACCACACAATGATCAGCATATGGGAGCAGATGCTGCGAGCTGTAAAATGCATACACGAAAACCGAATAGTGCACCGCGACCTCAAGCCAGGAAACTTTCTCTTTGTCAACGGAAGGCTGAAGCTCATCGACTTTGGAATATCAAAAGAGATCCGCAACGACACAACCAACATCATCCGAGAAAAGCAGATAGGCACCATCAACTACATGTCTCCAGAGGCCATAATTGAGGGGAAGACAAAAATGGGCAGAAACAGCGACATATGGTCGCTTGGCTGCATTCTGTACGAAATGTATTTTGGCGAGTCGCCGTTCATGCGGTTCAGCAACCTTGTGCAGCGCATGCAGAAGCTGCTAGACCCCGACTACTCGGTGGAGCTGCCCTGCGAAGAGGAAAACGACAACGGGTACGCGCTGGTGGCGGCCGAGATCAGAAAGTGTCTTGTAAGAGACCCCAAGGGGCGGGCAAAAATAGAAAGCCTGCTAAAAAGCGGAATATGCGGAAAGCTGCAGAGCCGCGCAGAGGCAGAGCCAGCAGAGAAAAAGTGCTCCTTCAACAAGCTGGAGCTAAAGGAGTTTATATCGAAAATAATGGACCTGAAGCACACGTCTAGCACAGAGGAGGGACACGAAAAAATAATAGAGAAAATAACAAGCCTGTACTTTGACAAACAATAGAGAAATATTTATATGACACTTTTGACAAAAATAAACCTCTGCCCATCCACGCCCGAATTTCCCAGAGTAGGCTATCTATGTGCGCGCCCGGCGCTAGGGCCAGGCCTGGCGGCATGCGGAGTGCTCTTTGCCCTGTTTTTATTCATTTTCAAGCGAAAGCCTGCGGGCCGGCCGTGCAGCGTCTGTGTGCGCCCGCCGCAGGGCCGCAGAGAGGACAAACAAATAGGAGAAACAGGGGCCTGTACAGTATGCGGTTTATTCGGATTAAAACGTCTTTTTTTTATCCAGGCCTTTTCCTCGCGTGGTTCTCTCGCTGTTTATGTTCGCGTCGCAGGCCACTATTTTCACTCTATCAGCGTGAACCAGCTTGTCATTCAATGTCATAACAAAGTTTTTAACAACAAACGTCCAAACATCGGCGAAGTTCTTGTATCTTATTATTGACGCCTTGAAGCTCATTTTTGCATGAACGCTTCGGTTGAAAACCTTCTCAACGGCGGTGTCAAATTCCTCCAGCAATGCGTTCCCCTGCTGGGGCGTTATTGCTTGCGAGTTGATTTTCTCTTCGATCGTATCTTGGAAAGCCTTTCCGATATTGCTCTCTCTGTAGAGTTGAAACATCCTCAATGAAAATAAAAATACTTTTTTGAGTGTACTGTAATGAAAAAGTTTTATGAGCTACATTTATAGAAGGGTGCAGACTCCAAATTACACGCAGGACAGAAAGGACCGCGCCCTCACACCCACCCACACTGTGCGAATAAAAACAAGGCTGTGCAAAGAAAAAGAAAACTCCATTCTGTATAAAGACAAGAGCTCTGCAGAGCCCGCAAAAATAGCGAGCAGCGCAGCGTACGCCGTCAACAGCACAACCATATACACCGGCCGGCAAACTGTGGTAAAGTGCACTCTTCCCGACGTAAGAATGGACTACACCCCAGGGGACTCTGTCCTGCTGTGGGCCTCAAACTCCGAATGCCTGTGCAAAGCCTTGCTCAGCCTTCTGGAAATAGACGACGCCCTGTTCATTGCCTTTGAGAGGGTACACGCGCGAACCGGCGCAGTTGTCTTCTCCTTCTCTGGAATGGCTGCGGACTACTTCAGGCACTTCATGGACGCGAAATCGCTCCCCTCCAAGCTGCTCCTGTACACGCTCTCGGAATACGCATCGGCCGAGAACGGATGCAGGGATAGACTCAGATACCTGTCCACAAAAGAAGGAAGCGCCGACTACTTTGGGATGGCAAAGGCCTGGAACAGCATTGCAGATGTTTTTGCGGAGTTTAGCGTGAAGGTGCCGCTTGAGGTTCTTCTGGGGGTGTGCACAGAGATAAAGCCCCGAGCGTTTTCAATGACACAGAAAATAGGCAGCGCTTGCGAGTTCGTGTCCGGCATACTCACAAACACCGCAGAGGACAGCACCCGGCTCGGGCACTTTTCAGAGTATATTGCAAGTGCAGCTTCAGAGACAGGCAGCCACACACCCGGCCTGGACCTCTCTGCAGGCTTAGTGTACAGGGTGCAGCATAAGGAGAACAGGCTTCTCCGAATGCGCATGTCTCAGCCCGGAAGAAGCGCGCTTCTGGTCGGGATAGGCACGGGCGTGAGCCCCTTCATCTCTTTCATTCGCAACTGCCCTGAAGGCGCAAGGCTTACTCTTTTCTACGGGTGCAGAAGCCCTGGCGAAAATATCCTGCTGCAATGGGGGCTTATTTCCGGAGAGGGCGAACGGTCTGAGTATGCAGGGGCACGGAAGCACTGCATGCCGTCCGCTGGGCCTGGCATACGCGTGTATGTGGTGTATTCGCAGGCAGACATGTGCATCCGGATGGACAGGTTCTTTGTAGCCAACAAGGGCGCCGCCGGCAAAGCCTGGGAAGAGGCAGAGAAGACGGACCTATACATATGTGGGAACAAGCCAGCATCCATGAGCGTCTCGAAGTACTTTTCCGAGAACCACCCGGCCCTTTCGCAGTCTGTGGACGACTGGTCTTAGTGCGCCTTTCTTCTTTGGAGCGCTTGCCAGACTCCCCTCGGAAGCAGCATTCCCTGCCCTATTTTAGGCCTTTTAGCGTGTCTAGAAAAGCGCCTGGGGAGCATATGTCAGTCGAGCCTATTAGTATGGTTATGCCTGTGTTTTTGGCTATTTCTCGCATTTCGGATATCTCTGCTATGGACACGCCCCCAATAAAGTAGACAATTATGATTCTCCGATGCACAGCGTCAGAGGATGTGCTTTTTTTAAATATAAACTCCCTTTTTCTTAAAGACCCGCCAGTCAGCACGTCGTGTGCCGCTGGAAGGTCTATCTCTAGCTTCCTGCAGGCTGTCTCGTTCTTATTTATAATGGCGTCCAGAACATCCGCAACCAACGGCGTGTGCCGGGCAATGGGAAGGGGGCGCTTTGTCAAAGGCTTGATCTGCCTTCCTGCCAGATGGGTTTTCACTGCCTCGGCGCTCTCAATGTCCGCGCGAGACAGATACCCCCGCTCCACTATTCTTTTTTCTTCGTTTTTCTGCAGGCTTCCGTAGTTCAGCACGTACAGAATGTACAGCCGGCACTTTTCCTTGTGCGTCAAGCTGGCCGTCTCCAGAACGTTAAAAAGGGATTTTGTGACAGCGTGTTTGAAGTTGTTCCCCTTGAAGTCCTTCCCGGTAGATATGCCCTGCTCCAGCTCTGCTGCCTCTTTTATTCCAGGGCTGTTGAAAAAGCCCACACACTTCTCCAGCAGCCCCATCAAAACCTTTATCTCCTTCAGCCGCCTTGTCTGCGCCGGGAGCGACTGCACGGCCTTCACCAGCTTGTTTATGTTTGACTTTTCGCTTTTCTCGTCGCTTGTTTCCTTCTTTATTATTTCTGTAAGCGCCCGGTGCGCTTCAACCAGCTGCCGGTTCCTAATGCTTTCCCAAACCTTGTGCTCCTCCGTGACCTCCATTCTTTTTTCGTCTGCGTCTTCGCTCTCCTCTGCGCTGCTGTCGTCTTTTTCTGCGCTCTTCTTCGGCTTCTGGTGCTCAACAAGGTACCCCGGCCCTGCCAGGCCTAGGTCCCACAGAAGGCTCTCAAAGGTGAACGTGTGTATCAGCGGAGTGTTTACATCGGACCCTCTTTCCAGAATGACTGCCCGGCCGTTTCCAGACCCGTCCAGCAGCGCCGCCAGCTTTTTTGCATACATCCCCACAGAAACAGGCATGCAGTGCACCTTAATTGTCCGGCAAACGCTTTTCAGCTTTTCCGCCAGCTCCTCAATGTGCCTGTCTTTGTCCGCATAGTACGAGGCGCTTGTCTCCACTCGGAAAATGTCCGAGGTGAGTGGAACAAAATCAAATATAACTGTTTTGTAGTGGAACTCAAACAAAACATGGTCTTTGCTGCTTTCCTTGGCCTTCGCCCGCCCCTTCTCTGCACTTTTGCATAGCGCGTCTAGCGTCTTGTTTTCCCTGGCCTGTATTTCAGCAACGGAGACCACATACGCAGTTCTGTACATTTTCTGCGCGGTGTCTTTCTCTATCCGCTTCACGTTCTGAGAGGTCGGGCTTACAAAGTAAATCACGCCAAACTCCTTGCTGGGACTTCTTGCTTCCTCTATTCTTTCAACCATGGCAATGTTTCTGGACAGAACCTCGCTCATGGGAAGCGCATAGTGCAGCAGCCTTGCAGTTGTCTGGTCGATCACCAGGATCCTCCACTCCTTTTCTGAATGCCCCAGCGCAAGAACGTGCTTTTTAATGCGGTCTCCTACAATGCTCACTAGATTCATTCAATTGTTTCTCAATAAAAATATTAAACATATGATATTGGAGGATGCATCCGCTCTGCAGCTGACAGAAGCAGCAGCATGTGCACGTGCCGCGCGCACTCGGCCTTTGCCATCCTCTAGCATGCGCTGAAGCTGAAATGCACACACGCGTCCTAGAAAGCATCTTCAAAGTGCAGCAGACTCCTATAAATCACAGCACGTGTGCCTCACGAGCTGCCGGCCTTCTAGCGCCAGGGCCTGTAATGTGTGTTGGCGCTTTTCTTTGCATAGCACACCCAACCCCGGCTTCCTGTGTGCGCATCCTGCGCGCGAGCTCGCAAAAACGCCAAGAAAAATGCGTACTGTCCCGAGCAAATGAAGACTTTATTTAATAAACACTCTAAAAACAAAAGGACCGCATATATTGGCTTCTAGAAGAAAGCAGAAAGTGGAAAGCCCCAAAGAGAACCGCGGGAACGCAAACAGGCAGCTGGCCTGCGCGCACCCCAAACCCTGCGCCAGAGCCCTGCCTTTGGAGATTCTGATGTATGGGCGGCCGCTTCTGAGCGCTGGTCTGTGGGTCGTGCAGAAGCAAACAAGCGGAAACCAAGCCTGTGCCAGTCTAGCGTAGCGTGCAAGACTGCTAGGTTTTGTGCCAGGGACTTTTCTTTGGAAAGATGCGGATTTCACAAGGCACTCGGCACAGGGTTTGGGGCGCTTTTGCAGACCGGGGTTCAGCAGACTTGGGATAGCTTGCAGAGCTCTGCACGCGGCTTGCGCACTTCTCGCGCACAGAGGTCGCTCTGGTTTGGGCATGCTCCACGCCGAGCACAGGCTGCTTTCATTGCGCTTATTTGTGTGTCTTCATTCTGGTTAAATTTGTTTTGTTTTTTTGAAAACATGGAAGCAATTGCACTCGTACCAACAATAGAGGCACTTTTAGTACATAATTCTAAGGAGAAGAAGAAACAGGCAATAGACCTAATAATCAAGAACGTGGGGCTGATTGGGTTCCTGCTAAAAGACATTCTAGTGCATATTCGCCCAGAGGATCATGCGGAAGAAAAAGAGCTATTTCACCTAATTTCGGCCATGATTTGCTTCTACACGCAGAATTACGACGAGTGTGTGAGGCACACTATTCTCTCAAAGAACGAGTGGTTCAAGGCGTCGGAGAGTCACTGCGAAACGTTGGACTTGTACTTTCAGGGCTCGCGAAACCGGGTGATACGAACCTACATAGAGACGCACAGCAGGGACGACGCAGACATGAAAGCCTTTATAGAAGCTCTTCTCTCCGCCAAGGGAGAGGGCTCGAACGACTTTTCTCTGCTAGGCCTGTACATTGTCACAAAGAGTGTGGAGTCAATTGCGGAGTTTGTGCGAAACAACCGGCAGATGCTTCGCAGCGACACACACATGCAGTTTCTAGTTGACGAAGCGAGAAGAGAGCGGATATACAGCAAGATCTTCCCTGTTTTGGTTGAGATGTGGGAGAGCGAGCCAAGCGAAGAGTACGCAAGCGTGTTCTACAAAGCTCTTCTGTCCGCCTATATGCACAAAAGAGACGAGCAAGCGCTGAAGGGGCTGCTCAACAGCCTTTCCGAGAAAAGAACCGAAATGGCGCTGTTCATCGCGTTTCTGCTGCACGACCAGTCGCCCGCGCTGTCGCAGGCTATTTCTGAGGATGTCAAGCACCCGGCTGTAAACTCTCTTCTTGTGGGCAGGTTCCAGTCTAAGATATACCAGAAGTTCCTCTCGGAAAAAAACCAGTCAAACTTCGCGCTGCTTGCCGAGCTGTCTAAGTCGCAGAGCTCAAAGCTGTCCATGAACCACATGTCTCTGAGCTTTTGCAACGGTGTGATGAACTGCAAAACAGCCAACGACACCTATCTTCGAAAAAACCTTGAGTGGATGCGCCAGGCAAAGAATTGGTCTAAGTTTGTTGTTGCGTCGTCGTTTGGAATGATACACACGGATAGCGAGGACCCGTTTGAGATGCTTCGCCACTATCTTCCCATGGTGCCGGTCCGCGAGTTTGAGAAAGACGACCCAGAAAGCGGGGGCGCGCTGCTTGCGCTGGGAATTATTTCGGTCAACTCCCCTGCGCTTGCGGGCAGCTTCCTTAGCACGTTCCTTGACGCAGAAATGGAAAGCAGGCGAAACCACATTCTGCATGGAGTCTGTCTGGGGCTTGGCCTTGCCAGGCTGGGGACCTGCGACGAAGAGTCTATAAACAGGTTCAAGACTGTCCTGTACTCCGACGCAGTGACTGCCTCAGAGGCGGCTGCCTATGCAATCGGCCTGGTTTGCGCAGGAAAGTTCAGCATGCCTCTGGCAAGCGAGCTGATCACATACGCTAGAGACACAGAGCACGAAAAGATATCGCGCGCCGTGGGCGTTGGGATATCATTGCAGCTTGTTGGGATGGTTTCCTCGGCAGAAGAGTTCGACGAGACGTTGCAGTTCATAGACGATCTTATAGACGACTCGAACTACATATTCCGATACGCAGGAGCCCTTGCGCTGGGGTCTGCATACGTGGCAACCGGCGACCTCTCTGTGGTTGGGCGGCTTCTGTCCATCATCAGCACAGACTCCTCGGAGGACGTCAAAAAGGTCTGTGTGTTTAGCATAGGGCTTATACTGACAACCTGCCCCGAGACGGCAAAGGACAGTCGGGTCGAAGACGAGCCCGTGCTTTTCAAGGTGCTTGAGCCGCTGGCGCAGAGCCACTCTTCGTACGTGAGGTCTGGCGTGGCCCTTGCGCTGGGCATGTTCCTGGCTGGCTCTGGGAACAGAAAGGCGCTTGAAGCGATCGAGGTCCTTATGTACGACAGCACGCCATATGTCCGACAGATGGCCAGCATCGGCGCCGGGATGATCTTAATGCAGAATAACGCATGCGACGACCCGTTCTACAAGCGCATAGTGGAGCACATGCACAGCATGACGAAAAGAAAGAGCGAAAGCGGCGCAGCGCGGTTTGGAGCTCTTCTTGGCCGGTCGCTGCTTGACACATGCGGAAGAAACGGGCACATGAGCATCTTTGGCATGTCCGGAGACTTGTCTGTCAAAAGCGTGTGCGGAGCCATCATGTTTTCAGAGTTTTGGTACTGGTATCCTTTGGTGCCCTTTATCACGCTGTGCATGCGCCCCACGCTGCTGCTTGCTGTGGACACCGACCTAAACGTGGTCAGTGAGTACTCTGTGGAGGTGGACGGCCCAGAAAAGCCATACCGAATCACCACAGTGCCCACGTCGGACGGAAAGAAGCACCATAAGAAGTTCAAGATCTTGCCGCTCTCTGGAGACATAGAGAAGAAGGTGGAAAAGGCAGAAGAGGATGAGCAAAAGGCAGAAGAGAGCGTGGAAAAATCGCATACTGTAAAGAACTTCGAACGGTTCACTCCTGCCCAGCAGAGAAGATCTTGCTTGGCTGGGTCACCTTCTGTTATTTTCTTGCCCAAGGCAGAGAAGGAGTCCCACGCGCCTGTGCAGGACCCGCACACGGTGGAAGGGGATGCAAGAATGGCGGAAAAATAAAAGCAAACAGCTCCTTTTAACTGCGTGTGCCCGGAATTTTAGCAGCACTTCCTGCAGCCCAGATGTGCGTTTTCTGTTTGTCTCTGCAGCACGAAAGCACTGTATGGGCATAATAAAGCTACGCAAACATCATTTTTTCTGCATTTTAATATATCTATGCATACTATGCCAAATATGAATATAAAAAAGAGCAGAAAAAGAAAAAGAAAATGCACAGCACGCCTTCGGTGGACATGGTCCAGAAATTTTCAGACATTTTGCAAAACGAAGAAGAGCCGCTAAAGCTGAGGTTTAGAGCGCTTTTTGCGCTCAGAAACATCTGCACAGAAGAGTCCGTACACGGGATTGCCAACGCATTCAGCACTTCATCCGTTCTTTTGAAGCACGAGCTGGCATATGTCATGGGGCAGATGCAAAACAGAGCCGCGCTTCCAATTCTGCAGCGCGTTCTTGAGGATGGCAAGGAGGACGAGATTGTTCGGCACGAGGCCGCCGAAGCAATAGCCACGTTTGGAGACGCGCAATACGAGTCCTTGCTGCGGAAGTATTCTGACATAGCCGTGTCAAACAGCAAGGCGGTCTCAGAAACATGCCAAATAGGCGCGGAGCTTATTGCAAACGGAGGCGCCAAGAAGTCGCCGTACGGGTCCCTGGATCCTGCTCTGGCGTCGAGCAATCTGTCGCTTGAAGAAATGCGGGGCATATACCTTGACGAGAGCAGGCCGCTGTACGAAAGATACACTGCTATGTTTGGCCTGCGAGACACAGGCACAGAGGAAGCCGTGGAAATTCTGGCAGAGGGGTTTAACGCAAAGGACAGGTCGGATCTTTTCGAGCACGAAATTGCATTTGTGTTTGGGCAGATGTCGCACCCTGCTTCGGCAAAGCACCTGGCACGAGTCCTTTTCGACGAGTCCCGCCATGAGATGGTCAGACATGAGTGTGCCGAAGCGCTGGGAACTATTGACACGGAGGAGGCAAAGCAGGCTTTGCTTGCGCTGAAGGACATCCCAAACAGAATCATTCGGGAAAGCGTTGAAATAGGCCTGGACATACACGACTACCACTTCGCAGACCCGAGCCTAGAATACATTGTGGAGAAGTTCGAGTAGGCGCGCACGGCGCCATGTCTCTTCTTCCGGCAGCCTGCAAAAGAAAAGAGCTGGCAGCGTGCCAGCATGTGCACAGTGGATGCGCCCATGCAGCCAAGCGCTAAATAAACATGCACTTTAAATAGAGTATAACGCAGCCCAAGCGCACGCCTTTTTGTGCGCACGGGGGAAAGCCCTGGCCTGCCAGAGGCAAGCCACTTAACTAGAGAGAAAACCCTACAGCAATTTATTCAGATTTGTACTCAATAAACTGTCGCGTCCTTTTGTGGATAGCAGCGCCCACAAGGCTCCCTGCGACAATAATTGGGCATATGTATAAAAGAGCAGGCTGGCCTGTTCCAAATATTAGCACCGCAGAAAACGTCAGAACAAGCGAAAGGACGTACCCAACGTATCCCAGCGCAAACACAAGCGGGGCTGAGTATTTGTGCGAAAACTCTCTGGCCAGCGACAGAAAAAGCCCAGGAATCACAATGTCCCCCAAGCCTATCATGCTTGTCCCCTTCCTTGAGAACGGATATACTATTTTAATGGGGATTTCCAGGCCCTTGGCCACGCCCATCATCACAGGCGTGAAAAACACCCAGAATATGTCATAGAAGAACAGAAGGCCCAGAAGCACCATTGCAGTCATTGCAGACTCTGGGCGGATCTCCTGCATTCCCATAAGCGCAAAAGAGCACGCCAGGATGTTTGAAGAATGCATGCTTTTGGTTTTGAAGTACCACACGCTAATCAAAATCGAGGCCACAAACAGCAGCCCGTTTGGCATCTCCCGAAACTCCTGCGCATAGGAGCGGAAAATTTCCTTTATCTCGTCTGCAGACTCTGCCAGCTCTGACTTGAACGAGGCCCAGGTATTTGCTATAAACCCGAGGCTCTCGGGCTTGTTCTCCTTCTTTGCTTCGGCTTCTTTCTCCTCGGCCTTTTCCTTCGCCTCTTTCTTTGCTGCACCCTCCTGCTTGGGCGCTGTCTTCTCATCGGTTTTTTCCTTTGAAGGCTTCTGCAGGCTTGCACGCGCCCCTACATAGCTATATGCTATCTTAAGCGCTTTGTACATAGAGAAGGTTCCGGTTATTGAAAAGATTGCCCGAAATATTGTGTTCACAAGGTCCTTTGGGAAATATCTAAGCGCAAAGAACAGGCCCACAAGGACGCCTGACCCCACAACAGGGAACATTTTCGCGTCATCCAAAGACATGCTTTCCTTCTTCACGTCCACGCTTGCATACTGCGCCGTACCGGCCCACATAAGCGCTGAAGAGACCGAAATAAGAAACAACCCACTCAACATGAAAAATTAAAAACAGAATACAATTAATATTCCAATGACACTAGAGTATGCATCCAGCAAACGCCTGTGCATGGGCCAAACCCCTCTGCAGGGGCGCCTAAAGGCTGCGCGGCTCTGTGCTCAAAGGATGCCCAGTGCTTTCACGATCCTCCGCTTTATTAGAGCTATAGATGCCTCAACGTGGTTTTATAACTGCACCAACGCTTGGGCCGCTTTGTGTGTGCGCACGCGCCTGCTTGCCCGTGGAGACGCTTTTCTACTTTTTCGAAATAATTTTTGCCAAGCTCTTGTTCTGTATTCCCTCTGCCTCCAAAATCTTCTTCATCCGATGTGCGTTTTTTCGGCTCATCTTGCTAAGAAACTTGACGATTGGCTTTAGGTTTCCCTGCTTCAGCTCCTCGATCATGCTGCATATTTCCGCCACGTCCTTGGTCTTTCCATACTGCCGGATCTTGTTCTGGTAGTACGTGTCTTTTTGGAACTGCTTCATGCTCTCTAGCAGGCACGGCGTCTGGATTCCCTCCGCGTTGTATCTGTGGATGGCCCTGTTGCTCTTGTTAAGAATGTTGGGCGAGATTTCCTTGTATTTGCCCTCTAGGTTGTAAATCTGCGAGTTTACCAGGTCTCGGTGGTCTCTGTCTGGCGTGTCTATTTCCTCCAGCTTCTGGTGCATCAGCTTTTTGTCTGGCAGGTAGGAAAACGCCAGGTTATACAAAACCTCTCCCTGTATGTCAACAGGCTCGCTCTTGACTCGCTCCAGCAGGTTCTGCACCTCTGTCTCCGCGTTCTTCAACGAGTTTGCCACACACGCCATCCCCACGCTTGAGGCGTAGTTCACCAGCACAGGGCCTGTCAGCTTCATCTTCAGCTCGTTCATCGCCTCCACAGGCCTGTCGAGCTTGTAGTATATTTGCGACCTGAGAGTGGCCCAGGCGTTTCCTTTCTTTCGCCCCGCAGTGTGCAGGGCAGACTTGTACTTTCCTAGCTTGTAGTAACAGTAACCTTTTTCAAACGTATTGTTGTGGCAGAACTTCAAGGCCTCTCGGTATCGATCCATTTTTATCAGAGCAACCGCAATGTGCTCCTTTGTGGCCTCTGGATGCTTTATTATCTCCTCGTATCTTTTCTCCTGCACCAAAATAGAAATCTCGCTTTTCTTCCCGTCCATAAAATGAATAAAAATATCGCACAAAAATATCCTTCTATAAAAACCCAAAGGGCCCAGCACACGCTGTCTGTTTCCAAAAGCAAACGCCAATTTACTTATCATAATATAATCCGCAAGCCTTTCCTTTAAAAGGTTTTGCAGGTGGGTCCTTTGTCTTTCTTTTTCCTGGTCCTATTCAAGAGTATGTTTATGGCCGTGTCGAAAACCACGCTCACGTTCTCTCCTGTGGCAGCCGAGCACTCTATGTAGCACTTGGCGGACACGCTGTGCGCCAGCTGCCTGGCCCGCGTCTCGGATATAAGCTTCTCGCTTGATGTCGTGCGAAGGTCGGCTTTCAGCCCCACAAGTATTCGGGGCGTCTCCTTGCAGAAGTGGTCCACCTCCTCTCGCCACCTTCCTTCTATGTTTTTGAAGGACTCTGGTTTGTCCAGCGAGAAGCATATTAGTATGAGGTTTGTGTCTATGTAGCAGAGCTTTCTTATGCGGTCAAAGTCGTCCTGGCCTGCTGTGTCCCAAAGGTCCAGAAAATATGTCTGGCCTGTGAGCTTGTCCAAGTAAGGAACTGTCTTGTTCTCAAAAACAGTCACGGTGTGCTCCTTCTCAAACCTGTTTTCAGTGTATTTTATGAGCAGACACGTCTTCCCGCACCCTCCGTCGCCCACCACGATTATCTTTTTTGATTTTTCTCTCTCCTCCATGCAATTTTATTCTGGTAATCAAATACTTTCATTTATTTTAAAATATGCCAATACGGAATTTTGAGAGGGAGCTTACAAAAAGGCAGCTTATTACAAAGTATGATATAGATGCGGTGAAGAAAAATACAATTGGAGTGGACGGTGCGTGGTTTGTGCGCAAGTATTCTCCGGTTTTAAAGAACAAGAATATTCTTCTGGATGGGTTCAACCGAGAGGTCCTTTCCTACGTGCACGCATTGGTGGACTCGCTGGAGCAGGCTGACTGCAAAATAGTTTGGATCTGGAACGGAATCTCTCCAAAGCTAGAGGCCAGGAAGAGCCCCGAGGAGAAGAGGCACGACGCAATCCAGATGGGGTGGAAGGCCTACCGAGGAAACAACCTAGACGGGGCGCAGAAGGCATGGAGCATGGCAATCGACTACGAGGAGGTAAAGCGCCAGATAAACGCCATTTTGCTGGCGAAAAACGTAGAGGTGATAAACGCCCCGTACCTGGCAGCTGCGCAGGGCGCATACATGGAGAGCAAGTCCTACATTTCTATGTTTTTCGGCGCAACAGACTACTTTCTCTTCTCGGGTGGGGAGAATCTTATCCTGGACTTTGAGTTTGTCTCTTGCTCTGAAAAGAAGAGGGTGGGGAAGATATCCTGCGCCTTCTTTACGCAGATATGCGAGCAGCTCAATATTGGAATGCACTGCCAAAGCGTGCTGCTTCTGCTCGGGTGCGAATACTGCCCAACCGTCCCAGAGTATGGCGAAATGTTTGACTTCAATGCCATACTGGCAAAGTATTCAGGAATGCACATTGGCGATATACTAGCTAAGAATGAAGGGCAGGCCGAGAACACCCATCTGGCCGATGCTTCCCAGAAGTTTGCAAAGATGTATTTGGCAGCAAAGTGCTCTGTTGAATTCCACCCTGTTTTGAACGAGAACAGCGAGCTGGTCTGCCTGTCTAGCGCGCCTGCGCCTTTTGACTGCAATGCCATTTTTGGGAAGCGCATCCCAGATGAGTTTTACTCTTTGTTTTCATGCGGAGAAATATCGCTTGAGTACATAACAGGGCTTACCATGGGGCAGGCCGATGTGATATGCAGCCCCATAGTCTTTGAGGCGCTCCACCCTGTGGTTTTGGACATCTACAGATCCACAAAAGTAAACATTTCGGGCCTGTTTCCAGGCGAATATGCGTCAAAACACATCTCCGGCCAAGGATACAAGGAGGCGCAGGAGCTCGGCGGCCCCGATGAGGAAGAGCCCGGCATGGAAGGCCTGATTGGGCGCGCGCTGAAAAAGGACAGCGAGCTGCCGGATCTTTTGCAGTGGCTCATTGTGCTGCTAGACCGGGTCGACACCTCTTTGCTGGACAAAATGTTCATGTTCAACCGCATAACCTGCGAAGAGCACGCAGCCGAGGAGGTGGACTGGGATGTGTTTGAGTGCAGAGAAAGCTTTAAGTTCGCCCTGGCCACGATACGAAATAAGCTGGTGCTGGAGGGCGCCGACGAGAAAGAGCTAGAGCCGGTGAGCATAGACTACACAAACGGCCTGAAAATGGAGGAAATCCTCACTCTGTGCCGGAAAAAAAGAGAGCACATACTGTCAGGCGACCAGCGCATGCTTATAGAGAAGAACCTTGACTACATTAAAAAGCTGCACCGGTTTTTCAATGAGAGCGTCAACTCAAGCAGGCACAAGCGAGAGCTGGAGCTCTTAATTGGCTGTGTTTCTGCTGAAAAGATGCCCAAAGGCACGTCTTGATGAGCTGCAGGCTCTCTGTGAATACCTCCGTGGATAACTGCCCAGAAATAAATTATAACTTGAATTTGCGACAGAGGCGTTTGGGCTGCCGTCTTGCGCGCGGCGTGTGTCCTTCTGCACACAAAGAAGGCCATGCACATCTAGTTGTTTTGTCGGGGCAAATAAAGTGCTGGTGCAGCCTGCAAAAAATTTACTATGCCAAAAAGAGGGGGAGAAAAGCGAGGAAATAAAAGCAGAGGCGCCCACGAGGAGGCCGAGAATGTGGTGCCTTTGGACGAGGACTTTTCCACTGACGAGTCGTCTGCAGAGCAGTACAAAACTCTAGCCACGCCGCAGAAAATGGATCTGCAGATGGAGACAGCGTACAAAATACACGAAAAAATACAGCTGGACTGGCCATCGCTTACTGTATGCATGCAGGAGGAGGAGGGAAGAGTGCTCATTGAGCAGGCACTCCCAGGCGACGCGCCCGCCATTCTGGACCTGGAGGTAAAAATGGCGCATGGCAGCAAGAAGAGGCTGGTGAGCCCTGTAAAAAAGAAGGCCGTGCCCTTCCAGGCCAACAGAATACGCGCCGGAAATGGGCAGATATACGCAATAACAGACAAGTCCATACATGGATATACAGCTGACCTGAAAAGCACTTTCAGCAGGGAGATAGCCGGCGGATATGGGCTCACCCTTTGCAGGTCTTCGCTGTTCTATGGCAACGGAACTATGCTCGCGTGCCAGCCAGGCGCCGACGAGAGACAGCTGGCACATGTAGAGCTGGGGAACGGCGAAATATTCTCGGCGGCTGCAATTTCCGAACGCGAGGCGTTTGCGGGCACCCGGTCGGTTGATCTGGTTGACTTCCGAAGCGGGAGCGCCAAAAGGTACATGCAGCTCTCCTGCGACGTCAATTCTATTGCATACAACGGAGAAAATCTAATAGTTGTGGGAGACGACGCAGGCATTCTGCGCCTACTGGACGCTCGGAGCGAGGGCGTGGTTGAAGAAATAGAGTTCCACCAGTCCCCGGTCAGCCACGTGCAGTTTGGGTCAAGAGAGACCTTTGCTTCGGCATCCAGCTGCGAGATTGCCATGTGGGACATGACATATGAAGAAACAGAAGGATGGGACTACCACAAATACCTGAGCTTTGTCCACCAAGGAGAAGCCTACTACAAAGACTTTGAGTTTATAAACGAAGACATAATAATAAGCACGTCTGAAAATGGCCTGTGCATATTTAGCCCCCAGACGCAAATAGAAGAGCCCAGCCATGTGGAGTAGGCCCGTGCACACAGTGCAGAGCGCTGAAACAGCTGTGTTATTTGCTATCCAGATAGCCGCCGATGATATTAATAGCTGAAATAAATAGAGTTGTCAACGCAGTCCTGCTTCCTGCATACCCCCCGGGGGCTGCAAATGCGCTTTGTGAAGGCCCGGGAATTTGCATCGCCAGGCAATGCCATGCGCATGTGCCCAGAATGCACTTGTTTGTATCGCGCTGCTAGATCGCACCATTCTGTTTCTTTTGCAAGGGCTAAAGTCCTCCAATTTTTGCTGCAGCCTTTCTGCGGATGCATCTTGGGCTGAGACATGCGGTGCTTTTCCAGACTCAGCGCCAGCCCGAACACTCCAAGCGCTTTCTGGGCAGTGACTCCCTTGGATGGGCGTAAAAGCAAAGAAGGAAGGCTCGGAAATCCGGCACTGCAGCATGCTGTGCCTTTCTTGAAAATGCGTTTGCAACAGCGTCTTTGTCTGCGTTTTTTAATTGGGCATCTGCCTGCGCCCATTTATATGTCTTTTGCAAAGTATTTTTCATGTCAACACCAACCAGAAGAAAAATAATGCGGGACATGAAAAAGCTGCTAGAAGACCCGCTTGACGACATTATGGCGGCTCCCAGCAAGGAGGACATAATGGACTGGAGAGCCATTATATTCGGGCCTGTGGACACCCCGTTTGAGGAAGGAGTGTTTGAGCTGAAAATACAGTTTACAGAATCGTATCCACAGCACCCGCCGGAAGTGTCGTTCTTAACGGAAATCTTCCATCCTAACGTATATCCAAACGGGGAGCTGTGCTTGGACATCCTTAAAAACAAGTGGAACTCTGCATACGGGATTGGGCAGGTCCTTCTGTGCATACAGTCGCTGCTCAACGACCCAAACACAGACTCTCCAGCGAACTCAAACGCGTCGGATCTCTACCTGAATAACCCGCTGGAGTATTACAAGAAAGTGCGGGACGCCGTAGAAAAGTCATGGGTGCAGAAGGTGAGCATGCGCTAGGGCGCCCCCACCCGCAGCTTTTGTCTGTATTTTAGAGAGTTTCTTGTAAATTTTCACTATGGCGTGGAGGGCTGCAAGAGAGTATCGGAAGCTGCAAGAAGAGAAGCAGATACAGAACCAGCGAGATCAAGAAAAGGAGAAGGCTTTTAAGGCAGAGAACATTGTATACCAGCAAAAAGAGAAGGACGCAGCAAAGCGGCGTGCAACGCTGGAGGAAGTCCACAAGCAGAACTTGGCAAAAAAAGAAGAGCGCGAGAAAGAGCTCCGCAAAATAAACAAGATACGCAAGAAGAAGCAGATGGAGAAGGAGCAGTGGAAAAAGAAATTCCAGCAGCGCACAAAAAAGGGGCAGATCCCACTAGACCACAGAATCAACTATCTGTACGAAAAAATAAAAGAGTCCAAGCGGCTGTAAAAGAAAAGTTGCCAGCTGGCTTGGCGCACAGCCTTCGGAAAAATAGAGCAGAACATAATAAATTTATTGCCGACTACTTGCCTCGCGCGCAGATGGTGAGGTCTATTTTGGGCATCTTGGACAGCCCAAACGACTTTGCTATTTTGTTCAGCTCTATTTGGGACGCGTCAAAGACCTTTTTTAGCTTGTGCCCGGAATACGCCTGCAGATACCCGCGCAGCGCTTCTTTTGCGCCCTTTTCTAAATAGTGGTTTTCGCTAACCGTTTTCACATAGTACTCTGATATGTCTCTGGGCTCTGCATATGCCAGCTCGTCCACCTCCACGCCAAGGTGCTTCAGATACTTTATGAACACTCTTTCGTGCGGCAAAAGAAACAGCAGGGCCTCGCCTTCTGCTCCAGCTCGGGCTGTGCGCCCCACTCTGTGTATGTACTCTTTGGGGTCTGTGGGCGGGTCGTACTGGACAATCCACCGCACCCCAGGAATATCCAAGCCCCGCGCCGCCACGTCTGTGCTGAACAGAAGCTTCTTCTTTCCCGCGCAGAACTCGTCGAAAACCCGCGCTCTTTTTTCTTGCTTGACTCCGCTGTGCAGCATCCCCAGATTGAAGCCAAGCAAAGAAAACAGCTCTCCATGGAAAACAACGGACGCACACGTGGAGAAAAACACAATGGCCTTTTCCTCTGTCCTCTTCAAAAAAGAGAAAAGGAGAGAAAATCGCTGGTCTTCGGGGCACATCACAAAAGACTGCTTCAGGCCTTGCGCTGTGATTTTGTCGTCTATTTGCACGTGGACCTTCTTGTATCTTTTCGAAAGCCAGGACCTGCACAGAATGTTGTCTGTGTTTGTGGCGCTGAACATAAGAGTCTGCCGCTTCTTGGGAAGATATGTAAGAATGTCGCGCATGTCTCTTTCAAAGCCTATGTCGAGTATCCTGTCCGACTCGTCAAGAACCGCGATCTCTATCTTTTTTAGAGACAGCCCGTTTTGCAGGTGGTCTAGCAGCCGGCCTGGCGTGCATACAAGAATGCCGCAGCCCCTTTCCATCTCCTGCGTTTCGTGCGCCTTCTTGGTCCCGCCCACAAGAAGCACTGTTCTTATTCCCGGACAGTCTGAGAACAGCTTCTGCGAAACCCGAGACGTCTGCATGGCGAGCTCTCTTGTTGGCGATATGACAAGAACCCTGGGCTTCGCCATCTCTTTTTCTTTTCTAAGCCGCTCTGCTGCCGGTATAAGAAAGGACAAGGTCTTTCCAGAGCCTGTGTTGGCTATGCCCAAGAGGTCATGCCCCTCCAACACGTGCGGAATTGCCTGCTTTTGTATTTCCGTCAGCTCTGTTATGTCCATGGAGTTCAGCCGCTTTCTAATAGTTCTGGATATGTATGGTGCGTCTTTTTTTATGCTCCCAGCCATAGAAAAACTTGCTCTGCAGAAATTTCACATCAGAAATATTTTTGCGCTTTTCGCCTTTCGCCTGCCGCGCCCAAGCACCGCAGGCCTCCCGAATAGAGAAAAGCACTCTTGCCTGGCCTCGGTGCAGGGTATCCGCCCATGGCCTTTTCTTGTGTGAGAGTCATCAAAGATGTGTCGCTTGGCATGCCCTGTTGGGAAGGCGCTATATGTCTGTGCCGGAAGCTCTGCATTGCTTCTGTCTTCTTTGTAGCCAGCCCTAAGCGCTTCCCCAGGCTGGGTTGAAAATAAATGCATCCACTTCTTAAAAAACAATACGTCTTTATTTTTGCGAAGAAGAGAACGCGCAAGAAATGGGCTCTAAAGACGCCCACTCCAAAGAAGCCCGCAAACTGGCAAAAAGGCGCGCTGCGCCCTATCACTTGCGGCTAGACGCGGATTGGCATGCCAGCAGAGCCCACACAGATGCTGCAGAGGCACGCATGTTTCCATAGAGCGCTTCAAAGAAAACGCGTTTTAAGTGGTTGGCCTGTTCGGTTTGTTTACATGTTTACCGAAATATAAAGAAAGGTCTCACAATGTTTGTATGTACTCACCGCCGACAGCAGAAGAGATCCAAGAAAGACGAGCCCTTTTCGAAGAGTTCCTGCAGGGCCACGAGCAGCCGCCTATTGAGGGAAACAAAAAGGAGGCCATTGAAAAAGTGTTCTTCTTCAACGACCAGCAGTTTAGCGAGGTTTGCGAGGACCTAAAGGAGGAAATCCTTCGAAGGAGCAAACAAGAAAAGCTTGAGTTTATTTCCAAGTACACCCTAAAAAGAAACACAATTCGAGAGCAGATTTCCTTGCTGGAGGAGGACGAGCTAAAGTCTTTGGTGGAAGACACGTATTTAGTGCTAAAGCACAAGCACGCGGAGGGCCCCGAAGACGAGCTGGAGTGCCTGAACGTGCTGGTCCAAAGCCTTGAGGAGATCATAGGAAAAAACACCGCCTCGTACAAGGGCACGCTCAAGAGCGAAGACTCTCCCTCCGCGATTATCATTTCGGTCGAGAAGATGAAGGACGAGCTTGAAAAAGAGGCGGAGGCAGAGAAAAAAATAGAAATTCTGCTCAGGATGATAGACAAGCAGGTGCCAGACCTATGCATTCAGGAGCTGCTGAGCATGATCCAAGGCCAGCTAGATATTATTAAAGCCCAGAAGCAGAAGATGGGAACAGAGCTGCACAGCCTCAGAAGCGAAATCAACGATTTGTATCTGGAGAAGGAGCTTGAAACAGACACCACTGTGTACGAAGAGACACTCGAGTCGATTCTGGAGCGAATAGTCGACCACTTTTACGAAATTGAGTACACAGTTGACAAGGTTGGCGTTGCAGAAATTCAGAAGCATCTGGACCTTCTGAACGAGGAGAGAAGAAAGATTCTGCAGATAACAAACAACGCACAGATCGAAGAAGTGGGCGACCTGAAGCAAATAAAGTCAAAAGAAGAGCTTTTGAGCCAAATCACCAAATATTACACCGCCATAGCAACCGCGATATCTAATTAGGCTGCGCCCAGTCTCTGCAGAAGCTGAGCCAAAGAGAGAAAAATCTGCTGCTCTCTGCCCAACTCCAGAGCTTTCCTCAACTGCGCTTCAGCAGGGCACCCAACCTAATACGGCGCGCCCAAGAAATCAAATAAACCAGTATGCACCTTTCTTTTATTCTGAGTTCTGCTCTTGTGTGCGTTCCAGCTGGAGCGTGCTTCTCCGAAGAGCTTGCGAATAGAGTTTCAGTGCCAAATCTGCACGATGTGCAACAGAGCGGCTGGCTCTAGCTCACATTTCATTTAAGAAGCTCCAGAGTGATATCATCGGGAATTTCTACCTCCGGTTCCGGGTACACAAACTCCTCTACTTCATCTGCAAAATTCGGAGAAGGGGCTTTTTCCTCGATAGGCTGGGCAGACAGCTTGTCTGGAGATCCAGGAAGGCCTTCTGGAGACAGAGGCGACTCTTCTGAGTGCGAGCCCTCACTAGGCTGGGGCGAGGGGTGGTCGCTTCCCTCTTTAGAGTTTGCATGCTCGGAAGCGCTGCTACTAGCCTCGCTAATGCTCTCGATTGAGCTTCCTAGCGAGGACGAGCTTTCCGAGTAATTCGAGGAGTTTTTGCGGACGCGGTCGTTTTCAGCATCAATGATCCTCATGATTCTTCTGACCTCGTCAACAAACCGAAGAACCAGCTGGCTGGTGCCAAGAAGCTTTTCTATTACAATTTTCAGCGCAATTCTGGACACAGGAATGCACATATACATGCACTCGTTGGTAATCCTGTCGATCTTCTCCTGGGCGCTAAGCCTGTCCATGTGGTACCCTTCCTGGGATCTGGTGTTTTTTTCTTTATACACCCGCTGCATATTTGCCGTGTGCATGAAGCCCTGGAACTCTTTCAGGACAAACCGCATTTCAAGCGGATCGGCAGTCCCGCTTGATTTAAAATGAAGTTCTCCGTTCTTCACAGATCCTTTAAACCCGAATTCAGAATTTATGCGGGTCTTCATTTTGGCAGAGCGCGTGAGCTTTGGGCTTTTCTTGTCCTTTTTGATAGAAACTTTGCCCAAATGCTTCTTTCTCCTATGCGCCGTCCTCTTTTCTTTCTTGCTTGGCGATTCGGTTTCTATTGCGGCGCCTTCTTCAGAAGCGTCAAACCCAATAGGGCCCTTGTCCATGTCCGCATAGAAATCATACGAAGCATCGTCCTGGCTGCTGGCAGAGAGCTTGGGCTGTGCAACTTTGGCGTATTCATTTGGCTGGCTTCCTTTCTCCCCCTTTAGGTCCATTACAATTTCTTCTACAGAGTTCTGAACCAGCTCCAAAATCCTTTCTATATCTTTGCACTCAATGTTTCCATTGCTTGCTATGTTAGAGAAGCTGAGATCCTCGCATGTGTCCGAAGAAAACCCGAGAGATCGCTCTGAGTGCTCGCTGGATGCCATTGCAAAGCCTATTGTCAAGAGTTTATATACTAGACGCATGCTCTTTTCATAGCGCCTCTATTTATACTTTATTTGCCTCTGGGCTTTTGTTAGCATCACGCAGAACAACCTGTCTACGCGTGTGTTTTTGGGTCTTGTTTCATTTAGAGCCGGTCTTTTTTAGAAAGAAAACAAGCTATCAAAAAAGCCAGAAAAACACACCGCTTGAATATCTCCTTTGGGGCTTGGCGTGCGTGTGTATACAAAGACAGAAGCGCTGCAGCGGGCTCTAGCATGCCAAAAACAGCCCCTATTTAATGCATGCAGCATTTATACGCACCAAACAGAGGCACCGCCGTGGGTGTCTGCCAGCTGCAAGCCAATGTGCCCGCGATGCCTCAAAGCTGGAAGTTGTAAATGCAAGCAGGCTCTATGTAGCACAAGCTGGCGTGTTCAGAAAGGAAAACGTTGCCCCAGCATAAAGCTTTGGGCGGGACGAATTGGCCGCAGGCCCTGGAAGCGCAAAGAGCCCGGAGGGGTTTGGCCGCTGCGGGTGCAGACTGAAAGCGGCCAGCCTGTACGGAAAATAGAAATGCAGGCTGCTTGCCCTGCGCTGCACAAACACGTGGCATTATTGGGTATTTTTTACTTTTTTTCGTGAGAACACCAAAAAATACTGCAAAAAATATGCGCCGCATGTTCTCTATTTAGTGAATTTTTCTTCTTTTTATTTCTTGTAGTTTTCTCTTTTATGGTATACGAAGATAATAGAGATCAGTCTAATGACCACGTAAGCAACAGCATGTCTGATGCGTCTGAGGCGTCCGAGTCTTCTGAGGAAGAGTTGCTCGTTAGCCGACTTAACAAAAGAAAACAGCCAGACAGCTCATTTATGTTTAAAGCGACCGAAAAAGCAGAGCTTAATTACGAAAAATTAAAAAACAACAAGCGCATTCCGCCATTCTACCTAAGCGTTCCGTGCCCGCAGTGCGGGGGAAAGACCAACGGGCACGGACAAAAGCATCGGATAGAGAGAAAGTGCAGTGTGTGTATGCTGACCTTTCAGATAGAAACGTGGGTTATTCGGGTCCTCCAGTCCCGAACCCCGCTGAAGTACTTCGTTGACAGATCCATAGGGAGGCTGGTCGCCGACCTTGAAGAAAGAACTGCTTTCTACTCTTCTGGGGGACCTTCGAAATCCTGCCATGGAAACTGCAATGGAAAGACAAAGGAAAGGACAAAGGCGGCAAAAATGTGCAGGTATCTTTCCGAGAGCATAGAGAAGGCTGCAGACTCTATACGGGAGCTGCAGGAGATAGGGGACAGGATAGAAAATGAGCTGGACTTAATTGAAATATTTTTGGATAAGGACATGGAGGAAGAAAGCCCGGCGAGCACAAAAAAAGAGGAAAGCGCCAAAAGGCCGCATGAAAATCAGAAGACCCACTATTCAGGACACCGAAAGCACACAATATCCCCGATTAAGAAGAGAAAACAAACATAGCGCCACAATGAAGAAATTGAAAGCTGTGCCCTATTAAAATAAACACATTTAGGCATGTTAGTGTATTAAGGGCTTACGCTGTATGCACACAAAAGCCAGAGGATTTTATGGCGCCGCGCGTATTCATATGTGCCGTGGCGGCTTTTCAAAGGGAAGGCGCAGTGCGTGTCCAGGCGTTGCGCAACGCTGTTGGACTTTGAGATAGATAATGGCACGCCAGAAGTGAAGACAGTGGAGGCAGCGCCTTGGTTTTTCTGGGGCGGTTGGCGCAGAAAGTCGTGCCGTGCAGTAGCAAGCCAAGTGCTGGTGCCATAAATCGCTGAAAGCTCTTTCGGATTTCGCTTGAAAATGTTTTTGTTTGAACAGCGGAAAGCCCTAGAATGTATTAAAGGCGCAATTTTATTCGTTTATAGTCCTAGAAGCCCATTGTTTTTTAAAAATGCCTTTGCATAGAACAGCGTCCATGGCTATTGCGCCGAATAATCTAAGTGCACTATTGCATCGTTAGATAGCTCAGAAGGTCACCATGCAACCCCATCTGGGCGCGCTGAATGTATCTCAAAGGATGCGTGATTGCGTAATGGATGTGGGTGACATTCGGGGACATGAAGGAACTAATTTTGTTTTTTTCTAGTTTTTGATTGTAGAGTTTGAGTGAAGAAATCATGACTTCACGTAATTTAAGTTGGTCGGTGCTGTTTGAAGATATATAAACAAGATGGTTTGGGGCGCCTTTTTTACTCGCTATAAATGCTTTTAGTTCGTTTCCATACATATCATGGTTTAAATAAAGGTTTTTCATATTATCGCTGTCGTAGAATACGGGGAAAATGCTGTATTGGTCTTTTCGGGCTTTTCGGATTCTGTACGTAACTTTAAGTATAGTTCGTTCATTTAACTCATCCAAAAGAGGGGCAGTTAGAACGCTACTCGATACGATTCTTAAGTCCATAATGCTTGAATCGCTGGGGGTGTCGATATTGATCATAGTCAGCGGATAGTAGCCTTGGAGTGCATGCGCATTTTCAAGGTTGACGGCGTACACTTGCGGGCGTTCGTTCATCATCATGCATATGTCTTTGATAGGACGCGCGGGGGCAGCCTGCGGAACGGGCTTGTACTTGGACAGGCCTATTGAGCAGAGCAGCAAGTCGTTCACGAAGAGTGGAAGGTGTGCAACATCGTAGTTTAAGCCCGGGTTGTCTTTTGACTCCACAATAAACTCGACTAGCCAGATGTTTTCGCTGTCGGATGGGTTTTGATGCTCTATGTAATAGAAAACCGGAACTTCCACGTAAGAGTGTATACTATTACGGGATATATGGCCGTCCATGGGCATGTAGGTCATCCCGTGTGTTCGGGTGTTGAAACTGAAAAGATGTATTCTTTCTAGAGGCTTGCCGTACATATCTGAAATGTATCTAGCTATATCTGTAAAGGGTGTTCCACCAATAGGCACAGGAACTATAACAAGCTCTCGCGACTGTTTTTCATTGTCCACATAGTATATGTGCTGCAGGTTTATATGTGTCAAATCATGTCTGTTTGACTGCTTTTCTGGCTTGCACGTTTGTTCTGTGCTAGTGCACACGTATAATGCTCTGGAGTCACCGTCTATTATGAAGGTGCTTACGTAGGATTCGCTACTAGAAAGCAGGCCCTTTCCTGTAATGCGCACCCCTTCTGTGATGTGCGGGAATATAGAATAGAATGTGCACATAATGTAGTGTAGAAACATGCAGCAGGTTTTTGCATCTTCACCGGTATACATAGCTGAAGAGCCAGCATTCTTGCAGTTGCTCCGCATATGGTTTTTGATTGTTTCAAAAATATGTGTATGCACTTCTTCTTGCTCTTTTGCCATTTCAGCTGGATCTTGGCAGTGCTTTATAGCCTTTGCAAATATAGATAGGCGCTCCAAAGTATCAAAGAAAACCAAAGGGCTTTCTAGGTATACCCCATCATGCGAATATAGCCATTTGGATACCAAGTTTTTAGAATGTGCCTTTAAACACTCTTTTTTTCTTATGTGAATGCTCTCTAATTTAAGGTTTACAAGATCAGCGAATATCTCTGGAATGCTGAAAATAAACAATATAGAAGCAACTACGGAGTCCTTTCCTTTGTTTAAATATATTTGGTGCTTTGCCAGCTCATCAACTCTCTTAGTGTCGTCAGTATATTCGCCTAAGGAATGAAGTATCCTTTCTTTTTTGACTGATAGTCTGTTGCTCAAAGCTACTGACTCTGCGGGATTGTGGCTCTTATATTCTGGAACTGAAGCGTTTTCTGCAATGAAACGCAATGTCTGCTGAACCAAAGCATCGCTCCAGTCAGAAATTTTTCTCAAATATTTGTAGTCATTCGGGTTGTTGGCTATTTCTTGAAGGGCTCTATACTTAATTTCAATGCCTTCTCCCAGTTTAAGGAGAAATTCAAGAAAAAGGTTATTTTTCAATGTGCTCGCAGCATTCTGGATAAGATTCCTCGCAAGCACATCCCGGGGAGCGCTTTTATTTGGCATACTGGCATGTGCAGGCGCTATTGGATCCGGTGAAGGAGTGGAAGCGGCCTGGGGCTTTGGGTTCTGGGCTGCCGCTGGATTTGCCACGTTTATCTTCTGCAATGGAGAAGGCGCAACACACTTTTTACCAGATGAAGAGGAGAAAAACAAATACCCTCCAACAGCACCTAGAATGGCCAACACACCAGATGCCAATAAGACTACATATGTTCTTTTTGAAATCTTCTTTGTGTTCATATGTTCTCAGAGAATTTTACTGGTATTTATAGACAAATAAAACTAAGATAATGTATATGTCTATATCACCTTTATATGCGATCAATGCCCGAACTAAAAAGCTATTTGCTGAAAAGCTTGACAGTATGAAAAACACGGGGCATGCCCCCAAAAAGCACTTGATTGGGTCTAATGAATAGATTAATATGCACTTGCTTGTCAGCCCGGAGAAAGGCAAAATGCCCCGAGATGATTACAATAGCCCCGAATTGCAGCTCGTGTGTTGAACTTAGAGACTTGCTAAGCACCGCCAACTGTCTGCATGCAAGCGCAAGCTCCATGCATTGAACAGTGGGATGCCCCTTAAGTAGAGGCATTCGGCGCGTGAAAAAGCACTTTTTGCTTCATAAACTCCTGCATATCAACCAAAAGCATGCTATTCCGTGGCCTTTCAGAAAAGGGCCTGTTTTAATTGCCGTGCAATGTCCGGGCACCCGAATTGCGCGAGCATATACTCTGACGGCAGCCCAGCGTGCTTGCTCCTCAATACTCCTGCCTTTGGCCTCCTTGGGCGCTCTGTTGAAGGCGAGCTTTCGGGCTTTGCGCAGAAAGGCACTAGGATTGCAATCCGCTCATGCATAAGCTTTGGCAGAGAAAAAGAAAAAAGGCTATGCACGAATGGCAGACATATTTCTAGAAGACGCTCAAAGCATGCTTCGCTGCTTGCAGAAGCATAGCTTACACAAACCAAATGGGCTGCAAAGAGTACGGGTGGGCGTGCATGTCTTTATTCAATTACGTATGAATTTCTATAGAGTTTCTTTTTTTGCACAGGTTGATCATTAGAGGATATGGCAATGGTTTCTTCTTCAGGAATAATAATTTTAAACGAAGAAGGCTCGGCAAGGCCTTGTAATTTCTGCTTGAGTTGCGTGCTTTCTCCAATACCCTCCAAGGAGGTGCTTTCGCTTGAGGTGCAGCTTTCCTCATAAATTTTTTGCAGAGGCAGCGGGGTTCGAGCAGGTGGCGGGGTTAGTGTTACTGCCCCTTTCTTTCTCGGCGAGTCTCTAGGCACAGGCGGCGCCTCACTCAATCCCCAATGGGACGCATAGGCTTTCTTGCATGCATGTGGGCCTGCCTTCCCCCTCATTATCTCCTCTTCTTTGTCTAGGCCTATAGACGAAAAAGACGGCATGCAAAAGCCATTCGGGGTCCTCGGCAAACTTTCAATGCGTGGAGCTCTTGAGGAGTTTGCAGAAGAGTGGAGGCCGGTGGCTTTCCTATCCAGGCCAGGACTTCCAGCGCTCGGTGCTTTTTTAAGACTCGGGCTGGCGGGGGCCAAAAAGCCGGCTGTGCGTGTAGGGCTGAAGTGTGTACTGTGCTTCTGCGCTTGCTGTCTGTGCTCTTTTTTAGACGCGCCCGCGTTACTGCAAAAGTTCTGCTCGGGCACGTAAACTTTCATTTTTTTTTGCCGCTGCATCCTTTCTTTCGCCAGATCTGGTTTTGTTGTAGGCGCTGCTTTTTTCGGGTTAGAGGAAAAAGAAAACAGACTGGCTATTTTTTTAAAAACGCCTTTTCGGGGGTTATTAATTGGAAGAGGGTCTGGGCTATGCCGTATTTGGTTTGAAAAGTGTCCCAGCTTGTCGTCAATTTCCTCGTATGTATGCGAGCTGTTGCGGCTGGCTGTGCAATGCAGGGGCGCGTGTGGATTTGGCAAGCCTTCCTTGCTTCTTGGCTGCAAATATTCTGTGATGGGGCTTGTGGCGTAACAGCTATTTGAATAGAAATGTTCGCTGCTGTCTGTGCTCTGGCAAGTATTTACGTAGTTTGGACCTCCACTGCTGGAGCTAGAGGATGCACGGCTGGAGTCCAAAGACTTACTGAGGCGGCCTGAAAATACAGACCGTTTTTGCTGGAATGTATTTCTTGCATGCACATCATTCGGGATAGCATAGGTGTGCGCTTTTTCTCCCAGAAAAGAGCTGTTCGACAATCCTGCGGGGTTTTCTGTGCTGCTGTACGACAAACCTTTTGCGGTTCTTTCGGCCATAGTAGACGCAGTGCACCCCCTTAGCTTCTGCTTTTTTGCAGATTCTATATAGCTGCAAATGTCGGCCTCATTGTAGTCCAGGCAGGAGTCTAGGTACATGTCAAAGCACTCGGTCAGGTCGCCAAGCGATAGAACTCCCAGAGCCTCCCGGGTTTTTGGGTTGAAAATAGACGTAAAGTTTTCGTATACTGGGCCTTCTACGTTGTTCAGATATCTTTCCAGCCACGTCAGCTGGCGCAGGCTGTTGCTGTGTCTGCACTCTGTTTCCAACATGTGCATCTTTTTCTTGACATAGCAGCAGAGAGGCTCTCTCATTGGCGCTGGCTGCACGTGCATAATCGAAAAGATAGCCCTTGAAATTAGGTTGGAAACAATTATCTGTATAATTCTATTGTTTTTCAAGAATTTTTCGGCAAGAAGGTCCATTCGAACAACTGTGCCTTTGTTGCCAATAAGAAGATCTGAGACAGGAAACAGCATATTGATCAACTCTGAGTGGCAGGCCAAAATGGGCACATCATAATCCTCCAGTTCGTCCACGCGCCACATGTCCAGCACGTTGAACGCGCTTTCTTTGCTGGGCGCACGCAGCAATGCCCAAAACGCCTTCCCCACGTTTTCTATCGAAAGCTCCTTCTGCAGCACATTTTCTTCATTCGACGCGCGCCCATATATATTAATCATTGAATGCAGCTCTTTTACCAGTAGGTTGTCCAAGCGCCGATTCTTTACGAAATCTTGCGACTGCGCCATGCCTTGAAACGCTGGTATGCCCAAGGCGCATGCAACAAACAAAAGATAGCATGTTTTATAGATTGTTTGTCTGCAAAAGGAGCCTGATTTTGGCAAAAATGTTTTGCAAACAGGCAATATGCTTCTTTTACTAAACATCAGTTGCTAAAATAAAATATAATTTATACCAGCAAGGTTTGATGCCTGCCTTTTCAGATCCTGCGCATTTTTGAGCCGAAAGCGTTTCTGCGATCCACCCAGGCGGCAGAAAGCAGCGCGCTCACCGGCAACAGCAGAAGCCTGCCAAGCCTCAGCACAGTTGCATTTTTAAGGAAGTGCCCGGCTTTGAGCCTGGTTTCTTGTTTGCCACATGCTTACAGCCAAACCCATAAGGCACAGAAGGCCTGCTAAATACCTGTTGAATCGCTCTTTTATTGCCATTTAGAAGAAGTTCTGCATGCCGAAAACGCCTCGCGCGCCGCCATGCTCTGTGGAGCGAGCCTAGAGGCACATGCAGCCAAAGAGCATGTAAAGCATAACGATCACCAAAACCATGCTTGAGCCGACTATAGCTTTTCGGAGCAAGAAAAATTTCTTGTCCAGGCTGTAGTAGTACATGGTCTCCTTGGCATACGCCCGGGGCTTCTCCAAAGGAGCCTCGCTGGATGCTGGCTTCTCGGGCTCCGAAGTTTTTCTGGAGACGGGCTGCGCCATGCGCTCCATCTCCATAAACTCCTCCAGGACCAGAACTGCTTCGTCCTGGAATATTTTGGCCATCCTGTGCATGTTCTTTTTTGCGCGCTTGCCCACTTGCAGCTCTTTTGCACAGTTTTTTCCGGCGCGCCCCGCGGAAAAGCTCTCTTTTTCCGCCATTAGCGACTCAATAAAGGCGTTCAGAATGCCTGCGTGCAGGCTTTCTTTTATCCTGTCCTTTATCAGGGCTCTGACTTCTTTCTCATTTTTCTTGCTGCATCCGCGTATTTCTATAAACTCTGTTGAAATCGAGCCTATCTTGCCATGCAAGTTGTCTATCAGCTCTCTCACACTTTGCATTTTTGGGCTGCTCACAGCCTTCACCACAGAGGAGTAGAAGGCGCCGGATGTGCTCTTCAGCTTCCCTATGTCTGCTCGATATGACATTTGCGTTGTATTCTCTGGGTCTACCTGCATATGCCGCTAAAAATCTGCTGGAACCCCCTCCTAGTATATAGGGGCTCTCCTAAGTAATCTATCTCTACGCCATGCCACACGCCAAAATAAAACAAAGACATGCAAAGTTGTTTGTATTGGACTCTGCTGACAGGATGGATATTTCGGCGTGAATCAAATAACCCAACGCCCTTTGTCGGGAAGCCCGAACAACCTAGCAGGCCCTCGTGCTGTAGTGTTATTCCGTCGCTTGCAAACATGTCTGTATAAAGGCGCTTGGGCGCAGGGCTGCAGCTGCGCATAAATAACCCGTTTTTGCTTGTCATTTATTTCTACACTTTTTTTCCTCTTCCTGTTGCCTAAAAATGCATGTTCACTTGGCAGATTCAAACACACCAGCATACGACATACTTGGCAGCGCAGCCCAGCCAACGGCCCACATCGTACCGCGTACTCTCTGCAGCAGGCTATAGAAGAATTCGCACCAAAGGCGCACGCCCTATCTAGCAGGTGCGCGCCTTCGGCGTTTTATTCGATTAAATGTCCTCATCTTCGGCCTCCTATCGAGAAGGCGGCCCTATAACGGCAATCAGAATGCGCTGGAGGCCACTTGTGCGATATTTGGATTCTACAGGATTGACCATCGCAACAAGAAGGCGTTTTTCCCCCATGTCTGCATCTTCATCCGCATATATATGCATTAATTCAGCTTCTTTGTCTGTATTGGAAGCAAAACGCAATTTTTCTGCCCCATAAGATATGTTACTCGAATTTAAAAGCGTAAGAGCAACTTTCTCTATGTTGACTAAAAGCACAGGGACCCCAATCTTTTTGTTTTTTTCACTGTTGGTTATCAGCATAGTTATGCTGCTATCTACAGAAATTGCATCGGAGTGCCGAACATTTATCTTTACTTTGTCCAGTGTGTATTTAGAAATATGTCTATCGCTTAGGCCAGTGCATACAGAAAACCACATAAAGAGGCAGACGCTGGCTGCTTTGAGTAGAAAACGCATAGTGTAGGCTTCAGGGCGGTCTCAGGTTATAACCAGCAGGGAAATCAAAATTAGGCATGTTTATTGGATGCTTTTCGGACAAATATGATTGTGCAGGCCTCAGCGAAGAGCATTGGATACTTTTGACTGCAAAGTGCTCAATGGCGTGGGGATTTATAAAGGACTGCAGCCCTCTATGGGGGCGGTTGCTTTCCCACGTCTATTGGTTCTTCCTCCTTTGCATCCATTTCAAAGTATGTGTGTGTGAGGCATGTCACAAATGTGTTGTTTGTTGCTGCAGGCGAGCTTTCCGCTCGGTTAATCTGTTTTAGAATGGAAGTGGACAGCATTCGGATGCTTATATCCAGGCTGCACCCGTTTTTGCTGTAGAAAACAAAAGAAAGTATCCGAATGTAGTTCTTTTTGGCCTCTCTTTTTGCAGTGGCGCTGACCATGCACACCTTTTGCAAAAACAGAAGAGCCTTGTAGTACTGCACGTGCTTGGCAAATATCATCTTTTCAGAAGCCTCCAGCCGCTGGAACACAACCTTGAGAGACTTTTGCAGTATGTTTGGGTTCATGAATGCAGCTGAAATGAGAAACCCTATTTCCGTAATGTAGTCTGTCTTAGAGTTGGACAGCGTCTTTCTAATAAATACTTCATCCGAGGAGTATCCTTGCAGCCAGTACTTGACGCACAGAAGCTTCTGTTTAAGTGTGGAGTACGCACTCATTTTCCAGACAAACACGGGGCATACTTAATACTCTTTCCCCTAGGCGCCCTCTAGCCAATGAACGCTGCTGCGCGATCACTTGCGCTGTAAAAGGCATCTGGGCAGGGTGGTGCCATGCAAGAGATCAAACAGGCCCAGCGCACTTGAAATTTGTCCAATAGGCACAGCGCATGCCCAGGCATGTTTCTAAGCTTAGGTGCAGAAGCGCCAATAGACAGTTTCTACGCCCCGCGTGCGGAGGCCAGCTCTGCACATGCGTGCTTGCTACTGATCACTCAATTCCATCGATCTCGTCTGCTATTCCGTGGTTTGTGTCTCGGTGCATTGCTTCGTCTGCCCGGATAGCCAAAGTCACGTCAAGAAGCGTGGCGTCGTCTTTTAGGTTCCAGTACTTTTTTGCTATTTCAGGCGCCTCAATGTTCGGGATAATCCCAGCTTTTATCTCCCTCACCATTTCTGTGTATGACACGATCGCCTCCTCTTCCAAATACCCAACAAATCTGTGTGCTGTTTTCGAAGACACCACATACAGCAAAAGGTACGCGTTGAAAAACACTCCCTGCAGGCCCATTACAATAAGCCTTTCCAAAAGAAGAGGCTTGGCCACCTCCATCCACGTCATAAGATGCATCCTCTCGTTTTCGGCCTCTGCCAAAAGGACGCGGATGTTGCTGTCGTCTTCCATTTTCCGAAGCGACTTAAGGTGCCGAATCAGCCCACCCACCATGCCTGGAATCGCAGCCACAGTTTCCAGCACAATGGCCCGGTGGATGTATCTTTTGTAAAACACCACGTCTGCAATTAGCCGCAGGCCCCGAACAGCCTTCCACGCAATTGCGTCCGACAGGTCTCTCTGCTTCAAGTGCCTTCCCACCCCAACGTCTATCTCCTCCAGGTCCTTGTGGGCCACTGTGTGAAGGAACTCCGGCCGAACCACCTGTGGGGGGTGCAGATCATGTATTCTTTGCATAAACTTTAAAATAATTTACCTTGTATTTCTATCTTTTTGCATAGCCCAGCCAATTGAAAACTAGTTCGATTTATTGAATAATTTCAGCCCAGCCAATATTCCAAGTTCGCCCTGCCTTTTGCAATTCAGCCAAGCCCGTCCAGGCACAGTCAAGACTGCTTCTTCTTGCTTGCAGGGCCTCTCTGCGCAAACACGCGGTCTTTGTGTGCGCACACGCTGTGTTTCATAGCGCCTGCGCGCACCCTGTCCAAACGTTTGACAGCTTTGTGCAAGTCTATGGCCAGGCCAAACACAGAAAGCCCGATAAGCGCAATGTCTTTGGCAGCAGCCAAAGTGCCCCTGCGCAAATGCCAGGGGCTGCTTTTTCTCTGAAAACAAGCAACTTCAGCTGCATGCACGAAGCTCTTGGGCGCGTTGGGCGCGCCTGGCCGTGTCTCGCTCGTATGCGGCCCAGCCTCTCTGCTCAAGACAAATATAAATAAAAGCACACACATGCAGACATCTGGCTGCGCAGCTAAGCTTGAGCAGCTGCGCCTTCTACTCCTATACAGCAATTCGGGTTTTATTTCAGTGCTTGAACGTTCGCCGGCTTACCTTCTCTTCTCCTGGCCGTAATAATTCGAGTATTCTCTAAAGCGGTTGTCTGCAAAGTATGCCTCTGCATCCTTTTCCTCGTAGTGATACTGCATTGCCTGATCTCGCTCCTTCTGGTGCCACTCTGGGTACTCCTGATACTCCTCGTTGTACTTCCACGGCTCGTCCTGCGAGTACTCTGGCCACTCCTGGGAATACTCTTCCGGCCGTTCTCTTCTGTTGTACAGAAGGCCGCAGGAGCTGCATAGCCACTCGTTATTATGCCCTCTCTTCCACAAAGGCGCCTGTGACACGCCACATCCCCGACAAACGCCCTTTTCTATGTTATTCTTAATGGCTTTTGTTTTTCCATCGGGCATAACACTGAAGGGCCTGTCGCTTCCATGGAGCCTTTGGTACAGCCCGCATGCATTGCACAGGAGAATTTTGTTGTTTGTGCTTCTTCTCCAGGCTGGAGTTGTGGTCGTTCCGCAGTTCGTGCACACGCGAAACTTCGACTTTTTTCGGGTCGAGGCCTCCTCTTTCTTGGCCTTCTTCTCCTTTTTGATCCACTGCGGGTCGCCTCCCTCAGGCCTTTCGTCCCACTGCCTCCAGTTGTCGCGCATGTAGCCCTCGGGCCTGTACTCCTCCTGTCTGTAGACGTCCTGTCTGTACTCCTCCGGCCTGTAGCTGTCTTTTCGGAACTCCTTGAACATTCCTGGAGCACTTCCCCACGGATGCTTCTCTCTTTCATACTCCTCGTTGAAAGCATATGCGTCCTGTGGATGGTACTTCTTCTGATAAATTGGCCTGTTTGTGTATTCGTCTATTGTATAGTCTATTATCTCTTGGTCATCATTTAATTCTTCCGAGTGTTCATTGATATTGCCCATTTGATTATCTATTTCTCGTCTTGTTCTCTCTGGCATTGCGTTTTATAAATCACAAATACTTTAAGATTCAACCTAAGCTGTGTTTACTATAGATTGATCTGAATGGGAAGATCCCAAATAAATAAATAAAGATAATTTTGATAGCTTGCTAAGACAAATATTTTGTTTTTTTGTTTCTTTCTGCTGAATGGTACAGGGGTTACTTATTCGAAGAAAGGAAAAACGCCAACAGAAAAAGGCCAGGCCTACAATAGGAAAGTACAAGAAAATAAAGAGGGCGTGCACGCCTGAGGAAAAGGAAAAACGACAGATAAGGAACAAGATAGAGGCCCATTTGAAGGAGAAGAGCAAGAAAGTATAAGCCCCCTTTGTGCCAGTACAGCAAATATTATGAATAAACAAAATAGAGCCAGCCCATTTCCTCCCCCCTTATGTAAATGCTGTTTTATAAGAATGTTCTATTTATATGCAGCTGGCCTTGCTTGTTTGGAACTTTCTGTCGGGCATTTGTGCTTTTTCGGGCAAATGCAATATTTGCACGCATTTGGGCATATGCGCCTGCAAACATGCTATGGCATGCCCGTGCCTGCGCAAACAGTGCACCCAGGTGGAGAAAACACACGGGCAGCAGCAGAGCAGGCCTTTCCACCCCCTGCCTGCAGCAGAGGCAGGCTCAGCCCGAGGCCCAACAAAGCACGCGCGAAAGCTGGGACGAGGAGAAATAGAAGCAGTTGCGTTTATTTTTAATATTTATCGCACACGGCTGCGCGTAGGCATGCCGACTTTCTGTTTTTCTTAGCGTACAATACGCATGAAAGGCCTGCAGCTGTCATTCCCAAACACCCTGCAATTTTAAACAAATACTTTTTGTTCTCGACGTCGCTGTGGGCTGTGTTTGAAAACACATGGTAGCTGATGATTCCTGCCAAAGAGGGCGACAGCCCGCTGTACATGCCCGTGAGCATGCCCTGAGCGATGGTTTTTTTGCTTTCAGGTGCGTACTTGTGGGCAAGCCTTATTGACACGTATATGAACAGCGCGGAGTATGCCGACTTAAAAAGTTCTGCAATATATGGAACTATGTTTCTAGCTTTTGAGGCTGGGGACATGTGTGCGTATGTCAGCGATCTGAGCGCGCCCAGGCTGATCCCTAAGGGAAGCAGGCCCTCTAGCGACACTCTGTCGCCCACCCAAATAACAATGCTCCACACAAACAGCTCGAAAACTGTGCGCACGAAGTATATGTATCCTTGGTCTCCCCGGATAGACCCCGTTTCTATGAGATACTCGCTCAAGTACGACTGCAGAGACGATCGGGATATTCCACTTCCGAGCGCACACAGAATAAGAATGGTGTAGTTGGTGTTGAACACGCCAAGAACAAACAAAACATTTCTGTAGGCGGAGCGAGCCATCCATGATAGGCTCTTCTTCTCGCCTGTGCTGCTGGGCTTCTCTGCGACGGGCGCCTCTTTATACGGGAGCGTAAGCAAAGAGACAGCCAAGCACAGAATAAAAATGCCCCCGAAAAAGGAAGTGTTTATAAGCACACTTGGGCTGATTTTTTTGTCCTGGTATATTCTCTGTATGAAAGTGTTAATCAGATATGTTATGCTGTGCCCGGCCGTGCTGAACACCCGAATTTTGCCGAACTCGTAGCTAATGTTTCTTTCGTTGAGGAGGGCGAGGCAGGCGGCGTCGATTGTTGGAAGAATCGACGAGTCTGACATTATGTGCAGACATCCAATGAGCAGGTTTGCATACTGGTTTGCAAACATCTTTTTAATGAGAATGCACAGCGTTGCTATGAAGGTAACGCTGGAAATTAAAGTGACTGCCAGCGGGCGAATATACTTCTGGGAAATGTACGTGGAAAATATTGCCCCTCCTAGTTTGATCACACTGATCATTTCAATAAAGGAGAACTGCTGGGTTGTAATCTGGAAAGTCTCCTTTGTTATCGTCTCGCGATAGTTGTGGGAGGAGTAGATTACAATGTGGATGAAGAAGTACAGCAGGATAAACTGACATACGATCCATCGATTACTCAGCTCGGACTTATTTGTCATAAAATCCAGGATAAAAAGTTTTACATAATTTATAATAAATGTACATGGGATCACATAATAAATTTGTTTGGAGAAAATTTTTAGTATGGCAACTGGAAAAAACGCAAGCAAGACTAACAACACGGGTCGCATGATAATTGTGTCTATTCTCGTGGCAATACTGCTGTCTTTCATCATTTTTGCGCCTTGGATCATTCCGGGGCTGGGGGCGTCTTTGGGAATCGGGGCTGTCCTTTCTGCTGTGTTTGGAGCATCAAACGACAACCCATTAGAGAAATAGAAGCCGCTCTGTGAAGCAAGATGCATTCACAGCGTCGAGACATATACAAGCACATACCCGAATAGCAGTCCTTCATGCGACAATCAATAAATACCCAAATCAATGCGCACTTGCATCTATTTTATGTGCCCAAGGCCTCCACGCCTTTTTGCAGGCGCTGGAAGTGCTGGCCTGCTCTTCTGTAGAGTGTTGCTCGTTTCTTTTGTCGCGCGCAGGCTGAAAAACTGGGGCCTGCCACGCACTCTCCGACTCCAGCTTTGAGAGCCAGAGGCTGGCCATGAGCTTCCAACCACTTTGCAGGCCATTTTCGCTTTGCGCACCAAAGCTTGAAATCAATGGGGAACTGTTTTGCAAAGTTGCCGCGGGTGCATGCTGTCCGCGGAAAGGCAAAGTTCGCTTCTGCATGCACCTTCAAACAAGCGCTTTTACACTAGCTTCTCTTTATTTGTACTTCGCCCAAACCGGCATGGGATGCTGGCGCCGGTTCGAAGCTGCTTTTCTTACATAAGTCTGCAGCTGCATCTCGCTAGTGTGCACTGCGCTTGGCTAATGAGGGCGCACTCTCAGTCCGCTGCGTTGGGCATTCCGCAACTGACAGCTGTACACGCGCTCAAGCCATTGTTGCTTAGGGGGTCAAGTGAGTAACAAGTCCCTGTAAAACCCCGAAAACCATCCATAGAGTAAGAAACATAGCCAGATGTTTAGGGTTTATGCGAGATGTTTCCTCGAGCTGGAGTGCGCTATGCGGTGAAGATTCAAGCAAGCACTCTTGCTGGCTTGCCGCGAAAGAAAAAAGGTGTGCCTCTCTGGCAGCATACATTGGCTCTGCTAGCGAAGAAACAGCGTATGGAACAAGCCTCTTATCTGTGACCGGATCTTCACAAATGCCCTTTGCGCCTGCCAAGGGAGAGCCTTTGGGGGGCGCCTCCACGTCTTTTTCTAGACTGGGCTCGCTTTCGCCTGCATCCAGAGGGGCCGCACGCTCCTCCGCATTTGGGGCGCCGACTGCAGCAAAATCCGCAAGCTCTTTCTCTGCGCCCTCTTCTGCAGGCTCTGAAAAAGGCCCGAAGTCTTCGAGGCGCGGCTTGGCCGGCTGCAACTGAATAAGCACTCCGCGCGCATTCTTGCCTGCGATTACTGCGCTTGCGTCTTTGGATATTGTCCATTGCATCACTTTTTTTGCCTCGATCCTGCAGGGAGGCGTAGCCTTAAGCGCCCACGAAATCTCACTTTGCAAAGAGGCTATTTTTTCTTTGGCTTTTTTCACCGATGCGTCCAGCGTCATTATTCTTTTTATGTAGTCGGGCATATGCACAGGCGGATTTGTCATTTTCAAATAGGCGCTTATTATGGCCTCTGCTGTATTTTCTAGGCGCATGCAGGAACTTTCCGGAAGCATCCCTATTTGGGCCAAAAACGTTTTGTGTTCCGCGTACTCTAGTTCGGCTATGTTTAAGAGCCAGGATTTTTTCTTTTTCAGAGCTTCTAGCAGCTGGTTTTTCTCCTGGACTTTTTCATTGAGCAGCAGAGCTTTGTTGTCCTCCAGAGCTTGGCATGCCTCCAGCACGGGGCCTATGCTCTTTGTTCTGCTGGCCTCGCAAATGGCAGCCTGCAGGGCTGTCTTCCGGCGCGCTTTTTTCGTGCGTGCCGCGTGTATGCTGGGCTCGTGCGGATACGGCCTGTTCCCCTGCTCCTCCTCCTGGCTTAGATCAGAGAAGGGGGACAGCATCTCGGCGTAGTTTTGGATGGCCGCCCGCACCTCGTCTTTGTGCAGATGCACAGCCAGCAGCGCTCCTATGAGCTTTGCAGGAACTGTTTTTTCTATCTGCTCTCTTGCCTCGCATGCGTCTGTGCTTTCCAGCACTTTTTCAAAGGGGCCCTCTTTCCCCTCCAGCGCCACCACGTTTTTGTGCAAATAGTCCAGCCCCGCCTCCATGGTATACTGGCAGCCTCCATTGAGCGCAAACAGGCCGTCTATTGAAGGAACTCTGATCGAGGTGTTTAGCTCTTCCTCATACGCTCTATAAACAGCTTCCAGCACGGAGCATGCTGTGCGGCTCTCCAGCACTGCATTCCATCTGTCCCGGTTTTTCTGGAAGCGGTTGACAAATGCCATGTAGATATCCTGCGCCCCTTCGCTCTTTCTAAACGCAGCGTCTACTTCTTTCAGGTGTTTTGAAACATAGCCGACAATCTTGTCGGACAGCGAAGAAGCTTCTGCAGATTTGCTGGCTCCTGGGCCTTTTATAGCGCTGGCTAGCGCTGTTTTTAGCTTCTTTGTGTTTTTTGTGCTCATATCCAGAATGTAGCACATTTTGCCTTTTGCGAAAGCCATGCGGTGCAGAGGGCACAGAGTTCTATCTGCTTCTTTTGCCACAGATTTTACTGCTGCCTCCAGCAAGCTGCCCAAATACGCGCTTTCTTCCTGCGCATGTGCTTTGCTTTTCGTGCAGCCCTGGACTTGTATGCTCGCGCTACTTAGCAAAGCCTCTTCAAAAAAGCGAATAAATGTTTCATATGTAAGGCCATGCTCAAGCTTTTCGCAGTTTCTCAGCATTTTTATGCAGCTGGCCGCAGCCTTCTGTCTGTGGATCCTTACCAAAAATATCTTTCCCTGTATGCATATGCATTTCTTCATCTATGTAAAGTGTGATATCCTTTTTTTTCATCTTATGTGCACCATTTTTGATGCAAATTTAGCTGATTGTGCTTGCGAAAATTTCATGCATCACTTCTACCCCGCAAGAAAATTAGCTTTGGCAGCTGCGTATGGGGCGGCTAAGAAAACACAAACAAGCGCTTGCCTGCGGGCCCTATGCAGCGCAGCGGAGGAAAATAACGATAGCTGTCTTTTATTTCGCAAGTTGTGCAGTTTTACGCAAAAGCCGCGCCCTTGCGCTCTCTACAGAGACTGTTTTGTGTGAGCCTGTCCTCGCAAATCGTGAAAATATTAAAGAGGAGAAAAAGACTGCTCCCAGCTTTTCTGGGCCACACAAAACATCTACCAACAATGAAAGCTTCAGGTGCGCAAAGCCCTTAGCCCACCTCAGCGCCCTGCGCAGCTTTGGTTTGCCCCAGCAAAGGCTTTCCAAAGAAAACAAACTGCCGCTGCCAGCCTGAAACAATGCGCGATGCATGCGCCTGGCCAGGCAGCGTCGCTTACGCCTTGCTGGATGCTTATAAAGGCGCCAGCCTCCACGCGGTTACACCGACAGCTTCTTTGTAGGCCCGTTGAAGAAGCCTTCGATTGTGGCGGACAGGTGCGAGTCGCTTACATTGTCCAGTCCTCCGTGCGCATTTCCTATTTCTCTGACTGTTTTCTTGTACTCGGATATAATGTATGGCCGGTGCTCTTCTGGGACCGAATAGTGCTTGGCCTTTATTAGAGTTTTCTCAATAGCCCGAAGAAGCTCGCCCACTTTGTTGGTGCGGTCTGGGTTTTCCACGGCCTTGCGCAGCTTTCCGCTCATCTCCTGCACAGCCTCCTGCGCAATTTTGTCTGTAGGAACTTTCTGCTTTTTTGTTGAGTTCAAAAGAGCAGTTGAGTTCAGAAGGAAGATTAGGCCTTCCCACTTGGACCCTGCCTGCTTGGACTTCTGCTTTGACACCTCGCCAAACTCCTTTACTTTTCTCCGCATTCGCACGCTCACGCCCAGAAACTCGGACACTGGCACCACGCCCTGCAGAGCCTTCAGAAGATAGAACAGGTCCCTGTCGAAAAGCCTTTTTTCGTTGATTTTCCCCGTCACAAAGTACTCCTCGGCTTCCTTGTACAGCGTTTTGTAAGTGGACGCAGCTATTTTCTGGATTTTTTCGTGTATTTTGTTCTTCCTCAGCACGCCTTCCATGGCAGGCGTTATAAGCACGCCCAAAAACTGCACATACTCTTGCAGCTTCTTTATTGGCGAGCATATGCTTTTTATAAAGCTGTAGCACTTCTTCCCCATTTCGTGCACCAAAACATCGCTGGAAAAGCGCGCCACCTTCTGCGCGGCGCCTGCAGCCTGCTCTGGCTCAAGCCCGACCCGAGCAAGTATCTCTATCTCTGCGAGGGCTTGGCTTATCTGGCCCGAGCTCTCGCCCAAGTCCTGCTTTATGATGGTCTCCATGTACTTCATAGCCAAGTCCAAAAACAGCCCCGTCTTGTCTTTTTTGTTCACCATAAACTCCGCCCAGTTGTCGTGGCTCTTTCCCTGCAGAGAAAGAGCCAGCTGCTTTTTTGTAAAGTCGTCAAGAAATGCCTCAGCAGACTTTGCTCGGGCGCCAAGCCTTCCCAGTATTCCGTATATCAGGTCTGTTTTCCGATGCGCCTTTAGCTTGTGCACAATTTCTTTTATGTTTCTGTACTCCTCCAGCCTTCTTTCTGGCGAGTCTGTTTTGCTCTCCACGCTCAGAGCGACCTTGGCCTCTTCTATTCCGCCAAGAACCTCCACCACCTGCTGTATCCTTTGGACCGGCTCTTTATACTTTGACTGCACCCCTACGCACGGCCCATCCAGGCTCAGGTTCATTTTTATTCTATTGTACGCGTCTTTGCTTCTTCGAATAGACCTTGCCAGAAACTCGTCTTCTGCAAACTCGTCCATCCTCCACACCTGTTGCACGATATTATACTCGCATAGATGTGAAACCAATGCAAAACACGTCCAAAATAGAAGCAATGCCCAGACGAGAAAGGCCTGCGCCAGGCCCAATAAACAAAAGCAATGCAGCAATTCACGGCGTTGCCTGCGCTCTCAGCACAGACAGAATGTCTATTTATTGTATCAGCCTCTCGCCAAAATCATGACTGCGCAGATGAGAGAGAACACGGCTGGTATCTCGATGGTCGAGTTTATAATAATCGAGGCAAGGAAGATTCTTCTGTCTTCGCTCATTTTTACAATTGCATACTTGTTTGCCTTTCCTATCGCCATGCCCGAGAAGAGTGCCCCTCCCCCGTACACAAAGCACGCTGCCATCACAGTAGAGGCAGTCTTCAAAGACACATCCTCCGTCATCCTTGAAATCGACAGAAAAGAGACAATAATCGCGTACATAAACCCAGCAGATGCGAACAGGACGGGAAGATACGACTTTGTAATTAGGTCTGTGCCCCGGTTCGCCACAATTGCAGCAGAAGACGCAGACATCGCAGCCCCAACAGTGGCGCCGACTGCGCTTGCTGCAAGCATAATCACAATGCTAAACGTTCCTATAACGAAAGGAACAACACTTCTGTTCAGCTCCGCATTCTCATCCATAACAAAGTAAAAATATTTGCGATTTTAAGTTTGCTTGAAGCCTTGCAACGAAAAGCCCAAAAGCGCTGTCTTGCAAAAGCGCTCTATTCGATCGGGCACACTGTTACTTCGTCCGAATACGCAAACAGCTCGTCTGTGCTGACTTCCTTGCCCAGCAGCTCCTCTATAATGTACTTCTCCTTTTCGTCCGAGGCTGTTAGTATTACGGGGCTTGCATACAGCGCATGCTCTGTTTTTTTCGGGTCCACGGCTTTGAGCGCCAGCTCCAATACGCGAGGGTTCACCATGTGGCACGAAAACACCTTCACCGGGTTGTACGGCGTAATGACTCTGCTTAGCCGCTTTCTCCTGTAGAATATGAACCTTTCGGTGATCACCCAGACCCTTTTCACGCCCCCCTTCAGCTCGTCTTTGATTTTGTTCCCAGGCGTAAACTCGTCTATAAAGAAAATGCTTTTGTCCGTGAGCATCGAGCTGCTTTGCATCTCCTCCTGCATGGCCTTCATCTCTATAGAGTCGCGCACAATAACCAGAGTTCGCTCAAACTCGTTTGCAAGGGTGTTTATGTGGTGGTCCTTGTACCTCTTTTCGGGCACGCTTTTGTTCCACTTTATCTGGATTTCGGTCTCTGCTCTGGCGCGCCCTGCCTTCTTTGCGGGGCTCCCTGCAGCTTTTTTTACTACACGATGCTCCGGCATTTGGCCTGCCAGCTCCAGTATGCACGGCGTGATGACGTTTGCCAGAAAAACAAACGCCTTTTTCTCCGCGCCGCTGCTCAGATACCTCAGGTTGAGCTTCTGCCTTGGCGCAGGAAGCGCCTCCTCCAGTATTTTCACGCTTTCCCGGAGTGAAACCGCGTTCTGCAGCTGCAGAATGTCTGCGTCCAAAAACACAGCAGTGTCCACGCCAGACAGGAATGCGTATATGCTCAGCTTGTTTTTGGCCTTCCGCGAAAAGTCCGCCAGCCCCTCCTCTTCTGCTATAAAGTACTTGGACCGGTCTATTTTGTGGTCTCCCAGAGTCACCAAGGCCTTTGTGGTTGTCATCAGAATGTCTGCCTGCATGTTGCTTGCTTCTTCAAATCCGTTTTCGGTGTGCATAAGCGGAAGCATAAAGTCGTCGCACTCGTCCCCCAGAATCCGATACTCCGTGTCCTTCACCTCCTTCCCCAAAACGCTTCGGTTTTCCAGAAGTCGGCCCACAATCTCAGCTATCAGCCCCGTGCTGGGCACCACCACGCACATCGTGCACTTGTTTATGGACGTCGTTTCAGTGTAGTTCTCAAACGAGGACAGCCGGCTCTTTTTGGCCTCCGGCTTCTTTGCAGCAGGCTCTGCACACTGCTTCTTTTCGTATCGGTCGTGCATGTACTTTACTATTTCCCGAATATAGCTTTCCCGAGAAAACCCCCCAAACACACCGGTCTCCCTTCTTTGGAAGCACTCTCGTATGTCCGCCTTCATGCATGAGAATAAAAAAACCCGAATTTATGCATGGAACTTGCGAACATCGAAAAATCTCGTTTTTATGTGGCTCCTTTAGTATAGTGGTTATTATGGCACGTTGTGGCCGTGCAGACCTGAGTTCGATTCTCGGAGGGAGCATTTCTCTTTTTTCCCCGTGATGCATATGCCCCGTGCCCCTGTTTGTGTTATATACGCACAGACGCGGCCGGCAAATGAGCGCGTTTCCACCAGTGTTCCACGAAGAGATGCTTTGCAGAGACTCGGGCAACATACACTTCAAAGTTTTCATCGACCGAGAAAAGTCAAAAATTCACATATACGCGTGCCAGAAGGAGTCTGCCAGAGACTACGCGAACAAGCTAACCGAAAGAGTAAAGGAAATTCTTCCATACAAAAAGGCGTATGTTATTTGCAATCTGGCGTCTGCAGAGGATATATATCCTGTGAAAATGGCCCTCCAAAGCTGCTTGGACCAAGTGGCAAAGCACTAGTTGCGCTGCTGGCAGGCAGAAGTGCGCGCGGCCTTATACTTAAATACACATAATTATGCTTTTGTTTTCTCTCTGCGCCGGCAGGCCCGTGCTTTTCGGGCATCTTGCCTTTGCAGCCTTGCTTATGTTTTCCGTGTGCCCCTTACACCACGCATGGCAGCCGCCTGCTTGCCCGCACGGCCACCAAACGCCTTGTCTGCGGGCACTGCAAATTTACCCCGTGTGCATGCCTCTACTGGGCGGCTGTGCAATAACTCTGCAAAATGCAATGGAGGCAGACAGGCGAAGAAATTCAATTGATCTGCGCTAATCAAAATGATTTTATGATTTATCTGGCAAAAAGCGCCGCAGACTTGGTCTCCTGCATGTTTCTTGGCACATTTTGCAATATAGCCCGAATTTCCATCAGTGTCTGCATTTCGTATTGAAGCTGCCAAGCTCCAAAGAAAAAAAAACCCGAATATATCCGTGATCTGATGCGCCATGAAAGTATAAATATTTTGTGTGGTTTTCTCCAGAATGTTAATGTCTAGCCGATTCTGCAGACAAGAGCCTGATGCTGCAAATAAGTCCAAGGTAAAAAAGCCTCCGGTACTCGTCGAGATGGCGCTGTGCAAGGGGAGCAACGCCCCGCAGATCTACAATCGGATAAACTCAATGCTGGGGAAAAGGCCTTTTCACCGGCTGTTGCACCTGTCGGAGTTTCAAAGCAGCCTGGGCCTCGCCATAGAAAAAAGCCATGATGCAAGTGACTTGCCGAACTTTATTCCGTCTGTGTGCTTTGAAAGCCAGCCCTTGCAAGCGCTCTTCTTATATAAAAATATAGGGCCCGAAATTGTCCAAACAAAGATGGAGTTTGCCTTTTTGAAGAAAGAAGACGGGGTTTACGTGCACGCCTGGGTGCGCTACTTTCAGAGAACTGCGCGCTGCTACATGCTGTCCAGAGAAAACACGCTCCAAGTTCTCGTCCTTCTGCAGGAGCCTGAAGTATATGCGCATCTTATGTGCCACACCTGCTTCGAAGCCGCGCTGCTTGCCCTGGAAGCATACTACATCAACATGTACAAGATGGCCGAGCTGCCAGCGCCTGTCCAAAGCGACTACTTTTTCATTGCAGACTACAAACAGGCCATAGACCAGCACGTGCGAATCCAGGCACTAGCACAGGTGCCTAGTACGGAGCCATCGAAAAGGGCGACCTTCCTGGCCTTTGAAAAAGGACTGAACGCACTAACTTTAGAGAAGTTTCCGATCACAGAGGAAACTAATCTAGACGATTACGTTGAAGAGATTAAAAGCTTTGAAAAAACGTGGGCCTGGGGCGCATATAACCACCAGAGGAACCAAAGAAGAAAACCTTCGTGCTGCCAGCCATAAATAAATGTAAGTGGCCTACTAAAACAGAAGAAATTTGCGCAGCCAGAAGTTGAAAATTCCAGAAGAAAAAATACACGCCTTGTGCAGGGGCTTCTTAAAAGTATAAATATGGTATAATTTTTTTATGCGGGGGAATGGCTAGTAGGTTTGCTGCCAACTTTATGCAGGCTTGGCTCCATTGCACTGCTAATGCAGGGTGGCTGCGAGTTTGCATGGAGAGGGCACGCAGGCATGCGCCAACCCCCCACGACATATACAGATGGACAATGCACTCAGTACACGTTTATATGAAGCAACAGCTTGCTTAGCACTTTTGGGGGCCAAAAGCTCTCCAAGCGTAACATGGGTCTACTGGCAGGGGTTCCGCATGGAACAGCCCTGCAACTAGCAAGCAAGCCATTTCCTGCGCCTAGTGTCTGCGTACAGCTCTGCGCCTGCAGAGGCCGCACACGGAAACTCGGGCGAGCTGATGAAAACAGCGCCCATAAACCCATCAGCAGAACTGTCCTAGGCCAGGCACAATCCGCTGCGCCTTCTTCGGCAAAACCCAAAAATCCAACCAACACAGGGATGCCGGGCCATTCACAGACACCACTCAACATGCTACAGCCCGCAGGGCACTACAATTAAACACATTCGCATTCCGCAGATGCATGCAGGAACAGCCGAGAGACCGCAGCGTCTATATTAGCAAGACAGAGGTGCTTTGAAGGGCCTTCGTGCCACAAACAAAAAGCACATGCTGGCGAAGAGAGCAGCTCAAAAAGCCGGGCCAGACACAAAACGACCGAGCAACTTACAGCAAGGCTGCGCCTAGCTACAAGGCGGACAGCCTATGCATATTTAGGCATTCCAAAGCCACTCGCGAGTGGAAGCACACACGGGCACTAGAGCCAGAAACCAATAAAATCTAATATGTCACTTTCCACGCCTGTTCAGGCAATTTCCAGCGCGTTCTTCGGTGTTTGGGCGTCGCCATATGTGCCCGCGGCGTATGCCACGCTTGTAAAGCTTTGCCTGCGCTTTTTCCGCCCTGCTTTTTCTGCGCATATGCTTGTGCTGTCTTTGGCGCCAGCTGAAAATAGCGCCCGGCCTCAGAAACAATTTCCGAAAGCTTAAATGCCTAGGTGTTTTTATTTCAAGATCCAATGCCATGTGAATAACGTGGCCTGGTTTTTCTCCAGGCCCACATGGAAGACAAAAACACCAACGGAGCTTATAATGGCATTAATAGGGATGCCGGGCACATCCAGAAACGCATGCCAACCACACATGCGCACTTTTTCTGTGCTAACTCCTAGATACATCCACACAAGTGTTTGTATATTGATGCAAACACGCGCCAAAACCGCACATCCTCTCCGCAAAAGTAGCCGCAATGAAACGTGCGCAGTATCACACCCTGGCAGCTCCGCGTGGGGCTACTCTCTTGCTGCAGACTGCCTACTGCATGCTGTTCGTCTTTGATGCATTCTGGAGCGAAACATGTTGCATGTGCTTCTTGGTGCGCATTTGCATCTATCTGTAAAAGAAAGCGTGTATTTATACTTTCATAGTTGATGTGTGATGTGATTCGTCTTCGTTCATTTCGAGATTTGTGATTCAAATCATTTCCAAAATATGATGACGCTTTTCGCTTTGGAAGCCACATTTCACATAAAAGCAGGCCGCAGTTTGGCTGAATCTCCGCACAGACGGGGCTTTCTTTCCAGAACACTCAGAGAAGCTACTATCCCTCGAATCCGTGCACTATGCAGCTCCCTGCCCCAGAATGCTCTGGGGCTCGCCTCTACTGTGAATTTTCTGCACACTCAGCGGAAACTGCCTCTCCACGTCTGCTGCTTGGCAATGGTTCGCGCGAGCTGCACCTTTGCATGGCCTGCACGTGTGCGCCGCCTCAAATGCTGCTATTGCCGTGTCTGTCCGCTGTTTTGCAATGCTGGGCGCGCGTGAGAAGCATAGAAAGAGAAAACGGCCGAAGCCCCAAAGAAAGTATGCTGAGCTTTGCATGCAGACTCCGCCGACGGCATGGCAGCCTAAAATGGCAGATGTATAGCTGAAAACCCTACATTGCCAGCGCCAGGCTCTCTGCCGCTTCTTTGTCTGCCAGGGCCTTCTTACGCTGCTTAGCTGCACTCTACGCTTTTTGCCTTTACACTAACAAGGCGTATGTATATTGAGAGCTGCAAATATTTTTATTATGGATGGGCCAAGAATGGTAAAGCTAAAGTCCGCCTTTGAGAAAATGCTTTGCCAGCTGTTTGCAGAGGCACAGGTCGACGAGGCGGTAAAAGAGGACATCCAGTCTCTTTTTACGCAGCTTCTCTTAAAGTACTCTATCCCCAGCAAATTGAACGAGCTGGACAGCCTTCTTCTGCGGCCGCCCAGCACGCTGTACGATGTGACCTGCCCAAACGCGATTTCGAATATCCTTTCTTCGTTTATTGCGGAGCCAGCCTCGGCTCTGCACGAGTTTATAGACGGAGAAAGCAAAAGCTCCCGCAAAGAGCTCTCAGAGCTAAAGGCGCAGGAAAAGGAGATAGATAAGTCTCTAGAGCACTACACGTCTGAAATCCACAAGTGGCTTGAAATGAGCGAAGGGTCCCTTGCAGAAATTAAGAAACAAACACAATAAAATCAAACATGTTTTTTACAGCATATGAACTTCATGGGAAGAGTTTTCAACTCAATGACCGACTTATATAAAGACATGCACCCAGGGCAAATAAGCGGGGCAAACGACATAGTAGTCACAAGAACATCAAAGGGGCTAAGCTCAACCGGTTTCCATGCAAGATTCGGAAACGTTCAGTCTTTCAAGACCTCCCGTGAAGTCATTCTAATAGTCAACGACAGGGTGATCAATGTAGAGGCCAAGCTGGACCGAGAAGGAAATGTGTTCTTCTCTTTCCAGCACAGCCAAAAAAGCCCAAAGCCTCCTCTGGTAAGCGCGCCCTTCAAGTCCTTTAAGATGCTTATTGAGTCCGACAAGAACTATGCGTTTCTCCTATCTAACTACGAGCGGGTCTATGAGTGCATTTTGCACCGGCAGTATGTGTTCAGCGAGTGCATCCACAAACAGATAGCCCCAGACAGGATCCAGGAGGTCTTCAACGAGCACCGCACCAAAACGTTCCTGGGCGACGACATGGCGGTTATTGGGCTGTACGAGGCAAAGGCCGAGGAGATTGCCTTTTTCATGCCCTTCTATCTCTTCAGCGAGCTGTACTTCTGTGTGGAAAGACGAGCCGCCGAGCCTGGCCCCGAGCCAGACGGAAAAGAGGACGTAGGCAAGGGGTACACGGAAAAGTTTCTGGTCAAGCAGCTTCTTAAAAAAAGAGTTGCCCCCGAAATGGCGCAAGACAGGCGCAAAAAAGAGGTTTATTTGCCAGAAAAGTATCTAGAGGAAATGCATCTATCGCCAGGGCCAAACAAAACTGTGTACAGGCTTTCGGGAACGCCCATATTCCTGACGTGCAACATATATCTGTGGAACGACAGCGACAAAGTTGTTGTTTCGGACATCGACGGGACAGTGACAAAAAGCGACATAGTTGGGTATATATACGGCGCAATTGGCAAAGACTGGACGCACTTGGGGATAGCTGCGCTTTACAACAAAATTGTTGAAAATGGGTATAAAATTATGTATCTGTCGTCAAGGCCAATCGGGCACATCGGGCTAACCAAAACATACTTGGAAAGAGTCGAGCAAGATCAGCAGAACCTGCCTGCAGGGCCTGTTATCTTGTTTCCTGGAAGGCTGCTTTCGGCCATATACAAAGAAGTTGTGCAGGGCCCAGAGGAGTTTAAAATTTCGGTTATATCCGAAGTGAAGGGGCTTGTGCAGAAAGGCCGGATATATGCAGGCTTTGGAAACAAGGAAAGCGACAGGCTTGCATACGAGATGTGCGAGATAGACCCTGGCCGCATATTTATTGTGAACCCGCTAAGCGAAATATCCACGGGCAGAAAGGGAATTGTAAAGTTGACACACCAGGGCCTATACGACATTGTAGAGGGTGTGTTTCCGCCTGTGCGCCCCATGCTGCAGGATGTGTCGCACAAGTACATTGGAGAAAGCTGGTGGTCTGCCCGGCCTCATGAAGACTGAAACATTGAAAGATAATTCTTCCTTTGTTTTTGTAAATGGAGAGACAAGACAAGGCAGAAAACCATATACAGGCATTTGAAGACAGAGAAGCCGCAAGAGCGCCTCCAAAGGTCAGCGATCTTGTCAAAGTCTTGGAGAAAACTCTAAACGCTTCGCATTTTTTGAACACACGATTCAACAGCCAGAACACCACGCTATGCGAGAAGCTTATGAAGGCCGAAAAGCGCGCAGATGGCTCCCACGCCCCTTTGAATAAGGAGCTTCAAAACGCTCCAGAGGACGGAGCATCAGAAGGTTGCGCTGGAAGAAAGTAGGGCAGGCCTTTATATTCGCCTATGCTCGCATAATGTAAAGGCTTATGCTGTTGCCGCTCTGTGCAATTGAATGCTTTCTTGGCCAGCATGGCACGCATACAAAAAGAGATAAATAAACACATTCTGGCCTTTTAATAACTATTTAGATCTCTACATATTCCTTATAAAGTAACTCCTGGATTGTTTCCTTTTGCACGTCTACCCCAAAGGATACTCCGTGGAATTCATCTATAGAAGATAGCAAAGTAAGAGGCTCTATGTTTTTCAAGTCGCAAGCTTTTAGAATTGCTCTGGACATGCATTTTATCAAATGCCTGGGGTCCAACTCGGCTGACACAACATTCATTGTCCTGTGCGTGCCATTAATAGCCTGTGTCATGTAGAAGTCTTCTTGCCTTAGGCTGGCTATTTTTTTTCTCAGCAAAGGCAGAGGGCACGGCGTAATATAGATAAATGAATGGGCGCCGCCAGAAATCTCATACACTTCAGACATAAACATTGACATCTGCGGGATGGTTTCTGGGCATACTTTCAGCTTTGCGTCTAAGCTTGGCTCTCTAAAGCTCGGCTCTAGATGGAAAAACTTTTCGCTTTTCATGTCTTTGAGCTTTTTGTTGATTCCCTTTTCAACTATTTTAAATATTAAAGCCACTTTCGTTATTATTTCTATTCCTATATGCTTGTACATTTCTTCGACCTCTGTAGGTATAAATACGGTAATTTGGATCCTGTTCCTAATTGGCATAAAGCTGTTTATTGCCACCCCGTGCAGAGAAAGGCTAGCTCTCACAAGCGGCCTGTGCATGCTTGCTATCTGTATAAGAAGCAAGATATAGACCATAAAAAAAATCCTGTGCGCGCGCATCCTGATATTCTTGTTGTTTTTACAGCACTATCTACATAAATCTATGTTTGTGTTTGTGTTTTAGTTGAGTTGTAATGCAGAAAGTAGTCATGTGAAACATTGGTATTTATTATTTTTCTACCTGCTTAAATAGACATTATTTAATATATCCGTTGACGCCTAAGATATGAAACTCCTTAATTAGGCCCATGTAAGCAATAGCCGATGCTGTATGTTGAAAACACCGTTGCTCGTACTTGGGTGTTGTTTAGTTCAGATAATGGATAAATATCTTTCTAGTTTATCTAAAAGAGTAAATTAGGATTTAGTATACTTAAGCAGGTCAAGAAACAATAAAAAGCAATTTCCCACATAGCACTTCCAGTGTCACAGCTGCCAATCTAGGAGTAACTATGCTTTCAGCATGCAACACCCTTCATTCATTTTTGACCTGCTTAAATACCCTGAATTCAATTTGTCCTATCTTAATTCTAAAATTCGTTTCTTGTGTCTTTCTAAATGCTAAATAATGTCTGATCACGAGTAACTATGTATAAGCATAAGAGATTTCCACACTGTGTGCTGAAAGCATGGATGCCCATGACAGGCTTTGATGCCTAAAGGTTGTTTTGACACGTTTTAGTAAACAATATTAACGACACTGCCTGCACTTTAGCGCAAACCCACCCGCGGTTTTGCTGTGTGCTGCAACTATTTGGGAAGGCATTCTGCACTTTAGCAATATCTAGCCACAAATAGCTGTGCTTTCAGCACGCAGAAATCGGTCTCTATTTTTGTTTTTCTGCCATGGCGTCATATCGCCCATATCGTGATTATATTGGCCAATGTGCCCAGGCCTTTCTTTCTTTTCTGCAACACTGAACAGAGCCGACAGCTCTTGCAAACAAAGGACTCTGCGGAGAAAGCCGCGGCTTTATACGCCAAGGCAGACCTTGCTTGTCTTTCTTCTCTTTACGTTCCAGTAAGCTTCCTTTTCTTCGCATTCAGCCGTGCTTTTATGGCCCACCCGTCCATTTAGGGTCTTCTTTCAGGCATTATCCCAAGAGGGACTCCATGTGCCGAGCTGCCTCTGCAGAAAAAACTTTAAAGCTTACAGCGCATTGCAGACACACAAAAACAATAGTAGACTTTGCAAAATATATGCTAGACAAAAATCGCACTAGAAAACATGCGCAACCACAGAAAACAAGCTTTTCACCCGAACACTCTGCAAATAGAGTTTTCAGATGCACAAAGCAGCATGCTTCTATATAGACAGGCGCATGCCCAATGGGCACAGGACAGCAAGCGCTGCAGAAAGCGCTTCTGCACTGTGTGCACGTGTAAAGACTGCAGGTTAACCTAGAAAGCACCCGCAAGACTAGCGCGTGTACAGCATTGGCCCGCCGCCTCATGCATCCACATTATTTCCCTCTCCATGCAGGCTAGTGCCAAGCCGCGTGCAAAGGCTCAGAAGCGCCCGAATGCAGGGGAAAGCAAAAAGCAGCCCGACTCGGCCAAAGCCCAAGCCCAAGCACAAAACAGCGAAGTTTGAAGCACGCGCGACAATGCAGGAGTATATTGTCTGAGATCTGCGGGGTTTATTAAAATTCAACCGGGCCAATTACTCGTAATTTTGGCTGCACTCTGCGCACTGTTTGGTCTGTGCAGTGTAAATATGCTGTCGCTCTACAATATTAAATTACGGGCATTCATGCTTTCAGAATATCAACATCTGTAATAGGAAAGAGCCAAACACATTAATAAGCCCTAGTAATAAAAGACAATATCAATTTTATAAAAAATTCAATGAGGAAAGATGGAGCTGCAAAAATAGCACACATAGTGGCGGCAATTCTTTTTGCCGTTTCAGAGATATGCAGCACAAAAGAAAAAGAGACAAGCATGGAAATAACGCATGCCATTGCGATGAAGAATGAGGCAGAAGCAGTGGCCAAAGAAAAAGCAAAAGAGATCTATCTGGAAGAAATAGAAAGAGAGACGCTACACGCACTGGGGGATATTCCCGATAGGGTGGCGAGAAAAATCATAAGCAGCCCAGTAAAGACTGGCAAACTCTTTCAGACGCTTTCTTGCTTGGATTCGGCCGTGGAAAAAGCACACGAAATTCTTGAAAACATACAAGTGATAGAGTGCATGCAAACACTGCACATCCTACAGAGCATTCTAGAGCGGAGCAAGAAGCTCTGCATTGAGTGTGAAGCGCTCGCAGATTTAAAGCTTTCTTCGGCCAAGGAAAACCTAAGCGTTTTGGTCTACGATGCTTGGATCAGAAAGCGTCTAAAATCCCATAAGCTCCAGCTTTTACAAATAACAGCTGCAGCTGAGTTGTTTTCTTGCACCCCGGCGGATGCAAAAGGCAAAGATGCGGGCGTCAAAGACCGAATACACGCGATTGTATGCAAGCACTCGGAAAAAGACATACACATTGCTTGCAAGCTCAACATGCATCTCTCAGCCATCGCCAGTAGCTGCGTGCAAAAGCGAAAAGAAACGTTCAAAAAGCTATACGTAGATGCGCACAGACTAGAGAGTGCATATACTGCGCTAAGGGAACAGCTTAAAGACAAAAAGGGCGGCCATCCCGAGAACGGCTGTTTGGACCTAATGTGGCATCTGAAAAGCCGCGCGCTAGAGGAAACAAAAAACGGTTTTCTCAAAACACTGTCCAAGTATGGATCATCTTAGGCAGAGCTGTCTTTTATACAGAGGCACGAATAGGCTCGCAGCAGTTCTATAGTCATGTGGGTGGGAAGGGGGCGCACCGATAGCCAGCCAATGTTATGCAGGCTTGTGTTTCATAAAAGCTGGCATCAGAAAGACTGAAAAATCATTTTCTTGTAAGCACTGCCTATTTGTGAAAAACGGGCTAGCTGTCAAAACAGTGCACAGCCAGAATAATTGAATTGGGCCAAAAATAAAGAGCTTTTCTTTTCTAGAACACGAGCTTTATAGGCATATTGTGCACTAAGCAAGGAAATGCATGGCCCATAAAAGCGCTGGCGCCTAGACAGGCGAAAAAAACATGCATAAAGGCGCAAAACTAGAAATGGATGTGCTTTATTTTAGGCATGGCATATGCCGAAGGCGTGGCGCGTTCATAGGCGCGGCGGCGCTTTGGCTGGATTGGGACAGAAAGCCGAGCGCATATCTGAAAAGACTGGCAGTGCTTTGCGCAGGCCTTGCTCTGGCCCTGTAAAGGGCATAGTTTGCACGTTCTAGCTGGCCGGCAGCAGGGAAACGCGCAGAAGCACGCCTGCTTATGTGATTATAAGCCGCGGCGCTGGAGCGCATCATCCTAGCTTTTTGGAAGAGAAGCGCGCATTTTCTTTCGCCTGTTTCTTCGGTCTTGCTCGGAGTCAAGTGGCTGTGTGTTTTGCAGGGCCACTCGAAGGTCTATGAAGTCTTTTATGTACTTTCTGGCAATGTCCATTTGCATTGACATTTTAATGGCCTCAAAGTCTTTTCTTTCTTTCATTTTCTCAATTGTGGTTGTAAGCATACCGTACAAGCGGGCATCGTCCTCAATTGTCCCTTGCTTTTTGATAAACTCCAGCTTATCCTCAACCTTTTCCATCTCTGGATTGCTGAACGTAAACCCTTTGGCAGGAGGGTCTGTGTATGCAGTGAGGTCAGAGGACGAGGTTTCGCAGGAACTGTCCTTTTGCGCTTCTGGCTCTTTGCTCTCGAGCGGGCTCTCTTTTATGGCCCGGATCTTTCCCCCAATGACAACGGGAGTTATCTTCGCCGCGGTTGGAATGGCCTTACTTTCCCGCGCCGCCGGCTTCTTGGGCCTTTCTGCTTCCTTTTTGCTCTTCTCAGGAACGGTCTTCCTTATGTCTGGGGTCAGATTGAGCACCAGGCGCTCCTTCAGCTCTTTTGCCAGGCTTGCGCTTCTGCTCTGCTCAGCCTCTTTCGTGCTGCTCCCTGCGGGCCTTTGGGGGTATACTGCCCGCAGTGGTGCAGCCGGGCTGGCCTTTTCTTTCCACACCTCTTCCTCTCTTTCATTGCTCGTCTCCTCTTCGCTGGACGCGTGCAGGATTTCTCGCTTCCTGGTGCCTGTGCCATCTCCTCTGCGGAGGGAGAACTCAGAAAAAACGTCGCGGTTTCTTCCTGCAGGAGCAAGCTCTGCAAGCAGTGCATCCTTCTGCGGGGTGCTTGTCTTAGGCGCAGGGGGCAGGGGCAGATCTCCCTCGTCTGAGCTGCTGGAGCTGGACAGCGTCAGCCGCATCTTCTCCAGATACCATTTGTTCTGTTTTTCCTGCTCTTTCCGTATCTTTTTTAGAGACTTCTTGTGCGGCTTGACCATTTTCAGCAAGTCCTCGATGCCCTGCTTTATCTCTTTCAGATCCTTCCCGCTCTGCTCCTGCTTCTTCAGCGCCTCCTGCACGTCTTCCTTGGTCTGGGCCATCTCCTCCATTTTTTTCAAAGCACTCTGCATGTCCGAGCTGGCCTTCTGCGTGAGCGCAAGGCGCTTGTCTTCCTCGAGCGATGCTTTTAAGTGCAAAAACGACTGGGACAACTTCTCTTTGAGCGTGCGCATGAGCAACACAACATGCAAACTATATAAGCAAGGTTTCACAGTCAAACCAAGTTTCACTCCGTCCTTGGGAAAAACAAACAGTGCAGCTTCACAAAGAAGGCGGCCCTGCAAGGAGCCAGGCCACGCCGCCAGCAGCATGCGAGGGCCTGCTCCTACGGGCTTGCAGTTTTCTGCGTGCCAAAAACAGCCTCCAGCGCGGGCTCTTTCTTTTTCTTGGGTTGCCAGGCTGTGTGTTTTCAGCGCACGCTTACAGCAGTCTCGGGCAGAAGTAGAAACAACTTTGTGCCGCAGCACATTTTCTCTATCCGGCTTAGCGCCCAACTCCCTGTTAATAGCCAGCTATTTATTTAGTGATTGACGATGAACTTGGAAAAGCACAGCTATTTCGAAGGCTCGCTCTTACCTGTATCCTTTTCTAGGACTTCCGCCTTCTTCTCAGGCTCGTGCGCAGTCTCTGTTTTGTCGGCTGCTTTCTCCTCAAGAGTGCTTTCCTTCTCAGCCTCCTCCTTTGGGCTCTCCTCCTTTGCAGGCTTTTCGTCCTCCTTTGCAGGCTCAGAACTTTCGTCCTTCTTCAGGCTCTCTTTCTTTGCGGGCGCGCCCTTCCCGGCCTCTACCGCCGCGTTGAACTTTTCTGCGTCATCCGCTGACGAAAAGCGGGCCAGAAACTTCTGGGCTTTGTCCAAGCCGTCTCCGCAGTCGTCCCCAAAGGTTGTCCAGATCCACGCGTGCTCGGCAAGCGGGTATTTTGACAGGGTCGTGTTTGGCTCAATGTAGTGGTTGCACCCTAGCTTGAAAATCTTCTCCCGAATCTGCGTTATTCTATGCTTTCCCCCTGTTGGCTCAAGCGAGACCCGAAGCTTTCCCTTTCCACGGCCAACCCACGAGCTTGTTTCAAGCTGGTACCTGTATAGAATCGCAGTGGCAGAAAACAAAATGTCGTCCTTTTCGTATATTTCGTTGTACTCCTCCCTTCTTCTTCTTATCTGCTCTTCCTCGGTTTCCTGTATGTTTGCCGCGTCTGCGTGCATTTCTGCGCTCTTCTTAGAATTTTCCATATGACCAGGGCGGCACAAAAAAACAGGAAAAATGGAGAACGAGGGGATCGAACCCCCGACCTTCCGCATGCAAAGCGGACACTCTACCACTGAGCTAGTCCCCCTCGCACATACGGGGGCCCCTTCCCTGTTCACAGGTGGGCGCGCAGAGCAGCGCCTCCGTGGGCTCTGCGAGATGCTGCACGTGCGGGCGCAGAAGGCGCGCTCTCTGTCCTGGCACGGCCTGTGTCCGCTCCGGCCCTGCTCTGCGCGTGTGCAAATGTGTATATTGTTGCTTGGGTTTTTGAAAAAAAATCGAATGGATGCAGTGAGAGTGCCCATGGAAGAGCTTATAAAAAGAGTTGTTCGAATGTTCTACGAGCCCTGCCATGCTGTTATCATGGACATTATGCTGGCGCATTTGGTCTTGGACGAGGAGGATTTGGCCGACAAAATGAAGCTTCTTCCGAGGGAGTTCAACCGGATGGCTGTCCGGCTGCGGGACGACAAGCTCCTTTCCTCTGAGACGATCAGCGACATGAAGGAAGACGGCAGGCAGGAAACAAAAACCAAGTTCTTTTTGGACTTTCGGGGGATCCGGGATGTGATCAAGTACAAGATGTACATCATGACGCAGAGGCTTGAGAAGAAGATGCGGAACAAGGAGAGCACTCTGGGCCTCGGGTGTCTGGCGTGCGGCGTGTCGTACTCGATGCTTGACGCGCAGTCGTTTCTCTGTATGGAGGACTTTACGTTCAAGTGCCCTGAGTGCCAGGGCGAGCTGGCGGAGAAGAAAGAAAGCTCCTTTGAGGAAAAGGACGCCATTTCCAACACCTTTTCGCTGATGATGGAGGAGATTTCTCCTGTCATACGGCAGCTGAAGGAGATAGACACTCTGGGCATTCCCGAGATGATGCGGGGCAAAATAATCCTGCCGCAGAGAAGCGCTGCGCCTGCCAAGCCGTACACGGAGGCTCTTGTGACGGAAATCCAGCAGGAGGTGGAGGAGAAGGAGCAGGAGGCTCCCATGGAAATAGAAATAACAGAAGAGCAGGGCAAAAAAGAGGAGGATCTGCAGGCAAGCGAAGACATGATGCTGGAGGTGGAGGGCGTGAAGAAGCTGTTCAGAGACATAACCGAGCAGGACAAGGAGCGGATGAGCGAGGCCGAGTACGAAAGATACTTTGAGCTATTTGAGAGCCAGCAAGGCGATGCCTAGCTCTTGCAGCCTGCCTGCGGCCAGGCGGGAAAGAAAAGCGCCCGGAGCGCATTCTGGCGCTATAAACTGAGCAACCCGCTCTGAAAGCTTGAAAAACCACAAAACATGCATTTACTTTTGAGCCCAGCTGGAGAGAGTGCAGCACGAATCAGCAGCCTGCGTGCAGGGATGGGCTGGCGCTGGCAGCAAAAGCAATAAAGGAACTTTAGTTTGAATTCGGGATTTGGCCTTCTTCAGAAAGCAGCGCGCAGGCAGTGCAGCAGGGCTCTGCGCACTCAGAAGGGATTGTTTGTGGGCACAACGTGCGGTCCTATCCCTTCATAGTGGCGAAGGGGCACAGCCTGCACACCTTCTGCGATATTCCCGACTCTTCGCAGTAATCTACAACTTTGTCAATGCACTTGTATGCTCGGCTGCTCTCCTCCACCATGCTGATTTTCTTCGCCTTTATCTGGACGTCGGCGTCGCTGATGGTCTTCTCTGCCTCCTCTTGGCTGATTGTGCTCCTGCACTCTGCGCGCGACAGGACCCTGCCGGACCCATGGCACGTTGCATACCCTGCTTTTTCCGCGTGCTTCCCCGCCTTCAGTATGTAGCTTCCCGTGGTCATAGACCCGCCCACCGACACAACGCACACGCTGCCGCGGTCTCTCTCTCGCGTGTTGTATGGAAGAATCCGGGTGCTTCCTTTGCGCACCCGCAGCGACTCGCCGCCAGCGCCCTCTCTTCGCATCATGTTATGCGCAGAGTCGCTGACCACTTCCATTATCAGTGGAATTTCCATTTTGTCCGAGAGGCACTCGTGCAGTATCCCAAATATTTCATGCCCAATAACAGTCCTGTTGCAGAACGCAAAGTTGCTGCATCCGTTCACCAGGTTGAAGTACTCCCGGGCATCTTCGGAGCTGGCTGGCATGCTGACAGTGTCGTGCGGGTCAAGCCCGTTCTTCTTTATATACTCGCCCAGAAAATCGCTGACTGCTACGCTGCCAACGCCGCGGCTCCCTGTGTGCACCGACACGCACACGTCTCCAAGCGAAAGATTCAGCATGTCTGCTGTTTTCTTGTCAAATACTTCAGTGACCGACTGGATCTCTGCGTAGTGGTTTCCCTCCCCGAGCGTTCCCATCTGGGACAAAACCTTGGAGAGGACCCGGGCGCTGAGAATGCTGGCAGACTCGTAGACTGGCAGCGCCCCGCCAGACTCCGTTTCGCATGCGTCCCTTTCCGTGGCTATTCCCCTTTCTATCAGATATGGGAGGCCCTTCATAATAACCTGCTTGGCGTCCATGTCTGACGCCTTTCTTCGGTTGTTGATTCCTATGCGAAGCTCCGCCAAGTCGATGATCTTCTTGACTATTTTCGGGGTAAGCCACGACCTTTTGATGTTGGTGCGCCATATGCGCACCCCGCAGTTCACGTCAAACCCGATCAGCTCTGGAACAACCACACACCTGGGGTCGCGCGCATTGAAGTTGCACGCCATCCCCACAGGAAAGACCTTTCCCATGTGGATGTCTGGCAGAATCGTCAGGTCTTCTATCCCTGGAATGTCCAGCACCCTTCCTATCTGAAACAGCAGGCCCTTCTCGCCGTTTTTTTTGAGCCCCTGATAGTATTCCGGGCTGCAATATATCTGTGCGGTTTTTGTCGGCGCACTCTCCGCTGCTTGCACGCCCTCGCTAGGGCGCAGAGCCTCCTCGCCAGAGGCTGCACAGCCGTGCTTTCCCGCCTGCTCAAAGTCCTCTGCGCCTTCCTTCAGCCTTCTTTGCGCTCTTTTTTTCCGTTCTCTCTTCCTCTCCTGTTCTTTCTCCAGGGCTGTGCTTTGCCGCATGCTTAGAACAAGAACTGGGTGCTCATATCTCACCTGCATTCTTCCAACCGGAGAGTGCTCTCCCGCCCTTTTGAAAATATCTCTGAGGTCGCTCACTATTTTTGCCGAGGCATGTGCCCCCTCTGGATCTGTCACTGGGCGACCTTCTGCCCCTTGGGCGCTGGTTTCTTCTATTTCTGGCATGCGTAGACTCGAAAAAATTAAATAAAAAGACGCCGTGCGCGCGCTTCTGCATAAGCAAAGCGCTCGGGCTCTTGCCTGCATGCGCTGGGGCTTGCACACTTTCTGAAAGTGCCAAATCTGGGCCCTCGGCGCTGCAGCTGCGCAGGGCCCTGAGCTCCCGCCAGCACAGAAAGAAATGCGCGTAGTCGATGCGTTAGGCTCTATAAGCCTGATGCGCAAGAAAAACCAATGAGCGCGTGCATGTGCAATCTTACAGAGTCCAGGCTATTCGGGAGCCCGCACGCTTTTGTGCTCTTCCGATCCTACATGCCTGCCCGGCGAAAATAAAACTTCTGGATTTCACAGAAGCGATATCTTTTATCTTTTTTCAGAGAGTTTAAAAGCGCATGCATGCACAGAAGCCAGAAAGTTTCAAAACACCAGCAAAAGGCGCCACAGGCCGCTAGGAGGCCCTGGAGTATGGGGGCATGGGGCTCGCTCTCCGTTTATGGCACTCTTTCTGCGCAAAAGAGCGCATAACACCCGAAAAATGCCACAAAAGCGCGCATGCAGGCAGGAGGCTGGCCATAATTGCGTGCTGTGTACATCCAGCGAGCGCATGCTCTGGGCTTTTCTTTGCCATTTGGCAAGACCCTCTGTGATCATTTTGGCGCGTCTGCGTGCACAGTGGCAGCAGCAGACGTACACTTCTGAGCGCGCAAAAACGCATCCAGAAGCACTGCTGCACTATAGGCCATAGAGAGGGGTCTGCTGGCAGCCCCCTATATAAGAAAATATTCTTTGCTTTTTTATGAATGGGCAGAGTGGAGAGGACTCCTTGCTGAACAAAATGAAGAAGGCCAAATCCTTTCTAGACAATGTGCAAAAGGAGAAAAAGGTCATGCGCGCGCAGGAAATAGAGCTGGCGCCGCCAGAGCCCAAAAGGGAGGCGCCGCCAAAGATGCCTCCTGCACAGTCTTTCCTGTTTTCTGCTGCAGGTGTTCTGTACCGGAAGCAAGAAAGCGCGTGGGTAGAGATATCCCCTGGGCAGGTCCAGGGAAAGCCGCTGGACGGCCGGGAAATCCAGATTCTTTTTGTGCTGGACAACACTCGCATAATCCTCAATCTGCGCATCATAGACCCTTCGCACATAAAAATATCGCACAACACAATGGTATTCACAGGGCTGGAAGAGAAAAACAAAATATACACCGGGTGCATCAAGCTGAAAACAGAGGCAGAAGCAGCTGAAATAGAGAAGAAGCTGGCCCAAAAAGTGTCGCCACCCGGGATCGAACCGGGGACCTCATCCGTGTAAAGGATGCGTGATAACCACTACACTATGGCGACCCACATATTAAGTAAATTTGCACTAGAAACTGAATTCGGGTTACGAATGCACCCTTTGCAAGCTTGGCGCATTGTGGGCCTCGGCGCCTGTGCTGCCTGGGGAAGAGGCCCGCAAGAAAAAGGCTTGGCGTGCCAGCAGCGCGTTTTGTGTTTCACGCATTGTTACAGATCGCCTTTTCAAACCATTTCCAAATAGTCCGATACGCAGCATAAACAAATGCAGTCAAATGAAGTAATTCCTGCGCCTATCAACGTGTCGATACTCGCTGTTGTCTTCTGCGGCTCGTACCCTGTTATTCTTTCGTGCATAATGTCGGACCCTACGCAGGTTCTTATCTCTCTAATAGCGGGGGTGCTGTCTTTTCTGGCGATTCCCGGAAGAAACTCAAAAATGAAGCTGCTTGTGTCGACAGTTCTCTCAATGCTTCTTTTTTTTATGCCCGAGGGAAATGTGAGGGCTTTTTTCATCGGGTTCTCCCAGTCGTACTCGCAGACGGTTGCCGAAATATACACAAGCAACCTTTCTCTGGTCTCGTTTCGGGAAATGTCGGTTTCCCTGCTGGGCATTCTCACAACTATGCAGTCCTGTTTTGTTTTCCTGCTTCTGGCGTTTCTTCCGTGGTTTGCGCCTCTGTTCTCTTCCTTTTTTTGCGTGTTTGCCCTTATTTCTCTGGAGGTGGCGGCGCTGCTTTTGTGCACGCCAACGCCGCCGTCTGAGCTGCTGGAAAACGCGGACGTGTCGATACTGTACGGGGACGTATACAAAAATCTGGCAAGCCTATTCCGAAACACGCCGTTTGCATACTTCCACCGAGAGTACACAGCGCTTGTGGTCAAGTACAACAAAAAGCCGATCGGCACGTATGCGCGGCTCTGCACAATTATAGAGAAGGTCAATATATCCTTTATCTCCACAGGCGTGCTGGGCCTTCTCTCTACAATTTCGCACAGCTCAATATACCTATCAATATTCAGCTGTGTGAGCATGTTCAAGTGGATATATGCCAACCGATATCCAAAGGACTATCTCATACTGAGCATTGTGTGCATATGCCTTGTTCTTATCTCCATGGTTCTTTACCAGGTCAAGCCCATATTCATCATACTTATGGCGGCCAGCCTGTACCTGGTTCCTTCTAGCACAGGGTACATAAGCTTGGACAGGTACACCATAGGCATTTCGAACACAGTCCGAAACTCGCTGGGAGTGCTTATATACATGCTCCTGCTTAAAGAGCAGTGCGGAAGATAGCTGCACAGCGCGCGCCTGCATTCAGAGCCCGTCTGCACTTTGCGCAGCGCTCTTTGGGCACATGGCCCAGTGCTGCTTCTGGCCTGCGCCTTTCATTATAATCGAAAGCCCTGCTACGCTGCCTGCCGCTGCTGCGCCAAAGCCAGTTTGTAGAATCTTAAAATTATGCGCACTCCTGTGCCATGCAGCTTTTTCTTGCCAATAGTGGGCCTGCAGTGCCAAGCAAGATATAACTTATAAAGAATTCGGTCTATTGTTTATTTTTATGAATCTATCGCAGAAACAGGCTTTTTCGGGCTTTCTTTCTTTTTCGGGTCTTCCTTCTTTTTCGGGTCTTCTTTCTTTGGGGCAGCCTTGCCGTCTTTCGCTTCGGCATCCTTTGCTTCTTTGGCCTTCTCACCGGCTGCGCCGCCCTCTTTCTTTTTGGCATCAGCCTCATCTTCTGGCGTTTTGTCCTTTTTGGGCGCGGCTTTCTCTTTTTCTGCGCCCTTTTTGTCGTCTGAGGCTACGCCCTCTGCTGCATCAATCGCGGCCTCCCCAACCTGTCCAGCTGGCGTGGCCTTTCCCACCTTCATTCCTGCATCCCGTGTCTTTTTGGCCACCGAGGAGACTTTGTCTGTAATGGCGTCTAGGAAGCATTCAGCGAGCATGGCGTTGAGTACTATTGCTATTGTTATTGCTATGAGTTTGTTCATATTATATTGTGTCCGCAAGCGTGTATATATAGAAAACCGAAATCACACAAAAACAGCCAACCAATAGCCCGGCAGGCAATAATCACCGCGCAGTCTAAACAACCTTGAAACAGACCAATGCGCAGCAAGGCGGGACATAACAGAAAAACAGGGAAAATGCACGAATAAGCAACCAAAAAGAAGCTTTCCAGTGGCGAGTAAAAATGCGGCCTGGAAGAAAACATGGCAGAAATAGCGCTAGTTTATTTCTCGTAGATCATTTGGTAGTCGTCCATTGGAAAGTCTTTTTCCAGAGACTCCTTGCCTATCCATATGGATATCTCTCTCTTTGCGTTTTCGACAGAGTCAGAGGCGTGGCACAGGTTTTTTCCAACACAGTTTGCAAGGTCCCCTCGGATTGTGCCTAGGTCAGCCTCTCTGGGGTTTGTGGCGCCCAGAAGCTTTCGCATGCCCTTCACAACCTCGTGCCCGGTCACAATCATTTTTAGCACAGGCCCGCTAGTCATGTACTTTATTATGCTTGGGAAGAAAGGCTTGTTCACCAGCTCGTTGTAGTGCTCCTTAAGGAGGTCCTCTGTTGCAAACTCGGTGCACATGTATGCTACATTGTATCCCTTCTTCTCTATTCTGCCAATGATCTCTCCAACTAGCCTTCTTTTGATGCCGTCTGGCTTTATCATAACGTATGTTGACTCCATCTGTTTTGGTACTGTCTTTACGGATCCTTCCATGGTAATAAAAATATTTTGCACTTTGCATTTATACTTTCTCTTTGCTGCCATTTTGCCTGCCCTGCATCCTGGCAGCCCAGAAGCAGTTGGACTGCGCAGCAGATAGAAAGGGCTTAGGCCGAGGGTATCCGTGTAGAGGCTGTGAAGACGCAATATGAACGCGTGCGTGCAGAGGCGCTGCTTGTCTATGGGTCTGCTCCTTCCGTGGGTTGTTTTGCTGCCGGCCCGCGAAGGCCCGTCTCCCTACAGTGCTTGCATTTGACAGTGTGTGGTTGTTTTCATTGCATAGTGAAGATTTGGGGCAAACAGAGGCCTTCTCTGCACGGAAGTATTTGAAAGAAATAAAAACCCTTCGTGCATTTTAAAACTTTCCAGCTTGTCATTTGCACAGCTCTGCATAAAATTTCGGAAGCTTTAATTTTCTTTCTATGCCAAACATAGTCTGAGTAAAGGAAAGAAGGTAGACACACGGTTAATAATAGGTATATTTATTTACGATAAAAGGCTAAGAAGGTTTTCATATGCGACTGCGGTTTCCTGGCCTTTGGGCTTTTCGGCGGAGGCTTCTTTGGCTCCCATGTTCACTGGGCTGTTTGGAAGGCTGTTTTTGTTTTTCGAAGAAAGACCTTCTTTTGGATTGGCAGCGCCGTTACCTTGGCTATCCTCGAAAATGCTAGAAAGGTTGCTTTTAAGGAGGTCAAAGGAGTTACTCTCAGGGCCTTCAGGCTTCAGAAGGCCGCTGCTTTTTGCTAGGGCGCCAAAGGCACTGCCTATTTCCAAACCAGTGCCGGGCGGCTTTATAGAGCTGGGCTCCTTTGCACTTTTCAAGGTTTTATTTAGAGAGTCTGACAAAGATTTGGTGATGGGGTCATTCATGCTGTCTCCAAGCATGCTTCCTAAATCATTCATATTAATGCTGTTAGAAAGCGAAGCGCCTCCAGGGGAGGCTGGGCTTCCTGTAAATGGTGGCTGCAGTCCGCCCAGCGGCGTGGGCGCAGGCTGTGGAGGCATGGAATTGAGTGTGCTGGCCATTAGTGGGGCGGGGCCTCCGCTTCCAATCCCCCCTGCCAAGCTATCTGGAAGGCCAAACGGATTTGTCAGAGAAGGCGCGCCTATTGCGGAGGGCGAGCCCAGTGGGTTGCTTAGAGAGGCGCCCAGCGACGCGCCCAGAGAGTTGCTCAGCGACGCAGACATGTCTGGCAGTGTGCTGTCCAGCAGGCTGCTGTGGGCAGTAAACGGGTTTGAGCTTAGAAGATTGCTTCCCAAGGCGCTTCCCAAGGCGCTTCCCAAGCCAGAGGCTCCAAGAATGTTTTTGGGCGTGCTCTCTTTCTTGGCTGGCGCGCTGGCTATAGCCTTCACGATGGGCTTTGCAGGCGCAGGGACAGCAAGAGCTTTTTCTGGCTTCTTGTTTGCATAGTCTAAAATGTTAAAGCTGGTTTTGTTGGTAATGGGAGAAGACAGGCTGCTATCTACTAGGTTGCTTGACATCACAGGAGACATATACGAGGGGGCGATTCTAGGCAAGGTGTGCGTGCTTATGCTGGGGTGCAGGCTGTTTACTTTTAAGCTCACAGGCTTCACAGGATGGAGCATGTGCACCACAGGCGCTATTGGAATCACTGGGTGAACTTTTTGGACCTGTGGGATAACTATGGGCTTTGGTGGCTGCATTACATGCTGGACAGAAAGAGGCATATGCACGGCCTTTGGCAATTCGGGATGGAAGGCGTGGCCTTCTGAGTGTGCGTTCTCAATGTGAGACAGAAGCTCGCTTTTAACAGACGGGGGATGTGTGAAGATGTGCATCGGCTTCGCAGGGGGAATAGAGTGGACAGAAGGAGCCAAAGGCCCGCCGACGCTTGTATAAGGCGTGAGCTCGAGTGGGCTGCTCTTCATCTCCTTAAATTCCGTAAGTCCTTCAAGCTCCTCCATAGAGTCTAGCTTTTCCATGTGAGCATGTGTTTCTATAGGGTCTATTTTCAAATGTTTGTTGTATCTGTCATACCTTCCACCATACTTTCCTTTTTGTGAGTTGTAGTGGTTGTACTTCTTCTGCACGGGCGCGCTTTGGTGCAGAGTATAAGACTTCTTTCTGTATTTGTCTTCTGCGCTAGAGTAGGCATGGTCTTCGCTTTCAGACTCGGCGCCGTGGCTGTCGCTGTCCTCTGGAAACTCCAGACGTGTCTGCTTCTTGTGCCGTCTTTCTAGGCGCCGCGCTGCCCTATCCAGCTTGTGGTAGTCTTTCTCCAAAAAAGACTCGTGTTTCTTTCTTCGAGCCCTCCTTCTTCTTTCATTCCACTTCTGTAGCTCCTTTTCGATCATTTCCTCTTCGTCTTGCGAGAACTCTACCTTTGCAGGCTCCTTCACTGCGGGCTTAGAGCTGTACGAGGAAAACCCATACCGCGGCACTTTTAGAACTCCAGTCGTATTCATCGCGGTTTCCATGTCTTTTAGGTTGTTCTTTATGCTGTTGTATAGATGGTCGGGCCTGTGCGAGTAGTTTGGAAGAGTCATTGTGCCCAGATCTATTCGGGGAGCATACTCGGAAGGGCTGATTATTCTGGAGCTGTCGTCCTCTTCCATATAGCGCGGGCGCATCCTATCTTCCCTTTCCATATATTTCAAGTGCGTGCTCTCGTCGGGCAAAAAGCTAGAAGCGTCTGGCGCGTCGGCGTACCAGCTTTGAGCAGGCATGCGCCCGATCCTGGGCATGCTGACTGGCCGAGGCCTTTTGTACTTTATTGGCGTGCGGGGCATGGGCTTTCTATGGGGAGAGGCAGAGAAGGGCGCATATTTTTTCTCTTCGGGGCGCTCACCCATAGGAGCAAGGACATCATCAGAAATGTCACTTGTTTTGCGGGCAGGTGTGTCTTTATAGCTGTCTCTTTCAAGCACGCGAAACCTAATTATGTCTTTTTCGTGGTGGCAGGGCTTGAATAGAAACTGGCCGTCTATGTAGTTTAGGCAGTGGCTGTTCCCTTCTCTTGCGAGGTGTATTATTTTATTTCCGTCCTCTACTATTTTAATGTCGAATGGGCTGCTGCTTGCGCCCGTGTCGCTTTCTATTTCGCTTGCTACAGGAGGGCGCGAGGGCCTTTTGCTCGCAGGAGGCGCATATGCAGGGGGCGGGGTATACCTAGGGCGCGCGGGTGGAGGAATACCCGTGTCAAACCTTGGCTTGTCCGCATACGGCCTGTATGCTTGCGGGGCAGGCTCTTCTGAGGGGCTGTATACGGGAGGGTACCTGTACTCAGGAGGCAGCGCTCGGGAGTACCCAGGCTCTCTGCTGTACGCAGGCTCTTCGTATGGAGGGGGTTCAGAAAACGGCCGGTCGACGTGCGGGCTGCTGTACCGCGCATCGCCTCCAAACTTCTCCGGGCTTTTGTACGGAGGGCCCCGAGGATACGGGGTGTACGGCGGGGGCTTTGGCTCGTACACAATTTTCTCGTCTATTCTCATGTGCGAAGCTGTGTTTGCAGGGGGAGCAGTGTGGTAGTGGTACTCTGTGTGGTAGGTTGGATGTTTTTCGTATGGGGGATACTCGGGGGGCGTATTTTCTAGCGGCTTGCCGTGGAAAGGCAAGTACTCTTCGTTGTGGGTGGTCACGGACCTAAGGAGATACACTGGCGCGGTTTCTTTTTTCACAAATATTCGTGTTTCATCTGGCTCGACTCCTATTGAGTAATACTCGGAGTTCATACGCATGTAGATTTTCCGATGTCTGATTTTCACAGTTTGCTCGTCTTTTCTCAGGTGTATTGTCGAGCCGTCTGTGGAGAGATACAGCATGGGGTCTTTCACATACTGCAATAGCTTTGCCGTGCATTCGCGCACGAGCAGCATAAGGACAATGAGTTGCATTAATGTTTATTTTATTATGTATGTATTTATTAGCAACATGGTTTCAGGATGAAGCTAGAAAAGGTGTGCACACCATAGACTAGCCGCCCGTCCACTGATAAGAAACACAGGAAGAATATGCGTCAATAGAAGCTGTTTGATCGCGCCTAAGACATGATAGGGCGCGCGGGGCGAATTTATTCGCATGCCGGGTTGTTAACAGAAATTTATTTAAAGCCTGCACAGGAGCCAAAAACACGGTAGGGCGTGTGATTCACAAACACCCCGCGCCCTTCTGGGCCTTTACTCGTCTTCGACTTCCGCGCTCTCCTCTAGCGGGTTTTCGCTCAAGTCATTGCTGTCCAATAAAAAAATGTTGTACGTGTTTTCTCCCTCCTTGGTGTTCAAGAGGTGGACGTACTGCTTGAACAGCTCGTTGGCAAATGCAATCATTCTGTTCACTGTCTTAATGACGTCGGACGCTGGCATGCTCTCCTTAATGTCGTAAGAGAAGGTGGAGTTGTTGGCCTTCTTGATGTTCTTGAGGTGCTCTGAAGAAACCAGGTTGACTCCAATGTACTGCTCAAGGTCGGAAAGGAAGCGCATGTACTCGTTTATGGCTGCAATCACCATGCAGTTGCTTCTCTTGGTTACAAGCAGGTAGTCGTTCATCTGCCTTCTGGCTGTTGACTGGATTGCGTTGACAAGCTTCTCTCTAACAGTTTGAACTGTTTTCTGGATTTCGTTGTTGGACTCGCTCGTCATTGGGATAAGGTATGAAAGAACGTCCAGAGCCAGCAAAAGCTTCTCGGTCTCGCACGACTCGTCTGTAAGGCCAACCATTTCCTGCTCAGACTTGTACTCCTTCAAAATGCGCGCTATATCTTCTCTTGTGGAGGTGATGTTTCCCCCGAATTCCGTTTTCTTCGAAATATCCTGGACAAACCTCTTCAGAATTGCAAACATCTCCATCCGGATGTCCGAGGGCTCCTCCACGGAAGAGCACAGGGCGCTCAGGCTGTTCCTAATGTCCATAAGCTCTTCCACGGACAGGGTGTACGCCATCCAGTCGATCATCAGATCTCCGGAAATGTAGACGGTCAGCCAGAACAGGTTGTTGGACTCTTCCATCAGGGAAGACTCAGATGGAAGAAGGGTGGACAGCATAAGAGTGAGTCTTCTGATGTCTACTATGATCATCTGCTTCTGTTTGGACTTCATTGCATTGATTTTCCTAACCAGGCCAGCATCGTAGTTGATAAGAATGTTTTCGCTGCTTTTCAGTTGTATAGCCATTTCTTCTGGAGTCAGCTCCAGGCTGCTCAGTGCCTCTGGGGTTTTTCTTCTAAAGTATGAAAGAACTTTTTCATAGAAAGAAGGCTGCTTGGATTTCTCTTCGGTCTTGGCGGATCGCGCAGGGATGATATTCTCCTTCTCAAACACAGTGGCCAGGCCTTTCTGAGGGTTGCTCCACATGGTCGATGCATCTTGGCACCCGTCGTGAGACTTCTTGCCAGGCATCTCGCAGGAGCCATCCAGGAGAAGCGGAGCATCTAGCCCAATCTTCTCGCACACCACATCGTCTTTTTTAGACTTGGAGCTCCATTTGAAGCCGAAAAATGGAAGAACCACAATCACGCATGCAGCCAGCAAGGCTGTTAGTACAATTAGTAGCTTCTTAATAGGAGTTGTTTCTGATCGCATCATAAAAATGAAAAAAAATAATTAGCATTTAAAGGGCATGCCCGTGCTTTAAGTTTAAAGCAAGGATTTTCAGATTATTTGGGCAGAAACGTCCCTGCATATGAGCTGCCAAGTAAAAATGCACGAAAGCGCGGACTTTCCTGTTTTGCTGCAAAAAGCACATACCTGCAAAGCCAGCGAAAGACACAGCTTAGGCGCGCGCTTTGTGCCAGCACTCCGCTAGTTGTCTAAGGGAATTTTCCGGATGGGAGGCTGTCTATCATTGAATTTGCAATGCCAAAAAGCAGTATATAAATAAGCAGGTTTTCTGCGCATTGAACTGCGCAGACAAGTACGCATGCAAAAAGAGGCAGAGATCAGAGCATGCGCGGTTTCAGAGGAAAGCAGCGCCCAGAAAGGCGAGCTTTGTAGGAGCGCCTCAAACAGGCAAATATAAAGGCGCGCTAGCAGCGGGCGTGCACTCGCTTATTGCGCAAAGAAAGCACTCCAGAAAGTGGGGGCGCACTGCGGATGCAAGCCCAAGGCGCCTGCAAACAGAACACCCCAGAAAAGCAAGGCGCAGAAACAAGGGCCGAGTGGTGTAGGCGGAATAGCGGAGAAAGCCACAGCGCATGCAAATTCAGGGAAAGGCCCGAAATGCGGCTTCTGCGGGGCATAGATATTAGACACAAAAGCCGATTTTTGGCCGGTGCAGAAATTTAAACCTAAGGAAGTGCGTGATTCGGGTGCATGCAAAGATTCAAGCATAAAGAGGATGAAAAATTTTAATAAGAATTTTACAAAGGAATGTACAACTCGAATACAACATCTACTATGCAGGGAGCCAAGGAAACCCCGCTGAACGATTTTATGGTGCAGCAGCCGCCCACAGACACCATTTCTTCTATAAAGTACAGCCCAGTGGAAGACCTTCTCACAGCGTGTTCGTGGGACGGGTCGGTTTACATCTATGCGCCTAGCAACCCAAGCTCGCACGAGTCAATGTGCCTAAAAACGTCTATCCCGAACCCGAACAACTCGCCGATACTGTGCAGCTGCTTTTCTGGCGACGGAAGGTTTCTATTTACAGGGAGCGCAGACGGGGTGATTCGCGCAATAGATATGACAAATGGGTCCTCCTCCGACTTGGGGGCGCACACTCTGGCTGTAAGCAGCATGGCGTTCACCAACGCTGGCACGCTGGTCACTGGGAGCTGGGACAAGACCGTTAAGGTGTGGAGCATAAACAACATGCAGGCGCCGCCAAAGGAGCTTATAATGGAGGACAAAGTGTACGATATTGACAGCAAAATGAACACCATCACAATCCTCATGGGAAACACAATTGCGTCGTACGAAGTGTACAGCCTGGAGAAGATTCAGCAAAGCACAGGATACCAAAGCAAAATGAGAACGGGCGTGGGCATAGGCTATGGAAGCATGCAGTCTCAGACGAAGTACCAAATCAAGTCAAACTGGCAGCTGCGGAAAGTAGCGTGCTCTAACGACGGACAGGACGCGATTGTGGGGACCACAGGGTCTAAGACAGAGATAGTGGCCATTCGCCCAAACAGCAGCATTAGCACTATGTACTTCGGGTTCAAGTGCAAGTACACATCTGACAGAACCGTGTCTCCCGTAAACGTGGTTTTGTACCACCCGGCCTTCCCCAACACAATTGCCACGGCAGGAACTGAAGGAGTGGTTATGCTGTGGAACAGACAGGCAAAGTGCAGGCTTGGGTTTGGCGGCCCGGGCGTTGCAACCAATGGGGCTGACAGAGCGATTACTGCAGCAGCTTTCAACAGCACGGGAAGATACTTGGCAATTGCGGTGGGCTACGACTGGTCGCAGGGATACAAGTCGCACATAAACACGCCGGTGGAGATAAGAATACTATTAATACCCGAAGAAATACATACAAAGAGCGGGCAAAGGATATAATAAAAATACAGAGGACAGGATATAAAAGCGCTATGCACTGCGACTTTGTGGGATTTGGGAGGCCAAACAGTATTTTGCGCGTCTGGCAGAGACATGTGGCCTGAGGCAGGGCGGAAGGCTATGCAAAGTCCGCCCAGGCTGCCTTTATTTATATTTCCGGGGTCTGCTGTGCAAGCAGGGCGCTGCTCCAAAGAAAAGCTTTCGCCTCTGGGCCTCCAGATCTACAGCGCGGCTGCAAATTCAGAAATCCAGAATACACTGCGGGGTGCATGCCGTTTTTAGATCCACACATTCGCGGGAAGAGTTAGAGGCAGACGCCACCTTCTAGAAAGGCAATAAATTGAAGTTTTCCAAGACAGCAGACCACTTGCAGAGTGTGTACATATATTCGTTTATTTATTGGATACATCTATCTTGTTAAGAATTGAGGGATTGTCGCCGTGTTTTTTCATCATTTTGATTATCTGCTTCTTTTTTTCCAGGTACGCTCTGCAGAAGTGCAGCTCAGCCAGGGCGGCCTGCAGCTTCGTCTGGAACTCTTCCAGCTTTAGGTTTCTTTCGTGCTCTTCTTTCGCATGCCTGCCTTCTATCTCTCTCAGGAGCTTTGTGTGGGAGTCTTTCCAGCACACAAAAAGGTCGTTTATCGACTTAAACTCGTGGATGCCCAGCTCCTTTGCTATCTTCAAGCAGCTTGGAGTGATTTGCAGCCTGGCCAGGAGCTCTTCCTTCTCCAGGGCAAGCCGTTTTTTCTCCTGCTTGCTCCTCTCGATCTCTATTCTTGTTTCTTGAACGGCTTTCTCCAGCATGCATTTTTCTTCGTGGATGCTCGCCATTCTGTTCTCGGCGGCGCCCTGCTTGGCTGTCCCTGTTTTGTACGCTTGCACAAAAGAGTCAAAAAGCCTCCGGGACTTTTCTATTTCACCGGACATCGTAGACATCCGCTTCGAAAGAGAAGAAACATAGTTTACATACTCCAAAAGGCCTGCATGGGTTCCCGACACGGTTCTGCCCAACACCTCCATCTCCCCGCCGATGTCTACTATGTCCTGCTTAAGCTGCGCTATTTTAAAGTCTCGCTCTTTAATGATCTCCTCTGCTCTTCGCTCTAGATCGTCCTTCTGGGTCTGCGTAATTTTGCTCTTGTTTTTTATTTCGGTCACAAGCCGCTCCCCCATATTCTTTGCCTGGATGGCCTCGGTGGTTTTCATCTGCAGCTGCGCCTGAAGGGACTTGTTCAACGCCATCAGGTTCTGCGCCTCCAAAGCAAGCGCGTTCTTCTCCTGGGAAAGCGCCTGGTTTTGGCTCTGCAGCTGCTGGTTCTCCCGGGCATGCCCAGCTACCTGGTTGCTTATTTCCAGTATCCGGTCGTGCAGAAGCATGTCTTTCTTCTGCAGGTTGCTGTTTAGCGTTGCAAGATGCGAGTTCTCTTCTTTGTACTCGATCTCCAGCTTTTTTGTCAGGATGTCCAGGGCCAGATACTCCTCCTCCAGGCGCTTGTTCTTTTTCTTAACGCTGTCCAGCTCCTCCAGGTCCATCCGCACCGACTCTATTTCCGCCTGCATCTCCTGCAGAATTCTCTTGCTCTCTGTCTCCTTGCGCGTCTGCTCGCTGATGTGGTGCGACAGCTTCACGCAGTCTCTTTGTAGCGACTCGTTTTGCTCGTTCATCTCTTCCAGCCTGTCTAGCAAGTCCGCGTTCTGCGATTTTAACTGGCCGTTGTTTTCAATTAGGCTCTCCATTTCCACCTTTACCTCTGAGAGAACGTCTTTTGTCTCGCTCTGTGTCCTTTTGCAGTCGCATGCCGGAATAAAAGTGTGCGACGAGTTTGTCAAGTCGTTCAGCCGGCTCTTCAGATGGGATATTTGCAGCTTTAGGTCAAAGTTCTCCTTCTCCAGATTCTCCAAGAAGATGTCGTGCTCTTTTATTGGAAGCTGCCGTGTGCTCTGTGCCATTTTTATTTTTATTTTCGAGTTTCATTTTTTGATGTTTGCAATTCCCGTGGGGGTTGGGTCAAATGGCGGGAATTCATTTGAGCTAGCCAAGTTGCTGAAAAGAGACCTGGAGAGGGCGTTTTCGCTTGGGCACAGCGCACTAGGGCAAATGCATGCAGAAGTGTGCAGGGGTGCGCCTCCGGGGGAGAGCCTAGAAGGCAGAGAGCGGGGAAATAGGGAGACACCAGACGAAAGCGGCGGTGCAGATAGGAAGAGGCTGCGCGTGGACATATCAGACATGGACTCGATAGCTGCAGACAGCCTAGCAGATCTGGGGATGGCTGTATTCATATGCTCTACAACCGGAGACGGCGACGCGCCCTACAACATGCAGCAGTTTTGGAAGGCTCTGAAAAGAAAGTCTCTGAATGGAAAGTTTGACTTCTACTTTGCAGTGATTGGCTTGGGGGACTCAAACTACACAAAGTACAACTATGCAGGAAAAAGGCTGTTTAATAGGCTGCAGCAGGTTGGAGGAACGCCGCTGTGCAGGAGATGCGACTGCGACGAAATGGACCCCATGGGCGTCTACACCGCATATACGCCGTGGGTCGAGGAGCTAAAGGGGAAGGTGCAGGAAAAATGGGCTGCGCTTTCTAAAAATAGACTCTCCTGCCTTGAGGCAAAAGAAAAGCCGCACAGGGGCACATACTTGGGGAAAAAGCAGCTGGCGCCTGCGCCAAGAGAGGAGCTGGAAAAAATAAACAGCGTGCTGGGCGAGTGCGAGAACACATGCACAGAGGCAGGCGGCAGCCTGTCCGGGCTTGGGTCCATCTACTCCGCAGTGTATGAATACAGCATAGAGCTGGACATTCCGGGATACGAGTACTCAATAGGCGACGTGCTGTCAATAGAGCCCGAAAATGCGGACTACAAGGCTGTTTCCAGCGAGATTTTCTTTGACGACGAAGAGCTGGCCTCAAAAAAAATAGACTACAGCTCGATTCCTATGCACCACCACATAAAAGACCTGTACTGCATGGCCAAGGAGGGAAAGCATGTGGTTAGCACATGCCCCGAGGGCCAGAGAGAAATGTATCTGGCCAGGCTGGGCGAGATCAGCCAGTCGTATGACATGTACCACCAGTACATTCTGCAGATGAAGAAGCCATTCAAAGACGTGCTGCGCGACTTCTATCTAAAGATATCGGTGAAGTCTGGGCTGATAAGACGCATATACCCGCGATACTACACAATTAGCAAACGAGATGGACAGGTGTACAGCATAACCGCAGGGCGGATAGAGATGAAGCACTACAAGCAGAGAATCAAGGGCGTGTGCTCAGAGTATCTTTTCCATCTGGGGGAAAATAGCTGCGTTTCAGTAGACATAAAAAAGACGCAGCTGGAGATAGAAGGGGATGTCCTGGTTGTATGCACAGGCACAGGCATGGCCTTGGGGCGGGCTATAGTAAACGAGTATGCGCAGGGACGGGCTCAGGGCATATCCAGCGTTTCAGTTCTGTTTGGGTTCAGGTCGCTATTCATAGATTGCCTGCACTTTGCGGAGATGGTGGAGAAGGGCCCGGTGCGGGTGCTGCACAAAGGCCGGCATTTCTATGTGTGCGCTGAAAGTGAGGAGAAAGGGGTAAAGATGCTGCTGGGGCCCTCGAGAGCCAGCCTGTGCAAGGGTCTTTTGGCAAAGCACGCAGTTAATCCGGGAGACGTAGAGGAGAAAAACTACATTGAGAACATTTTAGACATAATAGACACAGAAGATCTTGACAGGAACATCATTCTATGCGGGAGCGTGCGTCTTCTAAAGACAGTCCCGGGGATCTTGGAAAGAAGAACTGGGGGCGCAAAAAAGCCGCATAGCGAGTGCTGGTAGAAGCTGCGTGCATTTTGCACACGTGCTGGCAGAGCAGGCGCTTTTAGAAGAAATAGCGCTGTTCGCTTGTAACTGCCGATTTTTTCTGCTGTTTACACTCTACTTTGGGCCTACGCCCAACTCCAGCAGCGATTTATTGCTCGAATGGACGCCTACAACCGCCATTTCCCCTATGCACTTGCCTACAATATAAAACATATTCTGTATTTACGCCTTCAATTGCATCATTGTAATATGGTCCTTTCATGCCGCGAGTATGAAGCCACTTTTGCTGTTTCATCATTGTACAAATGCAGTGATTTGGTTCATCACAGAAAGATTGGCATAGGCCTGGGCACAGCCCCACAGCGTATAGAAATAGATCTAGCGATTTTATTATCTGGGCAGGCCCGCTTCTTGGCGTGTGTTTCCTTATCTGGTTTTCTTGCGTCTGGAATGTAAGTTGCTCAAACGCATATGCTTTTAGACGTGCCCAAATGATGCACGATTCTAAAGCTTGGGCACTCGCAAGTCGCTGGCAGGCGTTGAATAGCCCCACTAAGTTGCGTGGCTTTTTCAGAGCTTGCTGGATACATTGCAAGCCATGGAAGGCTGGAAGTGCGCCGTGTGGGCCTGCCTTTTGGCTTTTCGCACAAAAGAAGCTTCAAACAGAACTGCCTCAGCGCCCACAGAAGAAGCCGCCAGTAGTTTTAGCTCCCTGCACGGGCGAAACTGCATAAAAGAGATCGCCCAGGCAGCTTGAAAGGGGCATGCTGTTACTTAAAAGCGCCGCAGAGGTGCATTTAGTCTGGGGCACGGCATGGCTAAGCTGCGCTGTTTGCAAAGGCGCTCAAAAGTCCTCTAGGGACACGCCGTTTACAAAAAGCGATTTGAAGTTGGGAAGAACGTCTTTGGCCTCCTTTAAAATAGCTTCTTTGAGATGGGCAGAGCCTTCTATTCCAGAGTCAACCACAGCCTTTATCCATCTGGAAACATCGCAGTTTACAGGCATGGTATTGGACATAGAGTGGCTCGGCAGGCCTTTGTATTCGTGTATGTTCCAAGCCCACACAGAAGCGGCTGTTTGGTAGTTCAGAGCCTCTCTTAGAGTGTAGTTTGTCTGAGAAACAAGGGTTTTGGTTGTTGGCTCGTACATGCTGGCGATGTGCTGGAACACACTGTCGGGCACATACTTCGCGTAGGATGCCTCTATATGCTCGCACATTGCCAAAGTCAGATTTGCATAGTGCTCACTCTCAAGAATTGTCACCAGCGCGTCCTCCCTTTCGCAGTAAAGGCGCTTTCCAGGAACAATGCTCAGACAGTCGTTTTCAGTGGGGTCTATCCATCCGTACAGGAAGTCGTGGACATACTGAATCGGATAAAAGTCAAAGATAGAGAGCGCAAAAACAGCCGCTGCTGCAATGGTTAGAATGGTTATTAGCACCAGAGAACAAACCAAAATGCTGTACATGCAGTCCGGGCGCTGGTGCTGCACGTCTGCAAAGCCGTGATATGAAGAGAAGTCGCTGCAAAAAGCGGCTGGTAAAAGAAGCAGACCAAGAATAAAGCACATGCAAAGGCTGCTTGCTTGCTGTATTTATGCATCAAAGCATCAAAAACAGCCGGGTTGACGTTTTTTTGGAAGCGATAGAAGTGACGTTGATCTCTGGCACGAAGCTGCAGAAAGCACCGCTGCACGCTGCAGCCTGTTTTTGTGGCAGCGGACAGCCGTATGTTTAGGCCTGCATTTAATTTAATTACACGCTAAATTAAACATATGCATATTGCACACAATAGACGCGTCTTTTTTTAATATAAAGGGCCCATTTACGCACAGACAGCACACACCCACAATAGACCGGCCCATTTTGCATGAAAGACCATGCAGGCCATTTAATGTGTCCAGATTAGATAGCATCTGGAACCTAGTTTCATGAGTCCATAAATCAATGAAGGTATAAATACCCGAATAACAGAATGCAAGCAAGATGAGAGCAACAACATTATTCACAATCCTATGCGTAGCACTAGTACTGTTCGGAAGCGTGAGCGCCGCATCGTCCACAACAAAAGACAGCAAGAAAGACAAGGACGCTGCCAACCCGAAAACAGGCAGCAAGAAAGACAAGGACGAAGACAGCGATGACGCAGAAGATGAGGAGTCTGATGTGAAGAGCAAGATCATCAAGAAGTCCAAGGCCACCGAAAACGCCAACAGCAGCAGTGCCAGCGTTTCCCTAGGATTCGCATTTGTAGCCATACTTGCCGCCGTTTCTATGATTTAAGGAAATAAAGAGCAAATACAATATAGAACAGCCCAAGTTCAGCGCGCAGAACCGCTCCTTTTATTTTTCTACGCCAAACTGGGCGCGCACATCTAGGCTTCACCATGCGCGCCCAGTTTTTTCTGATGGCTTCTAGCTGCCGAGCAGGCGCTAGCCGAAAAAGCAGGAAACCCGCGGGCAGCTGCCTCGGCAAGCAGGAGCCAGGCAGGCCTGGAGCCATTGCAATTAAAGCCTATTTATTAGCTTACAACTAATTCCTATCTTTGTTACTAACCAAATATCCAACAACACAGCATATTGCAACTGTAATAATGGACCCAACAAGAATTACAACCCAGTATTTTGCGAGGAAGCCTTGGTCATCGCTGCTGTCTGCACTATCGTTCTTAATGTGTTTAACAAAGTCTGTGAGGTTGCGGCGCTCACTGTACAATTCGCGAGGCTCATACACACAGCCCGAATTACTCGAGGACCCATTTTTAGAGGTTGGGACTGTTATATTATTGGCATGTATATGGTATTCCTTTTCAGTAGAACTATCTTTACATATGCCAATAATTTCTTTGTGGTCATCTTCTGAAAGAACCAGCGTCATTATAATGTCCGACAAATCTTCTTTCTTTCTTCTTTTTTCCATGTAATTGGATTTATCGGAGATAGTCAGTCCTATAACTTTGATGGATTTCGAGCTTTCGGAAGATTCCTTTGCAGGTTTTTCTGTTATAACAAGCGAAAAGTTTGCACTGTCAATGTAGTGCTCTTCCCCAACAAATTGCTTCATGGCAGCAGAGCGGCTGGAATTGATCTTCTTCAGTACTTCATCCACGTTTATATCCGTTCTAAAGCAAATCTGGGCCGCAATTGTTCCTCCCAAGGGCTGTTCTTTTTCTTTGGGTTCGGGCTCCGCCGGCGCTGCCTCATCATCCGTCTTCTTGCCATCGTCGCCTTCTTTTTCGTCCCCATCTTTGCTTGGATTCTGTGCAGTAGCTTTTTTCTCTACAGGAGCTGGGGCTTTTTTTCTACTGTCAGTAGAGGGCGTGAACCCACTGTTTACTAGACACACAATAATATCGGCGTTATTGTCGCTTTTGGCCACAGGATCAGGCTTTGCAGCTTCTGTCTCCGCTGCACACAGGCACCTTTCAATAGATACAAGACCTATCGCCACCATTGCTATGCTTATCTTAGAAAATTTCATTAAAAAACAAAAAGCAAAAACTATTTATGCTATTTTTTTAATATATCATTTTTGTCCCATAAGACTCGAATTGCAAATAACAAATAGAAACATGATCTGTCCTTTCAATATTTATTATAACCAAAAGATTTTTATATATCCTAAAGGGCAAAGATTCCCTCCTTTTTAATTTAATACTTGGCACGGAGAGCCAATGGACGCCTTAGCAAAACAAACACCAGACAAGCCAAACACAACATGACAGAATAAACAAGCTCCCTTCAAGCACAACTTGCATATCGCATTTTTGTTTGTCTTTTTTGAACACACAAAAAGCCTTCGTGCTGCTTCTATCTCGGTCTTGGGTGTTTATATGCTTGCACAGGACATCCCCAGGGGCCAGCGCGCAGTGCTTCGCCGCGATTTGTGTGTGGCATGCCCTCCAAAAACACGCTCTGTGCCTGTGGTGGGCTGGCCTCGGCGAGCAGAAAGATCGCGCCAAAGCCTTTCCCGCACAAAAAACGCCCGCCCAATATTTAGGCGGCACGCATATGCATCAAAGCGATGAGAAGCACCTCGGATGCTGATCTTAGAAAGGCGCCAAAGTTTGTGCAAAGGGCGCAGAATCTGAAGCCCACACATTAAATTATTTTTTTGAAATACTTGCTCAGCTTTTCTATCTTTTTGTGTATGACTATAAACAATGCAAGGGCTTTCTTGTCTTCGTACAAAAACACAATGCACAGCGCAGTGTATGCATGGAAGATGGCAGTGCCCAGCACGGTAAGAGCGGAGGCCGACAGATAGAGGCGCACAAGCTTGCTTTCGCACAATCTGTAGCCTTTGTGCGCATGGCGCCTTTCTTCCTTGTACTTCTCTGTCTGCAAATCCTCTATTTCTTTGCTCTTTTCGTTTAGGCCTGCAACTGTGCTACATGCGTGCTCTTGCAGCGCGCAGTACTTGGCGAGGGTTTTTTCGGTGTGCTCCTCGAGCTTCTGTATTCTGCGCTTTAGATACAGATCAAGCAAGCAGAAAACGCTAGTAGCCGCCAGAACGGTGCAGTTTGTTTGCGAGAGAGAGACAAGAATTGCGCAGATTCTCACAAATTGCTCGGTGTACTTCTTTAGATAGCGGGCTCTCTCCTCTGCAATGCTGCTGCACGCGTCCCTTTCTGCCAAAAGCGCAGAAACGTCGCTTTCCGCGCCGCCCTTCCACACCTCTGCCTCAATCCGCCGGTGCATGCACATGGCGCACTTCGAGAGATACTTTATCTCAACAGGAAATATAACCAGCTCCTTCAAAGAAGAAACTACACCGGCAAGAGCAAGAAAAAGCAGTTTTTTGCAGTTTTTATCTTTTCCGTATTTAATTATTCCAAGGTTCTTTAAGATGCTTGCCGACTTGTTAAGCACAACAAGCAAAAAATACACCACGCACAAAAAGGATATGCGAGCTGAAAAAAACTTGCGAGCTCGCATAGCGCTTTGAAGAAAAATTAAAATATTTCTTTTAATTTACCCAAACGCTGCACATACTTGTTTATTCAAAACATCTGTGATATGTCATCCGTGTTGTAGCCCTCATCGCCAGACTGCAGATAGAAGGGGTCCTTTGCGGGTTTCCCATGCCCATCTTTTTTATTATGTGGATTCCCCGAGGGGCTTGCCTGGTACATGTGCTCGCTCTGCGGAGTCTGGACACCCGTTAGATAGTTTGCAAGCGGGCCAGGCTGCGCGTGCTCGTTGTACATGCCTGGACTGGGGGGCACATACGTGCTTGCCTGCCCTGCCGCCTCGTCGTACAAAAACTGGCCCGGCGCTGCATACATGTGTTCCTGTCTTTCGGGCTCGCCATAAAGCTGCGCACTTTCAGGCGCAAGCGCAGGGTCGTGTGTGTACAGCTGCCCGTCTGCCTCATTTACATACTCGCACGCCTGCTCCCCACCACACTCACTTCCGGTATAGGCATACTCGCCCTCGTCTGGAAACTGGGCATAGCCGCTGTCCTGGTATATGTACGCCCTGGCCGGGTTTATGGAGGGGTCAGCCTCTGCATACGCGTACTCTGCGCCGCCCTCGTGCTCTTGCGGCTGGCGCAAATACTCGTGCGCGTGCTGCGCCTCGCTTTCCGGCGCCACCAAGATGGCAGAGGCCACGTGCCCTGCGTTCTTGCAGTTATACGCTGTGTTTTGCGAGGGCCCGTGCGCGCCCTCCAGCTGGTACTCTGCCATGATGTCGTGGTGCTGGGAGTTGGATATTCTTGCAATGTGGTCCACCACAGGCGCAGCATCCAGAGCGCTGTCTTTAGCGGCAGCATCAGCAACACTGCAAGCAGCGCTTTCAGTTTCAGCAGGCTCGGCAGCCTCCATGTCTTCATACAGTGACTGCTCTAAGCAGTGCTCCAGCTCCTGCCCCCCTATTTCGGCGCGCATTTCCTCCTCTATCTCTGCCTCTATGTGCGGACTTGTTTCAGGCGCAGAACTCTCGCCCACCGGCGCTGGGGCGCTGATTTCCATTTTGCCCAGGGACTGCGCCAGGTTGGGCGCGCAGCTTTTTGCAGGCTCTTCTGCGGCGCTGGCCTTTGTGTCCGGCCCGTTCTCTGCAGCTCCTCGAGGCGCTATTTCGTCGACTATCTCTATTTTGGCATTTGTGTACGGAACTTCGTTCAAAATTCCGCTCCCCAGGTCGCACCCAATCTCTCCCTGCGCGGTTGGAACGATTTCCACTTTTCGTATGCTCAGCCTCCCTATGTTGTACACCAGCAGGCGCAGGGCGGCGCCTCGGTGCCTCTCCAGTATGGACTCAAACTCGTAGACGTTTGAAAACGTCCCGTTTTCGTGCCCTATGATGTAGTCTTCGTTTTTTCGGAGGCCAGACTCAATTGCTGGAGAGTTGTAGTCTACGTCCAGCACTCGGAACGTGACCGGCGCCATTTCTTCTCGGTGCAGCTTTATGCTAAAGCCGATTTTTTCGTTGTTCTGCCGAAGCATGTCCACAGGGTGGGTGCTTTTTAACCTCGAGTCGTAAACCATCAGCTTTATAGATCCCTGCTCCCACAACTGCGTTATTTTTATTATGTCGGCCTCTGAGGTGACAGCCTCGCCGTTCACCCCCACTATGTAGTTGAACACTGGAATTACTCCGCATCTGTCTGCAGCAGAGTTCTTTGTCACCCGTATCACGTGCAACGATGCCCCGACGCACTTACTTGTTGCTCCACCCATTCTAAATATAAAAAATTATGTTTCTTTATTTGCTGCACTTTATAATAGCAGATCCAAACAGGCCAAATAAACAAACGCTGAAAGCCAGCAAATCAGCAAATATTTTGGATCTTGGGCGGGGCGCCAAGGCAGGTTTTAGGGCATCCCGCGGCACGGCTGGCCAAGAAGCTCTGCATGTAACAGGCGTGTGTATTGTGTATTTATTAGTTGACTCTTAGTCTTTCTTTGCGCGGGTGTGCGTCCGTATCCACCGATGCGATAGGATCTGGTCTATGGAGAGCCTGTTTTCGGGCTCCCTTACAAGTAATTTGGAGATAAAGTCTTTACATGCGTTGGACAGATACGTCGGAAAAGAGAACTCAACAGACTTTATTCGCTTGAATGTCTCGTCTGTGCTTCCCTTGGTTTCAAACGGAGGATTTCCAACAACAAACTCGTATGCCAGCACGCCAACGCCCCACAGGTCCACATATTTGTCGTGCTTTTGGTGGCACACCATTTCGGGCGGCAGGTAGTCCATGGTGCCGCAGAACGTGTACCTTTTGCTGTCTATGTTGTGCACGGCCCACCCAAAGTCTGCCACCTTTAGCTTGTTGTCTGCGCCAATTAGAAGGTTCTCGGGCTTGATGTCCCGGTGTATCACGTTTTTGTTGTGTATGTACTTCAGCGCCTGCGCCATCTCAGAGATGTACTTGGCGCCCTCCTGCTCAGAAAACCGCTTCTTCTTCTGCAGAAGCTTGAACATCTCCCCCTTTGCTGCATACTCCAAAATTATGTACACATGCAGGTCGTCGTAGAAGTACCCATAGAGCCGCAGAATGTTTTCGTGCTTTAAATGGCTCTGTATTTCGATCTCCCTGCGCACTTGCTTTGTTGCGTTGGACTCGGTTATTTCTGCCTTCACCAGAATTTTCAGTGCGACTATAAAGCCAGACTTCTTCTCTCTGGCTAGGTAAACCCGCCCAAACTTGCCTCTTCCCAAAGATGCGCCAATTTCGAAGTCGTCGAACTTCCACCTGTTCATTCCGAAATAAAAGAAAATATTACAAATTGTTTATGGTAAGTGTTGAGTTGTGGGTCTACAACATAGGGAGCGACGCCGTGGTAAACATTATCAACCAATTTCTCCAGACCAACATACAGGGCATCTGGCACACCTCTCTGGTGGTCTTCGACAAAGAGTACTACTTTATGTCAGGAGTCCAGCAGGGACCACCTGGAACCAGCCCATTTGGGACGCCTGTCCAAAAAATCGAGTTTGGAAGCACGGAAATGACTGAAGAGTGCTTTGCAGCCTTCCTGCAGGAGATAAATAGCCTGTACACAGAGAAAACATACCACATCATAAGAAACAACTGCAACCATTTTTCCAATGCGCTTTTAAAGCGCCTGGTAGACAGGGAAATACCGCAGTACATAATGGAGGCCTCAAAGCTGTTTGAAAACACGCCCTTTGAGCAGATGCTGTCAGGCATGTCGCCAGGCGCCAAATAAACGCCACCCGTGCACTTTCTTTACTGTTTGCAGCTTCGCGCGTCCTCCGCCACTTCTTGGCTCTTTTCCTGTGCTGTGTCTTTTGCGCCTCCGTGCCGAGCCCTCGCACTGCTACCATGCGTCTGCGCAGGCTCTCCCTTGGGCGCATACGTGCGCATTTCCTTGGCTGAGTCAATTAGCACCATCTGCTGCCCGTCTGATGCAATGTGCAGTGCGGGCTTTTCCAGAAGAAAGAGCGACTTTCCGGTCACAGGGCAGATGCTTCGCGTGTACAGGCTTGGCCCAGAATAGACCAGGCTGTCTCTGTGCTCGCACAGAACTGTAGCTGTGTCCCTTGTGCTTATTTGCTTGATTTGGCACATGTTTCGCACGTCTATGGTTTTTATCTTTTTTCTCGCAGAAACAATCATCTCCACCCCCATTGAGTGGAACAGGCCCTCTTGGACCTCTAGAATGTTTTCGGCCTCCACTGCAACCTGCATGCACCGCAGGTCCACAATGCACAGGGTCTTTCCTGCAGAAAGAAGACACGACCCGGCGGGGTGGATTGAGAGCGCAGAGAGGCCGGGGGCGCCTCCTGTGCAGAGGCTTTTTCCGTGCGAAAAGTCAAAAACCTCCAGGCCTGCTGCACTTTGCGAAACAAGCCAAGGGTTGTACGGGTGCACCGCGCCCCTTATGTATCCGGGCAATTGGTGCAAAACGCCTTCCTTTTCTTTCACATATGACACAAGCCCGTCTGCATGGACTACCACAATCCCGCCTTTGTGCGCCTCCATTTTCACCACCCGGGTTGTGCCAGGCTGGAATCTTTCCGCATACACCCCGTCCTCGTACACAAAAACATCTCCGCTCCACGTGCCAACATACACCTTTCCGCCGCTCATGCACACAGAGTGCGCCTGCTGCGGAAGTGTTTTGGCGTGTTTCATCTCCAGCTGTGCGACTAGCTCGTAGTTTTTGGCCCGGGCTGCGTACGCGCATACGGCCTCATCCATGGTACGTGCCGCCGCGCTTAGTGTTTTCTCAATTTCCATGCATCCATCTTTTAGAAGAGCGTCCTCCATATGTAAAACAAATATTTTATTCGCTCTAAGTCTAACACCGTTTCACACACCGTATAAGGCGTTTCTGGTATATTAAAAACAATGAAAAGGAAACCTGGAATGGTCCGCCTTCTAGTGGTGTGTGCACTTTTGGCCTTTTTATGTATAATACGCTGCCACCAGCACATTGAGATAAACCCCGACGATTTTATTCCGCAGAGGCGGAAGGTTCCTGGCATGGAGCACCCCGACTCTGTCTTGGACGTGCTCGAAAAGCTGCTGCACAATTTCCCTGTTTTAAAGTCGAAGTTCATAATGAAGTTCCAGAAGTACATAAACCCAAGCAGCCCCGACGGAGCCAGCAACCCGTCCACATACTTCAAGCTTGGAATAGGAAATGTCCCCGAGCCCGACGAAATTCTGAAGAGGTTTCAGTCCATTATAGACGCCTCAAGCATGCTAAAGGAGGAGTCGCGGTCTCTCATATGGCACCTAGAAACGTACGCCGACCAAATGTTTCTGAATGAAAAAGCGCTTATACAAAAAGCCAACGGATACCTAACAGACATGGAAGAGCTAATCGAGCAGCACAAAGCAGAAACCGACTCTTTGGCGAGCGCAAACATCGTGGTCAAGTTCAAGTCCAAGGAAAAAGAGGCTTTGAAATGCATAAAAGCCATCAAGCACATCCGGAACTGGGAGATGCAGATCAACCTCAGGCTCTCCCGGTCTTCTCTTCCCAAGAAAATGATGCACATTGGGTAATCGCGACCGAGACCGACGTAGTGCAGTGCCCACTCGAGCGCTCAGACCCATCGAGGGCCGCCCAGGAAAAACATATAGCAACTGCGGAAGCATACAGCAATCTTGTGTGTTTATTCTGCAAAAACCGAAAGCTGGCCAAGGGCTGCTACCAAAAAAGGCCAGCGAAGCCCCCCATAGATAAGCCAGAAATAAATAGGCATTCACACAAGCGCGTCGTATTTTTCCGCTTTCGTGCGCCCAAGCACAGAGCCTGCATCTTGGCCTGCTCTGCACTCGGCCTCACTTTCTTAGGTAGTCTGTGTAGTACGAGTTGAACAGCCCTGCCTTTCTGGTGGCCGACGTGCTTTTCTTTTTTTCTATTCGGTGCGACTCCACAAAGCTCTGCGTGGGCTTCTGGAAGGGAAGGCCGTCCAGCGAGCCCATCATGGAAAATATAATGTTTGTGTACCGCGTCCTAGACACCTCTCTCTCGGTTGGCGCCTGGTAAATGGTTCCGTGCATCACGTAGAAGTAGTCCTGCACCGTGATATTGTCCGGAGAAGTCCTCTCATACTTCTTGATCACAAAGAGGGCGGGGTCCTCGGAAGAGTGGACAGCATATTGTATTCCGCACATCTTCTTCAAGAAAGCGTCTGCCCCAGACAGCGGCCCGTGCATGGTTTGCATTTTAAGCACCTCATTGTTGCAGTTTTTGTCGTAGAACTGCGAGCACGAGAAGTACTCCAAAACCGTCTCCGCAGTGAGCATGTTCTGCTGCAGCCATATAGGGTCCCTAAAGCACGTGTTCTCCATGTGCAAATTTTTATACTCTATGCAGCTGCCATATAAACAGAAGCTGCTTGTGGTTGGCGCGGGCGGAATAGGAAGCGAGCTGGCAAACGTGCTTGCACACACATACACGGGCCACGTTACGTTTGTGGACATGGACACCATTGAGATGTCAAATCTCAACCGGCAGGCCTTTTTTGCAGAGAAAGATATAGCCAAGCACAAAGCGCAGATTCTTGCCGAGCGCCTGTGCGCATGCACACACGGCCGCATCACAGCAGACTACTATACAAAAAGCATAGAAGACGTGTGCTTTGGCCCTGCGTTTTTCAAAGGCTTCACGTGCATAGTAAGCTGCGTCGACAATGTGCCTGCGCGCGAACACCTCAACAAAATGGGCTTTTTCTCCGGCGTTCCGATCATAGAGACTGGCTCGCGCGGATACGAGGGACAGGCATACATCATAGCGTCCGGGCAAACCGAGTGCTATGCATGCACTGAGGCACTCCCCGGGAAAACGTTCCCCATCTGCACTCTGCGAAGCACGCCGACCGAGTGGCACCACTGCGTGCATTGGGCCAAGTACGACTTTCTGCCCAGTCTCGAGGAGGCGCTGGGCTCTGCAGAAGCCCGTGCGGGCGCGCCAGGGGCTGAAAGCGAAAACAGCACGCAACGCGGCGCCGAAGGCACCCAGGAAGCCATGCCCGAGCACTTTCTTCTAGATGCGTGCAAAAGCGCGCCAGACAACTCCCGCCAAAGCCAAATTGCGCGGGTTCTGGATGGACACAGGCTAAGCCTCGAAAGCCTTGGCCTGGAGCTATCCGGGCTAATTCGGGCCTTTGCAGAAAGCCCAGAGCTTTTATTAAGCGAGTCCTTGGATGCACTCCACCAAGCCGCTGCAATGCGCGCCAAGCAGTTCAGCCTGGATGTGCCGCCGTGCGAGAAGACAAGAGAAGTGCTGGACCAAACAGTGCCTGCGGTCATCACAACAAACAGCCTTGTTGCCAGCATGGTTTCTCTGCAGATGTCTCTGTTGCAGAGAAAAAAAGTGCACAATGTGTATTACGTGGGCGCTTACAGCCCAATAGCGAAGGTTCAAGGCGCAGGGCCCAGCGCATCGTGCCCGCTTTGCCGGTGCATTCCGCACGTTCTGAAGGCGCAAAGCAAAGAGACGCTGCGGTCCCTTCTTGCGCGCATAGAGCTGCGGCTGGACAGCGTCACGGCTGTGCTCAGAAATGCGGCGCTTCTGTACGACGAAGAGTACGTGGACCTTCTGGAGACAGAGCTTCGGGACTTGGGGGTGCACGCGGGCACGGTGGTCAAGGTGTGCACAGATAAGAAAGCACATCTGGTGTACATAAGCGTATAAAGAGAATGCAAAGCAATTAAGTCTATTTTTGTTTAATTACAAGATGCTCTATTTTTACTTTGAAAATTTAAAGTAATCAGATGTGCTTCCTTGAATCGCATCGTCGCCTCGGGAAAGAAGCTTCTCAAAGCTGTCTCCGTCGAGGTCTCTAAGATTTCCGTCGAAAATCAAAGAGTCGTAGGACTTGCTGAAAACGTGTTTGTCTGAGACGCCAATTGAGTCAAAGAAGTTCTTCTCATTGCTGAGAATTTCGGAAAAGGAAGACTTTTCCGCGTCCTGGTATTTTTTGTGCTTGCTCTCGCTCTCGCTCTCTCTGTAGTTTACGTCGTAAGTCTTCCGCTGCTTTATGTTTGGGTTAAACACATTCAAATACTCAGAGTCCACAGTCCAGTACGAGCCCTTTCCCGGATCGTTGTGTGTGCGGGGTATCTTATAGAAGCATTTATTCAATGAAAGATTATGCCTAATTGAGTTTTGCCAGCCCCCCCTCTGTCTGCGAAAGTACGGATACTTGCTCATAATCCACGAGTATATTGCACGCAGCGTCAGCTTCTTCTCTCTGCTGTCGATAATCGCTTGCGTAATTAGTGTGGCGTATGAGTATGCAGGCTTTTCGTAGGATATTTCGTCGGTCTCTCCAAACCCTTCTGCCAATCCTTCGTCTGCGCGCGCGCTTTCCTCTCTTACAGTGACGTTGCAGTTGTTTTTCCTCTTTAGCATGCTAAATACTTCAGAAACTACTTCATTTCTCGTGCCTCTATTCATAATAAATACAAATAATGAGCCAGCCTTAATGAAAGTGGAATATGAGATCTAGATTACTCTTTGATATAAATAAACAAATTTTAATTTTTACATGCTGACAGTCGTGCTTCAGAATGCAAACATAGAAATAATTAAGACAAAACGAGGAAAAGAGCTTATGAGCAGCGAAATGCCGGAAACCAGAAGGCGCAGGAACTCCAGCGAGTACAGGCCAGACATTCTGCACCAGTGCCTTCTTATTCTCCTAGACTCGCCTCTGAACAAGTCTGGAAAGCTGCGCGTGCTTGTGGAGACCACGCAGAAGAAGGTGATCACAATAAACCCGCAGACCCGCATCCCAAGAGTTTACAGCAGGTTTGCAGGCCTGATTATACAGCTTATAGAGAGGCACCGGATATACTCCGAGGCCAGCAGAGTCGAGCTTATGAAAGTTGAGAAAACCACGCTGGAAGGGAACCTCCCAAACAAAGCAACCCGCATTGGGCTTTCCAAGGAGGGCGAGAACTTCTTTGAGTATCTGCAGCAAAAGGAAGCTGCTCTTGGCAGGGCGCAGAAGGAAGGCGAAGAAAAGGCAGAGCCCGAAGAAAGCGAAAACGTTATATTTTACATAAATGCAGTCTCCTCGGGAGAAGACCCAACAGAGGGCATGGACCAGATTCTGTCTCTGTCCTCGTACGCGCTCTCCGCTGCAACATGCTGCTCCAAAATATGCTCGCAGTTTGAAAGCATGCTGGGCGTGTTCTAGGAGCCCCGTATAGAAAACGGAAGCAGCGCGTGCTAGAGCCTGCAGTCCGGAATAGACCTGCAGCCAGTGCAAAGCAGCATTGGCTAGACTCCCACTCATATGCGGCCGAGGCGCCTAAGTATTATTGCAGCCCCACGCGGCAGCGCATGGAGGCAAACCAGGGCCCGTCGCGCATTCGAAGTTTCAGAGCCCGGAGCTAGTTTAGTATTGATCCCAGAAAAAGCTTTGGCCCAATTTTTGCTTTTGTTCAGCACAGATATATTGCGCATGGGGTCGGGCGAGCTGCCGCAAGAGCAAACTAAATAAACTTACGTCTACTAGAAAAGCGATGCGCGCTATATTCTTCGCACAATGCGCCTTTTCCCATGCTTTTTATTCAGTGCGCCTGCTCTGTCTTGGGCCTGGCCTGCTGGTTGTTTGGCTTGCACGCAGCTCTTGCCACGAAGGCTCCTATGCCAAGCCTCTAGATTGATGTGTGTTTGCACGGCCGGACTGTTGGGTCTAGTTTTACTTTACACTCTGCAATGCACGCACTCTCTTCGGGCGTGGCTTCTGCTTGTTTTAACTGCTTTAGAGTACCGATTCGTGTGCTTGATGCTTCACACCTCGCAGCACGGCCACTCTTGCTGCTATGCTACTATACGCGGTGTCTGGCTCTTCTAGCGTTGCTGCCTGCCGTCTACTACTGCCGCACGCCGTTCTGCGCATGCTAACCGCCCAAGCCTAGAGAAACCGCTTGTTGTGGCAAGCCGGCGCCCTGGCAGAATACATCTGTGCGCCTTCTCTAGCTTCCGCCCGCGCCCTGCCTCGCACCAGCTCAAGCGGACAGACAGCGCGCTAATATCTGGACCAATAGAGCAAAGCGCCCATTTATTGCAAATTGTGCCCAAAAATGCAATATTTCTTGCTTAAACAATTAATAAAAACAATATTGCAGTCTAGAATCATCAATTGCCAAATCCCTAGTATTTATTTTTTCTTTTTGTTTGTCCCCTGTAAAATGGCAGACGAGGAACGTAAAGCATTAGTTATTGACAACGGGTCTGGTATGTGCAAGGCTGGATTCTCAGGGGACGACGGACCAAGAGCAGTCTTTGCCAGCATAATAGGAAAGCCTAGGCACCACGGAGTCATGGTCGGAATGGGCCAGAAGGAGTCCTACGTGGGAGAAGAGGCCCAGACCAGGAGAGGAATCCTCACTCTGAAGTACCCAATTGAGCACGGAATCGTAAACGACTGGGACGCAATGGAGAAGATCTGGCACCACACTTTCTACAACGAGCTCCGAGTGGCTCCAGAAGAGCACCCTGTGCTGATGACGGAGGCGCCTCTGAACCCAAAGCTGAACAGAGAGAAAATGACCCAGATTATGTTTGAAACCTTCAACTGCCCGTCTTTCTACGTTGCAATCCAGGCCGTGCTTTCGCTCTACTCAAGCGGGCGAACCACAGGAATTGTTCTGGACTCGGGAGACGGTGTAACGCACACTGTGCCCATTTACGAGGGATACTCGCTTCCCCACGCAATCTCCAGACTCGACCTTGCAGGAAGAGACTTGACCGACTACCTCATGAGAATCCTCACGGAGAAGGGATACACTTTCACAACAACTGCTGAGAGAGAAATTGTGCGAAGCATAAAGGAGTCTCTCTGCTACGTTGCAAAGGACTTTGACGTGGAGATGGCCAAGCCTTCCAGCGACCTGGAAAAGAGCTACGAGCTCCCAGACGGCCAGAACATAACCATCGGAAACGAGAGATTCAGAGCGCCAGAGGCACTTTTCCAGCCTTCATTCATGGGCCTGGAAACTGTTGGTATCCACGAAACATGCTTCAACTCCATTATGAAGTGCGATGTTGACATTAGAAAGGACCTGTACTCGAACATTGTGCTTTCTGGAGGTACAACACTCTACGAGGGAATGCATGAAAGAATGCAGGACGAAATATCCAGGCTTGCCCCGTCTTCTATGAAGGTGAAAGTGGTTGCAAACCCAGAAAGGAAGTACAGCGTGTGGATTGGTGGGTCTATTTTGGCCTCGCTCGGAACTTTCCAGCAAATGTGGATCAGTAAGAGCGAGTATGACGAGTGTGGTCCTTCTGTTGTTCACAGAAAATGCTTCTAAATAAAAGGCACTAATTGAGATTTGTGTTGCTGTTTTTGCGGGCGTGCAGGGCGGAAGAGCGCGTGCCTTGGCGCTTGCTTGCCGTCTGGCCTGCGGCAGGAAGTTCTGCCGGCTTCGAGCGCCCCTGGGCTTTGCTTATTCGTTTTCTCTTTTTGCTTTTCTCTATGCGAGAAGTTCTGGCTGGAAGCGCGGAGAGCGCAGGCCCCTCCAAAGCCTCCGGGAAGAAGGAGCAGGCCCTCACAGAGATACAGATATACCGAGCATTTACGCAGGAAAGGGGAATGCCTCTCTCCCAGAAAGTCATCAAGTACATCCAAAGCGTGCTCTCGCCGTCCACCATAGACGTGTATGCAGACATCGTAAAGGCCTCTTATAGAACAGGCCTACTCACGGAGAAAGACATAGAAAGCGCAGTGTGCGAAAAAATAAAGAAAAGGCAAAACATAGAGGCTCGCCCCGTGAAATACGTGCCAGAGGGAGTTATCCGATACAAGCTGCTAAAAGAAAGAGTTCTCGCCCACAAGACCTCTATCGTGTCGCTGAAGCCTGATGTGGTCTCGCACATATTCGGGATGGTGCGCGTGCACGAGGACGGAAGCCTGTTCATCGAGGACGAAGACGAGTCGGTCTGTGTCTGCAAAATAGAAGAAAGCGAGTATTTCCTGGCAAGCGGAGTCTGTGCTGGATTTGAGGGCATGCTTACAAAAGAGGGGTTTGCCGTGCAAAAAGTGCATTTGCCGGAGCTGCCTGCGCAGAGCGTGCAAAAGACAAACAGCACAAACTTTCTTGTGGTTTCCCAATTTGTGTCCAGGCCTGAGAACATAAAGAAAATATCGGACGTGCTGAAAGTCTATGCGGAGTACGAAATCGAGGTATCCGCAGTCATCATTATGCTGCACGGGGCGGAGAACATAGACAACGTACAGCCCAAAATCGAGGTGTCTCTTCTGAAAAGCTACGCCAGCACAGAGTTCTTCATTGTGCCGGGCACCTCGGAAAGGCACTTCTATCCGCACGGAGAGTGCAAAACATACAAGAACCTGCAAACAACCACAAATCCCGTGGAAATCCGGGTCGAGGGAGAGGCATCTTTTTTGGTCGGGGCTTTTGACCTGGTTGACGGCGTAAAAAAAGAAAGCATAATAAAAGGGCCTTTCCGGAAAGAACTGGGGAAGACTTTTTTAACGCAGGCGTCGTTCAACCCATTCATCCCATACGCAGACCTGTCCTACACCGAGGAGTTTGCAGGAGTTATTATAGGGGATAAATACGACTGCTTTGCGCACAAGGAGGGCAGCAAGGCCTTTGCTATTTGCGGAGACTTTGAAAAGAGCGAGGGCCAGTTTATGTTCTACAACGGGAGCGAGCAGGCCTTTGAGACGTGCTCTGTCGGCGGGCTGTCCGCAGAATGAGGGCGCTGCATCCCAGTTGCGAGCCCGCAGCCATAGGCCCGGCTAGGAGCTTAAAGTACAATGAAGAATGTGCAGAACAGCTTTAGTGCTCCTGGCAAAAATTCGCTCTTTCTTGCCTGGACTGCAGAAGGCCCTGGCCTATGCCAGAGGTGATGCGGGCTTGGGCCGCCTGCAAAAGCCCGCAGCGCAGCCGTCCTCCTTGTTCAGCCGAAAATAAACCAGAAAACTTCTTGGGTTTTGCTTTTTCTCTTGCCAGAGCACCTTGAATGCACGCACGGGGCTTCTTTTGTAGATAGCTTTGCCTGGCACCGAAGCGGGCGCGGCGCTTGCTTGGCCGCCGCATACAGCGCAAAATGGCGCATGCTTTGAAGCTTTTGTGCGGCAAGGCCCTCTCTGCGCATACAAGTACGTTGAAGTTGTCTGCTAAATTTTTTATGAGCCAAAGCAGAAGAGCAGAAATAATTGGCAGAATCTTAAAAATAAGAAGCCCGTCTGAGCACACGGAGGCGAGGCATATTATAAAGAAGGGGGCCGAGAGGAGTGCAATATTTAAACGGCTTGTTTTGTCAGCGCCAAAGGAAACAGAAAAGAAGGTAGAGTACTTAATAAAGAATTCGAAGAACGAAGGCGAGTGGGAAATCACGTGCAGGGCGGCAGAAGCCTTTTTCGAAAAGACAAAAAAGATCGAGATACTGGACAGCATACTGAAAGCCGCTGCTGAAGAGAGGGGGACGGACTGTATCGCCAGCCTTTTTCATTCGATCAAAAAGCTGCTGATTCTCACCTGGGACAGCGCGGAAACAGCAGAGAAAATAGTAAAGCATGCCTTCAACGCAGAGAAGCAGCAGTATCTGGCAGTGGCTGTTTCCGAGTCCTTGAAGGTCTCTCAGACCTTCCCGGCGTGGCTGCAGGCCCATCTGGCGCATGCAGCAGAAGAGTTTAAATCCTACTTCCTGGTGAATCTGTTGCTGGACAGAAACAACCACATGCATTTTGACGTAGACAAATATGCTTTCCTGTACAAGCTGTCGGACATGCAAGTGGGTGCTCTCATGGGAGAGGTTGCAAAAATTGTGGAAAAGAGCACTCTGCGTAAAATTGTGCTGTACTTGGCGCAGCATGCAGAAAGTCTGAGCTCCTTGTGCCAGCATTTTGAGCCAGACACTCTTGTGGAGCGGATAAACGAAATCGAGCCCGAGGCTTTGATGGGCGTGCTGGTGCGCCATCAAACACAGTCCTCTCTGATTGGCCGAATCACACAGCGCATAGCTCCTAGCCGCCTGCTTTCGGTGGCTGGAATGTGCCTGACCAAAGAGTGCATCGCGCCCTCTGAGGAAAAAGTCGTGCAACTTCTGCTTCAGCAGGTGTCTGAGCGCGCAGAGGAGCTGCACAAGACAGACCCGTATGCGACCCTGTCTGTTCTTTTGTCTATGAACAAAGCAGAGCCGCTGAATGGCTTCCTGGTCCTGGAGCGCGAAATCCCGGAGTTCCTAAAAAGAGCCTTGAGCGAGTTTTCTGGCGCAGAGCCGCAGCTGGAAAAAAGCGGAGCCACGTTTTTGGAGGCATACGCGCGCGCGCATGAGGCCGGCCTGCAGAAAAGCAACAAGCTTTTGAGCAAAGCAATCTGCAACGGAATTTCCCTGCTGCACGAAAAGCACAGCGACGAGCTTCTGCTGGGCCTGCTGGAGTGCATCCACGGAAAAGAGCCGGTTTTTCTTATTGTGCAGCTATTGAAGGAGAACGGAGACTCTGCCGCGCTTCAAATGTGCTGGAAGCACTCGCAGATGAGACTTACAAGCATAAATGTAAAGGAGCACCTCATCAGGACCGAAGACATACTCAAAACAGGCGGAGGCGCGCGCTGCATGCAGATTGTGTCTAAGTACCTGTGCAACGTTCTGCCTGCTGTTCCGCTCACATCGCAGAAGGCCATTGTTAGAGACCGAAGGCTGGCCAGGCACCTGTGGGACATCATTATGTGCGACTACAAGAGCTACGAGGGGGCGGTTCTTTCGGGGCTGACAAGCAGCACCACCCTGCACCAAACGCTGTCTTGCGAAAAGACAGACTACAGTTCTATAGACGTGGCAGGCGTTGAGGGGGAAGCTGTTATGTTTTTGATCATGCAGATACTGAGCACTCCGTATCAACTGCAGTATCTTCAGATAATCACCAAAATGAAGATACTGTACACCGAAATGGGCGTGTCCGCAGCATCCAAGTGGGCATACATGCCCGAGAAAAAGGCATTTGTGTACGAGGGAACCCCAATGAGCATAGCGTACGAGCTGAGCGGGCGCATAAAGGAGCTGGTCGACGCAGACGGAGCGCGCCTGCAGAGCAGCACTGTGTACGAAATAGTCCAGGAGCACATTATTGCGCTGCTATCGAAGAAAAACCTAAGGGAATACGCCGTCCACGCCCTTGTAGGAGGCTTCATTGAAAAAAACCCAGACCTGCGCATGGCGCTTGAGCTGATGCGGGACAAGCCCCGAAAGGTGCAGGCGATTCTAGACAGCTATCCCAAGCCGTCCACTGAGCTGCCCTGCCCAAGTGCAGAAAAAACAAAGAGGCGCGCAGAGGAGCCGGTCAGCAGGCGAGAGCGGAAGAAGACCCAGAGCTTTTTGACAGATGCCGAGTCTGTCCTGGAGAAAGAGGAGCTCAGAAAAACCGGAATTTTGGCAGCTCAGCTGTCTATTTCCAAAAACGCAAATGCGCCGAAGGAAGAGAGCTACATAGAGTACGTGGACGAGAACGAAATAGCCCGCAATCCAAAGGAGGAGAAACTGAAGGAGAAGATTCAGTCGGCTCTGCGCCCCTACTCGCCCGAGCAGCTCTGCGTGGCAGCTGGATACTTCTTCGTTGAGCTGGAGAGATACTGGAAAACCGATAGAGAGAAAATTTCGTCGCACTTTGACAGAGTAATCAAAATCATGCAGCTTTTTGCCAAAGCGGACGGGATCGAGCAAATGCTGCCTATAATGGGCGGGTATATAAACTACTCCTATGCACTTGGGAGCGATGCATCCGAGACTCTTAAAGAAATAGTCAAAGCCGTTCTCCGCAAGAAGCCGGCAGAAAAGGCGTTCAGTGTGCTCAAAAAAGAGCTTAAAAACAAACTTATAGTCCAGGTGTACACAGACGTTCTCAAAGAGGCGCCTTCGGAAACCATCCAAAGCGTGTTTGACCTTGAAGAGCCTGGCAGTTTTCTGCACCAGGCAGCTGTTAAGTCTATAGCAAATAGAAGAAATGAAGCAGTGTACAAAACAGCAATAAAGGCCGCGCTGGCCCAGATGGAGAGCAGCCGAAACGACGACGTACTGTATGGAAGCTTGCAGCTTCTAAGAGAAGAGTATGTGAATGCCTCGACCTCAGAGCATGCAGAAGAGATTGTAGAGCATGCGGTAAGGCTTTTGAGGATCCGAACAAAAATAGACAAGGCTGGAGCTGAGGCGCTGCAGATACTTGAGCACGCCCTATTCAGATGCAGCTATCTGCTTTCCCAGAACTCAAAAGACGACATTGTTTGCAGCATAAAGTACGACCTCTACCATTACAAAAACCTTCTTCTGTTCTACCTAAACGAGATCCCCATAAACGAGTTTCTGGAAATAATTGGGCGCGTGAACTCGCCGGAGTCAAAGTCGATCCGCCCAGCGATCAAAAAAATAGTAGCGGAATACAACCCTGGAGAAAAGGAGGGCGCTGCCATCTTTTCAACGCTGATCGAGCAGGCAAAGGAAGGGACCAACCCGGACAAGTTCTTTATCATCGGCATGCTCATTGAGACGGTCGGCAGATACGCGCAGGGTGCATGGATCACCCTGTTCCTGAAGACCGCAGAGGTGCTTGCAAACGAAGAAAAGCCTGAGGTGGAAGAGCGCCTTTTGGAGCTGCTGAGAAAAATAGTTGCTCTTTCGCAAGCTAGAAAGAAAATGAAAGCAATTTACAAAGAGTGGGCAGAGAGCCCAAAGCTGGGCAAGCTAGTCAGAAAGATAGCCCCAGTATTCAAATAAACACAGCACACGTGCACATAGGCGCAGAGTATTTTGGGTTTCTCCTGTTGTGCGCGGAACGCTAGGGCTGCTGGGCATGCTCAAACACTTGCTTTTCTGTTTTATGGGAGCCTGTTTGTCTGCCATGCGCTTTGAACACCACGCTTTTACTTTGCGCTGTATGCATGCAGTCTGTGCTTTGACAGGCCAGTCGCGCGGTTTTCGTTTGGCAGGTGAAGAAAGCAGAACTGGGAGGCAGGCATCCATGCGCGCGCTCTTATCGGCTTTGCTGTTTCAGCTGGCTTGCACCCGCTTCAGCTCCACATTGGATATCGCAGTTTGCCGTTTTTGCAGAGCGTGGTTTACCATGAAACCCTTCTGTGCGATAGCATCTGAAAACAAAAGCCTGTTGTGGCCTTTCTTTCAAGTGGCCAGGCTCGGCGCATTTTTAGATTCTAGAGACAGCGCCCAGAGGGATTTTCTTTTTAGCTGACACGCCGCTTAAAATGGACATGTTTTCTGTGCTTTTAATTTGAAAACATGTGCATGCTGCATGATATTGGTATTTCATAGCACATACAAATATAAATTGAAAACAAAAAAATATTAGAAGTAATGTTGTATGAAGCAGAAGACACAACAACAAGAGCCGCAGCCAGGTTACGAAAAGTGTCTGAGCATGGAAGCAAAGAGGTTCGAGAAATAATAGAGCAATTTAACAGCAGAATGTTGGAGGAAATGTCTGTGTCCCTATCGTCTCTTGTGGACGCGATTAACGCCCTTCTCAAGTGCGATACGCTGTACTCCAACGAAAAGTATGCAGTGCTTGACCTGTTCTACGATCTTGTCGCAGATCTTCTTAGAAGGAAGGAAACACTTGATCTAAAGGAGATCCCTGTGTCGCTCGGAAACATGAAGTTTACAAAAAACGAAAAGAATGTAGAGCGTGCGGTGGTTGTGTATTTAAAGGTGATTGTGCTGCTGCTGGACATTGTGGACACGCCTGAGCACAGAACAACCATATTTAAGGTGTTCTGCACTCTTTTCATGTCCAAGTCTTTTATTTCCAGCACAAAGTGCGGGTACCTTTTGCCCTCGATGTTCAAAGAGTTTCTTATCAGGTACCCCGAGTTCATTGAAAGCCTGCTGGACAACCAGGACCGGCTGGTGTACTGCCCCGCCCTTTTGGAAATAGTTCTGATGTCCTGCCAGAAAATGGACAAGGTTGTGTCAAAGCTGGCGGTTCTGGACTTTATCAAAAGAAAAAACAACAGGCTTGTTGTCTCTCTGCACGGAAAAGGATTCTATGAGCCTTTTTTCTTCCAGATCTACATGGAGAGAGAGGACGCGCCCTTTTCCGAGGTTTTCCCCTTGTTTTGCAAGGGCAACTTTTTGGAATATCTGTTTTTGGACGTGTCCACTCGCATAACCAGCCGGGACATGCCGCGGACCGTGCTGGAAAAAATAAAGGCCGCAGGCTATGTGCACTTTACGCGCATGCTGAAGGACCCCGGCGAAAGCACAGAGTGTGCGTACTGCGAGGTTGCCCAGAAGCTGCACGAAACAGAAAAAAGACGAAGGGAAATCTTCCAAAAGATAGACGAGTTTAACGTGACTGCGGAAGTCCACAGGCTTGTGCAGATGCTGGAGCAGCAAGGCAGCAAAAGCGCGTACAGAGAAGCTGCAATGCTTCTGCGGTCGCACGCAGAAACAAACCTGGCGAGCTTGGGGAAGTGCCTGGGGAAGGAGGACAGCGCAAAGTTTTTGGACGCGTTCTGCACGTCCTTCAATTTTTCTGAGTACGACATACTAACGGCGCTTCGCGTTTTTCTGCTGAGCTTCAACCTGCCAGGCGAGGGCCAGAAAATTGAAAGGATAATATTTGCGTTTTGCAAGAAGTACTCTGAAGACGGAAAGCAAAACGTCGACACTGTTTTGTCGATTGCAATGTCTATTATTTTCCTCAACACAAGCATCCACAACGTAAACACGGCGAAAAAGTTCACTGTGGAGGACTTCACGCAGATAATACTGCGGGACTGCAAGGACGTGGATGTCGAGTATCTGGAGTCGCTGTATGCGCAGGTAAAGCAAGAAAAGCTGCAGCTCCCAGTAAGCAACACTGCATCTGCGGAGATGCTGGAGTTTTTAGAGCAGCAGGGGGAGGCAGATGCCTGCCTGCATCCCGCCGTGTCGGCCGAGAAGAGGTACAGATACTGCGGAAAGTGCACGCAGGCTGTGTACAGGTATGCAATAGAAGAGTATAAAATTGGGCAGGCCGTTGCAAAAGACGGCACGTCTTCGGAGGTGATGGAGTATGTGAGGGCCTGCATGCGAATCGATGCAGCTGACGCAGCAATTGAGGCTGTGAAGCTGGTCCGGGACCCGTTCTTTGTGGTCAAGGTTTTAGACGAGTTTGCGGTGTGCACATACTCCTTGTGGAGCACCTTTTTGGACGCGCTGGAGAAGATGTATCAGCTGAAAGACGAGCCGGGCAGCACGCCTAGGTTCTTCCGCGGGATTTTTGCGTTTGGAAAAGACGCCAAGAAAGACAAGAGAGAGGCTTTCCCAGACGACACAACTCTCCGGATAATTGAAGGCACGCGAAACATAAACGACGCGCAGGCAATGGACATGGCGGGCACACTGGCCAAGAAGATAGAGGAGAGAAGCTCAAAGATATTGAACAAAGTGGCGTACAGCATGGTGAAGGTCAACGCAGACCGGATGTTTTCTGTGGGCGTGCTACTAAAAACGCTGATAGGCAACGGCGGCGCGTCGGTGCAGGAAATAGTCGCGCTCTGCGAAGCATCTTCGCTAAGCAACGTGCTCCAGGTTTTGCTGGGCATTAAGTACAAGCCGTCCAAGCACATAACGGCTGCTGTGATAGCCCTGCTCCAGTACGTAATATCGGTGCTGAGCCAGAGATCGCCATCCATTGTAGAGATGCACGGCGTCAAGGACTGGATGGCGGCTCTGATTTCCTCAGAGGCTTTCAAGCTGCGAAACAGCGAAATCGTCATTTCTATCTGGGAGACCGTTGAGGAAATAGCTCTGCGAGTAGACTCGGCCGGGTTTGACGGGTTTGAGATATTTATCAAGATGAAAGAGGTAATTACAAAAGCCAGCAAGCTAGAAATCATAAGCAACACCCGGATGTACTATAGAAACATAAACAGAGTTCTGCTGTGCCTAGACATTTTGTCTGGGTCCTCGGAGACAGACCTGAAGGACGCGTTTGTGGCCATGGTCTCCCTGGTTGTTGAAAAGGATGCGCTTGGCTGCGTGTCTGTGCTGGAGAGCTGCGAGCATGTTCTAGAGACGATCCCCGATATACAGAAAAGAATCGAGGAGACGGTGCTGGACAAAACCCAGGGCGTTCCAAACCTAGACGTAAAGTACCTGAAAAAACTGGTAATGAAAATGAGCCTAAAGGCGTCTCCGAGCAAGGAGATAGTAGACCTGTAGATGCAGAAGGGAAATACGCCGAAACATGCACATAAAATACTTTTTTCTGCTTTCTATTACTGTTTTTATTGTGGCTAAGCCTGCAGCCTGTTGAGTGGACACGCTGGGTGCATTTCTGTTTTCTGCAGTTATGTGAAGAAGTACACAAGCTTGTCCTTTCCTCCGGCTACGATCATGCTTCCTTTTATGTCTACCGCAAACACCTGGTCTTTGCACACAAAGTCAGACAGCAGCGCCTTTTTCTCAACCGAGTACACCTTGACTGTCTTGTCTGCAGAGCACGAGACCAGCAGATTTCCTGTTTCAGAGAAAACCGCCTGGTATGCGAGAGATGCATGCGACCTAAATGTGTGGGCCAAGTACCCATTCACCGATGTCCACAGCTTAACTGTTCTGTCAAACGAAGAAGTCGCAATGTGGGAGCCGTTTGAAGAAATGCTTACGCTTGTGAGCACGTCCCTGTGCCCCGCAAGCTTTCTTGCCGGAACAAACGCCCACTCCCTGTCCTCCTTCCAGTCTGGCCGCCACATGACTGCTGTTTTATCGTCGCTGATGCTGACAAAGAAGCTCTTTCCAGACCCCATCTCCACGCCCGTGCTTTTTTTAAGATACTGGCCCAGGTCTTTTCCGTTGTGGACCGCCAGCCCAGTAACCCACAGTATGTGGCCTCGAAGAACCTGGACCACAGCCCCAGCGCCATCGGTCACCTTTATGTTGGTGTCCCTTCCTGCGGATAGCAGATAGTCCCCAAAGAAGCCCACAGTTATAACTGGCTTTTCATGAAAAACACTGCGAAGATGCCCCGCTAGGCCCCAGACTCCAGCGCTGCTGTCTCTGGACGCGGTCGCAAACACCTCGCTGTCCGCCCGCCACGAAACAACTGTAACCCCGTCTTTGTGGATCTTGCAAGAGTAAACAACAGACATGTCCGACATGTTTATCAGCGAAACGCCTCCGTTCATAGACCCTGCAGCCAGCCACTTAGAGTCTGGCGAAAACGCAATGCATTGGATCCAGTGGTGGAACAGCTTTATCGATTTTATTGGGGTTTTCGTGGACCCACACCAAAAGCGGACAGTGCCGTCTCCGGACGCGCTGCACACATACTTTTTGCACGGGCTCTGCTTCACGCTCAAAACGGCTGCAGTGTGCCCCGAGCAAGAAGACGCAAGATATCCCGGCGCCCGCGTTTTCTTTGGCGGGTCGTCTGGGTAGCAATATATCTTGAGTATTTCCTCGTTTTCTATCTTTTCTTTCGCGTGTGCCTCCTCCAGCGTGGTTATTATTTCTGATCCGTGGACAAACATTCTCATCCGGTCCCTCTCGCCCACGTTTGATGGAAGAAGCTGCTTAAGCGACTCCAGCGTTATGCTAGCCGGAAGCTGCATAACGCTCCCAAGAGGGACATCTTCGTGCGAAATAAACTGTGCAATTACTTGGGAGTGCATTGAAAAATTCTGCACGCATTTTATTTAAACTTAAAACATGGCTGGGCTGTGCAGATGCCTGAATCAGCCATAGAATGTGCAGCCGGGCGCATCCAAGCCTGTGCAGGGCCTTTTCTATCAAGCCTTGCCCTTCTACGCCCGTGCCTGGTTCTGCATATCTGGACGCTGAAAAGCGGGCAGCATCCCCTGCCCTATGCTAAGAAATACATCTGCTATTGCAGAAAATGCTGATCCTGCGGTTTGCGCAGGGCCTGCTGCAAGAAAAAGCATGCTACGGGCCTCCTGGGCGCGTGCAAACCTGTAATATAATGCCCAAGCTGTCCTTTGCAAAAACTTCTACTTTATTTCTAGATGCAGCTAGACAGAAACGTCCGCTCTTTCCACCTTTATCTTGCACTGTATGTTTACAGACGCGAGCTCTGCGACCAGGTATTTGAAGACGTAAGGGAACTCCATCTTAACCAGATGCCTGTTTGTTTTGCACTTGGTGCATGACCATTTCTGGAAGAACGACAGGCTGCTGCACTCCCGGCACACATTCAGCACGGTGCCATCACTGCACGCGAGCATTCGGTCGTTTATCACCGAGCATGCCCCGTGTGATATCAGAACATCCCTTTCCATTTCCCCCAGTCGGATTCCACCGCACTTGCTTCTCCCTCCAATCGGCTGCTTGGTCAGAGCGTCGATCGGGCCGGACGTTCGCACCTGGTACTTGTCGCTCACCATGTGCCGCAGCCTCTGGTAGTACACAATGCCAAAGAACACATCTACGCTCAGCGGAGTCCCGGTTACGCCGGAGTAAAGAGTTTCGCCTCCCCCTCTTTTAAACCCGGCAGACTCCAGCATGTTTCCAAAGTACTCGCTTGCTGTCATGTCGTCGCCTTCCTCTTTCTCGCCATACTTGAACATCGACCCGTCCATGGGCATGCCGAGGCATGCGCCCGCCTTGGACGCTATATTCTCAATAAACATCCCTATGGACATACGACTTGGAAAAGCATGCGGGTTTATGATCAGGTCTGGGGTCACGCCCAACTCGTTGAACGGCATGTCCTCGTCTTCGTACAGAATCGAGCACACCCCCTTCTGCCCGTGCCTGCTGCTGAACTTGTCTCCAATGGTGGGAATTCGCTGTATCCGCATAGTGATGTTTGCAGACCTTTTTCCGTTCTGGGCCTGGTATATCGACACGCTCTTTACCCGGAGGTCTTCCATCGTTTTGTTTTTATGCTCTTGCTCCTCCAGCACCTCTGTGTTCATAGTTGTGTATATTACCTCTCTGTCCCGGATCAGCTGCCCCACCTCTGGAAGGCCTTCTTCCTCCTTCAGCGTGCCCAGCTCCATCTCGGGCATGTCCCCAAAGTCCACCACCTCTGTTTTGTAGATAGACCCCCGCATAAAGCCTCTGTTCACGCTGGCCTTGTTAAGAATGACAGCGTCTTCAATGTCGTATCCGGTGTACGAAAGAATTGCAATTGTGATGTTTTTCCCGTTTGGATACTCGCCCAGCTCGTACTTGGAGTACAGGTCTGTGCGCATTGTTGGTGTCTGCACATAGTCCAGCGAGTACACTTTCTGGTCCGTTCTGTACTTCTGCGTGTGCGGCATGGTTCCCATCGACTGCTTTGCCATCTGGCACTGGTACATGTTACGCGGGCTTGGGTTAAAGTTGCCCAGCGGGGTGCTTCCTGCAACCACGCTTAGAATGTTTGTTGCAGTTATCTCTCTGTGAGTTGGCTCAACCCACCGCATGTCCGGGTTTTCGCTGTTCGCCGACAGTATCTGCAATTTAGAGATGCTTTCCGCGCTGTCTTTGACCAGGCCTTCTATCTGGATGTACATCTGCTCGGTTGGGCCTATGTGCTCGACTTCGTTCTCCTTAATGTTTATAACAGGCCGCATAAATCGGTTTGGCGTGTTGACAATCTGCAGAGTCCACCCGTCGTACACAATTTCGGCATATTTGAACTTCTCGTCGAAAATCTTCCTTTTCCGCAGATGCCCAACCAGCACGTGCACGCACTGCTCAGACACCGTGCCCACTACTCTTCCGTTCTGCACCACGGGTATCCCATGCAGCGCCCCCGTTAGATAGTTCATTCCATAGCTGATAAGGTCAGAAACAGAGATGTGGTGCTTTGCATGCGAAACCACGCACGTGTGCGACAGATGCGTCAAAAGCCCGCACGGCGACCCGTCTGGCGTGTGCACTGGGCACAGAAACCCCCAAGACTCGGGAAGAAGCTTTCGCACGGTACTAGTCCTCATTGACTCAAAGAAGGATCCTCTGTGCACACTCCTTAAATGGCTGAAGAACCTCAAATAGTTCAGCCGCTCTGCAGTAATCGTGAACCCGGCTTGCTGCATCATTGCATATGTCCCCATGTTGCTGAACGATATCACGCCCATTGACAGCAGCCTTTCCACCGCAGACGTTGCCGGCGTGATGACCTTCTTAAGAATTCTCTTCATTGCAACCTTGTCTGTCACTGTAACTGACTGGTAATGGATGGCTGCTACCAGGTGCTTCTGCAGCCCCCTTGACATCCAGTATATCTTGTCTGCCATTATTTCTGTCAGGGTGTCTCCCACGGTAATCAGCTCGTGCGAAGACAGCGCGTCCCCGTTGTCCGCAGGAATCCTCCCAGAGACCTGCATGAACAGCTTGGCTATGCATATAATAAGCAGGTTGTACTTTTCTGTCAGCGACCCCGTGTGCACTGCAATCGTGTCTTTTATAAACTGCAGCCCGCACTCGGCATCTGACATCTCTTGCTGGCATGCAGCTATAACCTCCTCCAAAAGCTCTGTTGCTTTGTCTGTGTCTGAGGCTTCGCTGCTGTCACCCCCCGTTCTTTTCACACTGGCTGGCATTGACTCGATTTCGCTTGCAGTCATCTGGTAGTACAGCCTAAATCGGCTCCCTAGATACGAAAGCGCCTCCTTTTGTGTGTACTCTTTGTGGAAAGAGAAGCTCTGCAGAAGAAGCTCAACATACTCCATTAGGTCCTTGTCGTTTTTGAGAACCGCTCTCAGCGACTCTTCTATTTCTCTGTCGGTGTTTCCCGAGATGCCCCTCAGCACCAGATGCAGCGGAATGTAGTACTCTTTCCTGAACTTCTTCACCCTTATTTTTATTGAGTGGTCGTTGCAGTAGTGCAGAGTAAACATAGACGCCTGTCCGCTGGGAAACGCCGATTTGTACGACACCGCATGCTCGGACATGCTTTTTCTTTTTTTGGACATCCCGGGCCTGTACACTCCAAAGGGGCAGTACTTCTTCTGTATCTGAAGAAGCCTGCATATCTTCTCGGTTCCCTTGTATATGAAGTATCCTCCAAGGTCGTTTGGCTCTTCTTTTACCTGCACCAGCTCCTCGTCTGTCATCGAAGAAAGAGCACACAAGCTGCTGCGCACCATCACAGGAATAAACCCTAGAGAGAACGTATGTGTCTCCGGAACGCCGTTTGTCACCACCATTACCTCGGCAAGGATCTCCGCCCTGTATGTCTGTGCAGTCCGTCTGCACTCAGATGGAAGCATTCTCCTTTGGAGCCCACCTCTTCCCTTCCCCTCTGCTATAACGGGCTTTTCCACCCGAATTGCCTCTATAGAGATCGCAGCAGTGTTGTTGATCTTGTCCGCTATCTCCAGCGGCTTAAACAGGCGAGCTAGCTTGGGCAGGGACGTGTTTACAAATCGGTTATACGAATTGATGTGCGGATGCGCAAGATGCTTTGCTTCGGCCTTCATTCTATTAAAAAAATTGCAAATTTCCGCCCATATAACTCCCATTCCTTTTTTTTTTGGGGCGCGCGCACCAGAAAACAGCATTGAAAGCGCGCGCCCCATGCGAGGTAGAACCTCCCTTGTGGCGGGGGAGATGGTCAGTCAGCTGGCGAAGGGGATAAACGCCAACTAGCAACTCGAACTACGCAAAGCGATACTCTTGGACAGGCTTCGCGCCCTCTTGGGTGCCACTTCTGTCTCTTTTAGTAGCTGCGCAGAAAAAAGGCCGCTTGCTAGGGCTGGTTGATCCTCGTGATCATGTAAGCCTATATTGAGAATAACGGAATATGCTCTGCGAAAAAGGAATCGAAGAAGCACATCTGCGAAAGGCCGCGGAGGAACTTGCGGGGCAGACAGGCGAAAGGCGCGGATGAGAAATGAGAGAAATGGGCAACATGGAAGGAAACACAGAAGTGGAGAGCCAGAGTGTGAGAAGATTTTTTATTGCTTTGTTTTGCAAAGTCTTAGGAAAGAAACCTTCACTTTGAAAAGAAACTTTTGGAAGTGTCTTTTCATATTTTCTTTTCGTTTTTTATTCTTGCAAGTTTTGCAAAGAGCCCCAAAAAGCGCCTTTGCATGCTGTGCTGGAAACAGCTGTGTGCATAGGAAATTAATCAATAAATCCAACCAATTATAACTCCCAGCTCCTTTCCAGCCTCTAACGCATGCGTGTCTACACAAACGCGCCTTCAAATGCAGATAGGCCATGGTGTGTGTCTTTTTGCCTGTTTTTGCACTACACATTTGCGCGCACCTTGGAAGAGCGTGCAGCTGTTTGAGACGCCATGCGCAGCCTCCTTCAACACTGTCAACTCCATATGGCTTCTTGCATGCTTCTGTGCTTTCTGCTGTTTTGCAATTCTTGTTCGGGTGTTATGATGCTTGTGTTGCTCGGGTGGCTCTGGTCTGTCTTCTGCGCAACAGCGACAAGCTAAAGGAAAAACCCCTCCAAACTTTTTCAGAAACTAAAACTCAGTCTATTGTTTTAACTCTAGCCCAAAACTGAACGCGTTTAATTTTGTTTTTAGACACAGCTACAAAACTAAAAAGCTGGAATAAAGGGGCGAGCACCTTCTCACAAAACAAACAGGCGCAGTATAAAGCAGCGCCGCCGTAGGCTTGCAAACCCAGCACAGCATTAGAGAAGAAAGTGATCTCCAAATATGATTTATGATGCAGCTATAAGTATGCTCTTGTTTATTTTTGCAGCCATGGACGCGGAATACTTGAATATACCCGTTAAAGAAGTGCAAGTGCCTAGAACAACGAGCGAAAACAAAGTATATGTGGCAATGAAGCAGATGCACCAGCCGCTGCTGAAGCAGATTGCCCATCCCATTCAAGAAAACAAACAGATAAAAGCGCTTTCAGACAACATTTTTATGTACAGCATGGGGAGCGAGATAGAAAAGCATTTAAGCATGCTTCAGGAGGGGAACTGCAGCATAGACACGATAGACATTAGACGTGCAGGAGAAAACGCGCTTGTGCGCGCCCGCACCATGCTTGAATATGTATCCGGTGCAGGAAAATGCTTTCACAGCAGAGAAAAAAGACGCGCATACTTTTCCATGCTAAACAGATTCCACTTTGGAAAGATTCTCTCGAATATATACACACAGAGATATATCATGAGAGACCTCGAGGTTGCGCTTTTCTCACTGTTTGGAGACGACCAGGATTTTGCAAACAGCAGCAACCCCACCCAGCTGTTCATGCGCACAGCACTCGGCTGCCCAAAGATTTTGAAGGCAATCCAAACGTTGAAAGTGCATGGAGGCCGGCTGTCTTGCTACAACTCCGAGAACGGCGCCGCGGTATCAAACATGCATAATCTACACTTGTCAAATGAAGACCTTGCAAATTTGCGTTTATTTAATCTGCTGAAGGGAATTTCGCTCTTTGAGCTCCACTTTTCGTGCATGGTTTGGGTGGAGTTCAATCTGCCTTCCCAGGAGGCCGTGGTGCGCTCTTACGCGGAACTTTTTTTTTCATTCATAAATCAACACCCTAGCGAGTTTGGTGGAGATTATAGCGAGCTAAGAACTTTCCACAAAAGCAGCAGAGTTCAGATATGGATGCCTCCAGAGGATTCATTTTCTAAAGATGTATTCGAGTGCTTGGCCATTTCCCCATTAATGACAGATCCCGAATTTGTTAGCAAGCTCATAAATAGCATGCACATATATAGAAGCGCAGTTATCTCTTCAATAGAGGCACTCCACGCTGAGCTAGACCCCTCTCCCTCTGCAATGTCCGTGGCATCATCTGTTTTCCAGGAAATTGATCCGCTGAGCGCACTGTACGTAGACATATGTACCTTTATAGGGGTTTTTGGCATGCTGTTTTCGCTGTGTGCGCTTGTTTTTGCTGCAGCTATCGTTGCGAATGCAAATATGCACGATTCGCTTCCAGTTTGGGCGCATAAGCACGTTTAAATCTGGCATGATTCTGCAAAAAGCTATGCCTTTTTTCTGCATAAACCTGTGTTGGCAAGGAAACAGGCTCTGCCTCGGCCTGCCCTTGGGCGACTCCGAAGGGTGGAAGGGCTGCTTCTTTTTCATTAAATATCTGTTTATGCACGCATGAAATGTTTTTGCATACACCCAAGTTTCCAAAAGGTGCTCTGGACCGTCTTTGCATATTTCTGCTGTTTATTTGTGCATTTCTGCAGTTGTTAACAAAGAAAGTTGGTACAGATTGCAATTATTTTTTTTCTTCTTTCCATGGCATAGAATTTAAATTGCAGCGCAGGATCTTTATCACATGCCGCAAATGATATGGATTTGCATAAAGATATAAGCATGAAATTAAAAATAAGATATGAGTAAGGAGAGCAAGCACAGTCCAAGTGTGTGGAAGAAGATTAAGTCAGCCTTTAAAAACCTGGCAGGCGGAAAGAAAAAAACCAGGCTGTCCATGGAAAATGAAGTGTTCAGTGGGCATTCTGAAGAGGAAAGCAAGGTTTTGGATTTGGAAGAAAAGTGGGTCAACGCATGCCAATACACTCCTGGATACAACCGAAAGCTGCTTATCTATTCTGTTTTTGACCGGGTGGAGGAAAGCGCATCTTCCGACTCTGAGCGGATCTTGTTGTTTAAAAAAGAAGCCTCTACAGAGATGCTGGAGTGGTGGAACAAGCTACCCAATAAGCCCCAAAAGTGGGAGGACCTAAAGTCTTGGCTAATTGAGGATAGCGACAGCGTTGAAGGAATGCAAAGAATCCGCCATGCGGGGCTATCAGACACAGACTACTGAAATTGCGCCACCCGACTTAATTTGAATTTGGAAAAAGAAGCTGCTGTAGCAACTTTTTCTTCACCTGTAAATAATGTGAGTGCAAAAAAACTTGCATATGCCATGCTTTTTGTGTGGCTTGTTTCGTAATAAATTCAAATTGTGCCGTGGCTTGTGGTGTTTCTTGGTGACTCAGAGCATGTTCTAGACTGCTGTTTTTTTCTAGCTGGCTTGGCTTTCTGATCTTATTTTGGGCCGCCGTTTCTCGGGCTTGGCGAGAGCGCACGTGTTCGTGCTCTTGCACTAGGCAAACCACGCGTGCGCTGCATCTTTTTCTGCCACCTGCAAATGCCAGGCTTGTGCACTTTGCGTGAGACAGACTAGCGAATTGCATATGCTAAACATAAATAGCCTGCAGCGCGGCATGCTTTTAAAACAAAGACAAATTGTGGCAGCAAGGCATTTCATACAGTTTATTTAGGTTCTTCAATGCGCGCATGTTCAGATGTTGCAAGCAGGCACAGCAAAGTAGCGCACGCACCGATCAGTGCCATGCCGCGGGGTCTGCTGCATGCCAGCTTGCAAGCTGCTCCTTTATGCAAAGGAAACATGCTGCTCGTCCTTAGACAGGCTTTCTTCGCTGACTTCAACCACAGTAAAGACAGGGTGGTCCATTCTAGGAAGCTGGCCTTTGGTAAAAAACACTTCGTTTGTGTCCTTCTCCACCCACTCGGCGTCTTCAGACTCTTCATCGTCGCTTTCTTCAGACTCTTCGTCTATGCTTTCGCCCTCGCCTTCTATCCACTCTTCTTCCGAGTCGTAAATGTACTCTTCTAGCGGAAGCACTTTGTGGGTAGAGTTTCGAGAGGCGTGCACCACCCTCGAAAGGTCTCTCTGCGCCTTAAGCATGTACAGCGGGGGGCGTATCTGCCCGTGTATGCGGCAGAACACCATTTTGACAGGCTTGTTGATGTCTTTGCACTTCCGTATGGTTTCCACCTTTCCATAAAATCTTCCGAGTGGTTTTAGAGCGATTTTTCTGTGGCACGGGTTTTTTTGGTCCTCTTTTTTTGTGATAAACGACAGTAGGCTGCTCTTGGTCAACTGCTTTGTGTCTTTTGCCTCTTTGACTGCTGCCGTTGGCGGCGCGTGCAGCTCCGCAGCGGGCTTTTTCTCGGGCGGGCTTTTCATTTCGCACTTCAGAATGTCCTCCGACACAGACATTCGCACTCTTTTTATTTTCGGGTTCTCCTCCTTTTGCTGGTCTTTTATGCCCTGAAGCAGCCTTTGACGGGCCTTGTAGGCCTTGCTGTTTTTGCAGATTTCTTCGCTGTTTATCACCACAAAGCACCTTTCTGCGGCTGCACTTTGCACGGCCTGGGGGCTGCCTGCAGAGCATGGCGGGGCTTCTCTGGTTAGCTTTACCTTTAGAATTCTTGCCTGGACGTCCTCTACCCACTTTGCAACCCACTCAAGAAACTCGCTCTTTGCTGGGGCAGGGCCTTTTTTTCCGCTGTAGAAGTACTCGTACGCACATTCTGACAAAAACGCAGGCAGGTTGCACTTGCTGTGCACAGGCAGCAGATCGCTAAAAATGTTCATTAAGCTCTTGGACGGAAACACGTCTGCGGACAATTTAAACTCAATTAGCATCTGAAGCGCGTCCACGCTAAAGCGTAAGCTCATAAAAATATTTACAAATTGCAAACTCGATTAAGACTCCTTATGAACGGAGCTTTTCAAATCCAAGCCACAAAAGACAAACAGTCGGAAGCCTCCTGGGCTCTAGTTTATGTGAAGGAGGCATGCAGATGTGCTCACTTCTGAGGGCAGGTGGCTTGTGCATGTGGCCGAAGCACCTGCAGACAGAGCTCAAAAACAAAATGTGTGTATATGCGAGCGGCATGAACAACGAACCGTATATTTTCAATCGTATTTCAAGCGCGCGCCCTACACCTGCCAAAAGGATATGCATGTCGGTGGTTTTCTGGATATCTGTATATAGCAGCTGGGCAGGCATGCAGTCTCGGCAGTGCTCAGCATGCCGCTTTATATAAATCAGTGCTTTAGGAAAAGGCCTGGGAACGCGCCCCAAGAAACTGCTTTGTAGGGGCCTCTCCATTTGCTTGCAGGCAGTATGATTCTTTTTATTTATTGTTTAACCTCCTATACATGCGTATATGTACAGCTGCAAACGGTTTGGGCTTATTCACAGTAGAGCGGAAAAGGCAGCACACTCAGCTGGCCTTTCTTGAGCAAAGAAGCCTGGCCCAGTCCACGCCTGGGTCAATAGACAGCCTCTTCATAGACCCAACAAGGTGGTCTATTTCTCTGGAGTGCTTGATTTTCTTAAGGAGAAGGCTTCCCTGAATGGTATCCATTAGAGTCTTAGAAAAGTCATCGCACTTTCCTTCTATCCAGTAGTCAAAGTACACCTGCATGGGCTTGGGCGGCGGCTCAATCCCCACGTACACGCGCACGCCCTCATTGTTCTTCACTGTTTTGCTGATGGTCTTCAGAAGATTCTTAACCCCAAACACGCGGAGGCTTGTTCCCATGACAATGAGCAAGGCCGTGTCTTTTTCTTTGGCAACAGACCGTGCAGTTTCGGTAGTGTCGTGCGGCCCGCCATAGAGCACGATGTCCGGCATCATTGTTCCCTGCGGAAGCATTCGCTTCTTCTGCTGCTCCCGCTCTGCCCTTCTTTTGGCGCAAGACTCGCACGGAATGCGCTGAGCCAGCATCTTGTTGTGCTCGAGCGTATAGGGCGTGCGGTGGTGGCAGTATGTGCATGCCAAGCTGTCTAGGCTTCCGTGCAAATAGTATACTCCGCGCTCAAGCCCGGCCCTGCCTTCCAGGCCGTCTATGTTTTGCGTGTATATGCTCACTTTATGCGCGCGCTGCAGATGCGCAAGCATTTTGTGGGAGGGGGTGGGAACAGCCTCAACCAGAAACTTTTTCATTTCTGAAATTAGCTCTATGTATATTTCCATGGCCTGCTCGCTGCCGTACACCACGGAGTGTGTGAAAATGTCTTCGCCCGAGTATCCGTATCTCTTTTTTATCTCTGAAAACAGGCCGTTCTTCGATCTAAAGTCGGATATTCCTGCCGATGTGGATATTCCTGCGCCCGTTATGAAGGAAGACTTGCTTGTCCGCAGAAGAGAGGCCAGCTTCACATAAAGAAATGAGCCTTTGACGTCGAGAGTCTTCATTTCCTGCACTCTGTAAAAATAAAATAATATCAATACAGCGAAATTGCCCGTGCAGGCCTGTGATGGGCAGGGCCGCCCAAGTGGCGCAGGAGTCCTCCGCGCGCCTGCAGAAAGCGCAGCTTGCCCAAGAAAAGCGGTCTGTTTTTGTGGGCAGGCCATATATAGCTGTGCGAAAATTGCAAAAAATGCGGTTCAGCGCAATAGTAAAGAAAGTGCTAGAAAAAGAGAAAAGAATGAAAATAGTGATTCTGGGACCCGACAACGCTGGGAAAACCTCCCTTTTGAAGGCATACCTGAAGACAGAGATATCAGACATCAAGCCAACATACGGGTACCAGATCGTAAAAACAGAGAGGGAGACAAGAAAGGGAAAGTATGTTCTGGAGCTCTTGGACATAGGGGGGCAGGAGTCCATACGAGCATACTGGGACACATACTACTCAGGGGTCGACGGCGTCATGTTTGTATATGACACCCACGGCACTGCGGACTACAAGCGAATAATAAGGAGCACAATCAGCCACCCGACCCTTCAGGATGCAGAGTTTATATGCGCGTCAAACAAAGCCGACGGAACAGAGCAGGAAAGCAGCAAATGCATCCGAGTCCGCAAAAAAAAGATGGACGAATCCGCGCCGGTGGACTTTGACTTTATGAAAAAGACGGCAAGCGAAGACGCATGCTTGGACGATGTGAGCTTGGAAATTGTGTACACGTCGGCAAAAACAGGCAAAAACGTAGAAAGGGTGTTTGAAACACTTATAGAAAATATTTTCAGAAAAAGAGAAAGAAATGGCGTTCTGTATTAAATGCATGAACAGTTTGTCGGTTGAAATAGTCAACGCCAGAAGCATCTTTGAGTGCATGGAGTGCCAGTATAGAAAAGAGGTGCACGGAGTGTTTCGAACCACAAAAAAGCTGACCCCAAAGGACGAGCTGGTCAAGCTGATGCAGCCAGTCGAGCTGCCAGAGAGATACGCAATGTGCTCAGAATGCCCGTCCACCACCGCCAACTACTACCAGATGCAGACAAGAAGCGCAGACGAGCCCATGACGATATTTAACACATGTGTACAGTGCAAGCATACCTGGAGGGAGTAGGGGCCAGCTGCTGGGATTGCGGCATCTGCCCAGCCTTTCTTCTCTGCACAAGGCCGCTCCATATCATTGCTGCGATCTTTCTGCGCCTGGCATGCACTCGGGGATTCGAGGCAAAAGCCAGCGCAGCAAACCATTACAGCATTAAGAATGAAAAATAAACTTTGAATATTTTGTTTACCAATAAGAAGAGTTATATGCAGTCGGAAATGAGCGATATTTTACATGCAATGGCTAAGGAGAAGATGCCAAAGAGCAGCACCCTGAAAAAGGACGCACAGGACGCAATTTCGATCGTGGATAGATACATAGGGCCAGAGTCGGAGTTTTATTCCTATGTGAAAAAGAACCCACTCATGCAGATTCCCTTTATTAAGTTTTTGCAGGAGACTTCCACAAAGAACAAGCTTTTTTTCCACTGCTTCAACATTATACACAAGCTGGTCACGCGCAACAGCCTGTCAAAAGAGTTTATCCCGCACATATTGGAAGAGCTTGAGAAGAAAATGCAGCAGAGCCCAGAGATGCGGCTGAAGGTGCTCCAGCTTCTGCAGCCTCTTATTCTGGACCCGCATCTTGTAAAGGGCGCTTTGCTACAGAAGCTGTTCAAGATAGGAATACGGCTGATACAGGACACAAAAAGCACGATGGGGACAGCAGGCGCTGCCAGAGTGACTGTGTGCACAGTGGTTGACTATGTGTTTGAGCGGCCCAGCCTATTATCCGGCGAAGAAAAAGAAAGGGCAGAGAGCGACTGCGCAGAGATCACAAGAGTGTCCCTCGAGTGCGCCAAGGAGTTTAGCATGCTTGGGCTGGACCTGCTGATGGCCTGCATCTCAAACGAGTTCTCAAAAGAGGTGTTCAAAAGCGAGCCAAGAAGCCAGGTGCTTGACGATGTGGTTGCTTTTCTAACGGAAGCAGTTGGCAGCAGCGACCCAATCATCGTCAAGAGCGCGCTTGGCATTCTTATAAAAACGCTTACAACGTCGCTGGAGGGCCAAAACCGCACGGTGCCTGTTCTTCTAGAAGTGTTTGGCGCGGAGATGCATCCCGAGTGCGAGTGGGTGCGGAGCGAGCTTATCTTTGCGCTTCCGTACGGAGTTGTAATGACAATACTGCACAGCAGCGCCGAGCTTACAGAAAGGATTCTGGGAATACCCGAGAGCGAGCCCATAGACATTTCAGGAGTGGTTCAGGCGGATGCGCTGAACTGCAAAGTGCCAGAAGAAACATACACAGACACAAGCTTGAAGGTTTCGAAGGTCATCATCACGGGAGCCCAAATAAACAACATAGGCATGCTTTCGCTGTTTATGCCGTATTTCACAGCAGTCCTGCAAAGAATGGACAGCGCCGGCGAGTGGCAGGCAGGCCCCCTGGAAAGCGTCAAGCGAGCGGTGAAAAGCGTTGCTGCCTTGGCGGAGGGCGACGCAGAGCTCTTCAACATGCTGGCGGCTGCGCTGTGTTCAGCGGCCAAAAAGCATCCAAGGGTGTTTTATGTATTCGCATTTGAGGTTATATTTTCGAGGAGGTCCATTGTTGCAGTGTGGGGCTTATTTTTCATTCTGGCGTCCAATGTGCAAAGCAAAGCCCCCGAGCTAAACTCATGGAAAAATCTTGTGGATAGCCTGGTAGCAGTTGAGCCAGGAATTCTGAGGAGGGCGCTTAGCGAAGCATGCTTGACGTCTGAAGTCCCGATGAGCGAGTTTATATACATGGTTTTGGCGCTTGTGCACAGAGCCCGAGACTTTTCGGCAGAGGCAGTCCAGTGCGTGCACAAGATATTCTTGGACACTCCAAACGAGTCCGTCTCCATGAGAAAAGAGCTGATGGAGTGCTTTTTGGCCAAGTATTTCGCATCCAATTTTCCAGAGGAGGTGCATCTGATAATTTTCCCAGAGCTGGTCCAGGTGTTCTCAGCAATAAAAGACCAGGAAAAAGACGCAGAAAAAACCCAAGCCAAACACATGCTGCACCTAATTTCTTATGGCGTCAAAACCATTGGGGAGGGGTTTGGCAAAGGATGGGCGTGCATATACGCGATTCTTGTGGACGCTGTGCAGGATGAAAGCCTGAAGCGGACCGTTTTCGAAATAGTCAAAATAATAACTGACAGGATGCTAAAGCATTTGCCAAGCGAGTGCCTAACAACCCTGCAGCGCCTTCTGTGCATATGCTGCAAGGCGATAGAGGAGGAAAACGTTTCTTTCCAGGCGCTGTTTTGCATCCGGGATCTGACAGAGTACGCCCTCACAAACAGCATTCCGAGCGAAATACAGACGGACATAAAGCACGCCACGTTCTGCCTGCTGTGCAGCATGTCATACGACAGAAGGGACGATGTGCGAGACTCCGCCATTGTGCAGCTCTTTGAGGTCATATACTTTTGCCAGAAGTCAAACAAAAGCCTTTGGGGGTCTCTTATTAAGGTCTTTTTGAAAAGATTCCTGTCGGCAGCTGTGTATGCGAAGGAAAAAGAAATATACTCGGGCGAGCACGACAACGAGAGCTCAAGCGACTCGGCAGTAGAGGCGTACGTGGGGTCAGAGTGCCTATGCAACGGAATAGGCGGATGCAACATGGAAATGCACATACTGGACGAAGGAAAAACTCAAAGGGCCAGAGAAAGCGCAAAGAAGATCATTTTGGGCGTTTCCAACCTGGTGTTCACGCATTTTGAAGAAATGAACAAGTTCCAAGGCTTCTACTCTTTGTGGAAGTATCTAGGGCGGATTTTGGTAAAGTTCTCAGTTGACCCAGAGATGAACAGCACAGTGGTTGCAGCGCTAAAGCCAGGCCTCTGTATAGAGCTGCCCGAAAAGTACTGTGTGTCCGTTCTGCACACTGTTTCAGACGTGTGCTTCACATGCTCGCACGAAGACTTCCCGCTGGAAACAGCCATGGAGCTTGTGAAGTGCGCATACAAAAAAGTGCCTGCCTGCCGAAAGGCCCAAGAGACAGCGACTCTTTTCAGCAGCATAACACACCTCCTGAAAAGCAACACTGTGCTGGACAGCGAGGTGCTTACGTTTCTGGAGGCAGAGGCAATCGAGGCGCTGTGCACCGAGAATCCCGGATATGTTGAGGAGATAAAGGTCAAAATTCTGCTTGAGTGGATATCTCTTCCGCAGGTGAGCCCGAGCCGGGTTTCGGAGCAGTTTCTAGTGCTGTGCATGGACCAAATGGAGGCCGAGATTTTGGCACCCACTGAAGAGTTCGCAGCTGTAATAGGCGACACGATAAAAAGCCTGCTGGCGTACCACAAGAAGAAACAAATGTATGCAATGTGCTGGAAAAGAGCCTTGGTGTTTTTGCAAAACATACTCTTCTATGAGGCAAGGGCGCGGGAAACAACCCACCTCCCTGCTATATCTAGAGAAATCCTAGGGCTGTCTGAAAAAGGAAAGGAGCTGCTTTCTGCAAGCCTATTTGAAAGCATGCGCAGAGACTCGCCGAGCAGTGCAGACGGCCAAGCGCCTTCGAGCCTGGCCCTAGTCAAGAGCCAGGAGAGGGAGATGTCTAAGTACCTGCTGTTTTTGGAAGATCTTAGCAAAATTCTAGAAAAGCAGCAGCTGTTTGATCTCTACGCTGTGCTAACTGAGCTGTGGAAGGCAGCCGAAAAGAAAAAAATGCACATTATGTACCTAGCAGCCACCAAAATGCTCTGCCATGTATTTAACTCAAGGAAGGACACCAAGGAACAATCAGAGGAGTGGGCATGTCTTTTGTTGGCAGAGTACAACAGAAGAATTCGGGTAGAAAGAATGTCGTACTCCTTCTTTAGGCGGCAGGCTGTTTTGTATGTGCTCCAAAGAATCCTGGATAAAAAGATGAATCTTCCTACGTCAAAGGAGTTTTTGGATGAGCTCACTTTATGCATGTCTTTCGACGGCTCGGAAATCTCTTTGCGCGCGTATGAAATTTTGCATAGCCTCATAGAACAGAAATAAACATATCATGTCCTTTCACACTTGCTTCTCTGCGCTCGGCTACTCTGTGGGTGGAAGTCCCTGCACGCATGCATAGAAACGAGAGCGGCTTTAAGCTGCCCTAGACATTCACGAATTCGCGCTGAGCACACTCTAGAAACAAGCATATTCTTGCAGCCGCATGCAAAGCAGGCCCATTCAAATAAGAAAGTATGGCCCGGACAGCCATGCATACTGCGCCAGTCCATTTTATGCTGATTGCGTATATGTATTAGGCCGCCTTGAAAATGTCAACAAAAACATCAGATAACAACACACGTCGTATATAAGCGCAAGCTTTCGGTTTATAGCCGGCCTGCTGGGGATAAAAACAGCGCAAAAACATAAGCCTTTTAGGCTCGAAATAGCCTGCTGCTCGCAGGCCTGCCACAATCTGCCTGCCTATTCTATGCTTTGACGTTTTCAGAGTATTCAGCCCACTCCTTGCCTGCACCACTGCAGTGCTCTTTTCTTTTTGTGATTTAATATACTTTTTATGAAATCAAGCCTCGGGGCTTAATGGCCATTTATTAATTTAAATTGATGTGCATATATATGCACAAAATAGTGCAATTTTATGGAAAGTCTGAGAAATTGCACCTCAAAAAAAAGAGTTCAAGAAATAGAAGCACATATGAAAATAGCCATGCGAATACTTGAAACGAGTCTCTACACCAAAGTAGACGCCTTCCTAAAGCATGCGCACGGGTATATAGTTTTTAAGCTCTTCAAAAACTCAGACAAAAGCCAAGAAAACAGCGAAAATATAGATGCCTGTTCCAGGCGCTCTTCGGCGCGCGAGGGAACTGACCTTGTAGCGCTCAAAAAGGACGCGGACAAGCTAGTGGCCCAAGCCTTGGTGGACATGAAGGAAAAAGCCCAAACATACCGCCACATTCTTAAAGCAGCTAGTGACTCCTGGCAGAAAATGGAAGAGCCAAACCCCAACATGCTGGGAAGCGCTAGGAAAAAAAACATTGCTGACTTGTGCACAATAATAGACAAAACCGTCACCCATTGGTGCGTCGAGTCTTTTTTGCTGGCTGTGGATCTGCAAGAAAGCATAAGCACGGGCGCAAAGCATCTAAAAGACGCCAGCACAAGGAATGCAGGAAATGCAAATGTCTCCGTAGAGGGCCATTTTCAGGAGCAGATGCCCAAGCTAGAGCTGGCCGAGCTTTTCGCCGATGTTTTCACGCCCATGCTGCAAAGCCTTGAAATAAAAGTGGACCCGGCTGTGTTTTCCCAGGCTATTTCAAACAGAAAGAGCGCCAAAGAGGCAGCACCTTCGGATCCAGAGCCGCTGGAGTGCGCCAGCCAGCCCCCAAGCACGGAGGCCACTGCCTTTGAAGTGCCCATGCAGAAGCTGGAAACCTCTAAGGCTGCTGATTACATCGCCAATGCAAAGAAACTGATAATTGAGAAGCCTAAGATCATGCTCGCATGCTTAGCATCCACGGTGAGTTTATTGGCTTTTTCTATTCCTCTGGTCCACTTCCGCCTGGAGTGAAAGCAATGGCTCTAGAAAGTGTCTGTTTGGGCGGGTTAAAGCCTAGCTCTTGCCATGTCTTGCCTTGCCATTTTCTTGCTTGCGCCCATCTGTAGCGCAAAGCCCCTCACGTGTTTGCGTGTGCAAACATCTCCAAACCCATAGAAGACCCTACTTTCTTGGCTTCATGCAATCGGGCTCTGGCCTTGGACCTAAGAACTGTGCAGCTTCGCTTTAGTTCATGCGACTTTCCATAAATAATAGAAATGTCTACGGTTTTACAATGGTGCACAGAGCCGGCCTTCTCTTTGAATGCACAATAAAATAGAATATTAGGAGAAACGTATACTTTCTACTGCGGCCGCCCACAGAAGCGCCGCGCCGGGCCCAGCTTGATTAAAGAGCTCTGCAGCCTATAGACCTTGCAGATATTCTCAAAGTGCGCCGTGTGTTTATATGTGTGTGTGCTGGGCATAACTTCTTCTGTGTCTTTGCACCGGCTTTATGTAGGGCGAGCATACCTTGCTTGCCCAACCCATTATACGCTCGGGCTAAAAAGGGATCGCGCAACATCTGCGCACGCCCATGGCTTTCCGAAAGCACAGCTGCATGCAAAGGCTCCTGCAGGCTTTTTTTTCCTTACATGGGGCGCGAGCCTCCTTTGCATTGTGGTATGCAAGATGATGCGGTGAGCAGAGCGTTCAGGCAAACAGGAAACAAAACACTCGCATGCTTTCGCAGTAGAGCCCACACGGACAAGCCCTTGCATTTCAGCGGAATTTATTATTGCATGCATAATCATTTTGGCAGCTTTCCACTCTCTGTGAGAACAAGAGACTGGTCCAGCGGAGCAATGTCCATGACTGCCTTCAGCCTCCCTAAAATGGACTCAAAAGAGTCGTTTCCGCCAACAAACCGGCCATTCACAAACACAATAGGAACTGTGTGGTGCCTATATACCTCGCTCACGACATTTCGAATGTTTTTCAGAAGGGCGGCGTGGTGCACATCATCTACAACCTGTAGGCTGTCTTTTAGATTTAGCCTATCAATAGTGCTCAGAAACTTAATACAGTAGGAGCAGGTCGTCTTTATCGCTGCAAAAATCGGCTTTGCCAGTATTTGCGACCTAATTTTCTCTATGCTGAGTGCATCTGACATTCGCCTGGTTCCCAAACAAATATTTTTAGTATAAATACACAACTGGCTGCCTTGCCTCCGCATGTTTTACCTGCTCTCACCATGCAACAATGTTTAGCTGCAGAGCGCAGAATCCTTTGAGATGGCGCGCTGGTATCTTGGAAAACCCACGCATGGATGCGATAAAAAGAAGCATGATGCTTTGGCTGAAACCTCGCGGTGCCCAAGCACCAGCACACTGCGCTGAGGGATTTTGGAGCCCTGGGGCGCTGCTTGCAGAGTCGTATAAATAAATGCCCCTTCCTATTATGTGCTTTTATTTGGTATTTTATATAACCCGAAGAAACTTTTTGACATTCTCAACCAGTCCGCCGTCTTTTCTCTTGTCTGGATTAAACAAAGCTATAAACCCGCTCCAATTCGCCTCGTCAATCATGTAGAAAGCCTTTTTGTGCTCGTAAAACAGACGCCCCCCGATGTACAAAAACGTTATGTCTGCGTATTTGTATATTTTGCTCCTTATTATCTCAGGCTTGCATGCATTGTTGTATCCCTTGAGCGTTTTTTCTGTTTTTTCGATCACAGTCTTCATGTCCTGCGCGCTTTCCGTCACCAGCGCCTCCCCATGCAGCCTCTTCAGCTCGTGTGCCACAGGCACTCTTTCCTTCTCCTTGTCCTTGTACTCGTTGACAGCGGTGTCATAGTATCCTCTAAACCGCATCCCCAGCACAACTGTCTCCATAAGAAAAGACAGCATCAGAAGTCTGTCTATTGCAAGCGACTCTGGGCTTTGGACTTTTTCGCAGCCTGGCATGAACTCGTTTGTGCCAACTTTTATACTGTATACAGTCAGCACGTCGTAGACAAAGCTTTTCATGTACGACTGCAGCGTCTTCGACGTTGCGTCTCCGGCAAACCACTGGACCCGAGTAAAGCCCGTGTCCTCTTTCATTTCGCTAACCTCCATCATATTTCCCAGCGCCGGCAGGGCTGGGTTGTCATACGTTATGTTCGAAGCAACCTGGATCATGTCTCTAAGGCCCTCCTTTCCCGTCTTCCTTCTCTCATGCGAAATCGCCTTCAGCAGCTTGGAGTACACCTCCACCAGAATGCGCGTGGTTTTCTCGGGACAAAACAGAGCGCCAACGAAGTCGTCGAGCGTAAACGCTTTCACCTTAAGGAAATCTGAGAATGCGCTGAGGGACGCGTACACAGAGAGTATTCTCCGGTTTGCCTCGTACGTGTTTATTGGAGACTGCCACTTCTCTGCAGGTATTTTTAATATTTCCTTCGATATGTCCTCCACTCTTTTTTCCTCAAGCTCCTCAAGCGCCCGCTCCTTCTCCTCTGCAAGCGGGTCGGGGGCCTGGCAGACTTCTTTTTTCTCCGGCTGGACAAAAGGCTCGTCTGCCTTGTACATGCTTCCCTGCTTGTCCATGCTCTTCAAGGGCTTCTGCCCCTTGAAGACACCCAACTCCTGTATTATGTTGTTTGCTACAATCCGGCCAAGCGGAGTGTCCCGCGTCACGCTCAGTATAAACCCAAGCACTTCGTTCTTCGTGGCGCTGTCTTTCCGCAGAAGATTCTCTGCCTTGACCTCCTCTTTTTGCGGCGATGGGCTGTCGTCATATATTTCCACAATGTACCCCGTCTTTGTTGTTTCCACAATCCGGCCAGTCAGCTCCTTGCTCTTGAGAAACACGATCTCTCCTTTAAAAAACCTGTTCCGTATCGTGGTTGTTATTCTATTGACCAGATTACACAGTGGCTTGGTAGGGTGTACCAGAAAATACGAGACAGCGAACTTTCTTAGTGCAATGCTCTCAATCATGAAAAAATAAATTCAAGTGCATGGATTTAACCAAAGAAAGAATAGACAAGCTTAAAGAACTAGAAAAAAAGATGGCACAGCTTCTAGACAAATTAAGAAATGAGTACTCCTACACGCTGGGTGACCCCCTGGTGGACAAGGAGGGGTATCCGCGGAGCGACATTGATGTGTACATGGTGTGCAAGGAAATAGAAGAGTACAAAAAGGCCAAGCAGGAGTGGGCTCCCCTTAGAAAGCTAGTGGAGGAGGAGCTTCTGAACCACTTTAGGCCAGAAACCCCGTAGATTGCACGGAGTGTGCAAAACTGCATGCGAGCACGGCGCGGACAAAGACAGGGCTTCTGCGCCGGCCGCTTGGAAACAGGGCAGAAGTCCCTATTTACGCGAAACTCCATGCCCAGCAAATTAAGAGCTTGCCCTGGGGGGGCGCGGGCGTGAAAGATGTTTGGCGCGGAGGCAGATCAGGCATCTGCGCGTGCGAATCACTCCAGGAATTCCAGTTCTAGATAGTGTCTTGTGCGCATGACTGCAAAAAGCTGATTCATAAAGACCGCTGAATATGCGCTCTGCTCGGCAAACATTTTGTGGGTGCAAAGGAAGCGCGCAGCTGGGGGGCTTCCTCCCATTTTGCGCGCTGCTTTGATCTTCGCATCTATTTGAACTTTGGTACGCGCTATGCGCGTATGGGCATTTCTCCTTTGATTTAATTGTAAATGTAATTTTTACAAATAAACATGGTCAAGCCCAGAGAGACAGCACAGGCGTCCCCAGAACAGGCTGAGATGGAGAAAATGAAAGCCGAGGCCCGCAGGAAAAAGGAGGCGCAGGAAAAGCAGGAGCAGGAAGAGTACATACAAAGGGTGAGAAGACTGATCCAGGAAGACAGAAAAAACAACCTGGAAAAAGCACAGGTGGAGATTGACGGGCTAAAGGCCATGCAGAGCGCGTCCATGATAGAGGCGGAAATAAAACCACTGACGGCGTCAAAAGACAGGCAAAGCATGGCAGATCCAAACGCAGAGGGGGGAATAACTATAAAAATAATACATGAAACCCAGAAAAAGCTGCACACGTTTCCTGCAACCTCAACAGTGAGCGACTTTAAGAGCGTTCTTAAGGAGCACTTCAAAATAAAAAAGCCAAAGGCTTTTATCTCTGCTAGCCGGGAAATAAACTTTGAGGATCTGAATGTGTCTCTGGTGTCGTTGGGCGTGTCAGACATGGACACAGTATATGTGCACAGCATGTAAGGCCCGGCTCTCCATAATATTGCAGTATCCTGGCTCGACGCAAGAAAAGCGACGCTTACTAGTTAATAAAGAGATACAAAAATCAAAGTAGACTTGCCGCGTGCACGCATATAAGTGGCCCGAGTTCAGTGGATGCCCAAGCCAGCCCAGCCTGGATGCACGATTTTTGCAGACTTTGCAGGGCGAGCATGCACATCCAGCCGGGGCATGGGCGCGTGCAAAGCATGCTGTGGGACCTGGGCGCTGTGTTTCAAGCAGTGTGCAGTCTGGCGCGTGCGCCCTTGCAGACCGGCCCATTTGTGCAGACGCTGTGTATAAAACGCGAAGAAAATGTTTTTTAAAATATGGAAGCAAGCTGCATACAGAAGTGCATAGGCTTTTTGGAGGCGGAAGACAGAAACAGAAACCGAAAGTACGTGCAGGAAATAAAAAAGGCAATAGAAGAGAACAGAAGGTCTATTCCAATCGAGTACTCGGACATATTTAGCTATGACCAGGAGCTGGCCATAGAGGTGAAGAAGAGCTTTCCCAGCGTGGAAAAGGACTTGGCCAAGGCAATCGAAATGGTCACAACCAAGTACTGCCCAGAGTTTAAAAAGAAAGGAATAAACACGCGGCAGGAAGACTTTATCCCCTGCATATACGGCCTGGACGTGCTCTACTCTGTGCGGGACCTCAAGACCAGCTTGATTGGGCAGCTGATTTCGTTTTCGGGCATAGTCACGCGCTCGTCGCAGTCAAAGCCCGAGCTGATAGAAGGCTCTTTTGAGTGTGCGGAGTGCAAAGCAATAATACGGGGCATCCACCAGGAAAGAACGTTTAGGCAGCCGCTGGCATGCATAAACCCCATTTGCATGAACAGGACAAAGTTTAAGCTGTCGGTTGACGAGTCTGTTTTCAGCGACTACCAGAAAATTCGGGTGCAGGAGCCTGTTGGAGACACAGGAGACGCACATGCAATACCCCGAACGATTGAGGTTCTGCTAAGAAACGACTTGGTGGAGATCGCCAAGCCTGGAGACTGCGCCGTGATAACAGGGTACTTAATGGCGGTCTCGTGCACGCGAGACGTGCTGGGGCACAGCAACACAACGAAAGTGGGGCTGACAAAGGCCCCCGAAGCGGAGGCTGTTCGCGGGCGAAGCGCACAGGGAAAGAGCATAAACCACGAGCTGGTGTTTGCAGGAATCTCCGTGGCAAAAAAGCAGTACGACCCCTACACGTCGCTGCTGGAGAGCAACCCGGGCACAGAGAGTGTAACAGCTCTGAATAAGATGAAGGTGGATGCAATGAGGCAGGCCCCAAACCTGCTTTCTAAGCTGGCAAACAGCCTTTTCCCTTCTGTGTGCGGACACGAAAACATAAAAACCGCAATTCTTCTCATGCTGGTGGGCGGCACGTCCAAAAAAACCCCCGAGGGCATTCCCCTGCGAGGAGACATAAACATCCTTCTGGTGGGCGACCCGGGAACGTCAAAGTCGCAGTTTTTGAAGCAAACAAGCACGCTCGTGGAGAGAGGGGTGTACACTTCTGGAAAGGGGTCAAGCGCTGCAGGGCTGACAGCCAGCGTGATCCGAGATGAGACAGGGGAGTTCAGCATAGAGGCCGGCGCCCTTATGCTTAGCGACAGCGGAGTGTGCTGCATTGATGAGTTTGACAAGATGGACGAAAGAGACAGGGTTGCTATCCATGAGGCCATGGAGCAGCAAAGCATCACAATAGCAAAGGGAGGCATACATGCAACGCTCAGCGCGCGCACGAGCATACTTGCTGCTGCAAACCCCGTCCGGGGAAGGTACGATCTGAGAAAGACCCTTAGGCAAAACGTGCGGCTGTCCCCGCCCATTATGTCTAGATTTGACCTGTTTTTTATTCTGGTCGACAGCATAAGCGCAGAGCACGACCAGATCATATCGAGCCACATACTCAAAAACCACATGGCGCACAACGGGGTTGCGGTTCACCAGGAAACCGCATTCACGGTGGAGGACGTGAAAGTGTTTATTCAAACCGTGAAAACGCGCACGCCGGCCATTTCCAAAAAGGCAGGGGAGGCCATTGTGGAGAAGTACATGGAGATCAGAAAGAACACGGGAGTGCACTCGTTCACCGCAACCCCCAGACAGCTGGAAAGCATCATCAGGCTCAGCGAGGCTGTTGCAAAGATATTTGGGCTCGAAGAGGTCACCACAGAGTGTGTGGAGCAGGCATACATGCTCCTTTCCGGGTCGATTATGAACGTGCTGACGGACGACGTCAAGCTGTCGGTGGCGGACGTGGTTGGCGAGAAAGTCCTTACCATTTCGTATGACGAGTACATAAAAATCACGTCCTCGCTCGTGAAAATAGTGCAGTCGTACGCAGGCCACAGAAGCGTGGGGAAGGAGGATCTGATAAAAGAGTACATCGAGGAAAACGAAAACGAGCTTACAACCGAGGAAGAGTACGTGTGCATGCAAGAGAAAATTTCTGGGCTCATTGACCAGCTGATATATAAAGAGGGAATCTTCTACCAGCAGAGCGAAGACGCAGGAATACTCCTGCACCCGAACTACAACACGTTCTAAGGCCAGAAAGAGAACACTAGCAAAGGAGTTAGTCGTAAAGAACCTCAGACAAAAAGCATTCATCAACTTCTCAGTGAGATTCCCGCTTGGTGTATCATCATAGGCAAGGGTTAATAAAAAAATAACTTATATGCTTGAGCAAGAAAAAAGAGAGAAAATGCCCGGAAGGCCTGCGCGCTGTGTGCCTGGGCTTTTCTCGCGTCTTTCAGTGCAGCCTAGCACCGCGCACTGTGCCTTGCATCTGCACACACTTTCTGCCTCCCATGCATTTTGCGGCACGCCAACTACTTGCTAGGGTTCAATAAAAAGTAAAATATTTATGCGCTTTTTGCCTGCCATATTTAGTGACAGGCTAGCATGGCGCGCCACGCAGTGCCAGCCGCCCCTTTTTCTGGGGCTTTGTTTTCTGCACCGCGCCAAAAAGCATTTACACAAAGTCTTCTAATAAGCCGTTAACCATGGTGTGGGTTTTATTTCGTTATCTCTTGTGCTTCTTCTTTTGGGGCGCCTCATCTTCAGACTCTTCGGGCTCGTCGGAAACCACAAAGCTGTTTTCGTCCGAGTCGTCTGCGCCAACATAAGAGTCTTGCTCCTCGGACTCTTCCTCCTCCTCAGACTCTGCCAGGTCTTCGTCGGTCAAAAAGTCCTCCTCTTCGTCCTCAGACTCTTCTGAGGTGTCCAAGTCGACTGCGTCGTCATCATCGGCAGCCTCTTCCTCGCCATCGCCCACCTCCCTGCTGGGCTGCAGAATTGCCCACGCGCCTCCCTCGTAGAAGGCCACTGGGTCGTTCAAAATGCTCCGAATCACGTTATTCCACTGTATATTTACCTTGGTCTCGGTAAAGCATATATTCTTTGAATCAAAGAAGTCCATCATCCACGGCACAGAGGATGCAGATATTCCATATACATGCATGGGCGCCTTGCTCTTATCCTTCAGCACAAAAACCAGGTCAGAGGTCGTCACCCCCGAAACCCGTCTCTCAAAGTTCAGAATTTCAATTTCCTTCAGCGGCAAAATAAAGAACGGGAACTCTGTCAGATTCACCAGACACTCTGCTGTAGGCTGTATAAGCACGCTCTGCCGGTGCGGAACCCCGTAGAACCCCTTTGAAATCGGCTCCTCCAGAGTAACTCTGGACTTCCGGGTAACGTGCTGCGCAAACTCGTAAAATGCGTCGTTTATCTCCTCCCGCATCCGCTCTTCCTCTTCTTCCTCATACATCTCTGCGTCCTCACCGCCAGCCCGGTTTCGGGTTTTCCTCGTGTCGTGCACTGCATTTGCCGTGCAGTCCCTGAAAAACTGGATGTCCGCGGTTCTTTTGTCTGCAACCATGATCGGCGCAGACAGCCTAAAATGCAGAATCGTGGGCGACTCCGCTGCCCCCGGCTGCAGGAACATGTGCTTGATTTTGGAAAACAGGATGTCTATGTCTCCGGCTGTTTTTGAGTGGTATCTGAGCCCGTTCTTGTGGAGCTCCACCGTGCTGGCCACGTTTTTCTTTGTTCCCATCCGGTGGTCGCAGCGCATGAACACGTTTTGGAGCGTCTCCACCCTGTCCTGCACAACCTGCAGGTCCTCCTGCTCGCCCTCTTCCACAAAGTCCCCAGAGTCCTCTTCCTCCTCCTTTTTCATGTTGTTTATTTCTTTCCATGCAGTCATCACGTTCTCCTGCGTGTCCTTGATCAGCAAAGAAAGCAGGAAGTTTGCGCTTGAGGTTGTTTCGCCGCTGGGCTGGTAGAAGGATATTTTCAGATACCCGATTTGGTCCTCTATCGTTTTTGTGGCTGTTTTTATTGTGTCTATGTGGAAGGGAACGGCAGCGCCAAACACGGGAATGACCACGCTCGACGCCTTCTTGTCGATTTTTATGACAGGCGACCCCCTTGGTATCAGCGCCTCCTTTTCGTATGACACAAACTTTTCGGCGGCCTCCACAGCCTCTTCCTCCTCCTGCACCTCGTGCGTTTTGTAGAACTGCAGCTGCTCCTCAATCAGCTCGTCCATGAGCTGCTTCTGGTGCTCGTTGATTTCGTTCGCCCTTTCCAGCTCCCGGTCCCTGTTTCTAAGCCTTCTGCCCATCAGAGTTCTCTTTGTCTGCTCCTCTGCCTTCTCGTACACGTAGTCCGACACCTCCGGGCTGAAGGGCGTCAGCAGCTTCGGCGCCCCGCCTTCCATCATCACCACGTTTTCCATGTGGACTGTGCCTATTCTGTCGTCCTCTTCAATCATGTGCACAAGATCGTAGAATCCAACAGAAACCACAAAAAGCGAGTTGCTCTGTATTTTTTGGGCCTCCATGCCCCCTGCGCCGCCTTCTTCTGGCCGGATTCCAATAGACGGGCCCAGCTCCATTTTTATTTTCCTGCCCAGCTCCTCTTGGTACATGGGGTCTACCACGTCGTTGAACCTTTTCATGGTCTCGCTCTTTATCTGCTCCGGCGTCCTTTCAATCGATATGTTTCTAAGAAGGTACTTCATCAGCCTCAAAACATACCCCAGAACCACCTTGCTTTTTTTGTTGGGGCTGACCAGAAGAGTCCTTCCAACGTGCGAGCAGTGCCCCTTGTATGCCACCCACAGGTAGTAGCTGATTATGTCAAAGTACAGAAGCTGCTCTTTGTACGGGTTGACAAACTCGCCCCGCTCGGTTTTTTCCTTTAGATACCGCCCTCCGCTCTGTATGACAGGCGTGAAGCACAGCTCAATGTACGACTGGTCCAGCTCGTCCGGCAGCCTTTTCATCTCCACCTCCAGGGCAGCCTCGATCTGGTCGCTCAGCTCTTCATGAATCACCCTGTCGTCCGTCTTTATGATCTGCTTTATTTTGCTCTCCAGCAGCATGGAAATCTGCATAGCAGACACGCTTGCAAGCCGCATCAGGTCCTGCTGCTTTCTGTCCTTTTTCAGCAGCACGCTCTCTATGCACGGGGTTATGTCTTTCACGCTGAGTGCGCCCTCCCAGGCGCGCACAGACTCGCCCCGCTCCTCCTTGAGCACGCCCAGCGGCTTGTCCCCGCATATTTCCCGAATGCTAGAAAGTATGGCCTGCTGGTTCGATAGATCCTTCATCCTGCTAAACGTCCGTATGCTGACCGTCTCCTTCAGCTGGTCAAGTATCAAACACTTTTTCGCGCTGGAGACTGCTATTACCTCGGTTTTTCTTATAATGAGAGAAGTCGCCGGAAACTCGTATCCTAGCAAATAGAAAAACATAGCCGAGTTTATCCCATACGAAAATGTGCTGTCTCGTTCTCCAAATGTTATCATAAGCCCGTCCACGTCATCAGGGAGCGCAAGAGTTATGTTCTCCATTCTTTCCTTGAATGTTCTGCAGTCAAGTTGCACTTTTGCCATGAGAAATAAAAAGTATTTGCTAAAATAGACACAAATGCCCTTCCATTGCGCGGCATCCCAGAAGTGTTAATAGAAATGTATTATATAGAAGAAAGCGCGCGTTCTTTGCGTCCGCCACACGTGCAGCCTCTCAGGCCTGCTCTGGCGCTTTTCATTTGGAATGTTTGGCCTTTCCCTGGCACCGCACCCACCCACTTGCGTTTCTTTTCGCAGACCTTCGCCCATTGGACGCACAAGTTTTCTATGTATACGCCACGTACAGAGCGCCTGCACCCGCCACCAGAAGAATAGCCACCAGGCACATGCCCACTGTGCACATCGTCGAGCTCTCTTTTTGGGGGCTAATACTGCTTTTCGGCTTCTCCTTCCTTGAGCACTTTTGGCTTGGCACGGCTTCTCTGCTTTCAAGCAGAAAAGGCTTTTTGGTGCACTCCTGGCCCTCCATTCTGGATGCATGCCCGTTGTCAGAAGCCTCCTGCAGTTTCGAGGAGGCGGAGTCTTGCAAGGCGCAAGGCTCTTCTGGCTCTTCCTTTTCCAAGCACGCACACCTTTTTTCTAGCTCGCCAATGCAGGCTTTCAGGTCTGCCCTGATGAGCGGCCAGTTTATGTCGCGAAAGTCTGGCTCTTTGTGCTGCACAAGGCGCTCCAGCAGAAAGCGCGCTCGCATGCTCCCGGCGCCATTAGGGTGCTGAATGTGCGCGCTTGGTGGGCCCCAGGCTGTAGCTTCTGCATACTTAGCATGAACATAGTGCGAGGCCGCCGCAAAGTTGTACCCCAAGCTGTGCACTGCACCCAAAAACTGGAAAAGGCTTCCCCAGACAGCTCTGGAAACATAGTTGTCTGGTGCCCGCCCCAAATAGAACAGCTCCATTGCCCTGCACGCCTCTACATAGCTCGAGGGCAGCAAACTCTTTTTGGCTGTTTTCATTTGGATATATTTTCGCAGGCTTGTTTCTTCCTGGTTTACGCCTGCACAGCCGCCTGCTCCCCGGGCCCTCTCTTTGAAGTCTTCCACGTATCTGACTGTTTCCAAGGCCATGTTTTTGTATGCGCCGCTCTGCCCGCGTTTGCGCAGAGAGTCGATCAGGCCAGTATAGTAGCACTCTGTTGTGTAGGGGGGCAGAAGCCGGTATAGAGCGCTGGGCTCCTTGTCGCCAAGCGGGACTAAAGAGCTATAGTTTCTCTGCCGCATTTCTTCTATCGTGCTATACGCTAGCGCATACTCGGCCACTGCAGCTTTCTTCTTCTCAAGGGCACTTCCAATTGGTTTGTCTGCGGGCGGGGCGCCTGCAAACATTTGGCTTTCTGAAAAAAGTGTACTTTGTTGTTTTTTGCTCTTTTTTTCCCTGTACATTTTTTCTATTTTCGCGCTCTCCTTCTGAAAACACTCAGAAATTCTTCTCCTGTGCAAAACTGCATCCACTACTTGCTTGTGCGCAAACAGAGCAAGGAACGCGTGCAAAGTGTGCAGCTCTTGCTCCACAGCTTCGTATAGAGATTCGGCAGATGCAGGACCAAACACCTCTGCGCAGTCAGCATAGAAAAGCCCAGCCATGATGCAAACCGCGTTCCCAACCAGAATGTTTCTGTATGTCAGCAGTACACCGAAGTAGTCTACGCCTGCTGTCTCTAGAGCATTTTTCTGGGGAAGTACCAGGCATTTGTGTATAGAGCAAGGCGGCGTGCCTTCTGTGCAGCTCGCAGCAAGCGCCGGCTTTGTGCGCCTGCTTTTGCCTACAAGAAGCCGGCAATACTGCGCCCCTTTGCACGTCTCGGCAAACACCTGGTTGGGCGCCCTTTTCAAAAGCCTGCTCCAGTCTATATCTGCGCCTTTTGGGGCAATGTGCCTTAGAACGTCGCGAATCGAGAGAGGGGCTAGAAAGTCGGCCTTTCCCTTTGCATACATGCCTAATACATCGCTGTGTACACTCCTTGCGCAGTCGTTTTTGCGCGTGCAGTGCTTGTGTGCATCCAGAATCCGGTTTGGGCACTCTGCATTTGCGTCCATATACTTCCGCACTGCTTGCATGCTTTCTGGCATTGTTTCCAGCGCGGAGTATTTTTTCATTCGGCGCGCCCACTGCTTGGTAAGCCGCAGCCTGTCCTTTTCGCTTATTTCCTTTGTGCACAGGAGCTTTTCCGCGTGTTTCCATACAGCCGCGCTTGCTTTTTCCAGGATATTGTTCATAAACTGCCAAAGCCCGAATGTGTCAACCCTCTCTGCACGCGGTGGCCTTTCATGGCATGCAAAGCAGGCAAAGAGCGAGGTGTCTCCCTTGCGTATGCTGGCAGATGCTAGGAGGTCATTGTAGAAGTGAAGCACCTTGTGGAAGCCTTCCGGAAAGTACTCTGGAACATGCTTTGTGATCTCCTGGTATAGGCTGCATAGGAGAGGGCCCTGCTCTGCCTCGGCAAACAGCTTTGCATGGTACATATGCATGGTGTTGCACTGCACGGCTGCCTTCTCTATAGTGTACAATAGGCTTGCCCGCACCTCCATGATGCTTGCAACCCTGTCGGCACACTCTTTATAGAGCGCGGATATTTCATGTCTTGGAAGGCCCTTTTTGTTCATTATATTCGCATCAAGCGCGTTTTTGTAGTAGTTTTCGTAGACCAGCGCAGGGTCCAGAAAAAGCAGAGAAACAAACCGGTCCTTCCAGCGGGGGCTTTCCTCTCCGGCCTCTTCCACATGTTTTTTCATGTATCTGTGCAGCTCTTCTTCTATCCTGGCTGCGCTTTTTTCTTCTTCAATGTACGCGCAGACCTCCTGGAGCTTCTCCAAAAACTCGTCCAGGGCTAGCTTTGCCCAGTTCACGCTGTTGACCAGCTCAGTGCACTCCAGCGTGTACCTGTGCCGCAGCAGCACCAAATAAATCGTGTCCATGTTTGCCTTGGCACTGCCTAGCTCTGCAATTGCCTCGGCCACAGGAATGTTTAGCACGTCTTTCTTCCCCGTGCCAAAGAAAACTCTTTTTAGCACCTTGACGTCTTCTCGTGCGCACGATATAGAGTGAGGCTGGTACGCGGCCGCAAAAGCAAAGAGAAGACTCATTAGAGTGCGTGTTCTGATCCAGCGTTCCACTCCGCGCATATATTTGCCCTTTGGCCTGCTAATTTATACCTCCAGGCATGCTATTATATAAAGCTAGCGCACAAGCACTTTAGCACAGCCACGCCCAGCCCATAGGCCCAAAATACTCCCCATTCCATCCTGGCTTTTATTTACGACTTCGGGGTATTCGGGCAGCAAATGCCCTCTTTTCCCCTGTTTGGAGCTATGCAAACTGTTTCAATTTGTATTTGGCGTTACACCTGCGGGGTTTTAATTTAAGCGAGTGGGCCCTCCAGCTTACCCACACAATGGCGCATGGCTCGGGATGTTTAGCCAGCAAGCAGCCTCTCTGCAGAGCCTGCCTTCTTTTGCAAGAGCGGTTGCGCACGCCCAGCGCATACAGAAGCTCGATCTTTTGCAGGTAGCACCAGAAAAACCTGTTGCGGAGCCTTTGTGTATAGCAGGCGGAGCGTGTCTCCTGCCAAGCGAGTGGGCCGCATTTTTAAATTGCTTCTTGGATGCGTTCTGAAATGGAAGTATTAAAGGCAGCAGCTTAGTGTAAACCGGCATAGAGGCGCCAAGCCAAAGTGTTTTTCCTGGCAGGATGTGCTGAAGAAAGCACTGGTTAGGGCTGCGTAGAGCTAAAGTACACCGTGCCAGTGTAGATCAGACGTCCGATATAGCGGGCTGCCACAATTTTGCATAATAAAAGAAACCCCAGAAAATTCCGGAAGGACAAAAGTATAAATAAATAAAACTTTTTCTACGCCATGGCAAAAAAAGAATACGCAATAGGAATCGATTTGGGAACAACCAACTCATGCATGGCTGTTATGCAGAATGGAAAGCCTGAAATAATCATCAACAAGTCCGGAGGAAGAACTACTCCTTCCATCGTGGCTTTCGCAGAGAACGAGCTTTTGTTCGGAGAGACCGCTGGAAACAACGCTAGAAACGACCCAGCAAACACTGTCTACGACGCAAAGAGACTCATTGGTCTTAACTTCGACGACCAGGATGTGCAAAAGGACATCAAGCACTGGCCATTCACCGTCGTCAAGGGCTCAGGAAACAAGCCCATGATTGAGGTGACCAGGGCTGGAGAGCTTGTAAAGTACTACCCAGAGCAGATCAGCTCTATGCTGCTTAAGTACATGAAGGACTGTGCAGAGGAGTACCTTGGCGCCCCCGTCAAGAAGGCTGTTATAACTGTTCCAGCATACTTCAAGAACAACCAGAGAGAACTCACCAAGGAGGCAGGAACCATGGCTGACCTGGAGGTGCTCAGAATCATCAACGAGCCCACAGCAGCTGCAGTTGCATACGGAATGGACCAGGCCACTGGAGAGGGCGAGAAGAAGATTCTTGTCTTCGACTTCGGAGGTGGTACATTCGATGTGTCCATCCTCGCTGTCGAGAAGGGATTCTTTGAAGTGAAGGCTACCGGTGGAGACACGCACTTGGGAGGATCTGACCTTGACCACACTGTGGCTGAGTACTACGCAAGAGAGTTCGCAAAGGGAAAGAACATCGACTACTCTGCCCTTGCTGGAAGGCCTCTTAGCAGACTGAAGGCCCAGGTTGAAAACGTGAAGAGATCTCTCTCCTCCACATCCTCAACCCAGCTGATCATCGACTCTTTCTACAAGGGAGAAGACCTGTGCTTCACCATCACCAGAGCAAGATTCGAGCTTATCTGCAAGCAGTACTTCGACAAGCTTATGCCATGTGTTGAGAAGACCCTGGCCGACTCCAAGATTCCAAAGGGAGAAATCGACGAGGTTATCCTGGTCGGTGGATCCACAAGAATCCCAAAGGTCCAGAAGATGCTGTCCGACTACTTCGGAGGAAAGGCGCTCAACAAGAGCGTGCACCCAGACGAGGCAGTGGCACAGGGAGCAGCCATCCAGGCCGCAGTTCTGAACGGAGAAAGCGTTGGCGGAAACAACGAGCTTCTGCTCCTTGACGTCATCCCCCTGTCCATCGGTATTGAGACCGCAGGAGGAGTCTTCACCCCCATCGTCCCCAAGAACACCACAATCCCCACCACCAAGACACAGACCTTCAGTACCTACACTGACAACCAGACTGCCGTTTCCATCGTGATCTACGAAGGAGAGCGAGCAATGGTCGCGGACAACCACAAGCTTGGAGAGTTCCACCTCACTGGAATTCCCCCCGCGCCAAGAGGAAAGCCCGAAATTGTTGTCAAGTGCAGCATCGACTCCAACGGTATTCTGTCTGTCTCGGCCAGCGAAGCATCCTCTGGAAGCGAGCAGGAGATCACAATCACCAAGGACAAGACCATTAACAACCAGGAGGAAATCGACAGAATGCGCGAGGAGGCTATTAGATTCCAGGAGCAGGACGAGAAGAACAGAGAAATCATCACTGCCTTCTCCAACGTTGACGCATACGTGAGCGATGTCAAGGAGATGTTCAAGAAGCTGGACTCTGCCACCCAGGCTGAGGCAAACGCCAAGGTTGCAGAGGCAGAGGAATGGCTTAAGTCAATCCAGTCTCCTCTCAAGAGAACGGTTGAAGAGTACATGGCAAAGAAGAAGGAACTCGAGGCCATATTTGCCCCCTTCATTGCAAAGGTGCCAGGAGGTGGCGCTGCCGGAGCAAATGCAGGAGCAAGCGAGCCAACTGTTGAGGAAGTCAACTAATTGCCCTCTTGATTAATAAATATTCAAGGCATGAAAACACATTTTATTTTGCTTGCAATGTTCTGCGCATAGGCATATTAAAGTTTGCAGGATATAGCCATGGCTCTGCGAATTTATTTTTGAAAAATGGGCCACGCTTGTTTGCAGGTTTCTGATTACGCCCTGCGCCGGGTCCAATGCGTTGCTGTGCTTCTTGTTGTGTACACCTTGCTTCTGCGCATATGGCCCAGCGCTCGGTACGGAATACTGATCAATGAGTTTGATCCGTGGTTTAACTACAGATGCTCAAAGTACATGTGGGCGCACGGCATTACAGAGTACTTCAGGTGGAAAGACCCCAGCACGTGGGTCCCTGTGGGAAGAGACATACCCAAAACAGCATACCCCTTCCTGTTTATTCTCTCATACTGCGCCAACAGCGTACTTGGCGTATTTGCGCGGGTGAGCCACTACACAGTGTGCTGCATGTCTTCGCCTGCTTTGTTTCTTGCATGCATGTGCGTGATGTGGACAATGTGCATGGGGCTTTTTGAAGGGCCAGGGCAGAGAATAAAAGCATATGTTGCGCTGTCCCTGTTCAGCATGTCTGGAGGCCTGTTTGAAAAGACCATGGCAGGCGCATACGACTACGAAGCGCTTTCGCTCTTTCTGGCTCTGGCCGTGGCCTGCACATACACACTGTACATAAAAGCCGTGGACGGCAGAAGGTGGCACCGGTGTCTTTTGGGCGCAGGCATCACGTTTTTGCAGTGCGTGTTTAATGCTACATGGGGCGGAAGCGTGTTCACGGACGCGCTTGTGTATGGCCACTCGATGCTGACTCTTGGGAGCTGGCGCCTGCTTTTGGGAAACGCCCTTGTTACAACAGGGTTTGACCACGCATGCCCGTTTTTGTGGGGGCTCAGGCCTGTGAACATTCTGAAGATAGCGATTGCATGCTCTCTCCCGATTCTGCGCGGGTTTCTGCACGGCTCTCGAAGAACAAAGGCTGCGTATGTGTTTGGGTTTGGGCTCGCCGCGGCAGGACTTGCCATCTGCATGCTAAAAATGAGCATGCACACGCGCCTTGAGAAAATATTGAAGGGTAAGGACAAATTGTACAATGTGTTTATTCGGCAGAAAATGCACCCGTTGGTTGCCTCCATAACAGAGCATAGAGCGCCCGATGTCTGGCAGGCTTCCCGACTGTGCGGGCCGTTTGCATGCTTGGCTCCTTTTTTTGTGGCGTGGAGCGCCTACAGCGCCAGCACAGCAGCTGCAGGCAAGAGAAGAAATCTCAGGCTTTTCTTGGTCTGCGGCCTTGTGTTTTCTAGCCTTATTTTCATGCGAATGGAGAGGTTTGCTTTCCTTCTTGCGCCGTTCCTGTCACTGGCGGTGTCCGACGCGTTTTGTGAAATTATGTTTTTGCGGCCTGCTGCGCGCCATGGCAAGCTTTCTGCAGCCCGCATATTCAAGTCTGCTGCGCGCCTAGGATTTGCCGCGCTTATGTTTCTGCACGTTGCATCCAGCATCCGAACCATCCAGAGAATGGCCAAGCATGTTATCGTTGTGGCGGAGGGGAGCTCAAAAAGCAAGCCCGTGCTTGTGGATGACTTCAGAGAAGCTGCTGTTTTCATGAAGCACAACGTAGACCCAAGCTCTGTTGTTGTAAGCTGGTGGGACTACGGATACCAGATCACAGGAATGTCCGGCCTCTCCACAGTAATAGACAACAACACAAACAACTATGAAAGAATATCCGAGACTGCAGACTTCCTTGTTTCCCCAGAGCACACCATATCTAAAGCACACCCGCTGATACGAAAGATCGCGCCAGACAGCAGAACTAGCGTGTACATATACACTGTCTGCGGATACCTCTCCAAGTACAACCTGTCTGACCTAAACAAGCTCGTGTGGATAACCCGCATCGCGCAAGAAACAAACCGCAGCGTGGCCCCGCGAGCCTACCACTACAGGTGCAAGGGAAAGACGCTCTACTCGCTTCATCAGATGGGAGATCTTGACATCTCAGCCGAAACGCTTGGCGGCCATCCGCTGCATATTTCCACCGCAATGAAAGAGTCTCTTCTTTTTAAGCTAGCCTTCTATCTGTACACGGACAAAATCAAACTGACCAACATAGAGCTGGCGTATCAGTCGTCCAACCACATAGTGCGTCTCTACAAAATAGTAGGATAGCCGACTGCCAGCCAGACGCCGCCCACTGCTTCGGGCGCATACCCGTGACATAATTTGGATGTTTTGTGCTAGCACAATGCATTGCACGCGCATTCCCTTGTGATTTCTCTGTGCCCAGCGAATTGGCTGCCGGCTCCAAATATTTGCAAGCAGGGGAATTCTGCTTTGGGGCGCCACCACATAGGAACAAGCAATAAATCGAAAGCAAAAACCATTCTTTGCGAGGGTAGAAAAGCAGCATCAGCCTGCACAGGCCGGGCTGCATAAATGAGCACGTGTGTATGTGCATTGTTTTAAAAGTTTATTCTGCGATTGGCGTCGATATAAGACACGTCAAATAGAAGCTCTCTGCATGCGCAGCGAAAATCTACAATGCAGAGCCCTGCCCACGCTTGGTCCTGCAAACAGTGTTTCCCAACACACTGTGCACGTCTGCTCTATAATGCGCCGAAATTGCCTGCAGCTTCATGCGAAGCAGGTTGTGCTTTAGGCAGAAGCATCATACTGTTTGTCTGTTTGTGTGTATTTATTTTAAATTTTTCTTTTACTACAATGAAAAAGTTCCTTTTTGTTGTACTGCTTCTGTCTCTTATAAAGTGTGCCACGCTGGCAGAGAGAATAAACGGATACTGCAATGAAATAAAGAGAAAAGCAAAAGAGGTTTACGGATCTGCAGGCCGAGTTGAGGAAATTCGGGCGTCTATGCACAAGCATCTTTCCCCAGTAGGCGAGCGATTGAAGACGCACTCCAAAGACATCATCTCCAAAATAAGCAACTTCGGCAAAGGAACAGCCATTCCCAAGGTGAAGAAAATGTACCAGCACGTAAAAGACCAGATAAACAAGGAGAAAGAAAAGGCACAGGCAAAAATGCACGAAAACAAGGAAAAGGAAGCCGCCCAGGCGAAGGAAAGCGAATTTCCAGAGGCAGCCCCCTCCGAGGACCCTGAGGAGGTGAAGAAGCGGATGAAGGAGATTGAAGAGTTTATAAAAATGCTGGTCAACGACCTGCAGGAAAAGGGCGCTGGAAACGCCACGCAGGAGGAAGACGAGGAGCTTCTGAGCGAAGAAGAGAAGGAGCTTGGAAGCGACAGCGCCAAAGACGAGACAGGAGACGGCGACAATGTGCATGAAGAATATGTGAAGAGTGACCTTTAGTGGAATAAATTTATATTGTGAAATTATTTTTTAGCTATGTCATACAACTTCTGCGACGAGTATGGAAGACCATATGTGCTAATTAGAGAGCAAGAAACAAGGAAAAAAACAGAGGAAAAGAATGTTTTGCTGGAGAACATAAACAACTTTTGCGCGATTGTAGACACACTCAGCACCTCGGTAGGGCCCTTTGGCGCAGACAAGGCCATAATAAGCGCGGACGGCGAGGTAACTATAACAAACGACGGGGCAACAATCTTAAAGGAAATGGACATCGAGGGGTCTCCAATGGGCAGGCTGATAACACAGCTGAGCACTGCGCAAGACGACGAAGTGGGCGATGGAACCACCAGCATTGTTATTATAGCTGCCTCGCTTCTGAGGGAGGCTGGCAAGCTGGCAACCAAGGGAATGCACCCGCTGAAAATCATACGGGGCTATGAAGAGGCCTTGGAGATTGCCCTGGGCGTGATAGATGCCAACTCGACGTGCCCGGAGGAAAAGGAGCTTCGAGGCATGATGGAAAAGATTGCGCAAAGCACGCTTAGCAGCAAGGTGGTTAGCAGAGACATCGAAAACTACATAAAAATTGCAATTGAAGCTGTGGAGGCAGTCCAGGATGTGCGCGGCGAGGCCAACCTGGAGCTGATAAAAATAGAAGGCGAGACCAAAATGGGAGAGAGCGAGCTTATTAAGGGCGTGTATATTTCAAAGGAGTTTAGCCACTTCCAGATGAACAAAAACATTCCAGACGCGCAGATAGCCATTTTGGCGTGCCCTTTCGAACCGCCAAAGGTCAAGGCAAAGCACGATCTGAACATAACCACGGCCGAGGAGTTCCAGGAGCTCTCTGCATATGAGAAGAAAATATTCGCCGACATGATAGAGACAATCAAGCGGTCGGGCGCCAACGTGGTTCTGTGCCAGTGGGGGTTTGACGACGAGGCAAACTCTTTGCTTATGCAGGCTGGGGTGTCTGCCGTCAGGTGGGTGGGTGCTCAAGAGCTGGAGATGGCGGCCATTCACACAGGCGCGCACATAATATCCAGATTCGAAGACCTAACAGAAAACTCTTTGGGGAGAGGGTGTGTGTCCGAAGAAAGCGGAAGCATTCGGATAAAGAACCCCGATAAGACGAGCGCTGTCACAATTCTTGTCCGAGGAGGGACTTCGGCGATCATCGAGGAAACAAAAAGAAGCATCCGAGACGTTCTTTGCGCAGTCAGAAACGTGATTCGGGACCCGAAGGTGGTGCAAGGAGCCGGAAACATCGACATGCTATGTGCTGATGCCGTGAAAAAAGGCATGCCCGGATCCATTGGAAGGGGGTATGCAAAGGCCCTTCAGGAGCTGCCTATGGCGCTGGCTCGAAACATGGGAGAAGACCCAATCACCAAGATATTTGAAGGCATTGCAGGAGATGTGTGGGAGGGCGCCTACTCTAAAAAACACCAGCTAACTCTTGCAACCCAGACCGTGAAGTCCATCATCCGAATTGACGACGTCTTTGGGGTATAAATAAAGCATTTGTCCGATTTTTGTTTGTGTTTGCAAAATAAAAGCGTTTCTTTTGTAGGCTGGAGAGTTTTTTCTTGGCGGTGGCAGATGCCAAGTAGAGCAGAGCCCCATAGCAGCGATTGAAAAAGCGCCCTCTGAAAATGCACAAAGCACAAGCACTGCTGTGAGCAGCTTGCAGACGCCTGTCTGTGTGTGCTGTAAGACAAAATGTGTAGTTTAGAAACATGGTTTATTTTTATGTATACTTTGTCAACATATAGTATATGTACTGCATTGCAGACATGGCTGCATCAGAAACACTTGATAGTATGCTAGGGTTTGCACTGCTGCCCAGCTGCTCATATTCGAAAGTGCCGGTGTAATCCTTCAGGGGTATATCCCCGTATAGCAGAGCCTCCTCATCATACTCAGTCTTTTCGCCCGCGCATTTGCGTATGTCATTCTCGCATGCCTCTTTTGCCATGCCCATATACGCAGTGTAGCAGTTGTCGGCTTTTGTTTCGTACTTTTCCACAATTTTCACGAGGCTCTCGCACATGTCCAAACTTGTTTCCACGTGCCTGTCGTTCAGGGAGCTTCTCGAAAATGTCAAGACCAGCGTCTCGGTGGTCAGGCACTCCTGCGAGATTCGGTGTATCTTCTTCAGATACTCTAAGTCCTCTTCCATGGTTTCCAATGGAGAATTCCAAGCTTTGGCAATCTCCTTGTGTACGCTTTTCTTGTCGAAGTGGCTTAAAAAAACATCCTTTTTGCTGCCTTCTTCTGTGCACAGGGGGTCCACATCCGAGCACTCTTTTATTTTTTCAAGAATGCGGCTCTCAATGCCAAAGTTCTGCACGGTTTTGCTTTTCTCTGCTATATAATTTACCTGTCCAGAGGTAGGATCTTTGTTCATCGCCCTGAGCCCGTTTCCAAGCTTCTCTGTGATTTCGTCCATAATCTTGAACTGCGACAACAGCGAATAGATTTCCGACCTAAGATTGGCCGCAGCCAACCTATGTGTTATGCATACTGCATTCCATGCTTTCGGTAGCTGGCGGAACACTTCATTGTGCTTTTTGTACGCCAAGGCTGCGCTGTTGAAAATGTTTTCTCGAACCGAGTTATATGCTATTGTGGGGGTTACCAGGACTTTTCTAGCCCAGTTTTCGCATAAAATGTTTTCTTCCGAGCTGTTTTCTCTTATAGGCTCATACACAATGCGCTTCAGATTGGAAAAGAAGTTTCTAGTGTCAATGCACTGCTGGGCCTCCAGCCCCAGAAATTCGTATGTAAACTTCTCCGCGTCAATAGCATTCTTGCTTTCCAGCATATCAATGTCTGGGTTTAAGGACCCTAGCAGGTTGACATACTGCTCTACTGCGTTGGTGCATGCAAAACGGCCTAGCTCTGCCTCTGTCGCAGACTTCACATCATAGTCGTCGTATATGCATTTGCCTTGTGCATCTCGCTCCAAAGGATAGTAGAGCCACATATTCTTTCCATCCAAAATATTGTAGCTCAGCTCTAGCATTTCGCTACCAGCTTCCTTCTTGTCAACGACAGTCTGTTTTATCACCGCTGTCATTGGAGCGTCTATGTTCGAAGTTTCTATAGTATATGCTGTTACATCGGCATGCCTCGTCATGTGCCCTTCCAAGTCAGAGTATCCGCCTTGGGGAATCCTGCATTTCATAGGCCGCCCTTTAAACATAAAAAACGTTGTAGACGCAATTATTAGCCCAAATAGAAACACGAATGCTTTGTATAAATCCATGTTCTTCTAGAATGGCGTCTTTTTAAATACCCGTGTTGAATTTATCATTTCTATATTGGAAGATGCATTTCTACAAAAACGGCAATTCTGAGAAAAACAACAAACAACGCCAGACAATGGCTATAATGCTCTTGTCTTGCAAAAAAGTACAATTTTGTGCATTATCCCCGTATTGGAAAGATGGCAAAAAACAAAGCAGTCTGTCAGATATCTGCGCTTCGTCCAAGAGCCAACTGCATAAACAGCTTCAGCAGCGTGGGCTTGCCTGCACGCCTACACGCCAGCCGGGAGGAGAAAGATATCATTGGAAAGGCCTCCAAAAGCCAGCAGAGCAGCTCATTTTAAACTTTGAGCACACAACAAGAGCGCACGCCCATGGGTCTGCCCCGCAAAAGGAATCGCGAGGCATTTACGCACATCAGCCCAAAACAGGCAGCGCATTTTGGGGGCTGCACTGTTTGCTTTAAAATTCGCACAAGCAGACGCATTTCCAGAATTACGCAGAATTCACAACAAATAAATATGGAATGCATATATTGACAGAAAACGATGCGCAGGTATGCTTCCACGCATAATTAATTTAATGCATGTATTCGTATATATAGAATTTTTTTTTTCAAATATTATGTGTATGAATGCGATGGAAACAGGTGTATCTTCAGGAGACACCAAGGACTTGAGGCTGCCAAAGGACATAAAGCCGTATGCGTACGATCTAGACATAATACTTAAAGAGAGCATGTGCGAGTTTGCAGGAAAGCTCCGGGTCAATGCTGTTGTTCTAAAGAGCACAAACATGATATCTTTCCACAGCAAGAAGCTCGAAATACTGAGCATAAATGCAATCCAGGTCGGCCCAAAGGACGCAACTGAGGAGGTGGAAATCGTTAGTGTTCTGCAGAACAACTCAGAAGAGAATGTGAATTCGATTGTCACCGTAAAGACCAAGGATGTTCTGAAGGAAAACAACGAAGTGATTATAGACATTCTGTACCACGGAGTAGTCTCTGAGGACATGGCAGGGTTTTACAGAAGCGAGGACCGCGTGGACGACGCAGTAAAGTACATATACTCTACGCAGTTTGAAGCCACGTCTGCGCGCCTGGCCTTCCCGTGCTGGGACGAGCCAGAGTTCAAAGCCATGTTCAACATATCCATCACGGCGCCGTCGAGGCTTACAGTCCTTTCCAACGCAGCCTTGAAGGAGGAGATCAAGGAGATAGACACTAGCGCAGACGATGCGTACGACGCAGGCGTAGAGTACACAAAGCACGTTTTCAAGACAACGCCAATTATGTCAACGTACTTGGTTGCGTGGGTTATTGGGGAGCTTGAGTATATAAAGGAGGACAGAATCCGGGTGTACACGCCAGTGGGCCAAAAGGAAACAGGGCGCCTTGCCCTGGATGTGGCTGTGCGGTGCCTGAAGTTCTTTGACGAGTACTTTGGGATCGTGTATCAGATGGAAAAGCTGGACATGGTGGCAATCCCCAACTTCTCGGCAGGAGCCATGGAAAACTGGGGCCTGGTTACATACAGGTCGTCTTCTTTGCTGTATCGGGAGGGAAGCACCACGGAAATGAACAAGCTGTACATTGCAGAGACAGTCTGCCACGAGCTTGCACACCAGTGGTTTGGAAACCTGGTGACAATGCGGTGGTGGAACGACCTGTGGCTCAACGAAGGGTTTGCCACGTGGGCAGGAACTCTTGCAACAGCAACCATGGCCAAAGAGATAAATCTGCTGTACAACCCGTGGGAGATTTTCCTGGAGAACGACATCACGCACGGGATGCAGATGGATGGAAAGCTGTCCACACACCCCATTAACGTAAAGGTGGAGTCTGCTGGTGAGATATCTTCGATATTTGACGCCATCTCATACTCGAAGGGCGCCTCTATGATCCACATGCTTTCCAAGTACGTGCACGAGAGCTACTTTATGGAGGGCCTGCGCAAGTACATCAAAAAGCACAAATACCAAAACACGGAGACGTGCGACTTGTGGGCGGAGCTGGACAAAGGAGACAACGCGATTGTCGAGTCGATGAGCAACTGGATAAACACGCCAGGGTTCCCCAAGGTTTTGGTTGACGTAGAGGACGGGCAGCTAGCGCTGAGCCAGACCAGATACCTGCCTGCAGAGGACCTGAAGAAAACAAGCAGCGAAAGAACCGAGCAGTGGATGATTTTCCTGACAAAGAAAAGGTTTACAGAGGCAGACGTTGAGGAAGAGTCGATTCTTTTCCCAGAGAAAACAAAGAAACTGCGCGTTGGAGATGAGCTGGTCATGTTCAACGCAGACTCGGCCGGGTTCTACCTGGTGGAGTACTCTGAAAAGGCGCTGGAGAGGCACATCGTGCCCCTCCTCAAGTCGGACAAGCTCACGCAGTTTGACCGGTTCGGAATATTCAGGGACATTATTCGGCTGTCCAAGGACGGGCACAGAGACGCGACGTATGCTTTGAACGTGCTGCAGCACATAAAGGACGAAGAAAAGGCGTTCATTGTGGGGCAGGCTGTGGAATACCTAAAGATGATTCAGACTCGATACAAGGGCGATGAAAGCATAAAGCTGGCTGTTTCAACCGAGCTCTCGAACCTCCTGCAAAAGTACGTGGACGGAGTGACTAGCTTCGAGACCGTGCCCGACGACGTGGAGGAGAGAAAGATGCGGATTATTGCGGTGAGTGCGCTCGCGCAAATTAGGGACTCGCCTGTGCAGAAGGAGGTGATGCGGCTGGCGGAAACCGAGGAGCTGTTTAAAGTGCACAAGGACTATAAGATGAGCATGTACTGCTCGTACGCAAAGTTTGGAGGAAAGGCCGCATATGAGCACATGTACAATATTGTCAAGAGCAAGGCTGCAGACGAGAATGAAAAGCTGCGCGCAATACTTGCGCTGTCGTGCTGCGAAGACATGATCGAGGAGGCCTTCAAGCTCTTTGCAGAGAAAAACCAGTACATAAAGAACCAAGACAAGTTCCGAATGGTTCAGGGTATAGCCATGCACAAGGACCAGGCAAAAACTCTCAAGCTGTTCCTGTCTCACTTCAACGACATCACAAAGCTCTTTGAGACGACTCTGGACAATGTAGCTCGGTTTGTTGAAGTGTTCATCTCATCGCAGGTGACCAAGGAGAACATTGCTCTGTGCAAGGAGTTCTTTGAGAAGAAGGAAAATATCAAGGATGCGTGGGTTTCTGCTATCAAGAAAGGACTGGACAATGCAAACATCTCCAATCGATTCTATGAGAGCAACATGACGATTCTAAAGGAGTGGGCAGGAAAAAACACTGAATAGCTGCAAAGCTATGTTAAAATAAACATAATTTCAGTTTGCATGGATTTGCATTAGGCGCGGTGCTGTGCATGTTTTTATTTAGCATGGGAGAGCTTTGAAAAATAAGTCCACTTAGACGCGCATTTTAATGGCCGGCTGTCATGCGCGCTCTCGGAGAAAAAAGTGTGCAATGATTGGATCTTTGATGTGTTTATCTACACGCATCTCCTTGAGGAGAGAAATATTCTACTAGCGCATAGAGATGGGAAAACTCAACAAAATTGTAATATTCATCGTCGTTTCCGGTATCTTTTTGGGGTATGGAATCTTGTTGCATATGTACGTCACCCACAAGAAAGTGGAGGACGCGGTTGAGAGCAAGGATACGCCGGAGCTATCTGAAGAAGGGCAAAGCGCGCCGCCGCAAAGCCAATCCCCTAAGCATGCCCCAGCAAAAAAACTAGAGTCTACGCCTCACAGGGAAAAGCCTTCGCGCCTGGAAGACAATTATTGATGTAAACCCAAAGCATTAGGCGTCCACGCGCGCAAGGCATGACCAAAAGAGTGCAGATCCGCTCAAAAGGCCTTTTGCATGGCAGCCTTTTCTGGCTCTAGGATGCTGCATTTATTGGATAAAGTCCAAACAGAGTCACATATCGGCTGGCGGCGCCAGAAATGGAACTCCGGCTGCAGAATGCACACACCCAAGAAACCGCTGTTGATATGTGTATGCGAGCTTTTAATGCAATTAGTATGCCGCATAACATAATAAAACGTATAGATTGTGCTTGCTTCCTAGTGCGCATCCGCTGTGGGGCTCGGAAAAGCTGCAAATTGTTTATAATGCAAAGAAAAAGCTGCACCGGAGTCCACAAAAGCGCTTTGTACTTGACAAAATTTATTGTAGTAGTCTAGAATGAATAAACCATTGCATATCACTTTTCAGGCGTATGTTCAGTTTAAAACCATCTTGAAAATTTCGTTGTATATACCCAACTCGTTTTCCATGCTACATTTCAATGGGTGCATTATTGAGTACTCGCAAACTTGGTATTTGTCGAGTATTTCCTCTCTTCTTTCTATTTTTTTGCACCATTTTATGTCATCCGCGTCATTAATTAAAAACATAGAAGACTGCACATTGTTTCTGGAGTTTTCCATAATCTTAGTAACATAATGGGCGTTGTTAAGATTAATCGCAAACGTCTTCATGCAGTTGTTGTTCACATCTTCTAGATCGACCTCATCTATGCTGCTGCTTATATTGTTGGTTGATGTGAAGTAAATGTTGTAATACCTCCCTCTTTCCATCACCCGGGTATAGTAATGGTATTTCGTTTTGGGTGCATTATGCATTCTGCTTGAATTTTCAGAGAAAACCCTGCAAGAACTGTTTGCAATTGCCAGGTCAACGTCTATTTTGTTGTTGGAGCTGGCGCTTAGGCTGAACTCGAGATTTTTGTAGTAGTCTATGCCTTTTTCTGGATCGATTAAAAACCGAACGGGGGCTTTGTCTTTTATCGAGTCAAGGGAGGCAAATGTAATGGAGTTGTCGTCGATTCTGATGTTGGATCCATACTCATAGCCGGACAGAGAGACTGCGCTAAACTCCAGAAGATTGAGAAATAGCGGAAACCTAACCCTGCTTAGATCCTCTCTGGCCGTTTTGGTATTAAACTCGGAAAGCAGATAGCGGAAGCCTGAAGAATTCGGGCTCTTCTTGATGTAGTAGAACACCACAACCTCCTGTTTTTCTATATCGTATGCATTGTTGAATACGTGCATCTTGGGCGCCCTGTAGGACCAGCTTCTTTTTTCTGTGTTGAAGACAAAGGGGTGGATTTCATCTATCGGCTTCTGGTAGAGCTTGTGAATGTGGCTTATTATTTGCGTGTACAACAGCCCGCCTGCTGCATTAGGAACTATGACCACTTTTCGCATTTTTTCTTCGTTGTCAATGTAGTACACATGCTGCAGCGCCGGTGCTGAGGAGACTATATGTACAGGCTCGCCTGTCTTTATTGCGTAGCAGTTGTCTGAAGTTGCAGCAGCCATAGAGTTTATAGTGAACACGTTTTCGAAGTACATGTCGGGCGCAAGAGCATATGCCCCTTCCAGCACGGGCGAATTAGGGATAAGCTCGCAGAATTTGTAGAACATCCCCATAAACCCGTGCAGGGTCGTGTACACCTCTGGAGAAGACCAAAAGGAGTTCTGGTTCCTTTTTTGGGAGAATTCGTGGTAGATGTTTAGCGACTGGTATATGCATCTTTCTTTTTCTTGGACCGTCTCCAACCAGCACTTCTTGCTAATTTTGTTCTTTTTAAAATTTACAGTGGCCTGCACCATCTCATATAGCGATAATATGGTGTGAACGAAAGGCTCTATATGCACTACCTTGCCTAGGTAATCGCGCGATGCCTTTTCAAACGCTTCCGTGTGCTCTGGCATGTGTATTGTTTCTTTGACGTGTATAACGAACTCTATGGGGAGGTGCTTCAGATCATAGAAAACCTCTGGAATGCTAAGCAAAGACTGGATTGCAGTGTTTAGGAAACAGTTGTTCCAGCCCAGGTTTGGCAGTCTTATGTGCTGGCTTACAATCTCGCCTAAGGTGTATTTGTGTCTGTCAAGATTCACAAACATGTCTCCTGGCGTGCGTTTTTTACCCCCGTGATTTGAGCACTGCGACTGAGCAGAACATAGATTGTATTTGGGGTGCTGCGGGCCATTTTTCTGCATGAATTCCAGCAGTTCGTTTGCTATTTTTTCAAAGACTATATTCTTCTGGCTTTCATCTGTCTCCTTAGCCCATTCACTTGATATAATTTTGAGAGTATTGTATCTTTCGGTGCCATTATTTCCAAGAGATGCGAAAAAATCCCAAAATTCATGCGTCGGGATTGGACAAATTGCATCAGAAGAGGCCTGCGCGGTGGTCGAAGTGTGGTTTTCGACGTCTGAGCTGAAAAAAATCAAATCCTGCGCATCCGCATAGTGGTCTTCACCCAAGTAGCTATCCTCTTCGCTGGGGGCTTGGGTGCTTTCGCTAAAATTCCTGTTTCTTATTTCTTCTGTAGAGGATTCTTCCCAACCATAGATGTTGCGTGTTATAGGCGCATAACTTTGTGTAGCGCTTTCTAGGTAGGCTTCCGCACTGGATAGTATATATTCTGCATGCAGCGGGCGCGCTCTTGTGGTCTGTGCGCCGCTGGGCGCATGTGAAATTGCACTATGGTTTTCCACTGCGACTATCCTATATGTGTTAGAAGTTGCGTGCATTGGGCTGTAGGAGTCAGAATATGGCCTGCGAATATCTAGCTTTTGCTTAAGAGTAAGCTTTTTGTCTGGATTGGCATAGTTTGAGGCTATGCACTCCCCTGCAAATGCAAGTAAAAAAGTGACATTTTGTTTTTTCATTGCCTTTTTTGTATACGTTTTTTTATATAGTTTTGGTTTGGTGATTTGTTTGTTGTTTTTAAATTACTGTTATAATAGAATTGTTTGTTTACTATTGCTGATTTCAAATAAATATCTCTTTTATATCCAAATTTGGGCATATAGTATTGTTGGGCCAATAGATCGCTTTTTGCTCTCGCATGGGTGGGCATAAGTGGGCGCAGTAACACTCTGTCTTTTAAAACAAAAGAAGCCACTCTCTGCGCATGCTCTGCTAGTTTCTAGAAAAAGACGTAAGTCCGAAGCAGCAAGATATGCCGGCTCATTAAAGCCCACTGCGCAGATTTAGTGGGGCTCTTCTAACACCATTTTCAAAAAGGCTAGTTTTCTAATTTTGGGTGCTATACTTTTGGCATGGGCATACATCTAAAAGCAAAGTAAAATTTAAAACCATTCTGTATTTTTGAAGAGTTAAGCTTATGGAAGTTTTCTAACTTTTTAAAGTCTTTGCAGGGTTTTTTGTTTGTCCGGCATACAATATGTGGCGAGAGCTTGCTGTGCCTGCAAGACTGGAGTCAGCCATTTCACGCAGAAGCATGCAAATAAGCAAGAAGCACATGGATATGCTGCGCCCTATCTTAGGCAGTTAGAGAAGGAGCTGGTTTTAGCTGAGTTCTTATGTCGGCAAAGAAAAAGTCTGTGGGCTAGGGCCTGCGCGTCCAGAGACTTCTGAGTATTCGCTGGGTCTTGAAGAGAATCTATTCTGTGTTTTTTCAGGGGTACTTTTCCCGGAATATGTGATATTAGCAAGCTTCTCATATGCCCGGAGGCCGGGGGCTGCAATCTTCAATAAATACAAAGGCCTAACAATGTGCATTTTATAGTTTATTGCCGCACTAAGCAGGCGCACATGAAATTTAAGCATGCTCGGGCATTTTGCAGCAGGGCCAGAACAGGCAGGCCGGCTTTCCATAAAGCCAGAACTTGTGTGAGTTTGCTGGATGTGCACTTTCCAGCAGGCTGAGGCACGAACAGAAAGCTTGTCACAAAGCACATATAGGTCCGAAAGAGAAAATAAACTTAGAAAACAAAAACACAGATTCAGATGTCTGGAGGCGTGCGCAATAGCTCTGCTTTTAGAAAACACATACAAAAAGAAACTAGACATGAGCCATGAAAAGCATAAGATTTGCAAAAGCATGCAGCGTTCAAGCACCAATAAGACATACCATAGCTATGTAGCGGCAGATTTTTTCCCCTATAAATGAGAATATGGGGTATTTTACTAGTGCTATGTAGAATAAGATCAAGAGTCACACTTAAAGATCTTTTAGACCTGCAGAAAGTCGAATTAGAAGCCAGAAATGGATGCATAGTGGGCGTAAATCCTTTAGGCCCACTAAATCTGGTCCGGGGGTATCTATATCACGAAAATGGGCTAATTCACAATAAGCGTTTTTTTTCTCCTGAAATAGACACAGAATATAGCCTGTCTCCCTGCACAGTTCAGAATGAAAAGAAAAAAAAGGAAAAGCACATATACGAAAGAGAGCCAGTAAAAGACAAGTGCCGCCGCGCATGCAGCAGCACAGAGATAAAAGAGTATGCCGAACAATACCACAGCGCTCTTATAATGATGTTTCCCTCTCCAAACGCCAACATTGGAATCGAGGTTGGGCGGGATAACAGCTTCACGCGCTTTCTTCGCCAAGGATGCACCAAAAAGCAAGCAAACTACATTCTTGCTTCGCTTCTGCTTCTGAGCGAGGGGATTGACATATACATCTGCTGCACGGAGGGACTTGTTACGTTGAAAAAAAAATACAACGGAGAAGAGCTACTTTCTGTGTCCACAAAAATCATTTCAAATAGTGGCGAGGGCAAAAAAACTGCATCTCCACAAAAGCAGGCTGCCTCTGTTATCAACTTTATAAAAAAGTGGCAGAAAACGCACTCTGAGCCAAGCAGTCTGGAAGAGTTTAAGACCGGTGATTTTCTAAACAGCACGCAGTTCCTTGTGCACTCGTACATATTTGAATACATAGACGAAAAAACAGATGCTGCAGAAATTATTCAATGTGCGCACGAGCTGCTGGGCGACGCTTTGCAGTGCGCAACTGAACAAAAAGCAGTGCGCGGCGCAAAGAAAGGCAGAGTCTTTTCCATGGATAGATTTTTCATCCCGAAGGAAGATGCCAAGAAAAAAGGCGTGTTTTTGGAGGAGCTTAAAAAAATAGAAGTGAGCATGAGAAAGTATGCACGCCTCCCGTTTTCTAACTCAAGCCAGATGCCTGAATACAAGCAGATTCCAATGCACACGGGAAAAGAGGGCATGCAAGAGACAGACGTAAAAAAAGCATTTAGCAATTGCGTGGAAACATGCATATATACGATGTTTTGCTGCCTTGCGTACAATCCGGACAAAGCAAGGTACTCCTTGGATAAAGTGCCCAATGCCAAAGGCCCACTGAAAAGCTTTTTTGGCAACCACACTGCGCCAGATGGGAGAACAAGCATAAGCACTCACCAAGAGTGGAATGCTGTAGTTTCCCGCCTGCCCTGTAAGGAAATTATATACAGGAGGAAAGAAAAAAACGAGCTGATAACAGATGCGTTAAATATCATGCAGGTTATAACCTACATTACGGGAAGGCTTGAAAAAAAAGAAGAGAAGGCCAGAATGAACATGCTCTTGGAGAGGGTGCGAACAAAAAACATCAAAGACACGAGCTTGTGCAAAGACATAACAGAGTATGTTGTTGAGACTCTTCAGGTACTATCTGTCAACCCGTGCATTGAGGTGTTCTGCGAACACCTTTCAATAGAAAAAGACACCAAGAGCTCTAGCATGGTTGTGCTGGGAAAAATCATTCTGAAGTGCAAATTCAAAGGCATAACCCAAAGCATGGTAATTTCGCTAAAAAATGGACATGCGGGCTGTGCGCTTGTTCCAAAAAGCATAGATATTAAAGAAGAAGAGAAAACGGCACTTGAAAAGACAAGGTCTGTTTATGCGAAAAGCAGCGCCTTTGCCGAAATGCTGTTTTTACAATACATAGAGAACATTTGGATTAAGTCGGAATATGAGCCTAAAGAAGTAATAGGCCCAGAAGTAAACAGCATTCTTGATGCAGCAATGCAACGCTCTCTGCCCAGCATAAACAGACTGTTTATGATGAAGGAGTTGCAGCATGATAGCTTTAGAAGAAACTTGTGTGCACACATTCCCATGTATGGGAGAGAAAAGGGGTTCAGCGCGACCAAAGAAAGCCCAGTTACTTGGCTGGTTTCAAATTTTCTGGGCAGCCTTCCGCTGGACGACGACAGCATAGAAAAAAGCGTGCTCAGCGTGTTTATATTTACAAACCAGCTAAAGACGCTCTATAGCAGGATAAATCTAAGCGAGCAGAAGTACCTGGAACTGCTTGAGGGTTCATTTTTCACTGGGTGCGCAGCAGTAAACAACGCAAAGTACACACAGTATTTGCCTGTTGTTTTGGAAAGAATAGCTGGGTATGCAGAGGAAGAAAGAAAGCCTCTCAAAACGTGTTTCGCGATAAATGACCCAAGATCCATAACCTTTTTGTTCGATTGCTTATTTAGGGACGCAACACTAGAGCATGCAAATAAGCTGAACGCCATCATTGACCAGCAGTGCGGGGAGGAGAGTCATAAAAAAAAGAGCCTGTTGGGTGTTGTATGGTTTATTATGGCCTGCGTAACAAAGGAATACCCCAGAAACCTAATTAAAGACCTGTACCTTGCCATGGATCTAGATGCATGCGATAGAGAGCATAAGGTTTTTGAGTACCTATGCAAGAAAATATATGCTCTTAGAGTTAGACTAAAGGTCAGAAATAGTACAATAGAGTTCTACGACTCAAACAAAAAATTTGCGGAAATAATTGGCATTGTTGAGACATGCACATCTATGAGGAAATACCCGAATAACAATTTTGCTATACATTACAGATAACGGGTGGCTGGAAAAGGAAGAAGCATTGGGCTGTTTGCATGAAATATTCGCAGTGCCCAGCCTAAGACTTCGCCAGGCCTTCTTATATCTGTAAACAATGTGTCTGCGCCCACGCTCAGGCGCTTGTTCTTTTTGCTAGACCAAACCTCAAAGAAGAAAACAACCAGTCAAAGCAAGGGCGCAGAAATAAAGACATGGTACAATCAAAAAAAAACTAGACATTTTTATCCGACACTTAAAATATCCCAGAGGCTTCAACCATGGGCTTATGCATGCATGCATGCGCCAATAGAATAAAAATTACATGGCGTGCACGAAGCTTGTATTTTCTCTGCCTGTGAGCTTGCTGCATTGGCAAAAGCCATAGTGCGAGCTCTAAATTCCGTTTAGGCGCCTGCAAAGCGCTCTTTTTGTATCTAAGTGCAGTAAAGGCTGGTGCTGCGTGCGGACTCAGAGGACAACGAGGAAAGCAAAGCTAGGAGCTTAGCGTTTGAAAGTGTTTTGTGCCCAAAGTATTTGGACACTTTTGCGTGCAGAAGCCACAGGAGAAACATGCACTGTCTGGAGCCAGATCCACTGCAGGAACTCTCTGGATCATGTGCTATGTGTGGCAGCGTATGCTTTTGTTTGAAGGCTTGGGGACATGCAGAAGTGAACAAGAGATGTACTGATTTATCAGCTATAAAGCACAATTTATACAAAAATTATATTGTTTGAAATGGCAAAGAGAGTGCTTATCGTGACAATTTTGAAATGTGCTTTTAAGGTGCTAGGGTCTATTTATGAGCAAAGCTCATATACTAGCACAGAATACACACACATAAGCCACCAGAAAGAGACTATTGAGCCCTCCCAGGAAATAAGCCTATCTGACTTGCTCTGCAATGAAACCATAGAAAGCTCGGAGCATCTAGATAACCACAGCATCATTAGCAATTTCTCTGACACGCTGTCGTCTTCTGAGGAGAAAAACAAAACAGCCGAGCCCCAGTCAAAGACAGAAGAAGGCAATGCACTGACGACTGAGCCCCTTAAAAGAAAAAGACCCACGGAGGAGACCACGCAGGAAGACCTGCTCCCCAAGAAAAAATGTTTGTGCAAAGACAGCATGCTTAAAGAGGCATCTGAAAACGAGCGCACAGAAAGTTGCTCCTCAACGAACACACCAGCCTGCACAAGCAACAAAATGCTGTCAGAAACAGAAGATGCTCCATTGCAAAAATCTGCATTGCTTGTGAATGCTTCCACCAATGGAGTGTCTGGGCTGTATGAAATATCCGGAATTAAAATCGACAAACTGCTTTTTCAGATTTCCGGATCGGAAGAGGAAATGCAGCAAATGTCCAGCGGCAAATCAGGCAGCACACTCTCCCAGGAGGATACAAACAACTTGCTGAATTCCACACACAAAAAGATGCAGAAAATGTGCCATGACAGTAGGAAGAAATACAACTGCACTTTTGGGCTTTCGCCAAGCAGCCATTTTATGTTTAACATTGTTCTAAGCAAGCTTAGTATGGTGCCCCAAGAAGAGGAGGCTGTGGGGCTTAAGTCTCCAGAAAAGCAGCCCCTAGAGGAAGATCATGAGAAGGCTCCAACCCGAATGGCCCAAAGTGCATACATAAAGGAATTGCCTAGTGACTTCCTAAATGCGTATAACAAGCAGGCGCTGAACAGTGCGCGCGTCAACCATATGGGATATCCTGTAAGCGTACACTTGGGCCAACCTCTTGCGGAGGTCTTTAAAAAAGAAAAGAGACACCATATGATGTTTAATTCAGTTGCAAGGCCTACCAGTCTGTGGGAAGCCCTTATTCGGCTTTTTGTTCGCAAGACAAAGGGCAAGAAAAAAAAGTACATGTATGGCTTTGTGCTCAAGATTGCAGAGGCGCCGCATTTACTGGAAAAGGAGGTAGGAGCGCGTGTATGCAGCCTGCTGCCAGCGCTTATAGAGTATACGCAGAGAAGCATTTCAAGCATCTACCCAAGCGCGCAAACAAATGGCCAAGGCCAGCCACATGAATTGGATGCGCGCCCGGGCGCCAAGCCTGCGATTTGGGCGCGGCTTTCGTGGCTAAACGAGTGCAGAAAGCCCATTTGCAAGAAATATATTAAGAAGAAAGGCATTTTTCCGATTCTGGGGCTGCCAGAGGTGCTGCACGATTTTATAAATATCGACCCACGTACGCTTTCAGAGACACTGGCGAAAATGGAGGCTTCGGCTGATGCAAAAAGAAGCCAAAAAACACAGATTATAGAGTGCCTCTACGCAAAAGTGAATGAAAACATTCCGCTGAGGTTTAAAGCTAGATCTTCGGCTAAGAGGTGGCACAGGGACTTCATAAAAAGCGAACAGAAGGAAAGCAAGCGCTTTGCACAGAGCATGTACAAAAAGGCTTATGCTGCCTTGGCAGACTTCTACACGCACAGCCCATCCCACTACATGGAGCTTGGCACAAAAGAGCCCAAGAAGGCCAAATTCCTAGGGAAGAACATAATCACAAACCAGCCGTATGTGAAGCACCATATAACTGCTAAGTATATGGCAGGCGGCCTAACGTCTATGGTGATGCATGCAAACGAAAAGCTGTACAACCAGTGGGAGGTAACTCCGTCAGAAAAGCACTACCACGTGCACTTTGTGGACAACGAAAGACAGATATATAGGAAGATATGCATGCCTTTAGTAAAAGTAAACAATAGGAAAGTATATCTCCACACCATAGAAGAGGTTATTCAGCACATCTCCTCAACATACGAGCTGGCCGCAGAGAATATATTTCCACTTATTCACACCGCAAAGAAAAAAGGATGGAGGCTATTGCGCAGAAGTGCATTCAAAGCCAGCATGGAAATAATACAGAAAAACAAAGATGTTTTGGTTTTCTACTACATACCGGAAGGGGCTAAGTGCGAATACTTTTCGCTCTGCACCTTCCAATCAGAAAGAGACTCTCAAACCCCCCATGAAGTGGCAATTCCGCTGTTTTTCTCGCCCTTAATGGAAAGCGCGCTGAACCTGTCTCTGTACACCAAGAAGAACCGGAGATGCTTTAAGAAGGTCAACTTCAACAATATGATGAGATTCTATACATTGCCAATTGAGTATAGGCGCCGCGAAGATATCACTTTGGGCATTGCAGACATGCAATCGCAAGAAATCTACAGCTGCTTCCACACTAAAAGTTCGAAAATAGCGACCAACTGCCTAGAAATGAACATGAAGGTCTGTTTAGGCGAGAAAAGAAAAAATGTCCCGCAGGAGATCAGTGTAACATGGAGCACCAAAGTGAGCAGTAGTGAGAGATATTCGCACTACTTCTTTGGAGAAGAAGACATGCGCAAGAACGATGGGGAGGAGCTCCAAGTCAGAGAAATAATAGCCCAAATAAGCGCGCGCCACGGCAAAAAAGACAGTATTGCTGGCGGGTTTGTGCACATATCGAGCCAAAAGCCGATTCAGACAATAATAATCAACAGCAAAGAATGCATGCATAAAATGCTGCTTTTCCAAAAAGACCGCCTTTCGCCTTCGTCCTTTGTCGTGGTTAGAAACGTAGGATGCGAAAGGTCCGATTTGAAGATGCACAGCCATATTCTGCAGTTTTTGTTTTGCCGGCGCTAGGCTTTGGCGATGCAGAATGCTAGCATCAGCAGAATTGAAGCGGCGCCTGCTTCGCAAGAAACCTAGCAATCCATAGCGCGGTTGTACTTTATTTGTCTCATTGCGTTTGAAAAGAAAATTCTGGCTGCTGGTTTGGCGCATACAATAAAAAAGAAGACAGGAAAACTTGGATGTTTACGAGGCCAGGGACAGCCGCCGTGCAGTTTGGCTTTTTCTTGCAAGCAAAGCTTGGAATAGTTTAGAGTTGTGATTTTATTGTTTTTCGCAATCCATTAAAGCACATAGAATGCCGTATCGGATACCCAGCTCATCGAGAGTTGTATTTTCGGAGGAATGCATTATGGCGTATTCGCAGCATAGTTTTTTGTTTTTCCAAGCCTCTTTTGGCGAAGTTTCCTTAAGATACTCCAACGTGTTCTTTTTGTCTGTGACGTATGCACACCACCTGGGGATACTGCTATTGTTTGGCATGATATGGGTCACGTATGAGCCTTTGGAATCGCACAAGCAAAGTGAAAACACTTTGTGATTGTTCAAGTCGTCTTGCATCAGGCCGCGCCAATATGTGGAGCTCTCGCTTTCTGTATGGAAGCGCAGATTGGAGTATTTTCCTTGCCCCGCAACTCTCGTGTAGTAGGAGACCATTTTAATCGAGCCCTCGATCTCTGGAGCAGGCTCTTTTGTGAAGGTGCAGTTTGCAATCTCGAGGTCAATGTCCAGCCCCTTTCTAGGGTCATCCGGGCATAAGCAAAACGTAAGACTTGGATAGTAGTTTGCGCCAGAGCTGGCGCTGGCCACGTACAAAGACGGGGAGACATTTTTAATCTCATCCAATGCGCTGATTATGCACGAATAGTCTTTTTCGTTCTTTGGCAGGCGCGAGTACGGCGTAACAGACACTGCGCTCGTCATTAGGGAGTTAAGGAGCAGCGGAAACCTGGCCATGTTTCTGGGAAGCGGGCCGTTCCCCACAAACTCAGCAAGTTCCAGACACACGCTTGTTTGTGAGGACGCTGCCTCCATGATATAATAGAACACAAGAATATTGTTTGTTCTGGCATCGCGCGAGTTCAAGCATTGCGTTTTCTCCCGGTTCATGTAGGACCACTTTTTTGTTTCGGTGTTAAACCCCAGAACGTGAATCTCGTTCATGGACTTTTCATAGAGCGCGCATATGTGCCTCCTTATGTGCAGGCAAGACAAGCCATCTTTAAAGGTGGGGATTATAACGACCTTCCGGGCCTGCTCCTCATTGTCTATGTAGAACACATGCTGAACCTGCATGCGTTCGGCAGGCGCTAGCAATACAGGCTCGTGCTCGCGCTTGCCATATTGAATTAACGAATAAAAAGTATTCGTCCCCTCTGGGCCCATATAGAAGCTGTTTATATGGTACTGGTCCAGCAGTACACTGCTCTTTCCGGAAATAGACTCAAGATTTGCAGCGCGCTTGGAGCACAGCTGGTAGAAAACAGCCATGGTGTTGTAGAGGGTCTTGTATGCGCGCCAAGAGCTATTTTCTGACTGTTTGTCTGGATTGCACATGTCCAGATGGGTTTTTAGGAGTGCCAGCAGCTTTTTTTGCTTTCTTCGGAAATTTTCAGCTGTTTTAGGCCTTTCTTGCTCTTGGTAGTCTTTTGTGTTTTCCACCAGCTCAAGCAGGCAGCTTATTATTAAAAAAAGCACGGGTGGAGCGATTTCGGCATCCTTGCATAGGGATGTATACTCTAGATACAGGCTTTTGTTTTTGCTGTTGTGTATGTCGTCAAACACAGAACCGAACAACTCATTCGGCATCGTCTGAAGATCTTTGCTGATTTCTGGTATGCTTAGCAGGGCCTGCACTGCTGTGGTTAAAAACCCCAGCTTTTTTGTGAACGGAAGGAGAACATTATCGACCATGGGGCGTGTGCTGCTGCTCTCGCGCGCGCCCAGGCTTAAGACCATGTCCCCTATTGTCCTGCGCTCGCATTCGAACGGGGCTTTCCCCGCGTCCCTAAAGGAGTAGCTGCTGGGCGCATTTTCAACCCAAAAATTGATCAGCTTTCTCAGCACAGCATGGTTTATGTTCACGCGTTCGTATAAAAAGGCGTACTTTTGCTGGTTTTTCGCAATCTCCATCAAAAGAGCATGCCTAGTGCGCATGTCTGGCCCAAGAAGAGACACCAGCTCCCAGAAGGACTCGCTCTTTAGCTTCTTGTGGGCATTTATAATTAGGCTTTCCTTTTGGGCCTGGCTCAGAGGAGAGTCCATAGCATTTGGGTCTGTGCTAGTACAAGCCAGCGAGTTTTTGTAAATGTCGCCCAGGCGCTTTATCGAGGAAAAAGTCGAGCTTGTCTCCTCTGGTGCAGCCGTTTCAAGCGGCGTGTTTTCTTCACGATCAACAAAGATGGTCAAGCTGCTTTTTTTTTCTGACCGGCCGCGGAACTGTTCAGTAACACCTTTTCTAATAGAACGTAGAAGGGAAGAAAAAAGAGCTGGTTTTTCTTTGGCTTTTTTTGGTGCAGCATCAGCCTGCTCCTGCGGTATGCAGCATGCAGAGTCGCCTTGGGTGCTTAGAGTTGCCTCGGTGGAGGCATGCACAACAGCTTCTAGGGCAAGCCATAAAATGCACAATATTTGACTTTCGATCCTTGCCATGTTTTTGTCTTTGTAAATATCTAAAATGTTTTTATTCTCAAGACTGCGCTCAGATGTGATTTGACGTCCAATCATGAAATTAGTGCATCAAAAAAACTTTCTAGGAATTGGCCACGATTGACATGCTTTTTCTAGAACCCAACTATATCAATACCAACGCACTTGGCTTTCCACTTGGCGCTCGGCTTTTCTACACACCCAAAGGCAGTGCGCATACATGCCCGGCCTGGATTAAGTCTGGGCTAGCCCAAACCAGATGGGCTGCGTGCTTATATGCCGCCATTACACAGCTTCGCTTTATTCTCTGTATTTTGGAAGAGTGCTGGCATTGGATTGACACTTTATAGCAATCAAAGAAAGGATTTGTGGAGTTAACAGCCATAGAAATGACAGGCTAAGTTTGCGTGTTTTGGACACGCGGAAAAACAAGCACACCCGATTTCAGCTGACAGCGCCTAGGCACATGTCTCAATTTTCCATTTTAAATGGCCCCTTCATCGATGCAGCTTCTGCTAAAAGCAAGCGTCTGTGCATGCCAGGACTCCAGTCTGACTCTGCAGTTTATTCGATGAAAACAGATTCGGGCAAAATCTTTTCTTGTGCCGCCGCAATTCCATGCGCGAGTTTGCCTCTGAATAACCCGAAGTGATAAGCGAGGCTGCGCGCAGAAAGGAGCGTTTAAGAAAAATTGTCGATTCGCAGAAAACAGTGCGGCTATGCTGTTTGAATGCCCTCCAACGCCCAGCAGGCCCTTTCTGGCCAAATTATGAAATGCCTTCATTTTCACCCCGGCCTGCTTTCTGGCATATGCCCTTTACCCCAAACGTATTTCAGAAACAAGGCGAAAAATTTTAGTTAAAATGAAGCCGTGCTCTTTGCTACTGCAGACGCTTCAAAAGCATAAGCTTCTGGGGGAGCCGCTGCGAGAATTTAAAGTAAAGGAGGAAACAAAGGAGTGTGTCTATGCCGCATTGAAAACCGAGCTCTTTTTCCAAAACATAGAAGAGTGCGAGTCCCGAGGCGTTTTAATGTGCTATGATGAGCTGGTTGAGTATTCTCTGCCTGCTGTGTCCTCAGAGATCAAAATATCTGACGAGGAGATATATTACATGGAGAAGACGCTGAAAAGCGTGTTCAGACACGCGCTGCACTCTTTTTACTTGGCAAAAAGCGGAGACAAGCTATACTTGCACATTAAGTATGCAGAGGAGCCGTCCACTCTAATAGTAGGGCCGGTCGTGCAGTCTGGAAAAACCGCGGAGACAGATACAGAGGCCGCCGAGTTTATGGGCCTTTGGGAGGGCCTGATAGAGCACAGAATGTTTGAAGACGGGAAAATTCGGGTGTGTGCGCACTTCAAGGACTGCAAGCCCGACACCATGCGGTATGAGATGCTGTGCAGGATATTTAGCATAAAGACGCAGGAAAGCAAAAAGGCGGCAAGCAAGAAGGCGGCAAGCGAGAAGGCGGCAAGCGAGAAGGCGGGGTGCAAGAGGCCTGCAAGAATACTTACGCCCACCATAGCGCTGGAATCGGTGGACCTAGGATACCAGGGGTCGAATCGAAAGAAAAGCCATCTTTCAATAAACAGCTCGCTCGATGCAATCCGGGAATCGTTTCCTGTCACGATTATAGAGTCTGTGTACACAGGCCCGTACAGCCGCATGACCCGGGCCATAGCAGAGCAAAGGTCGCAGGTATACCTAAAGGTGGGGCGGGGCCATATATGGCCAAAGCATGACGCGCGCCTGTCCGATGCCTCAATAACCGCGCTGAATGGGGTTCTGGGAAAGTCTCTAGAGAGGCACACCACCATAGAAGGGATATCAAAAGACAACACGGTGTACAGCACGCTGTTTGGCGAGCGTTTTGAGTTTATTTTCGACGTGGAGGGAGAGCAGAGCATCCATCCAGAGAAGTACCATTTGATGAACTTCCGGGTGGAGTACGAGAGGTTCTTCCAGGAGGCGTCCAGCCGGCAAAAAGGGTTCCCCAGGCTATGCGCGCTTGTAAAAAACCTTTTGCACGCGCACGGGCTATACCCGCACTACATATCGGATGTGGCCGTGGAGATTTTCTGCTACAGAACAGGATACAGCGCAAACACGCTTTCGGGAGGGCTGCGGGCTGTTATGTCAACGCAGTACTCCTACGGGTATGCGCTGGATATACGGAGGGGAAAGTGCAAAATACGCCCAAAGAAGACCGGAAAGATCGAAATAACCCACAGCGCAGGCGCCTACACAATTGACCTTCCGCCGGAAAGCATGCACAATGAAATGAACCAGATCTTTAAGAGCTCTTTGCAGATGACAGAGAACATTCCAGGCATAACAGAGAGCAGAGAAGTGTCTTCAGTCTTCAGAGGCCTATTTGTGCCCAGCACCAACGGCGTGGCCTTTTCTTTGAGCAGCGTGCCTTTAAGGGATTACACAGAAATAGCCCACTACACAGCACACCTGGGCGGCGCCCACACCAGGACAGACGAGGCACACTGTTTCTCAACACTAATAGACATGGGGTGCACTCCGTACTTCTGCAGATCCGGCATTCTTCATGTGCGCATGAGCGACCAATCCAGCGCAAAGCTGGCCATAGGCGCTGCAGTCCTTCTGACAGGCATGAAGTACATCAAAGTAAGAACGCACGAGCATACACATAAATAAAGAAACACCATTCTCGCATTTTTAAACAGTGGCAGCACATGCCGGATATATAAGATCTTTATCTTTACTCTTCTTCATCGGTGACATTTTTGTCGTCCAAGTCGCTCTCTCTGGGGTGCAGCGTAAACCTGGGCCCAATTTCGTGTATTTCGTACCACGCCTCCTGGTCAGAGGCAAGAACTTCTGCAATATTTGGATCCGTCTCTAGCTCTTCGTCTGGCTTGTGGTTTTTCTCTATTTCGTCAAGCTTCTCCTCCTCCTTCTGCTCTTCGTTCATCTTCTTTTCCTGGCGCGCCCTCTCCGCAGCAATCTTGACGGCTTCTTTCGTTTTTTTCTGAATGTGGTAAAACCTGACGTGAATCTGCTCGTCCAGAATAAAGAACGATGCTATCTTATCTACGTAGTCTTTTGTTGCCTCTGGGGACTCTGGCACCTCTCGCGTGGTGTTGAAGATTCGGGTCAGAATCGCCTGGGCCTTTCTTAGCCCTCTGCTGTTGCTGAACTCCGGCGTAAAGAGCGTGGTCATCTGCGTGTTAGCAAGCGGGTTTCCCACGTACTTCAGCTCAGTCATGGTGTACACCCCCGTCAGAATGAACTTCATGACGTCGAAAGACTCCTTTCCATACCCTGCGCTGTTTCTGGCAACAGCCCAGAAAATAGGGGCAGGGCTTCTCTTCCGGGTCTCAATGACCAAGGCGTTGTCCGCGTCTCTCAGCTCAGCAATGTCTGCAATCTCGTACACCGAGAACCTCTCTTTGAGCTTGGAGTCTCGCACCGTGTTTTCGGGCAGCAGCGAGCAGATGTCGTTTATTAAGTGTCTGCACGTGCTTGGCCCCTTTAGTGAAAGAAGAAGCACGGTTTTTCCCGGATTTTGATCTTCCGTTGTGATCTTGACCGCTTTTTCTTCGTCCACAGCGTTTGCATTCTGCACAGGGTCTGCTGGCAAAATGTGTTCGTTCTCGTTTGTGTGACTGCTGTGTGCTTCGGTGTGCTCGCTTGGGTTAGTAACAGCCTCTGTGCTTGCCATTGAAAATTTTTGCCACAAAATCTTATGTATAAAAATATAAAGAAGCCCGCAGAAAATGCTAGTTGAGGTTCTTGACGGAATAGGCGGCAGCTTGGTTTACATAGAAAAGTCTGCGTACACAGAAGAAAGCCCGGCCATTGCGCAGCTGCTAAAGAATCCGCACAGAATATATGCGGAGGAGCACTACACAATAATACGGCTGGCCAACTTGTTCAGAACGCCGGAAATATCCTCGTTGGAAATGGAAATCAACAGCGACCTGGAGGGGCGCATGAAACGCATGCTCAAACAGATTTCCTGCATGTGCGGCTGCTCCGTCGTGGAAAACAAAAGCGCGCTGCGGCTGCCCTCGGACGGGTGGGAGGAGCTGGTGGACATGTGGTCTTGCCACAACAGAGAGTTTGCGCATTTGGCAGAGCGGGAAATTAGGCCAAAAAAGGACGGAGTTCTTTACTCGACGCTTCACTTGCTAATAGAGCCTGAGCGTGCCCCAAAGTGTCTGAAGCCCTGCGAAAGCACCTCTGGGCCCAGCGCTGCGGCTTCAAAGCCAGCAAAGCTGTTCTACAACCAGATGCAGCTCCCTGTTCCGGACGAGTATCTTCTTTTCCACTATGTGTACGACCTGTTTCAGACCAACAAGGAGATTTCGGTGGGAGACACATACACAATATGCCTCCTGGACACCACACACACGTATGCAGGCGAGTTGACAATGGATCCAGTTTTTTCGCTCTCTATGAAAATAGGGTATGCGCACATAGAAAAAACTGCGGCAAATAAGTGCGCCGTGGCTACGGAAGAAAACGCCCACATAAACGAGCACTACACCGAAAAGCTAATAGAAATCATGCACAGAAACAGCATAAAGGTGGAAATGAACGGCAGGCCTGTCACGTTCATTCGCAGAGTGCTTTTTTAGCGCGCAGAATGGGCGCTGCTGCAAAGGCGGGGAAAGTGCGTGGAGAAACCGGAAAGCCTCTTCTGTTCTAAGTAGAAGTATTCCGCAGAGGCGTAGCCCAACCAGCAGAAGCAGATGAGTGTGTGCCTCTGTGGGTATAAATGGTATTATTTTGACTGGAATTAAAATAAAATGGAGAAGTACACAGAGTTCAATGATCCTGTTACAGGAATAAACCCGTACCTCAGGCCCATAAAGCACAGAATAACGCTTCTTTCGCTGGTGTTTAGAATGCTTTTAGTCCGTGCAATGCTCTGCCTCCCCTTCTTTCTTTACAAGCATCTGAAAGGGAGTTATGCACAAGTCAAGTACGAAAAGAAAGAGACAGTAGACGCACTAAGAAAAAATCGGGTCTTCATGTGCACGTACACGTGCATATTTGACACGTCTGTGCTCTACCAGGTGCTTAATAACCCCTCCATCTACATCATACGGGGCACCCAGGTGCTGCTTATAGACAACAAGAACATGCTAAGAGCATCGAGCAAGGCGCAGGTGCTTGAAGAGATAGAAGCCGGAAAATATGTGGTCTTTCTGATAGGCGGCGGCATTACAAACGGAAAAGTCCTTGTGAGCACTTCGGACATAGAAGAAATATTCGACGTTGAGCGGGTCATTTCTCTCCAGTATGCGCCCAGCCTTGCATACGACATAAGCCTGTTCGACCTTAAAGTCTACCCCCAGTTCAGAAGCAAAATAAGCTCGTTCATATACCATCTGATGTACTATGCCACGCTGCAGGCGCCCCCTATGTGCTACATCTCAGTGCACCACACTCTCTACGACATGTCGGAAAAAACAGGCGTGGAGGTCTCGAAGGCTCTGGACTCAAAAACAACCCTGAAGTTTCTAAAGATGTTTGGGTTTGATGAATAAAAGGTAATTTATTTACTTATCTGTTATATTCTCGGCCATTGCATCATATGAATCTCCAAAGAATCCTCGCAGTGCTCCGGCTATTCCCAAAGATATTTCAGACAGCTCGGGCGCTGAAATGTAGTTTTTCATCTCGTCGTACACCTTGGCCGTGGCATCTGCAAAGTCCTTTGTGAACTTCTGCTCCTCCTCTTTGGACCTTGCCGACTCCACTATCTGCCGTATGTCGAGGATTTTCAGCCTGCTGTCGTCTATCTCCACTGCCACATCCTTCTGTTCCTTGATTAGCTCTAAAACCCGCGCAATCCCCTCTTTGAACTGCACTCTCGCGGCAGAGACTTTTTTCAGCGCGTATGAAAGCCCTTCAAATTGCCGAGACGCCTCCCCTGTTGTGTTGCTTGCCAGAGATAGCGCCGACCCTGCAAATATCCCAAACACGTCAGAGTCTTCCTTTGAAACCTCATTTCTTGTCCTGCCTTGGCGCTTGATGCTGTCCTTAACAAGCTCGAACCCAGACGCCAGGCTGCTTGCTATGTTGTCGTACAAAGTGCTTGATGAAAATGCTTGCACAAGCGCCTGCATCTCTATCTCCATGGCTTTTATGGACTCGCGCGTTCTCTTGTACTCCTTCTCTGTCTCTATGTATGTTTCTGTGTGGGTGGTCTTTTTGTACTCTTTTGTAAGTTTGTCCTTTATTCGTGTTTTAAGCTTTGCGTAGTCCATTGTTTAATTTTAGAAAAATCCTTTTATATTTATGTCCGCCTGGCTGAATTTTCTAGCATGAAAATGCCCAATGGTTTTCAATAGAGGCTCCACAAATCTGCACACGCCTGCGCCCAATAGAATGGGGAGTTGCCACCCTGTAGCAGAGAAGGGGTAGTTTCTGCCTATTCCATCGCGTGCAAGACATTTCTGGGCACACTCCGCGCTAGGCACCTCCAGCGCGCAATGTGTGCAGAGCGGCATCTGCTGAAGAGGTTTTCCGGCGTCTATTCGACGTCTAGCCGGTTTTACAGGCTTTTCAGCTCGTGGAGGCGAAGAGCAGGCGCCCTGCATAAAACAGTGCTTCAAAAACCTTGGCCCGAATGCACAGCCCTCGCATTCTTTAGTTTATTCATACAGTGCTACTCGCCTGGCCTTCTGCGGGATATTTTCTCCTCTACCTTGTCTAGCTCAGAATCGTTTGTTTTTTTAATTTCGTTCAAAAGGTTTTCAAGCTCTTTGAATTTCTTTGTCATCTCCTCTGTTTTTTTCTGCATTTCCCGGAAGCTTGTCGTTGTTTTGTTTGTTGAGTTTGACTCGACGTCAGAAACTGAGGCATCATCAACGGCCTGCGAGAAGGACACAGGAATGTCTGTGATGCTTTCGCTGCCCAAGCCTGACACGTCTGTTTCCTCGGTTTCATCTGTGACAACCACAGAGTGTGCCACTTCGCGGGGCTTATGGGCACCCGAGCTTCTCGCAGGGGCGTTTCTGCTTGCGTATATTTCCGACCTTTTATCGCGCCGTCTTCTTTCTCCCTCAGTCTGCATTTTCTGCGCGTCGTACTCTTTTTTCTTTTTGTTTATTGCCAGATACTCGAGCCTCTCCCGCTTCTGCAGGTCTGACTTGGACAGCTTATCCATCTGCTTGATCAGCTCCTCCATTTCCAGCGTGCAGGCGTTTAGCGCCTTTTCCTTGATTTCCGCGCGCTTTTTCAGCCTGCTGTACTGGATCAGCAGAACTTCGTGCTCTCTTTTGATCTTCTGCTTCTCGTACGACATCTCCTCCTGGCTTCTCCGGGCCTTCTCCAGCTCGGCGTCCTTGTGCTCTATTATTCCTTGGAGGACCTGCTTCTCTTCTTCGTGAATGTCCGTCTCCTTGTTGCTCACTTTTTTGTCCCGGAGGAGCTCCTTCGATATTTTTTTCTGACTCTCCAGCGAAGCCTCCAGCTCAAAAATGCGCTTTCTTTGGGCGCTGGCCTCCTCTTTCTGCCGCTTAATCTCCTTGGCTGCTTCGTTCAGTGCCTTGTTCAGGTATTTTGCCTCCATCTTTACAGTCCGGTGCGTGGTGGTCGCGTCCTCAAACTGCCCGCGGACAGAGGTCTCTGACACTTTCAGTAGCTCGTTTTCCTTCTTTAGCACTTTCACTTGCTCTGTCACGCACTCCACCATTTTGCACAAAGACGGCGATATTCGGCTTGACTTCACAATTTCCGACACCAGCTCCACTGGAAACTGGTCGCCTGTCCCGGGCTTGCTGCTTCTCAAAAACGCCTCCAGCTCGTCATACTGTAGAGAGAGCTGCTTCAGAAGGGAAATTGTTGTTTCAATCGACTCCAGCTCCGGCTCTACCTCTTTTTCCGCATATTTTTGCTTTTTGTTCATTAAATTCCTTATGTCCTCCTCCACGTCGGTGCTTTTCTCTTCCGAGTGATGCTCTGCAGTGCTTTGGCCTTCTCGCATTCCTTGCATTTTACAAATAGCAGAATAAAAAATAATCACAGGATGAACATTTCAGAGATGATTTCCAAAAATACAAGACTAATAAAGCTTCTTCTTGCCCTGGGCTTGATGGGGCTTCTGCACTGCATGCTTCAAGGATCAGTATCTGTAGAGCACATGTTCAAAGAGGCAAAAAGGGTCGAAGACCTGCAAGAGTATGAAAGTGCCGAGAAGCACTATATTCGGGTAAAAAATGCAAAACCTGCTTTTTCAGGGTCTCCTCTGCTAAATGACGTGCGCTTCCTAAGAATTGTGCAATCAATCAAGGACAAGGCAGAAGTCGACGAATTGGGCGGAATATCAGTCTCTGACCTGCAGGAGCTCGAGCTCATAGTTGAGCAATCAGAAAACCAACTGATCTCTTCAGACAAGCACCAGGGAATGCTGGAGTTCTTCAAGGAGTTCAAGAATGGGTACCTAAACCAGTACATGTACCACGTGCAGGGAATCATTGAGAAAAGGTACTTGGTGCCCAAAAACACCGAAAGCCATGCTCTAAAAAGCATTGACGTCTTGGAAAAAACCCTGAAACTCTACGAATTGTCTGACAATGTGCGCAAAAAGTGCAAAAAGTACCTCAGGTACTTCCGGGACACTATCCAAAAAGAAGCTTCGAAAAAGCGCTGCAAAGAAAAAGAAATACACAAAATTCTCGAGCGAATCGGCACCATCGAGGGCTCTGTCGCATACCTGGAGCTTTTTCGAACACTCCCGCGCGTGCAGGAGGATAAGACCGCAGAGTTCAAGTACAGAGTCTTTCGGATGCACCTGATAAACAATGTTGAAGCCTTTGGAGAGTACTGGTGCATTCTGTTTGGGAATGCAACCGAATATGCCTTGATGGAGCAAACTGCCGACCTCTGAATGCGCACTTTTCTGCCTGCACAGTCCATGCAATAAATGGCATATCCACACAGCTACTGTTTTGCGTCCAAGAAGAATCTCGCTCTTTTGCTGCTGGCGCTTTCTTTTCCACTTTAGCCTTCATCATGCATGCGCTTTGGCGCGTTTCTAAAAAGGCGCACTCCTTCACGGACTCTTCCTGCCGTGCGCCGCTGGGCTTGCAAGCCCCAGCCCAAAACAAAAGCGTAGCCGCGCCGTGCAAGAATACAGTTTAAAAATTGTCTCTGCAAACAAACATTTTTGCATGGGCCAAGCTCAACAAAAACAGCACGCCCGTGGAAAACACAGAAAGACGCGATGCCCTGTCAGGCCACAGATCTTACTTGATTTACATTTTATTTTCGAATTCTCTCCATGTACTTCAGAACCAAGTGCTTCATCCGCTCAAAAAGGTAGCACGTGTCCTTCACCCCAAACACAGGCTTCTGCTTTATGCCATACGGCTCCAGAAGCTTCTCAATCTGCTTGTTCCAGTTGTTTTTATTGAACCCCAGCGTAGACCCCAAAAACACATGCGGATACACAAAGTCTTTGTTTATGTACTCGTGTATGCGCAGCAGCTTCTCCTGCTCTTCCAAGTTGGCGGAAACCCCCAGCTCGCCAAAGTGCCTGGTCAAGACTACGTCTCTGGCCATTTTCAGCTTCTCATGATTTTTTATTATGTCTACAAACCACTCAACCAGAGACTCGTCGTACGGTTCGTAGTATATGTTGTCGAGGTCTTTGCTTTCCTCGGTCTCTGTGCTTACAGAGTGTTCCGCGTCTTCTGTATCCATATGCATATTAAAATAAAAAATTTATCACAAAACAGAATGAGAGTAACGCACTACACTGGACCGAGAACACACAAGGAGTCAGCGCGAAAAAGCACAAAAAAGGGGCAAGCCCCACTGAAAACACCAAAGGACCTCTTTGAGAGATACGACCTTGATGACATCAAAAACTGGAAGTCGCTTGACCTGTACTACTTGCTGGGAATAGACCCGGAAGAGGCACAGTCGTACACAGAGACAAAATACAAAGAGGCCTTCAGAAAACAGGCGAAGATGTTCCACCCAGACAGGCTTTTGTCCTGCAAGATAGAAGATGGGGGCCTCTCTTTCATTGCGCTGACCAAGGCGCACGAGGTGCTCAGCAACCCGCACAAGAGAAGGCTTTACGACTTTGTTGCATTTGACGAGGCCATCCCAGAAGACAGGGACTACACAAACGAAGAGTTTTTCTGCACGTTCACCGAAATATTCGAAAGAAACAGCAGGCTCAGCAGCAAGCCGTGCACCGTGGTGCTTGGCGATCTGAACACAAAGGACTCGGACATTGTTGCGTTCTACAAGTTCTGGAAGAATTTTGAGTCTATCCGCACTTTTGAGTTTCTCTGCAACGACGAGGACTACCAGAGCAGAGAAATGAGGAGGCACGCTGCCGCGCAGAACAAAAAAATGCTCGACGAGAAGAAGATGGAGGACAGCCAGAGAATACGCAAGCTAGTGTCGCTGGCCATCAAGCACGACCCCCGCGTCAACAAAGAAAGCAAGGGAAAGCCCAAGGAGGAGGTGACCATAGATGAAGACGGGTGGAAGAGCACAGAGGTGGATGCATTGACAAAAATAGCGATAAAAACACCAGCAAGGACAAGGTGCAGGCTGGATGTGATCTTCTCAGCCCTTTCCAGGCACGCGCCTACTAAGAGCAAGAAGGACGTGCAGACCAAGCTCCTAAAGGTAGACGCGGCCATACAGAAGGGCGCAAAAAAGTAAGGCAGAAATAAAGCAATATTTACAAAAGACGTTTAAATTATCCCGAAAGGCTGGGCGAGCTACCCGGGCAGGGAAGACAGCCGCCGGATGCTTTTTCGGAGTTGCTAGCGGGCGCTGGCTGAAAGTGCAGAATGCTTTTATTTAAAGCCTTTCACAGGCGCAGTGCCAGAAGCTGGCGAGTTTCTGCCGCACAAGGAGCAAGCTCGCGATACTATTTAATGCTAGGCGCGGGAGTGTAGGCGTGTCCCTGCTCAGCTTTCAATGAGGTTGGACGGCTTGGATATAAGCGTGTGCTGCTCTGTCCGCTGGTAGTCTCCCAAGTACGTTTCGTACTTTGGATGCCCGTACGGGCACTTTTTTCCCAGGGGGCAGAAGCCGGCCTCGTAATTAAAGCACATTCTTTTCTTGTAGTGCTTGTTTCTGCAGTTGTTTCCGTGCTTGCAAAAACCTCTGTTGTACCAAACACACTCTTTGCTCTTGCTGTTTGGGTCTATGTGCAGAAAGAGGCAGTCTTGGTTGCTGCATTCTCCATATTTTGAAAAGAACCAGCACTCGGGCATTTTGTCCAGCGCAAACACATGCAAAAATTCGCACGCGTCTCCCTTCTTGCAGAGCCCTCGGAGCCAGTGCTTGCATACAATCACGTTATCTGGGCGCCGTGTTCTGTCAATCTCCACAAGGCCTAGGTTTTTCCGAATCCACCCGTCGAAGTCGAACTTAATCTCCATGCACTATTTATTTTTGCTAATTTTCTTTTGCATGCATAAAGAAGAACATTCCGTAAGCGATAATTCCACAGACTTCTTGGATACATCAGACAGCTCAGCATTTGATACAGAGACGCTTGAGGAAAGCGAAGATCTCGAAAGGAACAAAAAAGCAGGAAGAGGCAGGCCCAGAAAAGTGTCGATAGATGCACACGAGCAGAAAAGGCCCAACATCGCCGATCATGCGGATGCTGTTCAGGCACTCCTTAGGGGCCTGGAGCAGGAGGTGGACACGTCTCTGGACACGCCCCTTACGCGCTCGGAAAGCAAGTCCGAGAAAGAGACAGTGGAGCTGCAGAACCCAATCCACGGGGGAAGGATTATGCTTCCCCTGAGCCCATTTCTTAACCCAAAAATACACGTGCCAATTTCGCCCATAACCACAGGAGACCGGGAAAGCGCAGACCTGCAGGAGAAAATCCACAACTATCAGTACATCAACAAAGGCCTGGCAAGCACGGTGCAGTATCAGATGTATCTCAACAACCTTGTGCTGACAAACAAAATATCGACCAGGTCAAGGGCAAACGAGAGGCTGCACATCCGGCAGGCAGAAAGGCAGGAGAGTATGCGCATGCCCGAGGCGACGCCCCGCGAAGACAGCATGAACGAGCACAGCTTTGAGGAGGAGGTGGTCCGAAAGCCGAAGCGAAGGTCGGCGGCTGCATACAAAGCAATACACACGCCAGAGGAGTCTGAAGGCAACGAAATGGACGAGCTGAGTGTGGAGGAGGAAGAGGACAACGTGGAGAAAATACTTTCGTACAACGAGAAAGAAAATACTTTTTATGTGAAGTACAGAGGAAAGTCGTACCTGCACTGCGAGTGGGCCCCGCACAGCGCTCTTGTGGAGACAAAGACAGGCGAAATGCGCGTGCGCAGGTTTATGAAAAACCCTGTTGTCCACGCCGAGGACGCAGACCTGTTTGACCCTGAGCTTGTGGCGGTTGAAAGAATTATTGCCGAGGAGGAGGAGTGCATAGACGAAAACACAGTCCGGAAAATATACCTCACCAAGTGGAGAAAGTTTCCGTACGAGTCCTCTACCTTCGAGTACTACGACCATCTTTCGGACTGCGAGGGATTCGAGCAGGCCCACGGAGAGTTTGTTCGTAGAAGAGAGAGGGCAACCTTGCAGAGCACGCCGGTCGGATGGAGGCCGTCCAGAGACAGAGTGCCCGAGCACTTTGTCTTCAAGGGCGGGAGAGAGCTGCGGGCTTACCAGAAAGAGGGAGTTTCGTGGCTTGTCAACAAGTGGCTGTTCAGGCAGAGCTGCATACTCGCAGACGAAATGGGGCTGGGAAAGACCGTGCAGAGCGTGGCTCTTATTGACACAATTATTACAAAGTGCGGAATGAAGAGGCCGGCCTTTGTAGTGGCGCCGCTGTCGACCATCCCGCACTGGGAAAGGGAGTTTGCTGCCTGGACGGATTTGCGCGTGCTTGTGTACCATGGATCGCAGGCAGCGCGCGAGATCATGCAGGACTTTGAGTTTCGCACGGGAAATGGCCTGCTTTTTGACGTGATACTCACAACATACGAAATGGCAATTGCGGGGGTGGAGCACCTTGCTGCGGTTTCCTTCGGGGTTGCAGTGCTGGACGAGGCACACAGGCTCAAAAACAGCAGAAGCAAGGCAGCGCAGACGCTCCGAAGCATTGGGGTGGACCACAAAGTTCTCCTCTCGGGGACGCCGCTGCAGAACAACCTGTCCGAGCTCTGGTCTTTGCTGAACTTCATAGACGAGGAAAAGTTTCCCTCTCTGAAAGCCTTCCTGGGCGCGTACAAAATGGAAGAGGCAGACGACGTGGAGAGGATCCAGCTGCTGCTGCGCCCGCTTATGCTGCGCCGCATGAAGGACGACGTGGAAAGCATCCCCGTGAAGGAGGAAACAATTGTGGAGGTGGAGCTGACCATGATTCAGAAGAGATTCTACAGGGCAATACTCGAGAAGAACATGGAGTTTCTTGGCGCTGCCGGGTCGTCCACGCCAAATCTCCTGAACATTATGATGGAGCTGAGGAAGTGCTGCATACACCCATATCTGATTGCAGGGGCAGAAGAGCAGATTCTTATGGAGAACGGGCAGGACCCCGCGCAGGAGCACGGCGACAGAAACGAGTACTACAGAATACTGATACAAAGCAGCGGAAAGCTTGTGTTCCTGGACAAGCTGCTGGCAAAGCTGCACGGGAACCACAAGGTTCTTGTGTTCTCGCAGATGACGAAGTGCTTGGACCTGGTCGCTGAGTACCTGCAGTATAAGGGGTACCTGTACGAAAGAATAGACGGAACTGTTCGGGGAGACGTGCGGCAGGCCTCCATCGACCGCTTCAGCACAGACGAAAACTCGTTTGTCTTCCTCCTGTGCACGCGGGCGGGCGGAGTTGGAATAAACCTGACAGCAGCGGATACTGTAATAATATTCGACAGCGACTGGAACCCGCAGAACGACCTGCAGGCACAGGCGCGATGCCACAGAATAGGGCAGACTGCAGAGGTGAAAATATACAGGCTTGTGACAAGAAACACATACGAAAGAGAGATGTTTGACCGAGCCAGCATGAAGCTGGGGCTGGACCGGGCAATTCTGCACAGGGACAAGGAGCGAGAGTCTGCGCACAACAGGCGCGGCCGGGTAGAGTCTCTTCTGAAGAAGGGCGCGTACGGCGTGCTTATGGAGGCAGACGACGTGAACCAGAAGTTCTGCGAGGAGGACATCGACAAAATCCTTGAGGGCAGAACAAGCGTGGTGCGGCATGAAGACCAGAGCGGAAACGTCTTCAGCAAGGCGTCTTTCCAAGTTGCCGAAGAAATCGACGATCCAGACTTCTGGGAGAACCTGCTCGTGAAGAGGCGTGCAGCCGACGCGGAAAGCAGGCTTAGAAGAGTGCTTAGGAAAATGGCACGGGCCGGGCTTATGTCGCCGGAAGAGGCGCAGGCAAGGGCCCAGCAGATTTCTGCGCTGCAGGAAAAGATGCCAGCAGGCGCGGGAGAGAACGCCCCAGAGGGCACTTTCAGCGACGAACAGGACAGACTTTCTGACCTGCTTGTGGAGCTGCGCGGCATAGGATGCGGGCTTAGCAAAGCGCAGATGGCGCGGAGCATCAGAAGGGCCATTCGCAGCATAGAAGAGCGCTCGGTGCGCGAGGACTTGGGCATGGGCCTGGAGTGGGCAACTGCAGAAGAAGAGTCTCCGGAGGAAAAGGGCAGAGCACTTGCTGACACAGTTGACGCACAGAGGCTGCTTTTCAGATGCCAGGTGGGAGAGCTGCTTAAAGCGTATGAGGGTGCGCGCGGGGCTGCCGAGATTGAGTGGAAAAACTGGGCAGTTGAGGACGACACGGTCCTGGTTGAGCAGACGCGGGAAAACGGGTATGGAATATACAATATGCAGGTAGACGAAAAAACCCGAATTGGCCTTTTGAAAAGCGAGAAAGGAAAAGACGCGGCCGTGTACAAGGGAAGGTCAAAGGAGGAGCTGAACTCGCGGCTCAGAAAAATTCTTCTGGTAATAAACAGGAAGGAGGAGGCAGACGAGGAGAGCGGAAGTGTTTCCGCGGCCATTGAGCTGTTTGGACGGCCGTCCCAAAAGAACCGAGAAAGTATAGTAAAAATGTACAGGGGAAGAAACATTATAACGGAAATGACAAACATGATTGGCATGATTGAGGAAAACATGAAGAAAAGACAGACCCGGCGCAGCGGGTTTGATGCAGAGCTGGCGAAGGTCCTTACAAACAGGATAAATCTGTTTGACAGGCTGGAGCTGCTCAGCCAAGGGCCAGTTCCGGGCCTGCGCAAAACCTCGGGCCTGCCCAGAGGATGGGGCAAGGAAAAAGACACGCTCATGGTCGAGTCTCTCCTCGCTGAAGGCCTGACAAAAGAGGTCTGCGACACGCTTGGGATTGGGGAAGAGGCAGTGCTCAGAAGAGCCGAAGCACTTGTGCGCCACAACCAGACAAAGAGCGAGCAGGAGGAGACCGAAAAACCCCCAACTGACACATAGGCACTCAGAAGGCGCTGCAATTTGAGGCAGCCAAGGCGCAGAAGAAGAAAAATAAAAACAGTACGATTAATCCACTAAGAAGTAAACACTACGCATTAGAGCCGGGCGAACAGCACACGGCATAGAAGTAAGCGCACGCTGCAATGGGCAGTGCCGCATTCTGCATAGGGGCAAGCCCTCAAGAGCGCGCTCTGCTGCTGCACTGCAAGAAAGCATGGGTATATGCGGAAGGAAAGGCAGAAAACAGCACGGCATGCACGGCGCAGCGCCAGGGCCCTGTAGAAGCTGCGCCCGCATGAAAAAAAAATCAGAGCCAAGCATGGGCGCAGGAGTGGCTCGACTGGAACATGCCGAGTAAATAGAGATATAAATTGCTTCGTATTTTTATTTATAATTACAATGAGGGCAGAAAGAAGAGCTAAGGAGAAGGCGATTCAGGAGATGAGCGCATTCACCGAAAGAACCATTATAACAAGGAAGTGCTCCAGTGCTCTGGTGGGCGTGCTGAAGGAGGTGAGCTGCAATGCGTTTACCGAGTTGGAAATAGACACGGTAATATCGAGGCTTTTGCACGCTTTTCAGACGCGAGACCCGTATTTGAAGGTCTTGTCGTATGCGTTTATACGAAACATTGCAGACCTGTCGTCGGGATCTTTTGTTGCCATCAACGCCCTTATAAACAACATAACAGCGCGGAAAGACGGGCTGCGGGCGGAGGCGCTGAAGCTGCTTCTTCAAATAACGCCCGAGCAGATGCTTGAGGACTGCTCCAAGTATGTGCACCAGGCGCTTATAGAGACGGAGTACAGCACTCTGAACACCATTGTTCCGGTTCTTGTATTCCTGAACAACCCTTCTCTGAGCGAGTGGTTCAGCAGCTGTGCCTGGATGAAGGGGTTGAAGACGAGTGGGGCGCTGGGGAATGCTGTTTTGTTTATGCACAGAGTGCGCCCGCAGGAGAGCCGGGAGGTGATTTCGGTTCTGGGGTCGCTGCCTTTGCACGGGATAACAGCTGTTCACTGTGCCAGGTACCTGTCAAACTACTTGGCCAACCCGAGGGCGCAGAAGATATTCACGCAGTTCTTGGTTTTGGACGAGACAGACCCCGCGCCTTTTATTGAGGCGCTGCGGCACATCCACTTGCTGCCAAATGCAATCGGCCATCTGGACGCGCCTGTTAAGGGCCTGCGGAGGCTTCTGCAGTCGAATAGCACGGTTGTAAAGGTGTCTGCGCTGCGAACCATTGATGCTTTGGCGACAAGGTATAAGCAGAAGATGGCGCCTCTACGGGAGGTGGTTGAAGAAATGCTCACAGGCAGCAGCACGGTGGCGCTTCTGGCAATGGCCATTCTTCTGAAGGTGGGGAGCGAGAAAACGGCAGGAAAGATTGCAGAGTCCCTCCCAAAGCTGCTGTCAGACATTGGAGAAACACAGAAGATCTCAATCATCGAGTCTGTCACGGGGATGTGTGACAGGTTTAAGGGGACCTCGTGGGACGAGCTTCTAAAGAAGGCGCTGAATGCCCCGGGGTCGTGCGACTACAAGATTAAGATAGTGCAGAACATTGCGAAGATCAGGAGCGGGACAGAGGACAAGGGGCTGAAGAGGTCGCTGGAGCAGATACTCTGCAGCTATATTGAAGACTCGTCGTACCCCAGAGTGACCATTGAGATTATTGGCATTCTCATAGACGTGAAGTCTCCGGAGTACACAATTTCGCTTATGAACCGGACCATCCTGGACAATGAGAACGTGCTTCCTGCTGTTAATCTGGCGCTGTCTGTTTCAGATGAAACCATTCCCATGCATGCGCTTTTTGGAGCAGAGTGCAACGAAGATATTCTGAAGGCGCCCACTGAGCTCAACAAGAGGGTTATTGACCTGCTGCAGGAGGACGCAGAGATGTTTGTTCAGAAGAGGGAAGAGACCCAGCTGGAGGCCAAGTTCAACTCCATGCAGCTGCAGGCCTCGGACCGCATTGAGCTAAACAGAACCGAAAGCGAGTTTGGCATTTCTGTGGTCAAGAACATATTCACAGACTTTGTTGTTTTGCAGTACACAATAGCCAGCAAAATAGACCTTGTTTTGGAGGAAGGCCGTCTTCGCGTGTTTTTGTTTGACGAGTGCATCTGCGATGAGGTGGTGTATCTGAGGGGCAGGGAGTCAACCAGCGTCGATGTAAAAATACCGGTGGAGGACTACAGAAGGCTGTGCGGCGCGGAAATAGTAAACACATTCGGGTACTCGGTTTACGACAACCGCGACTACGAGGTGGGCGAGGTGCGCCTAAACAACTGCGAAATCACGGTCAGCGACTTCATTGCGCCAGGAGCCAGCCAGGAAATAGACTGCGAGCCTCTGGTCAGAGAGTACAAGTTCAATATGCCAAAGGAGGAGGTCGCCAAAGAGCTCAAAAACATATTTAAAATGGACGTGGAAGAGAGCGAGTCGGGCCTGGAGTGGTCGGGCGTGTTTGTTTACACAGGCGACCCTGTGCATATAAAGGCGTCTGTAAAGGAAAAGGGGTCCATTGTGAGAGCCGAGATAAAGGTCTTCAGCAAGTCAGAGGATGTGAAGAACCTGCTAATAGACCTAATCAACTGATCTAGGACAGAGCAGGCCTGCAGCCTCAGACAATCTGCAAGGTAAAACCTGTTTTGCCTTGTCCCAGCCTACAATAAAACACATGATAATTTGACATTTTAGAAACAGAGTTTGCAGACATCAATATTTAGGTTCGCTGATGTTGGTATGAGTATGATCAGGATCAATTCAATCATAGGCACTGTAGGGCTTCTTTTGTCAGTGTGGACAGCTGAGCTCCAGGCTTCTTTCAACCCAGAGACTATGACATCGGTCACAGGAATAGCCCCAAACAACATGCTGGGCCTGTGTAGCTGCCTGCCAAACGCTGCTTGCCAAAGAGACCAGGGAATTGAAAAGCTTACTGCAGTGCTCGCTGCCTTGAGAAACTCTATTTCCAAGTACGGCAACGGCATGTCAAACTGCATAGGCATGGATAGTTTGATGGGCATGGGCCTCATCTCGCCAAATACTGGAACAGAGTGCTTAGATATCTGGCTAAAGGCTATAAATCCCTTCCAAGTTCTTACAAGCCCGCCAAAGGGTGGCTCGTTCAACACCTGTGCTGAGTTCCAGAAGTCTCTTTTGGGAATGCTGAATCTCCGCTTGACTGGCGGATACTCCGCGATAGAAGAATATCTTGCAACAAAGCCGCCTGCATCTGGGTGCGAATGTAATAATATGCCGTTCGGGCCTTCCATGATTCCGGGCGCGTCAGTGATGTCAAGCGGATGCGGCCCTATGATGAATCCGCTAATGCCTTCATCTTCGCCTGGAGGATGCGGGCCCTCCATGCCCAAAATGAACCCATTCAGTGGGCCTGGGCCAATGGCTGGCGGACTCTTTGGGATGCCATGCGGGCAAGAGTCGCCTATAATGGGCGAGTTCGGAGCCCTAGGATGCAGTAACGCAAACATCATCGACAATTTGACATTTCTAAAGGGGAACAAGCCGCAGTGCTGTCCTGAGCCACAAAAACGGCCCAGAATAGACATGCAAAATGTGCCGGGGCCTTTGAACGTCTCAATGGGAGGATGCTGCACAAGCGATTTAATTCTCAATGCCTTGAAGCAGCAGCAGATGCAGCAGCCTGCAGTTCCACAGTCATTTTCAAACGAATGCCCGATAGGCGCAACCGCCTTAATGGGAACCGTGGACTTTGCCCGGCAGGCGGCATTCCAGAGACAGCCTGTCTGCAAGTGTTCGCCCCCTCCGCAGGGAACACAAGTTTTTCTAGGAGGGTGCTGTGCCGATGAGGGTAAAGGATTCTCTGGGCTGGCGAGTCTGGGGCTGATGGGGCTTGGAGGAGGCTACGAGCAAAATCCGATGCCTTCCATGCCTTCCATGCCTGACATGGGCTGTGGATGCAACAACTCCACGAAAATTCTGGATGATATAATGAGAAACACCCCACAAGGTTTCTCCGGCGGAAATAGCTGCATGGGTAGGACAGCTGGTGAATTGGCAAGCTTGAGCGCACTGCAGCTAGGCGGATGCTAGTAATAAAGATATTCGATAAATGTTGACATGTTTCCGGATGGTGTTGTGATTTCGGTATGGCAGCAATAAATTGCCATTGTCTGCTGCATTGGGTGCCAGCTAGAACTGTTGCTGCGAGCAGGGCGAGCATTGCGCTTTTTTAAAACAGAGCCTCTTCTAGTGCGGCTGTGCATATGCAGGTTTGGCATGCTCCAGACCCTCAGATTCTCAGAACCTCCAACCGCCGAATAGCCAAAAAACACTGAAAATGCATTTTGCCTGTCTCATCCAGCATGTAAATGCGCATTGCAAGTCTCTGTGTATTTGGGCCTGTTTTTGTTTCCTTTTCTGCAGGCCTGGAAAGCGCTAAAATGTAAGCTGTTTTTATTTTTAAACCCTTCGGATTCAATATTTGGGCTACTTCTAAAAATAAAATTCCGAAGGCTTTGGTTTCTCTCCTACGGACATGCAAAAAAGTGCGCGCGTTCAGCCACAGAAAAGCCTGGCAGAGTACCTTTTTGTCTGAGCAGCGGCCAATGCGCAGGCCAAAACTTCTTGGCAGCTGCTAAAATCTGATCGTCTACTAGATTGTTTGGCGTATACTGTGCACATTCTTGCAGCATGCACAAAGTGGCTTGCACACGGAAAATCGCAGCTTTCGTGATGCTTTAGAGTGCCAGCATGCACGGAAAGAGTTTACACGCAAGCAGCGAGCTGATCATGCGTGCGGGTAAGTGGGCGTTGTGTTTGGATGTTGGAGCGTGCTCTGCTCTGGCATGGCCGCAGCCCATGGCTTTGCCAAGAGAGCGCCATTTATTGCGGTAAAACTTTTTGTGCATGAAGTGTTTTCGCGTGCGAAGAGAAGTTCCAATGCCTATGGACCGGTGGGTGTGCATTTCTCTGTCCAAAAAAGACTGCAGCCAGACTATACGCGCGATCTCTGCGCGCTTCCAGAACAAGCCAGGCTTTGTAAAAAGAATAAAGCCAAGCGCGGAGAGTCTGTCCGTTCTTCTATGCAAGGAGTCGGATTTCTCTTCCGGGGAGCTTGCAGAGCATGTTTCTTCTCTGGGCCTAGACTCTGCAGAAACATTTGTAGCGGATGTGCCAGCAGCAGAGCCTAAAACAGAGGCGGAGGTAAAGACGGCACAGAGCGTGTGGCCGTGCGCTGTAAAATGCACAGAGGTCCCTCCGGAAGTGCCTGACTTTGTAAGGGCAGCCGTGCCCGAAATATCCAAAAAGAGGGAAAAGTGTGCAGTCTCGTGCACTATACTTGAAAGCGAGTCTGAAGGGACATACACAGTGTTCTCTGGCACCAAAGAAAGCGAAAACATTTTTGAGCATTCAATTATCCGGATGGTTCGCACAGTGTCAAAAAGCACAAACGGATATTTATGCACCGGAAAAACAGTTGTGCTGTCTGGCGAGCCCTGCTTGGTCTGCGGCATGGCGCTGGTGCATGGAAGAGTGAAGAAAGTGTACATAGCAGGAATGGAGTCCAGCGACGGCCCGTATAGCAGGCACAGCATACACGAAAACAAGTCGCTGAACCACAGAATAGAGGTGTATAAGCTGGCAGAAAGGTGAGTTGGCTGGTAGGGGCTCACTGGGCTTTGCTGGCAGGGGCTCTGGACATCGCATATAATATAGAAGCTGCCACGCCTAGAAAAACAGCAATCCACTTGGACGCCTTCCCAGTTTTCTCCAGGCCAAAAATAACGCTGCTTGCCGATATCGGCAGCTTGTTCAGCGCGTTTATAACGGCCACTGTGGTGGTTGAAAATGTAGTGGCGGCCTGCGCGTTTGCCACCGATATTGAGCATGCTGCTGCTCCGGAAAGGCCTATGATTAAAATCTCCCGGAGAGTGGCGGTTTTTACGCTTTTTATTCCCTCCACCAAGAAGCATGTGAATATCAGCGGAGACGCAAGCATGTTGACAGCCCACGCAGCAAAAATGCTGGGGACCTTGGTGGCTCTGACTATTTTGTTAAACCGGATAATATACGCTGCGGACGAGAGGCAGTTGAGGAGCATCCACAGCAGGCCTATGGGAGAGGGCGAGTCCTTTCGGTGCCGGTCCGAAGAGTATGCGCCCAGGAAGGAGCTAAACACAATTAGAAAAAACGAAAGAAGCGTAAGCCTGGTTATTTGGTAGTTGTTGAACAGAGTGTCGTGCACGGCAATCACAGGAATGGTCAGGTTTTTTAGCACAGTGAAGAGAGAAATGGAGAGGCGGGCGTTTGCCTCCAGCCCAGAGTATATCATAATGAGCAGAGAAACCGCTGGCAGCGCCCAAGGAAGAACAGCATCGACAGAAACCGATTTAGCAGCAATCGTGCCAAAAACAAAGGCGTTGAGAATAAAGAGGATTGAAAGCAGAAACGCTGTCTGCACAAAAAGAATAAAGAACTTTCCGGTTATGTGGAGGCCTGTTACTATGTACTTGTTCAGGATGCTGGCCGAAATGCCAGAAACCAGCATAAGAAAAATAAGAAAGCCCGAAAACATAAAAAACCAATAAACAAACGCAAAGGTGAAATATTTCTGCGGTTTCAGAATGGAAAAATAGCTTTAAAACAAGCATAAATAGAATTAATTTTTTATTTGCATGGAAGACAACAACCTAAATGAAACGCCTCGCTCTGTCCTGGAGGGTGTTGATAAGGAAACACTTGAGAGAGTAGACACTGCGTACGAGTTCCAGCAAAGAGGCGCAGAGAGCACGCTTCCTTTGATGGAGGAGGAGCTTTCCTTGCTGAAGAAACATAAGCATGCAACGCCTGAAAACCTGCGAAAGTTTTCAAAAATATTCTCGCGCTATCTCAAAACACGATCTAAAAAAATAGACTGGGACCGGATTTCTCCCCCTCCTGCTGAGATGATGGTGGAATACGAGTCCATAGTGTCCGAGGCCAGTGGAGAGGCGATTTCTGAAATGCTGAACAAGCTGGCTGTGCTGAAGCTGAACGGGGGTCTGGGGACATCAATGGGGTGCACTGGCCCCAAAAGCGCGATCGAGGTAAAGGACTACCTAAACTTCATCGACCTGACGGTGAGGCAGCTAGAGCACTTCAACACCAAATACAGCGCCACGGTTCCGCTGATACTTATGAACAGCTACAACACGCACGAACAGACGAGCAAGCTTGTTAGCAAGTACAAGGGGATCTGGACGTTTGAGCAAAGCACTTTTCCCCGGATCTTTGCAAGCACGCTGATGCCTGTTCTTTCAGACCCGTCGGTGCAGGAGTCGGACGGATGGTATCCGCCAGGGCACGGCGATCTTTTCGAGTCTCTAAACGAGTCGGGTATGCTGGACCGGCTTTTAGACGAGGGGAAAGAGTATCTTTTTGTGAGCAATGTAGACAACCTAAAGGCAGGAATCGACTTGTCGATTTTGCAGTATGTTATTCGGGACGAGATAGACTTCCTGATGGAAGTAACGAAAAAGACGCGGGCAGATGTGAAGGGGGGTACTCTCATAGAGTATGACAGCGCGCTGCGCCTGCTGGAAATAGCGCAGGTTCCCGACGCGCACAAGACAGACTTTACAAGCCTTAGAAAGTTTAAAATTTTCAACACCAACTCAATTTGGGTAAACTTGAGGGCGCTGAAAAAGATTCTGGACCAGGACATTATGGAGCTGGAAATCATCGAGAACAAAAAGAAGCTTCCAAACGGGGAAAGCGTGATCCAGCTGGAAACTGCGATTGGAGCATCTATAAAGTACTTCTCAAACTCAAGAGGCCTTGTGGTCCCCAGAAGCAGGTTCTTGCCTGTAAAGACCTGCAGCGACCTGATGCTTCTCCAGAGCACGCTATTTAAAATTTCGCACGGGACACTGGCCATTTCGCCTAGCAGAATTTCTGACAGCATTCCTATAATCCGCTTGCTTGGGGGCTGCTTTAAGACCGTTTCAGACTACAGAAAACACGTTATGGGCCCGGTCATCATGGACGAGCTGGAGCATCTGACAATTAGCGGAAACGTCACCATTGGAAAACATGTAGAGCTAAAGGGAACCGTGATTATTGTGGCAGAGGACGGAAAGTCTATTGACATTCCTGATGGAAGCGTGCTGGACGACAAGGTGATTATTGGCCATCTAAGAATAGTCGACCATTAGAGCGCGCGCAGGCTGTCCTCAGACAGACCTGCATTTTTATGCTAAATAAATGCGTAGTTCTTGTTTTAATTCATGCGCGCCGGCCCTTCTTTGGCGCAGCACCAGCATGTGCGGGCATATTTCAAAGACTGTGCGAAGAATTCCGAGGCGCTTAAGTGAAAATAGCATGCTTTTATTAGCCTAGAAGCTTAGGGGACTTGCAAGATCTTGCTATGTGTTTGGCAAAACAAGCAAAACAGATGCGCCACCAGAGCAGGCTAGTGCACGCGGAGGCATAGAAATGGGCTTGGCCTTGCATTTTGTTTCTTTCGAGAGAAAATTCTTCGGCAGTCAGTTCTAGCCTCTATCACATATAGTTCGATTACCTCTGCTATATGTTGCAGTACCCTGGCACGTAGTCAACATTTGGCATTTCCATAGCCGCCAGAATCTGGTGGTATAGGCAAAACGGATTCCAAATCTTTATCCACTGGGACGTCACATATATAAGCATAACAGCAAAAACCACAGATATTGCAATGAGAGTATACATAACAACATAGTGTGTGCCCAATTTCTCCTTGCAGGAAGGGTCTTTTTCTAGTGCTTTCTCTATTTTCTCCTTTTTTTCATAGATAAAGTATGTGCTGTCTGCCAATAAAGCAGATAAAGCAATTATATTAAAGAACGTGGACACCCACATAACAAATGCAAAGTTCCATACATTCTCCCGCAAAGACTTTTTACTTATAGGACTCATTGTGTTTATAGCTGACCTTACTATTGGAATGAAAAAAAAACATACGCATAAGTTAATCAAAAACAGAATTCTATGCATAATTCCTTTCTGGTGTAGCCTAGTAGCCGATGCCAGAATGAGAATGACACTTACAAAAGAAAAGATAAAATTGAACACTGTGTGCTGGCCAAGTATGTTTTCATAAATGTATGGGTACTTGTTTGTTATGTTTGGCAGTATCACAGTTTTAAACGAGACGTCTATTCCCAACAACAACACTATGTATAAGATACAAAGCAAGCATATAAGCCTGTTGGACGGGAACAGTCCCATCAACACTTGCTTCATTGCTTCGTTGCATTTGTAGAGCCAACCATCCGGTCTTTCGCTGTGCTCTTCTGTGCTATATTTGCACGTTTCTGCGGCTGCTTTAATATTTTTTTCTTCCTCCAGCTGGGAGTACACATTATTTTTATATCCTACCATATTGCAAGTAAAAGTATCCATTTTACTCTTTTGAATTTGCCCTTTTATATTTTTACTCTGCAAATATGATCCCACTTTTTTGATTCTAAGCAGCCGACATATTTTGATCTGGCACTGCTTTACGTAAAAATGCTTTAGTAAGAAATGACTTCTCTGCACGTGTGTCGTTCTTGTGCGCAGAGGCGCTGTTTAGACTGTCGTATGCATGCCTGCGCACTATGCCTATGATGTGCACCCGTCCATTTTCCTCTGTAGTTTGGCGTGAAGCACAGCCTGTCTATCTGGCGTTACATTTGTCTAGTGTCACTTCACTATCATGCAGATAGAGCCCCTCGGCTTTGCATGCACACGAAAGCCGTTTGCATCCAGCCAAGCACAGGCTTTTTCCTTTTTCTCACCACCCAGGCCTGGCTTTCTAGCTCCAAAGGGCAAATGCACAGAGTACATTCTTTTTCTTTGCCTTATATGGTATTTGTGCAAAATTACGGTGAAGGCGGAGAACTCTAGCCACTTTGGCTTTGGCGTGCAGCCACGACAGCTCAAGTTGCACGCATGCCCAGCCGTCCGTTTAAGACAAGCCCCTCCAAAGCCGGCACCCGCCCGAAAACGCACCGCATCGAACGCAAAGAAAAGCACGCAGCCCAACTGCATCTCCTGCAGAAGCACCGCCAAAGCACCAGTATTCTCGCCATCTATGTGTTTATTAATTGTCTGTCGTGGCCATGGGTCTGGTTATTGTGTAAGATTTGTCTGATATTGCAGCAAGCTCCGAGTCTATTTCGTTGAACAGCTTTATCATCTCGTTTGGGTTCATAAACTTGTCGTTTTCCGTTCGGCGCCCGTCCAGGATGTCGTGGACAGCCTTGCTCTCCTCCTTCAAGCCCTGCTCTGAGACCGGCATTGCCTCCTTCTCCGTCTTTGCTGTGACCTTTCTAGGGTTTGAATACTCCTTCTTTTTGATCAGATCTTTCACCACTCGCTCTATCATTACATCCACGGTGTCCTCTATTTTTAGCGTTGCCCGGCTCCGAATAAACTCAATGTTTTTTACAAACTCATCGGAGTCGCAGTCTTCCTCCTGCAAGAGAGAGTTTTTTGGCCGCTCCTTAACAGAGACCTCTCCCTTCTCAAACCACGGCTTTTCCCCAACTAGCTCATTCTCTATTCTTTTAATTTCTGTTTGCCTGCCCATAGGCTGTTTAAAATATTTTCACTCTAAATATTTTGCGCCCGCTTGCCTACTTTCTCAGCTTTCGCAGCGTCTCTCGCGCAGGCTCGTCCAGCATCTCACTCGAGTCCGCGCCTCCTTCCAGATAGTTGTATATGTCGTCCAGCTCGTCCGAGTTATAGTCATACTCTGAGCTTTCCTGCTCGCACCCAGTCTCGCCACTTGCCTCGTCAGCCTCGCCCTCCGATGGCTCAATCAGCGCATCAATCAGCTCACCGCACGGCGCGTCTTCTGGGCCCTCGCTGCCCCGGCTGTTGCTGTCTTCTTCAGCGGTTTCTGAAGAGATGCTTCCCACCTCAAAGGCAGGCCCGCTTTCAGCCTCAGCGTTACTTCCCTCGCTGGAGCTCTCCGCAGAAGGCTCGTCTGCGCCTTCGCTCTCTTCAACCTCCTCGCTCTCCTCGCTGGCCAGCTCGCCCTCTTTGTTCATGTAGTCCATCAAGTACGTTTCAACGTCCTTCACTGCAAGATCGGTTATGTTTTGCACCTGGTGATATATCTGCTCTATTGTGTACTCTTTGACCTGTATTGCACGATGCTGTCTTTTCACTTTTTTATTGTCCCACGCCCTGTACTCAGCCTGCAGCTCTGCTTTGTAGTCCATAAAAAAAAGAAAAATCCAAATCCATTTATAGATGCAGCAAACCAAAGGCGCTGCAAGCGGCCGAATCTGCATGCACCGTTTGGCCAGGCAGAGGCCAGGCGCGGGTTATCCGTGTTTTATACTCACCGGAGGAAAGCCAGAAACATTCTGTGAACTGACTCATATTTTATTTTTAATTTTTTAGTACCCCAGATAATAGAATGTCAAAAGTACTAAGAAAACAGAGACTTATGAGGGCTCACAACAGGCCCAACAAAATGTACAAAAAAGGTGCAACCAAGTTCCCCAAGCAGAAGGAAGAGGTCCGCGAGGGAGTGGTAGAAGAAATAGTCCACGAGAGGGGTAGAAATGCGCCCCTGGCTATGGTTACCATGATTAACGAGGACAAATCGCTCAAGAAAGAGAAGGTCGTTTTGGTTGCGCTCGAGGGAATGTACACGGGAAAGACCATTTACTTTGGAGACAAGACGCCGCTGGACCTGGGAAACACCATGAAGCTGAAGAACATACCAGACGGTACTGTGGTGTGCTCTGTTGAGAGAATCGCTAACGACGGCGGAAGTATAGCAAAGACCAGTGGATCGTACGCAACTGTGGTGGGATACAACCCAGACAAAAACGAGAGCCGAATCAAGCTGCCCTCGGGTGTCAAGAAGGCTGTAAGCGGAGAGTGCAGGGCTATGATTGGCGTGATCGCCTCTGGTGGTGTGCACGAGAAGCCTCTGCTTAAGGCCGGAAACGCATACTACAAACAGAAGGCTAGAGGCAAGCTAGGAGCATGGCCTAGAGTAAGAGGTGTGGCCATGAACCCAGTAGATCACTTGCACGGTGGAGGTAACCACCAGCACATTGGTAAGTCGTCTTGTGTCAGCAGAAACGCTCCTTCAGGACAGAAGGTGGGACAGATTGCTGCCAAGAGAACTGGTACAGGAAGAGCAAAGACAAAGAGATTCGAATAAACTCTTCTTCTATTTATATGTGTAAATTTATTTTCCCATGGACAGAAAGACCAGAGAAATTCTTGAGGAGAACGAAAGGATGAAAACGCTTAGGAGGACGGTTCTGGATCTGAAGGACATTTCGCAGAAGATAAACACGGCTGCGCAGGAGGATGTGGAGGAAATGGACAAAATGCGCGCTCAGGGGCTTCGGGACGCGCTCACCGTGCAAAACATCATAAACAAGCTGCAGACAGCAAGAGGAGACAGCTTCACGTTCACCTTTATTGTGACTATTTGCGTTCTGGGACTGCTTCTTTTTCTGGGGCTTCTCTTTATGTAGGCACCAATCACGTGCCTGCGCTATAAAACGCCTTGGAGGGTTTCAGATATGAGCGAAGTCCTTCTTCCGCCAGAGATACTGCAGGAGCAGCAGGAAAAGTCAAATCTGCTGGGAAATTTCTTGGAGATTTCTGTGAACAGGATAATGCTGGCTGTTTTCAGCTTTATGCTTTTTGCAGCGCTTTTTGTGTTTGCAAACGTTCTTGTGTGCTTTGTGGTTATCATAATAAAGGGATAAAATGGCCGTGTCCTATACTGGAGTAAAGCATGTAAGAAGCTGGCAACAGCGGCGCTGTATTCTGAAAATAAATGTAATTAGTATAAGCTCACGTGAATCTCTTTTTGTTTCTGCAGAGCCGGCTTTGCATACTGCATCTACTGCGAGCGTGCGGGGCTTGCACGCAGCTGCTTGCGCACACAGAGGAAAGCACGGAGCTAGAGATGGCCCATGCAGGCGCGCACTCTCTGCGTGCACGAGAGAAACGCACGCATGCAGGGCGCAGGCCCCCAGACGAGTTTTTGTGCCAAACATGCTTTTTTACGCACATGCTTTCCAGTTTACGCCTGCATGCGCCGTGATTGTCCTCCGCTCGGTGTTTCAGATTTCTTTCAATCAGTTGAATACGCCAATCTTTGAATAACGTATGCATCAATATGCCAGCAGATTTTTCACACATTGTTTTGTGTTTCTTTTTTATACACTGATATCTGAATTTGTATGCTGCCACATTATATATCAAAAGGATATATTAAGGCAATTCTGCTGCTTTTTGGCGCTGCCCGGCACATATACAGCCTGGAGGTTTCTACCAACCCTGATTTGCCCGGAGACGTGAGTATACTCCCGTACAGCGCGTTTTTTGAGAAGAAAAAGACCCACCGAATGATAGGAACAAAGCTCCCAAAGGCGTACCTTGCAGGCTTTGAGCCGTTTGACAAGTACGTGCAGGCCTTGAAGTTTCTAGACAAAAAGGAGGACCAGAACTACAAAAAGCCCCCAAACTACATCAACGAAGAGATATTCAAGCGCACAATCATCTCTGTTTTCTACACAAAGGAGTACTACATGACTTTGAAAAACGACTGGGACAACATGAAAAACATCCACATATACAACGTATACTACGACAACTTCATCACGATGGTCAACATGGCGAATATCCCGTACTTTTCAAAGAGAGAGGGGCTGTATCTCCCTCTGTCCGACATCAACACAATCCTTGCGCTCTACGAGATATTCTCCATGAACAAGTATGTGCGCATTCCGCTGAAAGTAAAGCACAAGTACGGCATGGACATGACCAAAAGAGATTGCTTTAAGGAGAACATGCGGAAAATCATAGAAATGAACACGCAAGCAAACACCGAGTATCTAGGCATTCTCAGAGAAATCCGGTACAACGGAAGACCTGTTCTGATTACGGAGGTGCCCCCAGAGCGCATAGACACCAAGAGCTGGGTGCGGTGGATTCTGAGCAGAGAGCCAAATCTTGATCTAGTCTGGTACCTGTACTCCACACTGTGCAACACCGTTAGGGACAACAACCTAAACCACACGCTTACATACGTGAAAGAAACGAGTGTTCTGGGGAAGAAGGGAATCCAGCTTTTTTTCAGCAACAAAAAAGCGCCAAGCACGGACTATGTTGGCCTGGCCTTCTACCTGGAAATGAACAACGCGCTGAAGGTTCGCAGCATCGAGGTGTCCATCCAGGAGGGGCTGGAGGTGCCTGAAATGCACTTCAGCTCTGTGCTAGAGGTGTTCAGAAAGGTAGAGGTTGTGTACGTGAGCTCGCTAGGAAACCTCAAGAACATAAAGCTAAACCTTTCTCTGGTGAACATTGTGCTGGACTTTGAGAAGAAGCGGTCTGAGCGAGGCATGGACCGAGTGCTGAAGGGCTTTGTCATCTACGACTACAACTCGCTGAACGAGTTTGGGAAGAAGCAGCTGCTCGAGCTGAATCTGCAGCAGGTTGGCTTTATGACAGAGATATATAGAGAGCGGGTGTGTGTGGAGAGCGAGCATCCGTGCCTGTTCCGGCTGAACCATCGGTCTCCGAACTTTTTGGGAAAGTTTTCCATTCCGCAGGACAAAAAGGCAAATGTGCGCGCTCTGGTCACGCCGTACGACTATGTGTTCGAAGAGCTCAACGTGCAGAAGCTCAACGGGCTCACAGAGCTGGACATTTCTCTGCCTGAACCCGAAATGAAGGAAATGTACAAAGACTCTGAGCTTCCCACTGTTCTGCGAAAGCACATGGATGTCACAACAGTGAGGCTATTTGGAGAGGACGAGCAGCAGCAGTCTTCCTATGTAGACATGTTCAAGAAGTCGCTTGCCATACTGAGCATAACTCACCTCGACATAACAGGCATCCCGATTATGAACTCGGAAATTCTGTCTGTTCTAGAGTCGAACACCAACCAAATCAAGGACAAAATAACAGAGTTTTCCTTCACATACTTCGACCCCGGGCACGAAGAGTCTGTCAATGACAAAGAAGATTTTAGCGTAGACACCTCCACATTCATAAGAATACTGCAGGTCCTTCCAAACCTCAGCAAGATGAACGTGACCATCCTGAACGACAAGTTTGAGGCAAGCGCCTTGATCCAGGACTACAAATATCTTATGAAGTGTGGAGGGACGCCGCACACTGAAGAGCAGCTTCGCAACATCGTGAATCTGAAGCTGGACAGCCCTCTTCTTTTCACTTCGGTGAATACGTGCGACCAAATTCTTGACGAGGGAATGCGGAGGCTCCAGAAGCCGATGTTTGATGTCTTCTATAAGACAATGACGTGCCCAAACGGCCCAAACAGCGAAGCTTTGCAAAGAATGCCCATCCAGGAGCTCATACGGTCTTTGCGGGACGCTATAAAACCAAACATGTGCCGAAAGTAGGCGCGAGCGTGCACGCCCGTGCTTTAACGGCCCCACAGAAGCTTGGTCGGGCAGCTTTTAGAAGAAAACAATAAACACTATAATAGCTTAAGTTGCTTTCGCCAGCCTTAAATTTGCTACTTCGCAAAACATGTGCTTTCTTCCATTTATTTTCAGCGCTTCTGCGCAAGCCAAAGCCCCCTCAAACTCCCCGGGCGTGCTTCCTGCGCCTATTCAAATCCGGCCTCTCTTTGAGCGCCTTTCCAAGCGGGCAAGGGCCCAAAGAGTCTGCGCCGCCCAGCCTCTGGAACAGTTTTCTTCACACTGCCACCTGCTGGGCGCCGCTACAGTAAACTTTTGCTCGGGCCTGGGTTATTCGGGATAGGCATGCAAATTTGGCATAAAATAGGGACAATTATATGCCCAGAAGGCCTTCAAGGCGCATTTGCCTTGCATGTCGATAATGTGAAGAAGCAGCGCGCGCCCGCACACAGCTGTCGCCAAGCGAGCACCATGAGCCATTTTGCAAGCGCGGCACGCTGCATTTTGGTAAAAAGGAGGCCAAGCCTAGCACTTTTTATCTTGCGCTCTCTTTAGCTGGAGTCTCTCGGTATAAAGATGTTTTTCTCTATTATCTTGATCATTTCCAAAGGAACCACCTTTGTAATTTCTCCAGTGCCCACCAGAAAGTGCCCCTCCTGGTTTGGAAGCTCCTCGAGCACCATCCACGTGCCTGCCTCGTACTCAGTGCAGATTCCGTCTGGCCGCTTGGGCTTTCGTATGCTAATGATGTCTCCGAACTCCGGCGCCTCCCTCTCCTGCGTTTTTTCTTTCAGCCCAGCCTTTCCTCTTCTCTTCTGCGTATCCAGTATCATCTTCATTCTTTCTTTTCCTTGGACCTGCATGGTTTCCTTGTATCGCTTGCTTCTATACTGCTTCAACGTATCCAGCTCCTTTATCTCAATTGATACTTTATTTACTTTGTGCTTGAAGATCATTTCTGGCGTTATATCAGTATATGGTTGTTTTTTTGTGTTCATTCCACGGATTAAGTCGTCAATGACATGAATCCATGTTTTTTTGTTGTCGGACTTCAAAATATACCGCTTGAGCTTGCTTCGGAATGTTTTGAAAATCCTTTCAACGTTCTTGTACTGCTCCTTTACATGCACCTTTATGTTTCCCTGCACGCATTGTATTGGCTCTGCATCTGGCGCCTCCGGGAACGAGATGTCCACGTCTCCCATGCTTCTCGCCTTATAAACGCACTGTGGCCGGCCCTCCTCCTGGAATATTCGTTCCAGCCCCATGGCGACCTGGCTGCTTAAGTCGATGCAGTTTGTAAGCGGGTGCACAAAGTTGTAGTCTGAGTGTGCATCAATGATGTGCAAAATCTCGCTGTATCCATTGTTCTCGTCCTTGAACTCTGCTAGATTAATAAGAGAAATGTCCAGCCTCTGCATGGGCTTTTCTGCTTCCGGCAGTGGCTGCTTCTCCTTCCCTGTGTCCTGGGTGTCTTCAAACCCCTCGTTCTCCTCATTCTCCGACGTGTTCCCGGGGATATTTTCCTTGTGGAAATCCTTGTTTTCGTGCATGCACTCCTTGCATTTTTCCATTAAAGCAACTATTCTGTCCTTCTTGAACCCGAACCACTCCTCCTTAATGAGCTTCCATGTCTTGTAGAGCTTCAAGTGCCCGTTCTCCACGTGCACCTCGTCAAAGATTCTTTGGATTGTTTCTGTGTCGTCGTCCCCTACGGCACAGAGCTCTGCTCCGTCCTTTATCATTTGCGCTCTAATGCTGCCGTCCTCGCCCATTGTAAATATCTGTGATCTTTTTAGAAAAGCCTCCCTTCCTGCATCTGTCAAATACTCTGGTAGCTTGCCTGTTGTAAGATAGTTCTTAATTTCCTCTATCATAACAATTGACAACTTTATGGATATTCCGCCGTGCCTTTTCATTTCTAAACTTAAATGCGCTAAAATATTTTTGTTTAAATTTCTATATAGAAAATGTAGTTCCATTTTGATTTTTCTTCTTAGGCCCAGCCTGTGGGCGCAAGCGCTGTCTGTGCAAGCATTTTCGAAGGCTGGTTTTTCTTTTGCACGCCACAGCTGTGTCTGCGCGCATGCTATTCTCTTGCTTAAATATAATTAATCATTTTTCAGTATACGCTTTTATTACACTCTCGGGCTACGCTATTGCATGGCCTGCCACTTTCCACGCACAGCACCCATACAAGAGGGCTTGGCCTTGCACTGGACTTCCTGCATGCGCACCAGACGGCACGGTTTGGCAGAGCATCCACATGTAAGCCTTTAATTGGGTTTTCTGGCCTGTTTAATGGGCGCTGCTTTCTCTGGTCTTATATCCAAGCTGCCTTTGCATCTGTGTATTGCAAAAGAATGCCGTGCTCTTCGCTTTAAAAAGAGAGCGGCGCCTCTAAAGGAAAAAAGAGAGTGGATGTCTAGGCATAAATTTGCAGGAGTTCTCGTCTAAAGGAGATGCCAAGCTGTTTATTTGTTCGATAGTTCCTAAGCGCACAGAGGCTGCATTCGCGACGGGCATGTGTCGATATAGATCTGCACCTATGGGGTTGGGCCCGTCTGCCTGGCATGCATTGTATTTTAATGTGCACTTATAGCGTCTTTCAGCATGCCCAGAACTCTAAAATACTTGTCGGCGTTTTCGCCTTGGCAGAGCTCATTCTCCATTTTTTCTAAAACACCAATAATTTCTTTGCTATTGTCCTGAACATAGTAGCTGACCTCGTGTTTTAGTATGTACTTGTCGTAGTTTGTGACTAAGCTGAAAGTGTCTCGAATTATACCAGTGTTTTCTGGCTTTTCCACGCATGCAATCAGCAGCCATATAATGTCGAGTCTATGCTTCGTCTGGAGGCCCGCCAGAGTTTTCTCCTGTATAAGAAGCTCACCCAGCCTCTTTGCATAGTCTAAGGTGTTTTTCTCGAACAAAACGTTGAAAAATTGGGTCAGGGTAAACATGCAGGACAGCACGTCTAGAGAAGAAAGGGGAGAGGATGTTTCCTGCGCAAATGCACCCAGATACTCTATAAGGACATCCGCATACCCATCCACCTGCTTGGGCTGCCCAATTTGCTCGAGCATGCAGTTTTTTGCAAACAGCGCTGTGTATGTGTTTTGCGTGATCATCACACGTGGATATAGCCCTTTAAAGGCTTGCATGAATATCGGCGCGTACAAAACGCGGTTTAGTGTGGAGATCACATCGAGCTGCACGCTCCCTAGCAGGTTGGACATGAGCTGCACCGCTGGATGGCCCTGCGCCAGCTTTACCTTGCACATCTTTGCACGCATGCTGATGCTCGCAATAAGAAAGGCTTTTGTATGCAGGCTCTCTATCTTTACTGCCATGAATATTCGATTGAGGCCTGCAGCGCTGTCGATTGAAGGCACACTTGTCAGTGTTATGGGTGCGTGCATGTTTTCGTCTGCTCTGGCGGCGAAATCTATTTTTTTTGCGCTGTTCACATACTCAGCAATAAGGCACTTGATGAACGCATTTTTGCTTTGGCACTGGTCCAGTATGCGTGCGAGTATGCCTGCGCTTTTTCTTGTCAAGCCGATGTGTGAGTATACCATGTTCACCCTGGTGTGCCCTATCCCCATAGTAAGATCAATCCCATAGTCTTTGTTGCTGAGCCTGTGCTTTATAGTCATCATTCCATATACTTCTATCATGCCATCTCTGCTCGTCTTCCTTTGCAACTCGGAGAAAGTTATTTGTATGTTCTTGCTAGTGGAAATAGACATAAGCATTTTTTGGGCGTATAGTCTAAGGCGGCGGTATGTCTGCGCAGCCGGCACCTGCACTGTCTTTATCTCTTCAATAAACCCCAGTATGGCTTCCTTTTCCTTCGAAAAGATCCCAGCCACGTGCGCCACCACCAGCAGAATGTTTAGCATGCCCGTTTGTAGCTCGTTTCTGGTCGCTTTTCTGTACATAATGCTTTTGCACGGCAGGTCGGCCACCACCCTGCACCAGGCTTTGTGCATTTTGGGGTCTATGGTTTTGGCAGGCCTTTTGTTTTGGCGAAAAAACTTCTTCAGATCGCGCGATGCGTTTTTCATTTGGCTCAGCGTGTATCTGCCTGTTTCCGGGTTGTATGCAAGACAGCAAAAAACTGCGTATATTCCTATTTCTACACAGTTGCTGTAATTTTTTTCTCTTTCCATATAGAATTCAGAGGCGCCTCTATTGTATCCTGGCACGCACGTGGTTCTAGGTATTTGTTCCTCCGCATAAAACAGGCCTTTCATCTTGCCGTTTTCTGGCTTTTTAGACTCGTCTTTAGATGGCTTATAAAGGCGGCTTTCTGGCATAAAGAATCGATCTAGCATGGCATTGGCATGCTGCACGCCCGCACACGCATTCGGCTGCGCAGCCTCGGCTTCGGCAACGTCGCTCAAAAGGCCATACACGCATCTGATAAACTCTGTTGCCCCTTCTATCCCTTCTATATACTCAAATATGTACGCCTGAATCAGAAACTGTGTGCTGTCCAGAAACTGGCCAGACGCCAGCTCGTCCATGTTAGTGGGCTCGGCTCCTGTTTTTTTGTAGTCTTTGAAAAACTTTATAGTCTCTTCTGCCTGCCTCTGCCAAACGCCGTTCTTCTCGCCTGCATCGCCCTGTTGAACCTTTGCTTTGGTGCTCACTCTGAATATTTCCTCGCCATTTTTCTTCTTCAGAAAGACCTCTTTGTGCGCACATCCTATGTCCACGTCCACTCCTTCGCTTAGCAGCTGGAGCGCAGCAAGAACCCAGAAAGCATTTCCATTCGCCTCGTTTTCTCGCATGAACTGGATAAATGCATCTCCGCGGTTTACCTCAATTGAGAAGACTCCGTCCGGAGAGGGAAACATTTGGATAATTCTCCTGTGGTATCTCTGTATGTATTTTTCTTCCTTCGTTGCGCTTTTCTGCACATTGCACTCTTTGTCTTTCACCGGAACCCTTTTGTATACATATTGGTCTACCCCACTTATCTGGAAGCCACTTGGCACAAGACTGTAGCTTGTGCAGATTTCGCTGGAGAACATTCGCTTGTTGTGCATAAGCCCTTTTCTGTGATAAATATACCCCCGCACTAGGTTGAGCGGCCCCTCCGGGTTCACCGCCAGGTTTCCGTTTTTTGTTTCTATCACAACATTCTGCAGAGCCTCCAATTTGTCCAATGTTAGGCTGGCATGTATCTTGCACACTGTAAATACAGTTAGAAAAAGCGCCAGAAATTTCATAATAGGGTAAATAAAAAATCATTTCTATTCGCTTTGCTCCTAGAGATACCCTGTTTTCTGGCCAGGACCCATGCACTAGAATAGCAGATCCTGCCTTTCAAAAATTTATTTCTTCTCTGATGCCCTGTCTCTTTTTATGCCTGGCCATAGGCCGCATGCGAATAGCATCGTGCAAAAGCGTGTAAAGATGCTATGCCTGGCAGTGCTGGGCCCTAGTCTCTGTGCTGGATTCGCTCGCTGTAAGCCATGGGCTGGTGAAAAAGAGAAAAATTGCCATCCATACTTTATTTTCTGAACTGGGCAGGCTGCTACAGCTAAACGCCTGGAAAGCGCCTCCGCATGTTTCAGTGTGCTTACAGGCTCCCACGAATAGCTTTGCCATTAAATCAGGCGGGTCCTGCACAAAAAGAAAACAGACGCGCCCATTTGGCCCGCGGAGGTGTGCAAGCTCGGGTGGGCTTGCAGGCATAGCCGAGCAAAAATAGATTTTGTGTGTATTGGAATTTATTTGGGGCCTGGCCTATGCTAATATTAATGGAAAAAGAGAGGATATGGCGCCCAAAATCAGTGAAAGGGCCACAGCTGGGTTGAATGCGTTTGTGAACATTTGCATAGAAAAAATGGCGCCAAATACACGAAGAAACACGGTAAAGACGGGTATCACAGCAGTGGCTGGATAGTAGTAGAGCGCCTTCTCCATGGCCAGCAGGAAAGACATGCTTGTAATAAGAGCAACGGCAGGCAGAAAAAGATTGAATATGTACGCAAATGCACAAAGCGCCCCAAATCCTATGGCGGATTCTGCAGAAAGAACCAACATGCACATTAGGTCTGAAAGCTTCTCCAAACTTAGGTGCCGCCCTACTCTCTCCCCGTGCATGGTGAGCTTTAGTATTGCCAGCGCCAGCACGGCCAGAAAAAGGACCAAAGAAAGCCAGCTGACCGAGGAGGTCTGCTCGCTTTTTTGGTATCCAACCATGGAAAAGTATATGCTCAGAACCGTGAGGAATATTGCGCCTGCAGACTGCAGCGAAAACGTAAATGACGCAACAAAGACTTGGTTCAGCATAGGCAGTATTTGGAACGATGTTATCACAATGGGAAGGCCATATAAAATAACCCCCAGGGCCGCAAGGAACGACGACGATATGTATGCCAGAAGAGAAATCCCGTGCTCTCTTGAGAAAAATCTGGGGCTTGCTTTAAAAAAGTAAACTGAAACTAGCAGCAGAGGCGCCGCAGACATTCCCAATAAAAGGCCTTTAATAGAGTCCCCGGCCGCAGACCATTCAGGCTCTATAACGCTACTGTATTTTGCGCTCTCCTGCAGACTTATTTTGGTATTTCCCCAATTCATTGTTTGTTCTGGATTGTTTCCTTATAAACCTCTTGCATAGCAACAGAATGAAACAGCGTGTCTGCGCCACAATGAAAGCCAGTCGGCTGCTACATTCTGATTCGAGGCGCCCAAAGCTTGGCCCGATTTTCCATGCTGGGTTTAAGAATTTACTTTTCTTTTTTATGCTACGTAGAAATGGAACTGGCCTCAACAAAAGCGGACTCTTACGTGACGCAAAATAACAATAGAGACAGAAAGATCACCTCCTTAATCGTCCAGGCTGTGCTTATGGGCGCCTCCCTTGCTGTATATGTGAAAAAGGGCGGAATGATTTCCCTAGCCCTCTCCGCATACTTTACCATTAACTCGTGCTTTCTTCTCATTATGATACTTGTTAGTGCGCTTTTCAGCGAGAAGTCTGCAGATAAAAATATCCCTCCTGTGCCAAAAGCGCCAGAGCTGGAGAAGGTAGAAAAAAAGCCGGAAGAGAAAGCATCCACAAAAAAGCTGGACTTCAACTTCCAGCTGACGTTCAGAAAGAAGAACAAGTCGATTGCCCCGCCAAAGCCCATCCTGATCAAAAAGTACGACGATTATGCGTCGGATTTTCAGCTGACAAAGTCTCTGGAAAAGGAGTTCAAGCAGTGGGCTCTTAGAAACGTGCTGGGCCCTATTTTGTCAGAGCAGGCGCCGCCAGCGAGCAGAGACAAGTCCTCCAAGGTTTTTACCCGAATGGAAATAAGCGACCTCCGAATGATGAGCAGCAACGGATTTGTGTGCTACGATAAGAACAATGAGCTGCAAGGGCGCGCGCTTTTTAAAATGTTTTATAACTACTTCAACGAAAAAATACCTGGAAACAGCTCGTACTACACAAACCCCATGGACGAGTTTGTTTTTGATGATATTAGCAAAATTAAGATAAGCAGGTTCGGGCTGCTGGTTGAAGACACAGAATCGCTAATTGAGGGAAAGAAAACATTCAATGTGTACTTTATGGATAAAAACATCCTATACGACACGCACGGAGACGTGATACTTTCTTTTTTGCTTTTGCTTATATTCGCAAACAAGCACGAAGGGAGGTGCCTTGGCGCACTTTCGCTGCGCAACCTGCCCTTCCTTGCAAAATAATATAACTGTCATAAGTCCGGGTACATTTTGATGCAGGTCTAGCATAAGTTCCAGTAAAGATTATTAACCTTTGGCGCAGCTTGCACTATGGCCGATGAAGTTCTTTGCTTTCTGTCTTGCATGTGATGCGGCATCTGAATAGGAAATCTCCTTCATATTTATGCTTTGAGCGATCACTAAAGAGATTCCTATTTCCACATCAACATTAAATATTCTTTCATCAAGGCCTTTGCTTTCTCCAGTGTGTGAATACTAAGCATTCGCCACACGTTCATTTATTCATATTTAGCGCCAACCCCAAAAGTCTTCTTCTATCGTACACAGATTCAAGCACACATGCACAATCTGGCTGAGAAACTTCATGGCAGATAAAGCAATGCAGCGCCAAAACAAAGTGTACATAGAAAGCGCATTTCAAACTCTAAAAGCACAGGCCACGCCTGCTTAGAGCATCTGCATGTTCTAAACCTTTTTGGAGTTTGCCAGCTCATTTGTATTTTGTGCTTTTTGTTTTTGGTTTTCTTGGCAGGAAGTGCACGGGCCTTTTCATGGCTGCACAGCCCTGCAAAGCAAATCAAAAGAAAAACAATCAGGCATCAAAATTCTGCACAAACAAATAAAAATACACAATCTCTGATGATAATACACAGGTATAAACACGGCTCTGCCTGCGGCTATTTAAGTACAATGCAAGAAGAGGCGTCCTTTTCAACTTTCAACTACATCTATAAAGATGGCGAATGCAGCACAAGTGCCACTGAAGTCAAAAGTCAAGGCGCATACATGGAGATGAAAACTGTAAAGCGTGTCCCGGAAATCCCCCCTTTTGTGCTTTTGGTAGAATCTTACGATGATGAGCGCCAAGAAGTGCCGGATATCTACCCAGCCTTTCCGCCAGAAAAGAACCGCCTGTTTGTAAGCCCCTATGAAGCCCCCTCTGCAAGCGCAGGATCCAAAAACTTCCGCGGACACACATACACCGGCGGCCTGATGAGGAATCTTCCAATGCCCAAGGACACGGATGCAGAGATTGCGCAAAACAGGTATCACCAAATTGTGGAGGAAAAAGCAGCACGTGATGAAGCTCTGCGTGAAGAGTATGAGAGGTTCTGCAGAAACCCTGCAGTGCAGGTCGACCAAGCCCTCAACGCGCACAACCATGTCAGAGAAGTAATCATTCGCCCTGTGCCCCAGAAAAGACTGTGCTTAAAGCCAAAAACCTTCCGCAGAATCTTTGTTTTCTGCCTTCTAATGGCGGTCGTTTTAACTGTGTCCATTTCGTTTTTTATATTTCACCAGAACCGACTAACCAAAAAAAGTTTGGCAACTCGAGTGTAAACACGTAATCGGGCA